AAGTTAGCCCAACCTCTGTTAGAGTTCTCGATAAGTAAATAGTTCTATCAAATAAGACCCCATGGAAGGCTTTAGTCAGGACGAACTGGAATTTGTGAGAAACGGAATAGCTAAAGGGCATCGATCAGATCTAAGGAAGAGCAAAGAAGAAAGAAAGGCACACGTCATTTGCTCATCTATAGCACAGGGCGATGGAAGCGTTAGGGTTAAACGTGGATGGTCTGAGATAGAGATATCCATTCAATTCAAAGAAACACCTGAAACCTTAGGGGCTTCTAATGTACCTGGAGAAATCCTTGGTAGTAACGAGCTGTATATGGAATCCATAGAGTTCTCTAAAATTGCCATTCCAAAGATTATTACTTCGAAGATCCTCGAGCTACTATCTTCATATAAAGTAGGGATAAGAGTAGAGTTTAGCATATTAAGTAATGATGGAAACATATATGATTTGTTTTTTATTGGACTTAGTACGCTATTTAAAGAATTGGAAGTGCCTGTTATAGAAGATTTGAGAAAAACAGTAAAGCGAGAGATAGACATCCCAGTTTCAAAAACTGTTGCTTTATTTAACAATGGTTACTTTGTAGTGGATCCAACAATGATAGAGGAGGAAGCATCATGTGGATTGATGCATGTATTTATTAGCAATGAAGGCAAATTGATGGGATGTTTATCTGAAGGAAATTGTGATATTGATCAGGAAGTATTCGTAAATATTATAAAAGAGATTTCTATCTAAAACATGTCCAATCCATTGAACAAACGTATATGTTTCTCTAGGCCAGCCTTAAGACCAGTAATTGTTATTTTTCTATTACATCTATTCACTATTTTTTGGATGTATATTTGTAATCCTTTTTTCAAGTGTTCAGCACATTCCTTTTCAACATCATTACTTAGTCCCAATCCAATAGAGCATTCCCTGAATCTTTCTTTCACTTCGTCTTTTGCTATCATTCTACCAAGAAATCTGTATGATAAGTGCATTGTACTGGTATAATACTCTGTTGGGATTCCTTGCTTTTCAAACAGGATTTCTTCTCCCCTTAGGATTCCTTCTTGTTTTCTACCATTTACTAGGAACAGGTCTTCAAAAAGAAATTCTTTATCTAAGAAAGTATTAGTGCTCAATATCCTCGGTTCTCCAGATATTCCAAACGAATATTTGTATTTTAATAGTATCTTGAATACAAAGCCATTGTATGTTTTAATGGATACACTTTCACTCTTTATCATTTTTATCACCTGGTCTTTTGATATCTTATATTTAAAATTATCTATTATAAAGGTTTTGATTTTTGTTTTCATCATTTAATTTCAAAAAAGGGCTAAATTTTGTCTGGTATCTCATATACATATATATTACATAGTTGAACGTTAAATGTAAATCTCCGAAATACTTGATGACATCGATTCTATTTGTCCTATAGCCTGAAGTGCTTCAGCTTGTGAAGATTCTATGGCTTTAACGTTAGGATCATCTTCAGTTTTCGCTTCGTCGATACTTTTTTTGAGTATTATACGCATAAAAGAGTCAATTCTTTCTCGAAATTCCGATACTTCAAAATTCTTACTTAGTAGAGCACTTGTTATATAAACAAGACCACTTGTAAGTTCAGGTAATGTTTTAGTGGTGGTATCACTAAGAGGTTCTAAGGAATTCGTGGCCCATTCACAATTCTCGTAAGGACCAGGATGTTCATCAGAATAATACGATGGTTCTTCTTCTTCACCTTCCCCAGTACTAGTACCACCGGGTAATTCACCTCCCCAACTTCCACTTATAATGTTACAAACGGCACTTTTTATACTTTCTGCTTGTGATTTTAAAATTTCCAAGAGTTCATCTTCCCTCTTCCCTAAAAATCTTTCTGGATCGCTCTCTAGAGGAGACTCAAAATCAAAAGTGCCCATGTCTTGTGATTGTGAGCACAAAATTGCCTGAACCAAGAAGGCCCATTTGAACTTGAAATATTTCATTCTCTACTACTAAAAACTCAAGTGTATATAGCCACAATTATTTTTAAGTACTTATGATTGGTTGACTCTGAAGAGATTGAAAGGAGTTGTGCCTTTTTCAAGCCATTAGCTAAACTAGGACAGTTATAATCCAAGTATGGAAGTACTTAAGGAGTAAAGGTTAAATGGTTTTCTTTTTCAAAAGGATCATCTCCAAATGCCATGATGTGCATCAAGAGCTCCTTTATTTCACATTTCCTTGGACTTACGGTTTCCTCTGCCCTGAAAACCAATTACACTTTGAAATCTTTATTATTAAACATCCTAGCACTATTAAGTAATAAGGGTTGTTTTCATGTAGCCCTTGATTTGCCAAAGAATTTTAATTACAACGTTGTCAAGAAACGGAAAAAGTTGGAAACTAGAGGAAAAACAAATACAGGATGGTAGCATGAGGAGATGTTGATATGAAACAAGGTAAACAATTCTTTGTTTTGTGACTTGGATATAAAAACAAATGGTAATAAACAAATAAAGATGAATGCTCAAAGTGATAAGGAACTGTTTGAGTTTCTAGCCAATGCCCCAAAGGAGTTTCGAGATGGCGAAAGAATTAAGAAGTTTCAGTTAAAGAATGGGGATTACATTCATTGTGTATTATGGAATATGCACTTCTTCATTACTGGAACAGACATAGTAAAGATATTAGTCTGGAGATTCCAGAACGCTGGTAGGTGCTTAACCAGCTTGAAAAAATTTGAAGAAGGTGTATTTTCTGATTTAAGAAATCTAAAACCTGGAATAGATGCAACACTTGAAGGCCCTAGAAGTGAGTTTTTAGAGTTTCTATATAAGAATGGGTGTATAAGGACGCAAAAGAAACAGAAGGTTTTTTACTGGTATAGTGTTCCACACGATGCTTTGTTTTGTGATGCATTAGAAAGGGACTTGAGAAGAGAAACAAATCTATTTACATACAATAAGTACATTAATAATCTCACAAGAAACAGTATGCTTCCTCATGGAATGGTTGGATTTGTAAGCCATACACGGCAAAACAGTAAGAGAATTGGAGTGGAGGTTGATCCACGATATTTAAGGGGTATAGAAAATAAGGTTCTTCCAATGGGAATGATGTACAGTCAGGGAAGGCCCATACCGCAACAGGGCATACTCTTTGATCAACAGCACCACAAGAAGGCACCTACCGTACCTCCCCAGCAGAAATCACCAACTATATATGACAAACAATTTGAAGAAATACAAAAAAATGGGTTTTTAGACCAGACATTTCCTGGGTTCAATATTAAGGACAAATTATTTTCTTCTGGAGATCAACAGCTTGATTATGACCTCCACAGGACAGATGGCTTGTTTTGTAATGACTTATTTAGCACGGCAATAATTGAAAAGCCTTCACCGAATCCAGATATAGGGTCTTCTAAAAAAAGCAAAATTTATAACACAACACCATCTTCGTTTCTTGAAGAACTTCCTGATGGGTTTTCTCTCGACGACTTTGACTTCCTTAAGGATCGCGCAGAAAAAATAAACGCAGATGATGAGTCTCGTCAAGGCTCTCTTAAGGAAGGAACCAACCAAAGAATCCCTCATGATGGCGTCACCCTGATTCCAAATGCAAAAGGTAGTCTCCAAAAATAGAATAAACTTAAAAGGCCCATTTATCTTGACTAAAAATCTCTCAAAGAAGATGTAAAGCAAAAGAAATGCATGTTAATGTGACTGGAAATTACCTTAAACATAGGGGATTATCCATCGTCTATGGAAAAGAGTATAGAATCCACTATTTTCTCACTGAATAGAAGCTTTAAATCATTCAATGTTTCAAAAAAATTTCCTCCATTTACAAAATCTACAATTGCTTGAGCTCTTTTATCCCCGACCCTGGGGAGCTTTTTTATATCGAAAAAATTCCCCTGGTTAATGATTTGAAGTACATTTTCTTTTGTGACTTTAGGTTTCCTCCGAGTCTTTTTGATTAACATATTAATTTTTTCTATCTTTTGCTTAATGAAGTCATTATCACAAAATTTTTGCATTGTTTTGTAGTCCTCCAATGCGAGCCTATACTTTTTTGCAGACTCAAACTCTTGTGCTCTTTTTAGAAAGGCCCTATAGCTTTTTTCCTTTGTCCGTGGAGACAGAACAATATCAGGCTTTTCAAGGAGGGATTTTAAGATCAGTGAACTTCCATTACTGGTCAGTTTTGGATTTTTGGAGAATTTACCTCCATCTTCCTTGCATCTCCTATAAATGAGTGAGCTCTTACCTTTTTTCTTTCCCCCAATTGCAGAGGTACTTGTGGGAAAGGATTCTTGATGAGGATTATTCTCTTTTTCTTTACTTCTGAGAGGCATGTCTTCCTTTCTTTGAATATTGAACTTCATGTTTGTTTTTATAGATAGAGGTTTCCTCTTTCCAAGCTCAGAAAGACTGCACCCACCGTTTTTGAAATCCTTACCCCTAGGTTTCTGTGCCACATCTAATATGTTTACAATATTTCTAGACTTGGATGCAAAGCTAAGTGTGTTTATAGAGTCTCCCATCCCGGATGAATCTCCAACAATATTGGCAATTATATAGCAGAGACTGCTTCCTCCAAGAGAGTCTTGTAATAATCTTGTTAGCTTACTATCTCTATAAGGTATTCTTTTTTCTCCTTTAAGTATAGCATTTACAACCTTTCCTAGGACAAAAAGGCTTCTGTTGATACTATTTGACTCTGTAAGTCTAATTCCTTCATTACCTGTTTTCCTATTATTCTCTGATCCTGCCAAGTCAATGAGATTCAATTTGTGCTCTCCAACACTTATCCTCAATATCCCATGACTTCTACTACTGTTCTTGTTAAGTTTCGTTTCTGCTGTGGTTCTGTTCTTAGTTCCTTGCCTAAATACCTCTTCAAATTCTTCTATATTCTCGACTCTCTTGTTGAAAAGATTTGGAATTACTATTGTTCCATTACACTCTCTTAGAACTAATTCCTTAGGTTCTAACAAGTCGTAAATCTTCTCATTGTATATTTCCATATAGGAGACAAGAAAACTTCCATATGCTAAGACATCCTTCACTAAGTTGTGCATTAGTCCATAGGACCCACTATGGCCAACCATAGTGTACGTCTTCCCTGCCCCTGTGCTCCCATAGCAAAATAGTGTTTGGTTATGCCCCTTCATGAGTTTGGGTACAATACATCTGAACCTTTCAAACACCTGATCTTGTGTGCAGTCAGGCCCAAAAACCCCATCAAAATCATATTTTACCGGTCTCTCCACACTCTTTTGACACCAATACAGACTTGTCTGTATATTTCAGGATGCTTTTCCCTGGTTTTACGCGTATGTAAGCTTCGATGGGTGACTTCTCCATAACCCTCTTTTTGAGGGTGGTGAAAACAATGTACTATCAACATCTGAGCATCTTTGATGAAAGTGTTTATTGAGTTTTTCTCTGCGATCCCTTTATGAGAGAAGAATATCTCCAAGGGCTCAGGAGAAATATTGCTAGTGAACTGATAGAGATAAAGAAAGCCATCCTCGAAAAAATGAGACACAAACTGAAGGAGACCTTCAGCTCAGTTTCTATGGAAGCAAAAAACCTCCCTCTCCTGTCCCTTATAGAAGGGCTTGAAAGAAACTACACAGGCAAGACCATAATGATAAGAAAAAACAAGAAAATAATTACCAAAAGAGTGGCTAAAAGCACAAAGAAGAGGCCTTCTGTCGTGATACAAGTTGAAGATCAGTCGTTTGTATTCGATGGAGATGGACTTAAGGTCGTAGGTCCATGGGATGGACAACAATATAAAGGAATGCTTGATGAAATTAATGGCATACTTAAGAAACACATAACTAAGCGATAACTATGATGTTAATAGGATTTGCCTTTATTTTGTTCCTCGCCAATACAAATTTCTTCGACCAGCTGTCCCTATGTAAGCATTTTTGATTTGTATCTCACAAAATTTTCTTGTACTCCACAACCTTGAGAAGAGTAAAGGACAATTACCTTCATGCTCTTGCTGTAGTTCAGATTGGGTGCTATTTTTGGTGTGATCATAAAAAATTGCTCATTTCCTTCTTTACTAAGTGCGACCAAAATATCGTGGACCAACTTTTCATTATTGCCGTCCATTCCTTGGTTTATTTCATCCACAAGACGAAATGGTGAAGGTTTATAATGTTGAATGGCAAGCAAGAACAAAATTATAGCAACAGACCTCTCTCCTCCGCTTTGTCTGTGGGAATTTAAAACCTCAAGGCTATCATCATCATGAAATTTGACCATTATGTTAAACTTCCACTTGCATGCATCAAGCTCATCATAAATAAACATAACTCTTCCATCTCCTCCAACCTTCCTGAAGAGATTTCTAAATTGCTCATCTATTCTGGATACTATCCTTCCAATCTTATCGACCAGAATGTCCCTTATCCTCAAACTTTTCTTTTTAACACTTTCTAGAATTTTGGAATATTTTGAAATGTCTTCGTTAAGCTCTTTCAAATCCTTCTCTCTAACTTCAAACTCCCCTACAGCTTTACTATCAATGTTATAAAACTTTATCTGAGCCTTTTCCTTGATTATTTCCTCGTCAAGCTCATCTATTGTATTTGGAAGCTGGGCCAATGCCTTATCGTACTCTTCTTTTCTCTCTATCTTTTCAAGACGTACTTTCTTCTCTTCAATCATTTTTTTCAGTTTAGAGCTCTCTTTCTTCTTTTCAATAACCTTTTCTTCTAACTCTTCCTTTATCTTTTCTCCCACCTTTATACTCTCTTCTAGAGCCTCAATGTTCTTATTGACATTTATAATCTCTCTAAATAACTTGGATGCACTACGAAACACGTCAAAATATCCTTCATCTGAGAGGCATTTACTAAGCTCATCACATTTATTCTTCCACAAAGCTTCTAATTTCCTTTTTGATTCATTTATCTTCATCTCCTCTTCGTCCAAATCCTTTGTATCCTTGAGCATTTTCATTTCAAGCTTCTTTCTATCCATAGATCCCTTTAGAACACGAGCATGTGTCTCTTTTCTTTTGATTTCCATCATCTGAGAATTGTAAAGACTTCTCTCTCTATAAAGACCCTGGAGCTCTTTATCAATAACCTCACAATCCTTCAAAATTCCTTTTAGCTTTTCTTCATTCTCCCGCCTTGTTGAATTCTTTCTTCCCAGTTCTTCTTCTATCTCCTCTAACTCCCGAAGAGATAGATTCTGTGAAAATAGGTTCCGCGACTTCAAGGGGTTGTAGATAATCGCATACTCCGAGCCGTATCTGCTTTTCTTGATCTCAATATATCTTCCTCCCGCCGCCATTCTTTTCACGTTTGTTTTTCTGAATACTAAATTCTCATCGACACTTGCTTTTGAAACGGGAATCAGGTCAAAATTCCCTGCCACAATCAGATAGTTCATAGTCTCCTCTCTACACTCTATAAAATCACTTAGGACTCCTTCAAAGCCCAATTCCTTCAGCATATTTTTGGAAATACCTTCTTCTTCCTTCCGTGCCCTCTTGTCTGTCTTTATGGCTTCAATTGCATTGATCATCCATTTCTTTTCATCCTTCATAATCCGAACAAAAGTCTCAAAATCATCTGCAGACTTACAAATAAACGGCGACAGAGACTGGAATCCTAAGAAGTTTTCAACCTCAAGTGCATATCTAGCGTCTTTTATCCTTAGTTGAACGAATGGTGGCTCTATTACTTCGTCTTTGAATTGGTGTTTATTCTCTCTAAGCCAACACACAGCCTTATATGTATCAGCATGATATTTCCTCAGCATCTGAAGCCTCATTTCATCCATCTCGTGAAACTTCTTTCTTTTTAAACTAAGATCATCTACCAGTCGCTTTAATTCAGCAGACTCGTGCTGGATCTTTCCCCTGGTTCTCATCAAGTCCGACATCTTTGTTTCAAGAACCTTAATTCTAGCCTCATCCAGCTCTTGAGGTTGTGGAGGTATTTCTAACTTAGATATCTCTTCTTGGAGATCCAAAATCTCCTTTTCCAATCTTTCTGTGTTAGATATTCTCTTTTCTCTTTTGTTTCTAAGTGATTCCTCATCAACTCCTAACATCTCAATTTCTTGATGAATATTCCCGGCCTTCTCGACCAAATCAACCAAATTCATGTCATACTCTTCAAGAACTTTGCATAGTTCATTAATTTCCTTGTATGCTTCAGATGACTTCAGCTCTTTTATCTTACTTTCGATATTCACTACCTCTTCATTTTTCGTCTCAATCTGTTTTTTAAGTAAACTTATATTCCTTCTAACCATACCATACTCGTCTGTATAGAGCTTATAATGTATCCAATCCCGTTTTTCGTCCATAATTCTTATTCTTTCCTCTTTCTTCTTCTTCTCATTGGCCCTTTTAACATCTTTCTCTAGTACCTCAACCGTTCGCTCCACGCACTCTTTTTTCCGACCGCATGCTTCCAGTATATCAGCCACTTTGTTTCTTTCGGTTTCCAATTCTTCGAGTTCCTTCATATACCTTAAAATCTCCTCATCACCCACAGATAATAATACTTCTCCTAGAAGATTTTCAGGAGAAAGCCTTGTAAATTCAGAAGCCTTCTCCTGTGGAAGAAACTGGCATAGGTTCCCTATATTCTCCTTAAGCTTTCCTATAAGCCCTTCATACTCCGTCTTTTTGTATGCTTTGCCATCAGCAAAGTATCTGCTCTGATTATTTCTAGATATACACCTACAAAGCCTTACCTCTTTTCCTTTAATCCACACCCCTACTTCTATTCTTGCTTCTTCCTCACCAAATCTAACATATTCTCCCACACCTTTACCTCTCCCTATTATTTTTGGCGTGCCTCCAAACACAAGAACCATTGCATTTGCTATACTACTCTTTCCAGACCCGTTAGGTCCTGCTATAAAATTGAAGGATGGACAGAACTTAAGAAATATCTTCTTGAACGTCTGGAAATTCTCAAGCCTCATGTACATAACGTTCCCATCGTTAAACCCAGACATTAGGGATTGGAAACAGAATACAATTTTTGCTGGACAAATTCTATTATGATACACATTTATGTGCCATAACGTCAGAGCATATCTTCAAAAACATTTATTTCTTATTCTCCATGGCCTTCCTAGCAGACTCCCGGCACCTCTGTCTGTATTCCTCCTTGTTCGTTTTATATATATCTGCAACTTCTGGTCTCAAGGGATCATCAGCATTTGGATCATCAAGAAGAGTGAGGAGCGACAGTAGAACACTATTCAATGTAAGTGCAGGAGACCACTCCTTCCCAAGGATGTCTATACAAATCATTCCAGAGGAATTTATATTTGGATGGTAGATGGGTGTCTTAAATGTTATCTTTGGAGGCTTGAAAGGATATTCATTTGAGAACGTTATAAGAAGCTTGAAAACTCCTCCCTTATAGACACTTTCCTCAGGTGCCGTCAGGTATGCCTCCCATGTAAAGAAGTCTCCAGAAACAAAAGGAACTATTTTGATATACTTTGATGTTGAATCTTTCCTTTTTTCATTCCCTCTGTCGTTTTCAAGAAGTTCGTGCTCTTTCTTTATTCTCTTAATTGCAGCACTATCAGAACTGAGTTCGGCCATAACAAGATTTGTGGGTTTTATTTTTCATAAAAACAAATATCTAAAGCAATCAGAATCTTGTTTCAATTTTCCTATAACACATGTATTTGCTTGACGCATGTGGATTTTAAAAGAAGGTGTTTGCAGGAAAGCCTTGATACCTAATCTTTCTAACAATGTCTGAGATCATCGACCTCCATCAGGAGACAACGAATAAAAGGGCTTCTGCAAATAATGCTCTGTTCGAGCCATGAGGGGTGAAATCATGGGCTACACCATATGCGAAGAAATTGGAAAAGGAGGTTTTGGAAAGGTATATAAGGTAAGAACAAAAGAAGACCAGAAAGCTTATGCACTCAAATTAGAAGACAACAAAGAGAAAGGAAGAAGAAACGTCATAATCAACGAAATCCAGGCCTATAATGAACTTCAGGGATGCGATGAAATTCCTCTTCTTGTAGACCATGGATTTCACCGGGCCTTGGCTTTCCTTGTCCTTCCCCTTTTCAGGTATTCATTGAAGGACATACTAGAAAGACATCCAAGGTTCTTCACTAGAAGATCGGCCACTATTGTCGCAAAGAAGCTTCTTGGCACCATTGAATTTATACATAAAAAAGGAAGGTTATATAGGGATTTGAAGCCTGAGAATGTCATGTTTGATTACAATAACAAGGTGTATCTAATAGATTTCGGAATGTCTATGCCATATCTTAGGAAAGATGGAAGTCATATTCCTGAGATAAGAGGTAAGAATGTGTGTGGGACACTTTGGTATATGTCGATAAATACCCACAGGGGAGTGGAACAGTCAAGAAGAGATGATCTTGAAAGTCTGTTTTATCTTTTAATACTTCTATACAAATCAGGACTACCTTGGATAGAGGTTGGAGCTTCGATGTCAAAAAGGCAAAAGGCAAGAACAAGAGCGATCAAAGAAGGTTTATCTGTGTATGAATTGTGTGATGGGATAAGTGGAAAGGAATATCTTATAAAGTTTTTCCAGTATGTCAGAAACCTGAAATTTTCAGAAAAGCCTGATTATCGATATTTGAATAGTCTCTTAGATGAAGTTCTCTACAGTGAAAAAGAATTTCAAGGATATAAGGAAATGAGCAGTGAGGACGGTAAAAGAAATACTAAAATGGGTTCTATTTCATTATGGAGTAAATTTATCTCGATTCTCAATCCATTTGTAATAAGATAGCACATAAAGTTTTGTAAAGCAATAGAGAAAAAGCAGTCTTTCTTAGCCTCCTCGTTATGAAATACAGACGTACAGCAATACTAAAAATCCACAACAGTTGGATAAAGTCGCTGGATATAGATCCTTACGATGCATTCCTTGCATCTTCTTCTATGGATGGAACAACAGGAATAGTGGATATAGAAACAAAACAGCTTTTGATCACTATCCCTTTGAAGGGAGTTTGTGAGGATGCCAAATTCAGCAAGACTCAGCCGTATATTTTTTGTGCTTTACTTGATGGATTGATCAGGTCTTATGACCTCGTGGATAGAGAATTTATAAGAGAATACTATGGCCATACGTCTTCTGTATTGTGCTTGGACACATATGATAAAAGAATCTTCAGTGGGTCTTCCGACTGCACTGTAAGAGCTTGGGATGTTAGATCAAGAAATAGCGTATCGGTCATGAAAGGCCATAGGCTTCCTGTTACTCATATCATGTTTAGAAATGGACTTATTTACAGCAGCTCTATGGATGGAAATGTATTTCTTTGGGATGAGAGGAGTACCAAGACTCCAATCGTAGGATTTGCCTCTAGTGTAACCTCTATGTGTATGTGCGATGAAACACTGTTCGTTTCGGTTGGGAAAAAAGTATTTGAATGTAAGGACATTCCATATGAGGTTGGACTAAAGTCAAATGCCTTGTCATTGGAGAGCTATAACAATAACTATTATTTAATCGGTAGTGAAAAGTATGTTTTCATGAAATCAAAAGAGATAAATGACCCTGATTACCAGTTTGGAATAGAGGGGCCTGGAAACATCGTTAAAGTTACGGCCAGCAAGGAAAGAATAATCGTTGCAGGAACGAGCAAAAATATAGAGTTTTTGGAAAAGGATGAACATGTTTAGTTATTTAGCATAACAATGACTTCTTGCACTTTCTTTTCCCAGATGTCATATTTCTCTTTAAGTTTCACAACTTCTTCTTTCTGTAGCGCTCTTGGAATAAGGCTGTCAAAGTAAAGAATTCCTTCCTCCCCGTCAATCCATCCATTGATTAGTCCTAGACCAAAGGACTTCAAAACTATATAGATAACCATTTTGCTGGGTATCTTTAGTAGCTCCTCAATTTTCTTAATTGATACCTTCTTTCCGACCTCAGAAAAGCAGATATTTATTAAAGCTATCATGTATGCCTTTTCCTTGATTATATCAGCACTGCTTCCAAAAATTTCGTTAAGTTTGTTATGCTTTTCTTCCAACCCTTTCACATTTCCCTCTCTAAACATCATGAAGATTTCCTTCAAATTCTTGTTTTTCATCTTGTCAAACCCAGGTAATGATGCTATCAAAGTAAAATTGAAGAATTCTTTGCTCAGTAAAGCATACTCTACAAGGGTATCCATCAGCTCCTCTGTTTCCGATAAATTTACATACTTTAAAAGATGGGAAAAGGCGGCCTCAACATTCTGAATTTTTTGATAGAACTTGAATCCCAGAAGATTGTACATAATTCTCACATTCCTTGGCATCTTAAGGTTTTTCCATTCAAATAGCCTCTTCTCAATTCCTTTAAGTTCATTTATCTCAATTAGAAGCAGGCATTTCTTTATCTCTAAAATCATCTTCTCCACCTCAAAGAGCTCAGAGTATAAGACTGAACCCCCTATTATATCCTCCCCAATTGCTAAAACCCTTATCCCTTCTTCAGGAGCCAACCTCTCTGAAAATGCTAGAAAGACCTCGTAGGATGACCTAGGATGTATCTGGCCAGCACTCTCCAGAAAAACATCTAGAAGCTTATCTATGGGGTGAGTGTTCATGGAATCAATTATCATGCAACAAAACTGCATCCATTTTCTTTCTCCCTGAAGTTTCTTTATCTTATCAAATTCCATTGGGGCATTTCATAAACAAACTTTTATTTCAAGGTAGCTTCGTTGCTCTCTCAGACCATGACCTATGCATACTTTAATAAACTTCATATAATCTGTATATTCGGATGGCCTCTTTGGAGTAGATCTAGCACCATTTTCTTGTACTTTTAGGCCTATCCTCCCTTTTAGGGATTTTCTTCCCATATCAATACAAATCATAAATAAAGATATCACAACAAACAAACATGAAAAACATACCAACCATAGTTAAGAATCTCGGAACTATTAACGTTAGGAATCCTGTAGGATTTTCCTCTGTTCCAGACCAAGTAAGAGAAAGTTCTATGATAAAAGGTTTTGAACTGAATGTATTGGCTGTTGGAAGAAGAGGACTTGGCACATCTACACTAATCAACTCAATATTCGCAGCACCTTTGGTTGACAAGAAAAGGTCAAACACCATCACGGTAACAAGAAACGAGATTGTTGAAAATGACATTTCCTTGGAGATATCCATTGTGACATATCATGAGACAGATATAAGTCCTGTAATCGATTACATAAATGCTATGAACAGGGAATACTTCGACAACGAGCAAGGTCTTTACAAGGCATTCAAAGACAACAGAATACATGTATGTCTTTACCTTCTTCCTTCTGACACATTAGCAGAGCAAGAAATAAAAAACATGTATGAGCTCTCACAGAGGTGTAATCTTGTGCCAATCATACCAAAAGCAGACATGTATATGCCAGATGAGCTCATCTATGCAAAGGAAACAGTGAGGCAGATTCTCTCAAAAAACAATATATCTTTCTTTATACCATATTTCAATGAAAATGATGGGGATCTTACTGAGGAAGTTGCAGACATAGTTGAAAACATACCTTTTGCAGTAATAGCTAGTGAAACTATGTATGAGCATGGAGGAGAGATCGTTAGGGGAAGAAAGTATACGTGGGGGTTTATCAATGTAGACCTCGAGGAAAACAATGATTTCAAGAGGCTTCAACGACTTCTTATATACACGAATCTAGACGAATTAGTGACAAAGACAGACCATTTGTTCTATAATAACTATAGGAAAAAAATATTTGATATTGAAAATGATTGCGGAGCAATGAAAGAAGCGAGATACCTCAAGCTTCGGAAGGAAACCATAAAAATCCTGAACGACAAGTATGAGAGCAGAATAAAGGCTCTAAAAGAAGAGGAAATGGAAATGGAAAAGTTTTATACCGAAAAGTTAAACAGTCTAGACGATAAGATGAATGAGATCAGTAACCAAATGGAGACATCTCTCAAGGTAGAGTAAATATGTAAGGGCATACATTATTCTACCAAGATGGTTAAGCAGAGTCTTTTCTCTACATCACAATATATTTGAATTTTTGATAAACTTCTTGAAATTCATAACTTTCTTTTCGTTTCCGTTGTATTCTATCATTCTCCAGAGCCTCAATGTTAAGTGTGGTCCCACATTCTCCATAATAGGATTCTTTTCTCCAAAGCAATATTTATATAGTCTGAAGTAGATGAAGTCTCCTTGAACAGTAAAGTTCGCGACCTGTCTAGAGCTTTGATTAAACGGAAACATATTCGCCAGAAAATCAACTATCTTCATTCCAATATCTGTTGTGAAGTTATTTACAATTAGTTGAGGCGGATGGTCCTTTGAAATAGGCTTGGATACCCTTAGATAATCTCTAGATTTGTACTGGACTATCTTCAAAACTAGCTGCAGCTGGGAGTTCTTGAAAACTATCCACTGAGGCCCCACATCTTCAACTATCCTTATGGAAACCTCCGATTCCTTGTCTGTGTCATTGGCATAAGAATTGGGGATTATGTCCAGGAACTCCTTTAGCAGTATCTTTGTGTTTTTATGAGGATTGGGTGGAACCGATACTGACACTCTCATTCTATTAGGGATGTCTTTTATCTGGAAATTAACAGAGAATAGGTATGACTTTATTGTTAAAAGCATATTATTTTTTTGGACTTAGGATTGTAAAGCGAAAACAGCCTTTGAGAGGAGGCTTTATCTTGGATTTATATACTTTAGAGTATGCTATTAGCTCAATGACTGCATTGGCCACAGACACCTCGTGATTATAGAATTCCAACAAAATCTTTTCCGCACTTGCAGCTTCTTCAGATGGTATTTTCTTTACAAGCGAGATTATTTTGTCTACATTTCTAAGTTCCATTGCCTTCTCTAGTTTTTTCAGCCTTTTTTCTTCCATTGGGGTTGAAGATTCTATTAGTTAATCGTTTTAAGCTGCAGCCCTTATTTAATGGCAAGGAGGCCTACAAGTAAATATGTGAGTATTGAAGCATCTGAAGAAGACTCCGAGCTTAGTCAAGAAGACTTAGACGAAGTCCAGGAAACGGTACTGCCTCGTAGGGACTGGACCAAACTTACACAAGAACTTGGGGAGAAGTATGCATCCATTCCTGCGGATGAGGAGATTGAGGAGGAGGAAGAAACGATTGAGCATGAAATCAAGCAGGCCAATCTAGTCCCTAGAAACACATCGCCAAGACTGTTCATTGTAAGGGTCAAAAGAGGATCTGAAAGGGAAATCCTGATGAAGATTATAGAAAACGACCCTAAAAACATATTTAGCATAATCTGTAAAGATGGTCTAAAAGGATATCTTTATATCGAAGCCTTTCAGAAACAGCATGTTATTGATGCCCTGGATTCTCTCCGTGGGGTTAGTAGAAATAGGGTGTCTGTTGTTCCTCAGAAAGAGATGATCGAGGCCATAACATATCATTCACAGAAGATTTGTGGAGAATGGGGAAGGATAAGAAAGGGGAAATACAAAAATGATCTTGTCAAGATAATTGAGTTTGATGAAGAGATGGTTAGAATCAGGGCTATTCCTAGAATTGATGGAGAGAAAAGGCTTTTTAACCCAGAGAATTTCAAAAGTGGAAGTGTGATAAAGTCCAGAGGATATTACATATATAAACGAGACACATATGTGGATGGATTCCTGGAAAAGGACGTGTTAAGGAGTAGCGTAGATTTTGATGTAGAACCAACTTTTGAGGAGCTTGAAGAGTTTCAGGAAGTCTGTCCTATATCTGTTGGTGACAAGGTTAGAGTGACTCGGGGTGAACTTATAGGAATAAAAGGGGTTGTTCGAAGCATCAATGGAAGTATTGCCGTAGTAGAAAGCAATGATGGGAAGTTTGAGGTCCAGAGCTCTGGACTCATGAAGCACTTTGATATAGGTGAATCTGTGTCTTATAAGGGGGAAAATGGAGTGGTTGTGAAGGCAGATAAGAGGGAATATGTAATTGCTATAAGGGACTTTACAGAAGAATTAAAGGTCAGCATTGATGATCTGAAGGGGCCTGTTGCAGCCAGTGCTAAGAATGAAAAAATCAGTGGATATGAACGAAAGAAAATTAGAAGAGATCCATTGATTAATAAAGAGGTCCAAATACAATCTGGAGAATATAAAGGCCATAGTGGTGTGGTCAAAGAAGTCGATAGGAATATGTGCAGGATCCAGTTGAACTCTAATATGAAGTTTGTAATTATGGAAAAGGATTTTATAACTGTCCCTTCAAGAGAGATTTCAAATAGACCTCCAAGATATACTGGGTTGACTGGATCCAGAACTCCAGGCTACAAAACACCTGGATATAAAACACCTGGGTATAAGACACCTGGTGCATATTCTCTTGAAGATACTGATATCGATTGGATTGCTGAAGAAAATAATCCATACAAAGGTGCGTTGATTCAAGTTCTTGGGAAGGAGTTGGTTCTTGAGGATTGTAAGAACAGCCTGTTTATAACAAAAGACAAGACTTTCTCTGCTGAGGAAGTTTCGTTTGTTCAACCCCAGAAAAATGATCTTGTCTGCGTACTCGGAGGTGAAAAAAAAGGGACCTGTGGAATTCTAATAGCAATCAATGGAGATTTCGGAGTTATAAGATCTACGAATGGGCCTGTTGTGCATCTTCCTTTAGATCAGCTTTCAAGAAAGATTTATTGAACGGTCCTTAGTGAGAACTCATAAGCATTCAAGATACAATTCCATGAGATGCATGACCTTATGGATACAATTATATGGTAATTATTCGGTACTTTCGTTATCACTTTCGCCCCATTTTTCATCCCAATCCTCATCAGATTCCTTTTCCTTGGGAATGTTTTCTGTTACTATTTCTTCATTGCAAAGAGTGTCAGTAAGATCAAAGCAATTATTCTCTGGCACTTCAGAAGGGGCCATTACTGTAGAAACAGAAATAGGTGCCAGAGAAGAAACTTTGCATAGATCTTTTGAAGATTCTACACAACTTTGGCTTGGAGCTTCTACATTTACATCCTCATCATCTTTTGCATAATTCTTGGAATTTGTTACGTTCACGGAATTCGTACTAGCATTTTCATCATTCCTAGTAGAACTTCCTATGTTTTTCTCGTATTTTGCTCTTCCTTCCCCTATTGTAATTCCCTTCTGAGCTCTGCAGCAACCGGGAGGATGTTCATTGAAAAGCTTCTTGGCCCAGCATGGAGTTCTTAGGATGTCGCGTCCCCATCTAGGATAAACATCCTTGAAATAATGAAACAAATGTCCTACAACTATTCCCAGCACATCATCTATAGATATTGATCTTTTTGATAACAGCATGAATCCAGGAAGAATAAATGGGAGGTAGAATGCAGGAAATGAAATAAATCCAAATATCTGTACGATTGCCCTGGGATTCCTTTTTGTCCAGATATATGTTATAGTTGAGGAAAACGATGTCCCGAGTGCTGATATTCCATAGATATTCGATATGACGAAAAGAGCAGATGATATGACAAAAATCAGCCAAAAATATTCGGAGGTGCTTACACAGCCCTCTTCGAGCATTCTAGAATAGCGGTATAGGAAGACCACATGCATGAACATGTCCAATGTCGGCCTTCCAAAGTAAAGAAATGACGTGAACACCCTCCATATTTCCAGCTTCTTAAGGAATAAAGGCGAGTAATACAAGCTATACGGGGATACAGCATCTATATATACAAGCAAGGCCACCGTTGATATAAGAAGGATCATGTATCTTGTAATTGGAGGAACCTTGAGAATTTGTCCGAGGAGAAATTCATTATTCATTTAGGGTACAAGACAATGCAAATTTATAAAAGTAAGACATCCAAATCAACAAATATAATTATGATTTTAATTACTCCTTAGATGTGCACCCTATCTCCTCCCGAGTCCTTCTAGAATTCATATACGGTTTATAGGCCCATTCAAACTCTCCATCCACCTCAAAGGTCCCCTTTCTTATCTCGTACACCCTAAGATCCATCCCAAGGCTTTTGTTCAGCACGGTTTTGTCTCCTTTCTCTATTAGGTAATGCCTAAATGCAATGGTATCATTTCTGTTCACTAGGCTAACTATTCTTTTGGCTCCACTACACTTAGGAAACAACAACGCTATTCTCTCTTTGACCTTTATTCCAACAGGACCTTCCATGTTGTCACATATAAAATATACCTTGGGTGAAAGAGGAAAAGTTCTTCTTGTCAGAAAATGGTCTATTATTGTGAATCTCATAGTAGGCCCAAACGGAAAATAAGATATAGCAAGCGATGCCGGCCTTCCTCTGTTTTCATGAACAATTACAACACATGTATATCCGTGCTTATGTGCTACATCACTTATCTCTTCCTCGCACAATTGTCCTCGGATAAAGTTCTCTCCATTCAGCACTAAGGACAACTGCTTTGAGAAATGTAACAGTTGAGAACTTGGGCTTCTAGACGTTGTAACCATTACTTTTGGATATCTATGTTCCTCTTCTATCTTTCCTTCATAAATCATTTCATTCAGCAATGTAGCTGCATCCTTCCTGATCCCATGCGGTATCTTTGTGTTTGTCTCCAGCGCCTCCCCTAATCTTTGCTTTTTTTCTTCCATTTCCTTGTCGAGTCTTTCTCTTTCCTTTCGCAACAAGTATTCCTTTCTCTCTCTCTTTCTTCTATTCATCGAATATGGGCTCCCAAGGAGAAGAAATCTACAACTCAGGATCCTAAGAAAATCTAACAAGAATGTATGCAACAATGCTTTATTAACGGTATATCTAGCTGGTATCAATCTTCTTAATCTCATGATGGTGGATGGATTCCGTACCTCCAAACATAGATCCAACAAATACCCTGGCAAGACCTCGTATCCCAAATTTGTATATATCTTTTCTATAGAACTTAACCATCTCTTTCAGATGGAGCTGTAATATCTTCAAAGTGACATTATCCTCGGAAAGAATGGAATTGTAATGATTGTCGTAGAAACGCATTAATACATCGAGAACCTTTGACAATTCCTCTTTATCATCCATCTTTAGTGCTTTGGAGTGTCTCCATATAAGCTTTAGAAGGATCTCCTCTTTGGAAGAAATCAACATTTCCAAATATACCTCCAAAATGAGGCTGGCTTTGGAGTTTAAGCATAAATTGATTAGAATCTCACCTATAAGTGAAGTGTCTTGCACTAAAGTTTCTGCAGAAGATATCTTACCGCTGTTTACTTTGTCATTCTGCTTCTTCATTATCTTTATGAGATCCATATTTGCACTGAGCAAGGTTTCCTTTCTCAGCTGACCGCAGAAAAGCTCACTTTGGCTGAGTTTGAAAAAAACTTGGAGAATCAATTCGGAGAACGACGGATTATAGAGTACGTCAAAAAGTTGAATCGAAATTGAACTGACAATCGAGTTTGAGAAAGACAAAAGAGACTCAATCTCCGAGTCTATAATATTTACAAGTCTTTTGAAAGCAACCTCACTAACCCCGGGATTTGAGTCAATAAGATGGTCTAGAATAAGCTCCAGCCCACTTATCTCTTTTTTTTGCCTTTCGGGGAGTACCACTTCTTTTCTAATCTTCTTTGAATTTGGTGTAAAGACCCCGGAGACAGAATGTATACTTAATGCATCAAAAGAAGCCTCAATATCTGCATCTCCATTTACAAAGGAATCGTTGTGAACAAAAGATGCTTCCATATCCTCTCTATCTACAGACCCTCCTACATCTTCTGTTTTCTTCGATGCATATACATCAAGTCTCTCTCTAGAGTCCTTTTCTATTTTAGCGCTCTCACATTCATCCTCTGTTATAGACATAAAGCTTCCTTCAAGTTCATCTACAAAGCTTAAGAAGTCTGGGCATCCCTTTATCACTTCTTCAACTTCCACTTTCCCTCCTTTCTTGATTCCCTCAATAAACTGCTTCTTGTCTCCCCTAAACATTTTGTACTTCTTCACTAGTTTTAGTATTTCGTCATTAGATTTTTTACTGCCTATCCTTTGGTAAACTAAGAATAACTTTGTTACAGGATAGACCCTATCCATCATCCCCAATTCTTCAACCATATCATTAGATAGAAGATACTCCACAAGTTTTCTGCATTCAAACTCCTTCAGGATATACTTGTTTGAAATAAATGATAAGAGCGTGGAGTTAATAAATGCTTCAGAAGCATTTGATTGAATCAAAAAGTCTATAAGGAAGTCGCTGACAATGGTTTTGTCTATACTGTCGAATAAATCATAAACTTGATGGAATGGCCCATTATCCATCATTTGGATAAATTGAGGAGTAAAGACCTCCTCTCGAGACATGTTTCCTTTAACTCTCTGTCTGCTAACATTATTAAGAAGGATATCGATATTTGTATGAGAGTGCTTTCTCTTGCTTCCAATATCATCTTCCTTGGCCCGCTGTTCTACATCCTTAGAACAATCTTTCTGAAATGCTGGAGGAATGGCCTTCTTCTCTTTTGAGTCTTTTCTTTCTTTGATATCAATATCATCTGGCTTTGTTTTCCTCCCAGGTATGGCCTTTTCTTGTAAACTTGAAGGTGTGGTAGGAGCCACTTCTTTTTTACAGATTTTCCCTACTACCTTGTTAATCCTTGTAAGAGCATTCTGGCTAACAACGCCGTCAAACACATTTCCATGTCTCTTGTAAATTTCAGTGGCCACGTCTATTGCTTTATTTCTGACATCTCCTACAGGATCGAGGATGCAATTTCCTATCATTTTAATGAACTCTTTGTCATTTTGCAAATCTCTTAACGAGTAATCCAATAGATTTAGTCTTACCTGGGGATTCTTATGTCCCAAAAAATCGGCATTGCTTCCACTTATCTTAACTCCAAGAGAAAAAAGGACCTCCTTTATCTTCTCGGAGGTAGTACCTCTCTTCTCCTTGAGCCTCTCGATAAGGCCTTTTACAATCTCCATACTCTTAGGCCTTAATTCATCTATAACCTCAAGAGTCACATAGAACACCTGATTATTAACATCACCTATTCTCCTACATAAAAGAACGTTCAATTCATTGTTGTATTCAAGGGTTCTGGCAACCCTTTTGATATTGCGCATAGCCTCTAATCGGATCTTCCAATTATCGTCCGAAGCACCTCTAAGGAAATCTTCTGGAAGACATTCAAGTTCCTTCTTGCTCTCTTCTTCAACAACCGGACTGCATTTTTCGAACTCCTCCATCAATTCCTTCTGTTGTATAGGCTTCAGCCCATTCAAATATGGCAGAACAGATTCTCCATTTCTCTTGTAAAGTTCTATACACAGCCTGAACCCCTCGCCCCTAACATTTTTGTCAGTATGACTCATTATCTCTTCTATTCTGCCTCCTATAGCCTTCAGATCGCATCCTCTCTTTTTGACAATCCCGCAAATAGCTGACAATGCTCCAGCCACATTTTTAGGCGATTTAGATCCCAGAAGTTCACTCAAAACTTCTAAAACTTCTTCAGTATCCTCCAACCTCTCGATCAATGCATCAATCCTTGTTCTGATGCTTGTCTTTTGATTCCCAATATTCCCAAATATCTTTTTGACATCGTTAGCTCTGAGCCCATTCACATTTAAAAGTGCATCTATGGCCGCCTCCAGCGCAGGAATATTGCCTTCGCTTTGAAGCTTCTCGACTACTTCAGGATCGGGCATCCTTCCTTCACTCCACAGAGACCCAAGTATACTATATGCCTCCTGCCTATCTTTCCAGTTCTTTGAGTTTAGTCTTTCTATAAGTTCTGCATCTAACCCTGTCTCCGCTTCCATGCCCTTCCCAGGTAATTTTTATTTATTGCCGAAGGACTTTGAAGACACATACCAATTATCATACATTTACAAACTCACGTGTATTCATAATTTATTTCATACTCACACTTCTTCATCAGGACAGATGTATTCGATGATGTCACCCCAATTGCAGTCGACATCCATTACCTTTGATTTTGACATGAATTTGAGTCCTCCATCTGTGTTTGGGACTATTAAACATCCATATACTATCGGAGCATCCTCTGTTATATAGCGCTCGTCGTTTTCAAACGTGTCCTTCAGAAAGTTTCTGATCCCATGCTTAGCATTATTTAAGAAGGACAAACGCCCTCCCTTACTATTTATGTGTTCGATGAATACATCATAACTATACTCTTTCATCTCTTTGGAAACAATATTAAAAATCTTGACAACTTCGTCTTGAGAGATGATTATGATTGCGTTTGTCTTCAAATCCTCAAACCCCTTCCACATTCCCTTGCATAGGCTTCTATTTGGAATCTTAATTTTCATCCTGTCTCCATAGATGTCTTTTTCTATGTCCCTCTTGTTCATTAGGATGATGTTTTTCGTGTCTTCAGAGACCGCCCCGAAGAAGTTATAATCCTTTGAAAGGTGTGTAATCACTCCCCCAAGCCCAACGATCATTATAATTAACATTCCATTTACTATACTTGCTTTGATCTTTTTCTGCATATTTCCTGCCTATGGGCTGCAGTTTTCAAACTTCTAAGCTACCCTCAAGCTAGAATTAACCAATAACTATAAAGGAGTGCAAAGGATATCTACTAAGAACTCTTGCCAAATGAATATTTGAATCATGTATTTGATTAAATTTGTGACTCGAAATAATAAAGAACACACTTTACCCTTTGCGATGGATTTACTTTCAAAATTAAACAAGAAATACCTGATGGTGCCAAAAATTTTGTACGTCGCCATCAGCATGCAATATTATACGTTGCACAAATTCAGATCTCTGTTTGCTAAGGAAATGTTCGGAATAGGGGAAAAGGAGCTGAGTGGTGTAGGAGTTCTTCTATTTATAACCTTCTTTACCAACATATTTATTGCAACACTGAACGACAGGCTCGGAAGGCCGAGGATCCTCATGGTGTACCTTCTGTCGCTATCCTGTATTTTCTTCCAATTATTTTATGTAAAAAAATACGTAAAGAGTATTTATCTTATGTTCTGGATAAATTTGTTTGGATACCTGGGAACAAATACACCGATCATGGCCTTGCTGGATAAGATCATCCTGGATTATCTAGCTGAGTCTCCAGACGTGGGTGTCAGGGCTTATGGGAAGCAAAGAATCTGGGGGACCATAGGGTACTTGCTCAGTATATTTATTATTGAAAGAATTATAAGAGGAGGGATGGGCACAAATGCAATAGATTTTACAAATCTTAAGTACTACTCTCTTGCCATAACTATCATCTGTGTATGCCTGGTAATGGCTTTCTTGAAAGATTCGGGTAGTGAATGTAAAGATCTTAGTCTTAATACAGCGTCTGAATGGAAAGAACTAATGAGAAACAGAGAATACCTCTTCTTCATATTTATAATTCTTCTAAATGGATTTACACGTTCTGCAATGACCATTTATCTTCCGATTTACACCAATTATGTACTTAATGTGAAGCCATATGCATTGCCTACATCGTGGCCTACATGGATAAGAAATGGACTACGCATCCTCAATGACTCCCCATTTTCTACCATCACTGTATTCGAGATTTCGTTAGAAATGGGAATACTGTTTTATTTTGATGCAATTTCTAGGAAGATAGGCCTGCTTTTGCCACTACTTCTGGCTCAGGTGTCGCAGGTAATCAGGTTTTCATTATACCTTGTTCTTCCTCACACAAATCCTCATGTATTTGCCTTTTGCTGTCTATTTGAGGTTCTTAAAGGAATAAACTTTGGACTCTCGCATGGATCAGGTGTGCAGCTGGCCGAGAAAATGTGCCCTCCTCATCTGAAAACGACATCCCAAATGATATATAATGGAACGTTCATGGCCGTTGGCTCGGTAACAGCAAGCCTTTACTTCCGCTATGTGTTCAGAAATAATGGGACTTCCATTCCAGAAGAAGCCTTAGGGAGAAAGGTGGAATCGTTCAAGATGTTTTTTATATCCAACATCCTTGTCTCCAGCATTGCTATCTTTCTATTCCTCATTAAGTATGGAGTTGGGGATGGAAAGCTATTCAATACCCTTTCTTCTCTCAAGAAAATTAATCAGAAAGATGTAAAAAAGAGTAAGTTATTCACTGAAAATACCAAAGAACCTATAATCAAGGATTAAACTTCATGGAAGCATAAAAGATTCCTATCTAGAAGCTTTTACAGTCATCCATTCTTGGCGACTGAATAGGTATCAAATTAATTTGATGTAAGGACACTTGACTCTAAATGTAAAATTGATATGTACCTTAAATATATTAAATTTAATTTATTAGAAACCTATAAATAAAAATCCATGTTTGGTGAGTGATGGAATCTATAAAAAAGATAAACAGGAAGTTTCTAATTACACCAAAAATTTTGTACTTTTTTGTGAATCTCCAGTATTATACTCTTCATCAGTTCAGAGGTGTTTTTGCCAAGAAGAAGTTCGGTGCTACAGATGGAGATCTGGCGAAATACATGGGACCTATGCTTGGAACAATATTCTTCACGAATATCTTTATCGGTACAATGAACGACAAGTTCGGGAGGTCTCATCTATTTATAGTTGGAGCCCTTCTTCTTACATGTGCTCTTCTTCAGCTGTTCTATGTAGAGCCTTATGTAGGGATATTCCCAGGAATGTTTTGGATAAACCTTCTTCTCTACATGGCCTTTAACAATGGTATTCCTCCATTACTTGATAAGGCTGTATTGGACTATTTGAATGGAATTCCTGAGGCGGGGGCCAGAGCATATGGGAAGCAGAAGTTGTGGGGAACAGCCGGGTACGGTTTGTCCTGTAAAGTGATAGAAAAATGCATCAAGTTTGGAGATGAATTCAAGTTTGGGAACCTGAGGTATTATTCTTTGGTGACAACTGCTCTATCTTCAATATTGGTGTTTTCATTACTCAAATCTCCAGCAACTGAAGGGAGAACCGCTAGAAGAGATATAATGGCAAACTGCAAAGAGTTAATGAGAAATGGATCTTACTTGTTCTTTATACTTATGATTCTTTTGAATGGAATAACAAGGCAGGCTTTGTCCATATATCACACGGTGTACCTAACAGATGTACTACAGATTAAGGGATATGATCTCCCATCTTCGTGGCCCTATTGGCTCCAATACTTGGTTGAATTCTTTAATGAATCTCCCGTAGCTACCACAACCTTTTGTGGGATGGTCTTCGAGGTTGTAATGCTCTATAACTTCCCAGCAATAAGCAAAAGAATTGGACTGGTCTGGCCATTTTTCATTGCTCAGCTGTTTCAGATATTCAGGGTTGGATGCTACTTCCTGCTGGACTACAATGATCCGAATGTGTTCCTGTATTGCTGCCTTATTGAACTCACAAGAGGAATGTATTTTGGGCTACTTCAGCCATCTGCAGTCCAACTAGCTATGAATTTGTGCCCTCCACATCTCAAGTCTACTTCTCAAATGATCTACCATGGGACCTTCACAGCCCTTGGATCCCTTGCTACCACTCTTGTATTTGGGAATCTTTTCTCTGAAGATAAGATGAAAGGAAAGGACATCCCCATTGAAGATAGAGCTGCAAACTACAAGATGTTCTTCTTTGTAAATATCTGCTTTGCTTCGGTCACTACTGGGCTATTTGTCTACAAATACTTCATCCTGGACAGGATATCAAGGCATGGAACAGACCAAGAAAAGAAGGCAATAATAGAGTCTCAGGAAGAGGCAATAACAAATAAATAGGGCTTTCTTGTATATCCCATAGTTCTCTATCTATTTGTCCCTTAGAGGTTCTTCTATGTTGTTATTGGTATACCTTACCCCGAGGAATGGAGAAGAAGATAAACACAGAACTTTCAAGGACAGAGTTTTCTTCTCAAGAAGACCTCAGAAGGCATGCATCCTTTGTCCAAACAATGATAAGGGACTATGAAAAGAATCTTTACGAAAAAGGAGAATATGACGACTCATCCAAAAGTAGGGTTAAGGATTGGAGGGATAGGCTGTACAAGATTACTCAGGAGCATAAGGACACCTCTGAAGGTGCGGAAAACCTTGATGAGCTTGAAAACACAGTGAAGCTTGTCCATAGACAAATAGGAAAGGCCGATACCAACCAGCAGATATTGGGCAAAAGTACTCTAAAACTTATGGGATTAAATTATACGAGCAATGACATCGAAAAGGTTCTAGTGGACACTAGGAGAAAGATTAAAGAGAGCCAAAGGCAAGAGAGAACCGAGGGGTTCCTGGTTTTGGCAGCCCTTTTGGTATTCATGCTGGTCTGTATCTTGATACTGTTTGACAAATTTGTTTCAAGCGGCTGAGGCTTTGTTTCATTCATAGTATTTAAATTTAAGAAGGTGGAGAGATTAATGATGGGCTTCATAATAAACTTACTGACTCTAGTTGTCTCTACAATGACACTTGGAGTATCTTTGATGAATAACCAGAATAAGCCTATTGATATTCCCCATATAAAGGGCATGGGAGGTAGCGATGTGGCCGTGCCATCAGAGAGTGGATCCGACTCCAATAATATGGGGGATGGCGTAGATCAATCTGGAAGTAGCCTGGTGTCTAGAAGCGGGCTAAATCCTTTTAAAATATCTGCCAACCACTTCTTAAAGGGGAGGCACTCAGACTTACTGCCTATGAAAGGACCTATGTCTGGATTGAAGAACAGGAATTAAAATATTCTTTAATAATAATTGTGACCTTGTTCTCAGATGTGAAACTGCTTTAAATCCCATGTTTCAATAGTATTTAAAATGTTGATGAGATACAACAAAAATGCTGTTTAATTTATTTCTGGTGTTTGGCTCGGTCATCGCAATTGCAGAATATTACAATCACAGCATTATCCCATACATAGACAGGACCGGTAATGGAGATGCTTACTCGGACTATAATGCCGAATCCTCAATGATATCCATAACCGAATCTAGTGCACTTGAAGGAAGAACAGGCAACTTTACAGCAGAAGCCATTGGCGATGGGAAGAGTGAAAGGCTCGATCTTTCTAGTCTAGCTTCAAGCAAGGCTGATTCTCCTGCAGGAGCTATCAAATCATTAAGGATAGGAAAATTTAAAATCAATCCCGAAAACATCAGCGATTTAATTCATCGTGAGATGGCTGACATGAGCCCTGATCTTCATAACAAGATTGTAAACACTCTAGAACGCAACAGCGTTGACCGAAGGAGATACAGAGATCTTTTTCTTATAAAGAAAAGGGTCATTGATGATGGGAGAAGGAAGATAATCAATTTCAACATCAAAGAAAAGATTATCCCAAAGGAGGCTGAAGAAGATCTTCCTATCACCAGAGACTTTGGAACAAGGGCATTACTTGGAGGAATAATGTTCCTATTAGCAGGGCTAGTATTTACAACAACCTTGAAAATGTATCAGAGTCTTATAAGAAAGAACTACTTCAGTTTCGACGAAAAGGGGGAAATGTTTACAGAGACCAAGCAGCCTTCTTAGAAGAGCATTTCAAGGTCCAAAAAGAGACTAATAAAAACAAATTATGTCATATTTTATTCATCGATACTTGCAACATCAGATTCTTCATGATCGTCTTCCCCACCTGAAGGCGTACTTTTGATATCTTCGTTCTTGTCTTCATCTTTCTTTTCCTTTTCCTTACTCTTCTCTTCAGCTTCCTTTCTTTTCTCTTCAACCTCGATCTTGGCCTTTTCCAGGTATTTCTGAATGTCACACTTGATCTCTGTTATGAAGTTTTCGTCAAATGACTCTACATTGAATAAATTCAGATCAAAGGTCTTAATACACTCGTCTAATTTGTAAAGAAGCCCCTGGAGCTTGTAGATGCTGGGAGTAAAGACCTTAGAATGCTCCTTCCTAAACTCGTTGATCATGTCCTTATGTTTCTCAAGATCCTCAATAACACCATTCTTGTAATCGTTAAGCTTCTTAGATACAAACTCTAGCTTGGATAGAACGCTATGCTTAACTTCTTCTTCTTGCCCTACCGTCTCAGATTGGGGTGTGTCAAACAGGTCCATGGCTATTTCCTTAACAGCACTTAATTCATCCTCGGTTATTATCTTACTAAACTTGTTATATAAAGCATCTCCAAGCCCAACTGCCATGGTTTCTAGCTCATTCCTCATCCCTCCAATTCTTTCAAGCCCCAGCTCTTCATTTCTGTATTTTATCTCTAATGCCTTAATATAATCCATATCAATCTCAGATATTCTAAAAGGCTTATACTTGTAGTCTATGGAGTCCTCACATTCTACAGAGGTCACACAGACTGTCCCAAACTTTCCTATGGAGAAAGACACGTGAATCGGCTTTGCCTCATCAGTTTCTACTTTCTCGATCTCTAGAGTCGAAATAACCTCTCCATCCTCCAGAATCTCTATCACAAAGCTCCCTTTTCTGTTATACGTGACTATCTTCGGGATTCCCTCAACAAGTTCAGTAGGATTGAATATTACTGTTGGATTAACTTCTTCTCCCTGGATTTGTATAGAAATCTCCCTTCCAATAATATCATGGAGTAAATATCTAGCCCTCAAAGATCTACATGCCATTCCGAGCGCTGATCCAATAGCTGCTGAATCGGAAACATCTAGCGTTGCTTGATACTCAATCTTTTCATTCAACATCTCTTTAATCAGAAATGAGATAGAATTTCCCCCGACAACCTCAATTACCCCGCTAAACTTTGTTTCTTCCATAACAGAATCTACAAACGAATTAAGCTCATTTATATATACCTCAACCGCCTTTTTGTACTCATCTTGTGTAACCGAAATCTCTAAAGGATTCTCAGTAATAAACAACTGGATATTGCAGTTTCTTGTTGAGTTCAGGGTTGTTTTGATCTTATCAAGGTTCCTTTTAATTCTTTCCCGAATTAGCTTACTTCTTTCCAAAGAATGCTTTTCAACAATAATATCAATCAGCTTCTCATCAAACTGCATAGATCCTACCTTCACAGCTTTCATATACAAAGGCTTGAATACATTCTTCTCAAAACTAAAAAGCCCTGCAGTCGATTTAGAGAATCCAAAGTCAAACAAGAGAAACTCATTAGGCATACTCTCCCTTCTAACACATCCAAACATCCCCATTGCAGATATATCTGTAATCAATCCTTCAAGTTTGAGGTCAATGGCACTTGCAATATCTATCAGTATTCTTCTTTCTTTCTCTTTGAAATAGACAGGAACGGTCATACACATTGGAGGATGTGTAGGCGTGTTCCTTTTCACAACTCTGTCAATATACTTCATAAACATTGCAAGATCTCCCCACCCTTTCTTGTCCGAAAGAAAATCCCTAAAGCTTCTACTCCTTACCTCAAGAGTACCCTCTGTGTCATTAGTCACCCCATTTCCAAACCTACGGATAGGAGTACTAAGCTCCATAATAGTCTTTATCGATCTCTTCCCTTGCTCATCACCATACACTTTTCCATTGTCTTTGGAGGATGCAACCACCGTCTTGTAATTCCCAATATCAATTCCGACAAACTCCATGAGGGCGAGAACTAAGGTCTGTTTTATCCTTTGAAAGTTCTAGAAAAATCGGTTAAAAAGAGGAATTCCGCATCTACATCTAACCTTATCTCCACGAAATATTCTTAGCATAAAAGCATAGAACAGATTTATTCAATATCTCTCAAGAATCTCAAGTTTTTCTTCAATAGTAGTGATAAGATTATAATTTTCATTAACCAGGCACATGACTTCATCTTCTTCATCTTTGAGAGTTTCGATGGTCTTGTTGTATTTATCGCATACTCTTTCAAACTCTTTGATGCACATTAGAAGCTCATCCTCAGATCCTTCAGGAACCTCTTCCTGGAAGTTGCAGAGCCATTTTTCAAAAAACTCTACATTCTCCTCTGTTTCTGCAATCACACGCTCTTCTTCTTCAATTCTGTTTCTTATTAGCTTGTAATTATTCAAAGACCTGATTATCCTCTCATCCTGTTCAAAAACCTCTTTTGCTTTCTCCTTAAAGACTCTTATATTCTCTTCAAGCTTTCTTGTTTGCTGCTGTATAATTTCTCCAAGCGTCATTTGCATAAAGCTCACTCCTTTTTCCCCCACTCCCTGATTGAAGACAGAAGCAGATCCTCTGGCCTTCCTGACGGAAGAGTCTGCATCCCTTGCTTCTGTTCCTTGAGATAACGGTTCAGAACCTAAAGGTGCTACTGGTGAAGGAAGTGCGCTGCTAGCCCCAGGCTGGGATTCTTGTGCTGGAGTAAACTGAAATGGTATGTTTTGCTGTGTACCAAGAGTGGATGCTGCAGTATGTACTGAAGTAGAAAATGGGCCTGAGGCTTGTGGATTGCTTGGAATGGCTTGCTGCATTTGAGGACCTAAATTCTGTCTCTCTCCTGAAGATTGCGAGGCTCCAAACCCATTTCCCGAGGCCATTCTTGAGGATTCCACATTTCCTTGATCTTGAGTAGACCGTATCCCAGTAGAAAGTGGATCTTGTATAGAACTGGCAAATGGGTTGACTGGTTGACTAGTTCCCCCTGCCTGTGTTCCAAAAGCATTTCCTGTTTGTGGCTGAAATTGTGTTCCAAATGTATTATTCAGTTGCTGTGTTCCAAAGACACCGGATGATGGAGCAGTTGGTTGGGGTTTAAAAGGACTTTCCGATGGCTGAAGTGTACTCTGCCCTCCAAATATTGAGGAGCTTCCATTAGGTTGAAGGTTTGAGGACTTCCCAAATAAGGAGGTTGACGGTTGAGGTTGCTGAACATTAAATCCGGTACTTGGATTCTGCTTATTCAGAAATCCTTGTGCGGAAAAGCCCTGCCCACTTCCACCGAATCCTGCTGGCGGCGCAGAATTAAACATCCCTCCTGTAGGTTGAGTTCCAAATGCTCCTGTCTGCTGGGATTGGCCCCCAAATATATTTGGCTTGTTCACCTGATTTCCAAATGTATTCTGCTGAGACCCAAAAGGTGTATTCAAAAATGGGTTTTTCTGATTATTATCATCTTTGTTCTGCTGATTGAAAAAATTAGAGTTCATACCAAGGGGTTGGCACGCTCTTAATAAATAATGTAAACGTATTCTAGTTGATAAAAAGATGAGATCACTTCAGGACTATCCAGCTTTTTTGAGAGATTCAAAAAGTATCCTGAATACTCAGGATTGCACCATCAAAAGTCTTTCCTTGATTCAAGAAAGGAAATGAAAACACTCAGCACTGCCTTTTCATCCTCATCGACTGTAGAAAGAAGCCTGCTTAACAACTCGTCGAGATTAGAGGAATATTCTCTAAAAAGCCCTCTAATTATACTAAGTAGATCAGGTGTTACTAAGCCTTCGGAGAAGTACCTTTCGACAGCGGGGTCTTTCATATGCGATATTCTTGAAGTAAACCAGGTACACTTCATCTCTTCAAGGTCATTCATCGACTTTCCAGACTTCTCTGGAAAAAAATTCAAATAATCATCCTGCATCTGGAAGATCAAAGCTCCAAGATTGCAAAAGTTCCAAAGACGTTTGGGCTCTTCTTTTCCAGCAGATACATATCCAAGGATTGCCGGGAGGTAGAAAGTATATGCCCCTGTTTTACTCTCTGCTATAGCTGTGTATGTTTTGACACTATACTCCGATCTTGTCTTTCTGATTGTATCATGCGTTTGCCCAAGACAGGTTTTGAATATTGAGCTTGAATAAGCATTCTTTGCTTTTTCATCTAGTAGGTTTCTTATAATTGCCAATAAAAAAAAAGCATCTTTAAGTGTTTTGGCTCCTCTCTTGAAGTAGTAGCATGGCTTTCCTCTTCTTAATTCCGAATTGTCCATTAGATCGTCAATTATCAGCAGCGCTGCTTGTAGTAACTCCACAGAATATCCCATGATAAGGTTTCTTTCATTTAGATCTCCACCCAACTCTTTCAGAACATGGATATATGCCTTATATCTTAACTCCTTACCCCCGTCTAGATTGTAGTCTAAGAGAAAGGAGACCTCCGATCTGTTGTAATCGCCAGACATCTCCATAATTTTATCTTTTACTGTTTCCTTTATCATTAGGGTCCATGGATGGATATGTTTGTTTGATTTATCCAAGCAGCTAGATATTTACTGATTTCTTACCCATATATTTGTTTATCCTGAAAACATTATGAATCCAACAAAACTATTAAGCACAGATAATCCTTTGGTGTACATTGGCTTTGTTGTTTCTCCAGTGATTGGATACATCCCACAGATACTTTCAAGAGACATTCTCCTGTCTCCACTTATTTCAACCTTCTTCATAATGTCGAACATACTCAAGGTATTCCACTACAGCTTCGAAAGATACTCTAGGTTTCTTTTGGCACAGTATGTCTTCGCAATCTTACTTCATATGTTTCTGATAACCATAAACAAGAGGCCGCTAAGTACTTATGAAGCAAGGATACTTGGGAACAGAACGACCAAACTACTCTACAGAAAGTATGGAGTCAAGGGAAGTGTTTTTGGAATAGTGTGTATTTTCGTTTTTTTCATAAATCTATATGGAGCTCTCTATGGAACTTATGAGCACTGTGGAAGGTTTTCATCGGCTCTTGAAATAACTGTTAATCTTCTACAATTGATGCTCGAGAGAGAGGAAAGGAATCCAGAGAATCAAAAAAGAGAGCCTAAGAGATCCCCTAAGGAGGTTTACTTCTGCTGGGTAGTCGGTGACATGATAAAGATATGGCTCATGTCAAGTATCGAAGCACCTATAATCTTCATTGGAACAATAGTGGTTCAAATCTTTATTGATATTTTCCTGATTTTTTCCTAAGAGAACTTTAGATCTAATGATTAAATAAATCAATTGTGTATAACTACTAGATATGGCCAGAAAACCATGGTACTGCCGATTTTCCTAGATGAAGTTGGATATTACTTAGAAGTCCTGATAAACAAAATTTGTACCACCCTTAGAAAGATGCCCAAGGACATGGTGCCAGAAGATTACCTGAATAAGGATTTTGACTACACCAAATTAACAAAGACACAGCTACGTAAAATTATGTATGAGAACGGAGTAGAGGCCATTCCCCCATTAACAGCCAAGAAGTCGGAGCTAATTGATGCATATAAGGAAAATATTTATAAACGTATTGATGTTCTAATGAGTAGAAGAAAGAATATCTCTATGGAAAATTCGTTCCAAAATGTGTCTCCAAAAAAGAAGTATGTTTTCGAGGAAGTTCCTGACATCCCGGTGACAAATAGTAAAGGTGAAGACCCATATAAAAAACCTTATTCAGAAGCATCCATGTCTGACATCGGGACACCCAGAAAGGACGTGAAAGAGATAAAAGAAAGCACCTCAAGAAACTTCTCTCCAAAAAGCTCTAGTTTTGTAGAAAAGGCCCCTTCTAATCAAGAAAAAAGAAACAGCTTTGTGGAAGATGAGGCACCAGGTGGCTCGAGCCTTGTTGCAGGCATGTCCGCAGCCAACAATTCAACTATTGGTTTCTCTGGTTCCTCTTTTTCATCATCCTTTATTCACTCATCTTCTTCCGGACGTTCATCTATTTCTAGAAGAAATGAGAAGCAGGGAAGTAGCTCAGATGTGAGGAAAAGGGCGTTCACCTCTGATCCAACCCTCGACAAACCTGAATTACAGTCCGAACACTCTTCTCCTAGATCATCGAGCAATTTCACGGAAATTAATGCCACCAGGTTCAGGTCTCGAAGTAAAAAAAATAAGTGGTTTCTGGTTCTTTCGATCATTGGATTTGCTGTTGCAGGGTATTTCAGATTCATGTGCCCATACTGCTTGGATGGTAGACGTTTTTGCATCCCCTTGCCAGAGCACTCTAAGATTAACAATGGAAGACTGGCATGTGATAAAGGATTTATAATCAAGCATGGGATTTTAAGGGATTATTGTATAGAAGACAATAGACATGAGAAAGAGATGTCAAAAAAGATAAAGGAATTGAAAAAAATACTGGAAAGAAGAAGCGGAGACTATATGTACGGAATGATCCCTACAAAATCAGTCCCGGTAAAGCTTTTATCCAGTGACCCTGAAATAATAGAAAGACTAAAGAAGGAGGTTGGTATCGTCATCTCTAATGAAATGATATATTCTGTAAATGCAAGGGTATCGATGAAAACGTTTTTTAGGTATTATTTTAGAAGGATGATCATGATATCTACACCATTAGCAATTATAATTATCATGATTAAAATAATCGGGATGTTCAGGAAAAAGAAAAAGGAAAGGCTTCAAGCTGCACAGAAGATAGTCAAAGACATTGCAGATGTTTTGGTGAGACAAATATACGTATCTACAAGAAATGCCAATTTTCCTAGTCATGTGTACATAGAGCAGCTTAAAGATTGCTTTGGAGTTGATAGAAAGGTTTGGAGGGAAGCAGAAAAAATGATCCGAAGAAACTCTAACATAAGAGAGTCTTGTATAGAAGGCAAGAGTGCCTGGGAATGGGTTGGACCTATTCTTTACAAACCTGAGTTTAATGGGAGTCTATTTTAATGTAATTATAGGGTATTTGCGGTCGGAATATTCACAAGCTATTATGAAGGGTGCGCAAATGGCATACAATCTCAGGGATTCTTTGTAGAATCACATCTAACTTAGGGTTTATTGTATCGATGTTTGGATCCTATGCCTCTCAACCGCTAGTGCGCAAGTCATTGGATTATCCACAGACGAATCCATCCCGTTCTTCAGAGGAGAGAATTCTTTTTCTCTAGGAACATTTATCACCCCGTTCTTATGAGTATATTCAAAGCTATCGAATATAAAAGTTTCCTTCTTGAATCCATTAGGCTTGAGTGGTTTTATAAGCTTTCCATCTATTGTGTATGCAATCTTCTTGAATGCCTTATGTTCTGGAAGATCCACGTTCCTCATCTTCTTAATGAACGATGTTCCGAACATGTGATTGCAAATATTTCCCTGGATACCTTCTCCATTTGCATCATTTTCACCGTACTCTTTGATTCTAAGCTTCCCATCCATGAGAAAGGCTCCAACACTTTCTTTTTCTCCTTTGGTCACAGATTTGCTTAAGATATCGTAGTTCCCACTGAAGAATGCTCCGACAAACACAGGATCAAGGATCTTTGCAAGAACATTGTCAATGGAAATGACATTCAAAGCTTCTATCCCTTCAAGGTTCACTTGCTGTATGGCCTTGAATATATCTCCATTCCCATAGGGGGACTCAGCATATCCTCCATAGTATTCCAGGGGCTTTCCATCGGTTCCCACACACAAGGAGTTCCTCTGCTTGAAGAAATGTATTTTTACGCCAAAATCCTTTCCCTGGAAGTAATTTCTGACAGCCTCATCTGTGAACGAGGATGTCATGATAAACACAGTTATGTTTGCATTATACTTATCTATAATCTCCCTTATTGTTTCCATATGCCATTCAAATAATGTTTTCCCCTTGATCTTAAATAAACCCTTTGGAGCATCAGATCCAAGTCTGGTCCCTTGTCCCCCACTCAGTATAACAACCCCAAGGCTCTTTTTCCTAAGAGCCTCTTCTCCGACCTTTTTATATCTTCGGCCCAAATCATTAAGCTCACTGCCTTCGTAGGGCTTGATGAGATTGTTGCTATTCATATTAATATATCCCATGATCAAGCACTCAGTGTTTTTCTTGATTATATATTTTTTCTGTATTAAAACGGACCAATCGTATCTTAGTATTCTTTAACATCATTGGCTTCTCAACTATCATATTTAAATTATCATGATTATAAAACGCTTATCAACTAGCATATCCCCAATCCTCTTAAGGTGTATTTCATAATTCATAACCGGAATAATGTCTTTTAACATATTTAATGCTATGAAGTCCAATTGATCTTACTTAAATCTATTCCCTCTTTAACCATCTCGTAGAGAGGCGACATTTCCCTTAACTTCCTAACCGCTTCAATAGTCCTGCTTGCTACCACATCAACTTCTTGGGGCAATGTGAATCTTCCAATTCCAAATCTTATTGAAGAATGAGCTACCTCATCATCTCTGCCCAATGCTCTTAGCACATAAGATGGCTCCAGTGAAGCAGAGGTACAAGCGCTTCCGCTACTCAAGGCTATATCTTTAAGATACATAAGAAGGCTTTCTCCTTCAACAAATGGAAATGATACGTTCACACATCCTGGGTTTCCATCCTCAGATCCATTGATGATCACTCCTTCAATATTCTTTTTAAATATACTCTTTAACTTATCTGAAAGCTTTTTGATGTATTCAAAGTCTCTTTTCATCTCCTTCGAGCATATTTCTGCTGCTTTCCCAAACCCTACAGCTAGAGGAGATGCAACTGTTCCGCTCCGGAGTCCTCTTTCCTGGCCTCCTCCATTAATTAGCGGAATCATCCTAACCCTAGGCCTTCGTCTAACATACAAGGCACCTATTCCTTTTGGGCCATATATTTTATGAGCACACATACTTAAAAGATCTATATTCATTTCATTAACATCGATTTTCATCTTTCCCGCCCCTTGTGCTGCATCGGTATGGAAGAGAACCCCTTTTTCTTTGCATAGCTTTCCTATCTCTCCCAATGGCTGGATTGTCCCTATTTCACTATTCACAGCACTTACAGACACCAAAACAGTATTCTCTTTTATATTTCTTCTGATGTCTTCAATATCAACCACTCCATCCTTCCCAACCGGAAGATATGTAACCTCTATTCCATTCTCTTCCAGATTCCTACATGTATCAAGAACACATTTATGCTCTGTTTGCAATGTTATTATATGAACGGGCTTTCCTTCTTTCAGCTTAAATCCAGAAACGCCTTTAAGCGCTAGGTTGTTACTCTCGGTTGCCCCGCTGGTGAATATTATTTCATTTGGATCACATCCAATTAGAGAGGCAACTTGAGATCTGGCCTTTTCGACCCCAGCCTCTGCTTGCCATCCATATCTATGTGTTCTTGAATGTGGATTTCCAAATACTGTCGTGTAAAACGGAAGCATAGCATCGAGAACTCTTGGATCAACAGGTGTGGTTGATTGGACATCGAAAAATATCCCTTTTTGGGCCGAGTTTCTGGACAATGGGTGATGTGGAAGTGTAGGACTGGGCAAGGTGGGTTTTTCTACATAGTTTTTCAAGCCTCCTATCATCCTGACCAGGGTGTGAGGAAGAAATGTTTTATTTCAAAATAACTGGCTTTATAGACACAAGATTCATAAAAGAAGTTTCTGCTGATGTCTACTCTTAGCACTCATTCTGTTCGAAATGGCTTTAGGAAGAGTAAATTTTGAACCCATCAAAATGGCCAGGTCCTATATGTTTGATAGTAAAACAACAGAGAATAGAAGAAAGATGAGAGAGGAGCAGCAAGTCGAACTCAGACAACAAAAGAAGGAAGAGCTTCTGAGCAAGAAGAGAAATCTTTCTGTTTCTGCATCTGCCATTTCAAACTTCATTCCAATGAAAGAAAAGTTATTTAGCAATGATTTGGAGCAAGCCCACCAAGGTGTTTATGAGTTTAGATCACTCCTAAGTGTCGAGGACTCTCCTCCAATCCAGCCAGTCATAGATTCTGGATGTGTGCCTAGATTTATAGAGCTTATGGACATATCATTTTTGACATCGTCCGAAATGATGATGGGTGGAATTCCTGTGTCAGGGATACAGCAGGACATGCCTGAATTTAGTGTTGCCATGGATATAATAAATAAGATTAGGGTAGAGGCTGCATGGGTCATAACAAATATCTCATCAGGAACCACGCAGCAAACAAAGGTAGTCATTGATTGTGGGGCAGTTCCCCTCTTGATCCAGATGCTGCTGGACACAAATGATGCAGTTCTGGATCAAAGCGTATGGGCCCTAGGAAACATAGCTGGAGATTCTGAGGGGATGAGAGACATAATACTTGAAACAGGTGCTCTTGATACTGTTCTTGGACTACTCTTAAAGCTTCACGGGAGTGCAATCCACATAAAAATCGTTAGAAATCTCACTTGGCTTCTTTCAAATCTCAATAGAGGAAGAAATCCTCCACCAAATGAGCAGAATATGAGAAAATCCTTGGATGTTCTTTTCAAGCTGATTAATATAAGAGACCCGGAAATAGTTAGTGATGCATACTGGGCGCTTAGTTACATTGTGGATGTTAGCATCCAATGCAGTGATGTTGTGCTTAGTAGTGGAACAATGAGCAGGACATACTCTCTTCTAGAGGCTCTTACCAATAGGCTTGTTGGAATATCTTATTCTGCAGAGGATGCAAAAATATGCTTGTGCGCAATATCTCCAATAATAAGGATGATAGGAAACATAGCCACTGGGTCTGATGACCAAACAAGTGCTTTGATTCGAATGGGGTTCATGAAATTCTTTAGGCCTGTATTTTATAGACTGGAAAATAAAAAGCAGCCAAGACTTCGAAAAGAAATATGCTGGACACTGTCAAACATCACTGCAGGCACGGCTGACCACGCAAAAGCTGTTGTAGATATGGATCTTGTCCCTCTGCTTATTGATTCAATGTCATCATATGAACTATTCATAAGGAAGGAGGCGTGCTGGGCCGTGCTAAATCTAATGTATCATTGTAATAATCTTCCCACCAACTCTGATACAAAGTTTGAATGGCTTAAGATCCTTATGGACAACGGTTTTATCGATGCCTTACAGAGCTATTTAGATGTGGTTCCCAATGTTCCAGAAATGCAATGCCAGATACTGGATTGTTTCAGATATGCATTGAATGGAGGAAGGCAATGGGAACTCAGATACGGTAAAAACCCCATATACGAGAAGATGGTCGAGGCTGATATAGTTGATGCAATAGAGGGATTACAAGACAGTGGTGACAGAACGGTTTCAGATAAAGCATATTCTATCATTGTTGACTTCTTTGATGGTGTTGATAATTAAACTTTTCTTGCCTATAAATACCCAGAAAATCTCTCTTGCAATGTTAAATCTTAAAAATTTTTCTAACAAGTAGGGCATAATAAGAATGGAAGGAGATAGGAGAAGAAGAAGAACACATAAACATTACACTATTCTGCAGAGCACAAGAGACTTAAAAAAAAGCTCTTCCTCAGAAAAGAATAGCCAAAGACTTTTAAAAATCATGATCGGTATACTTATCCTTGTAGTAGCAATTTTCATTTTTACTTCTATTCTTAGCCATTTTTCTAATACCCGATCTTCATCCAGTAGATTACCCAAACATCAAAGTTCAAATCATCAATATACGAATGATCGACATCTGTACGCTCCTTCAGCTCCTCCAGCTTCTCTAGCTCCTCCAGCTCCTCCAGCTCCTCCAGTTTGGAAACAAAATAAGGTTTATCCTACACTCACTCGTATACTCGTATAATCATGAAAGGAATCATTCAAGAAATTTGGGTTGAGGAACTAAATATTTCTTAGAGGTGAATTAGTGGCAATAAATACGTATATTACTCCCATATAGCTCTTGTGAACAATAGTCTATCCATTTATGACAAAGGCAAACAGTATTCTTTTTTCTGATTCTTTTTAAATCTCTTATGAGCTCTATTGAGGGACGGTTATAGAATGTCTAAAGACAGTGAGAAGTAGGCACATATTTTGAGAATAAAGTTATTGCCACTAATCTGTTAGTGATTTGGGTGTTACATTGCTGAAGATATGCACATGACACTGATGTTGAAATGCTGTTTATAGATGATTATTCTCGGTGTGATTCTATCTAAGAACATGGAAACTAAAATTTTCAGAGGAAACCCCGATATGTCTGAAAATATTAGGGAGAGCGTTTCAACGAAATCACCATCTAAGGACCAAATGGAGGCGTCTTATGTTAGTCTTAAGACTTGGATTGAAGATTCCCTTGATCTATTTAAGAATGATCTCCTTCCTCTTCTGTATCCTCTGTTTATTCACATTTACTTTGATTTGATACAGCAGAACAAGACCGACGAAGCAAAGGAATTTTTTGAGAAGTATAGGAATGATCACTATAACAAATCTGAAGAGATAAAGCAGTTCGAAAGTATTTATACAATACAGCATATTCATGAGAACAACTTTGCCTATACCTTTAAGAGTTCTAAATACCATTTGTCCATGGGGAGATATGCGTTTGACCTCCTCATCAACTTTCTCGAAGAAAGAAACCTAACATACATATTGAAGATACTTAACCAGCATCTGGACATTAAGGTGTACGTTGGGCCGAAGAGCGAGGACAGAGCTCAGGGGATTGAGACAAGCGTTGTTGATGCTGAAATAGATCTGACTACCTTCCTGGTCTCTAGAGAGTGTGAAGATGCAATACTTGGGGACGAGCAGTACAGATATGATCATCTTGAGACATATGTATTGCAGCTTCGGAAGCAAAGAGAAATGAAGCCTAAGGATTCACCCTATAAGCCCAATGCATCTCAGATAAATGCAGAAATAGAGAAGCTGAAAGATCTATGCAAAAGAGTAGCAGTGAATAAGAACAACCTCCCTAGTATTTGTTGCTACACAATACATAACACCTATGAAGGTCTTACGGCAGCTGAAATCAGTAATGATCTAAAGCTGATGGCATGTGGATTCAAGGATAGTTACATAGAAGTATATTCATTAACGAACGAGGCTTTGAAGAAGCTCAAGAGTAGCTCTGAGCTTGCAAAGTCTGATATCAAGACCCTAAATGAAGAGAAGTTTGAGGAGGTTGGAAATAGTTATAAGCTTGTTGGACACTCTGGACCTGTGTACGGGCTAAAGTTCTTTTCTTCAAACAAGTTTCTTGTTTCGAGTTCTCAGGATTGCACTGTATGTCTCTGGAGCCTTGATCTTCTGTGTTTACTCGGCGTTTACAAGGCTCACGCATTTCCTGTCTGGTGTGTGGATGTGGCACCCAATGACTACTTCTTTGCAAGTGGGGCAGGAGATAGGCAGGCTATTGTATGGTCTGTCACTACCTCAAAGCCTGAAAGGCTTATAATCTCCTCTCTTAGTGATGTAACTGCTGTGAAGTTCCATCCTAATTCGAATTATCTATTTACAGGGTCTTCAGACCATAGGGTGAGAATGCATGATATAAATACAGCATCCGTTGTAAGGATATTTTGTGGGCATACTGACACGGTGACATGTATAGATGTTTCTCATTGTGGTAAGTTTCTGGCGAGTGGAAGTAAGGACAGAACAGTACTTCTCTGGGATATTCAGAGCTCAAAGCTTTTAGGAAAGTATGTAGGCCACGAGAACACTGTTTTTTCTGTGTCCTTTTGCTTCTATGGAAGTGTCCTTGCCTCTTGTGGTGCAGACAATAGTGTTAGGCTCTGGGATAGGGCCGATCATAAAGGGGGATGTTTGGGGACATACTATACAAAGAGCACTCCTCTTTTATGTGTTAAGTTTGGATACAGGAACATAATATCATGTGCTGGCCCTTTCTTAAGCTAGTTTCTATTTTCTGTCGAATAAAGTTTTATTGTCTTGCCTTGCTTCATCTACAGAGACTTGAAAATTGTATATAGGCTTACCATAACACTCATTCCTATCATGAATATGCACACAGATGTGGATAAAAGAGACTTTTCTTTTTTTATAGATAAGTAGTATACAAACGGGTATACAAATGCTACCGAATTGGAAAAGGTGGCTCCAAGAAACTTCTTGATGACCTTTGTCTTGAGTTCTTGCATAAGATTTAGGAAGATAGCCACCAGGAATAGCAGGATCACTATTCCTTTTCTGTTTACTTCTGTTCTTTTCTCTACTGGAAGATTCTTGAATATCATATCAACAACTGGGTTAACCTGTATTGGGTACCCTCCAAACAATGTCAGCATCATCCCGTAAACAGCCATTCCAGACATGATATTTTTCTTATCCCATCCACTCCTAAGATGCTTATTAACTGGGTTATTCATATCTGAAAGTTCTGTTATAATTTCTCCACTCACCCCATCTCCAAACACAAAGTATCCAGAAAGCCCAATCAAACAATTAACAAGCATTCCGCCGGTAGCAGCACCTAAGGACACGATCATGATGTTTCTGTTGCTTTTGTTCTCCATCTCTGCATATATCTTGACCATGTTTGCCTGGCATACCATGGAAGAAATGAAAAAAGGAACAGACTCTCCTAAGGATTCATTGAACGGCTTTACTTCACCAATAGCGAATGTGCTTCCCACAGTAAAGAACAGATATGCCATTAGAAATGCAAGGTACAGCACAGATGCGATACTTAGGTAGGTTGTTAAGGCAAGCCCAGACAGCGTTTTTTTTGAGGACAGATACAAGAATGGAACTGCAAGGATAAGAACAACAACTTTTCTAGACTTCTCATAATCACTTGTAAGGTTCTGTATGTAATATGAGTTTCCAACAATCAGGTCTGATAGGTATCTATAAAAGTTAACGGCTGCAAGATATCCGTTAAAGAAGATCGATACGTTGACTATATATCCAAGTGTTGTAGATATGCTGGATGCTATACTCGAATATGTAGGGTTTTCATGTCCTGAATATTTAGCTGCATAGGAAATACAGTAGCAGGATACGGCCGTCCCCATGGCAAAGAATATCATGAGAAATATTGCATTAAGGTATCCTGCAGATTTGAATGCATACGGCATAAAGGTTATTCCCGTCCCCACCATTGAAAGAACCATTGCCACAACAGCATCCTTATTACTTAAACCTTTGATCATATTGGGGTTATCCCTAGATGCTTCTTGAAGCCCAAATAGTCTTTAGAGGAGGAAGAGTCTGTTAAACCTTTATTCTCGGAATTTTACATGTAAGTCTTGTCATGTGTTGATTTTGAAGAGAATATGCCTAGCAAATGGAGACTTTTTGAGGTCCCTGATAAAAGGTCTCAATGCATTTTTAATCTCCTTTCGTATGTTTTCTCCGGAAGAGTCGTATAGACGCTGAACAACATAGTTTCCATACATATCAATACACATGGAATACATCCCAGGCTTGGAACCTACGGGTTCTAGGAACTTCTCCAGAAACCGTTCTCTTTGTCCATTGTTTGAGAGCTTAACACATTGTTCGACAACGTTGCTCGAGAACTTACATTTACTAAGCTCATAGCTTTTTTCTATAATCTTTTCGATAACCAGATTCTTTTCCTTTTCCTTCCCAACTGTCAAAATGTGTTGAATGACATAGTTTCCGTACTGATCATCGACTAGTGTTTTTATGTTGTTTATAAGAATTTCTACAATATCTTTGATCTCTTCCTCCTTGCAGAACTCCAGCATTCTTTGGATAACTCTGCACCCATACTTGTGAGTAGCCAGAAACAAGGAGTTTTTTGAGAATTGTTGCAGAATAATCCTCCTGTCCTTACACTTTTCTATACACTTCTGGATAACATGGTTTCCATTCTGATCCTCTATCAACTCTAGTAAGTTACCTTTCACCTCTTCTAGAATAAAGTCGACATCAGGGGAAACATCCACCAGCTTTTGAATCACTCTGCACCCATATGGATGAACAGAAAGAAGATGAATCTGCCCAACCAGGCTGGTTGTTAGTCTTGTTCTTTCCTCCTCAGTTACGAGAGGTATAATCTTTTGAATGACATAATTCCCAAATAGATTAGCAGATAGCTCTGCGGCTGCATCTGCAATATTATTGAAGAACCATGAAATCTCCTCCTTGGAGATATTATCCATTTTCCTCTGTATGCATCTGCTCCCTTCTTGATCTTTGCTTATGCTTATGCATATTTCCTTCATCGATGTTCCTCCAAACACATTTTTATATCCTTTCCCATCTTGCTCTTCATAAATCTCTAAAAGCTCTCTAAAGAACTTACTGTCCATGGGAACACTTTCAACATCTCCAGCTAGGGACGAGGATCTGTGGAATCCTCCTTGTGTAGTCTCCAATCCTTTTGAAGCCTTGAGGTTTAGCATTGCACTGAACACCTCAGTATCCAGTACATTCATATTTCCTATTGGTGTAGTTGCCCTTGAAGTGCCTTTATACTCACTACTCTTCTCTGACTCTGGATAGTCTTCGTCAATTCTTTCTGCAAGAGACCTATTGCTTTCCGTTTCAAAAGAAGTATCTCGAAGCATCTTTACATCAAGAAACCCTGTGTTCGAGAATGCTTTGGTTATCAGGTCATCATACTGGCTTGTCCAATATCCACTTTGCCCTCTTATAAAGAAGCTTGGTGGCTGCAGCCGAGGCTCATTTTTACAATTTCTCCTGTAAAAAATAGAATAGTTCAGATCTGTTTGGATGTCGCCAAGTTCCACTTCATCCTCTATGAAAAACTTATCTACCGGAGGTGCAGATATGGGCCTATTTCTGATCTCCCTGAAATCTGCATGGTGGACACGGCAGTCATTGCTATCATCTATTTCTTCTCTCTTCATTTCTAGTGCCGGCCTTGACGAATTTGAAGGGTGTTTTCATAAATGTTTGAAAAGGGCGTCCTCCTTTTTCGCAAAAGATCGATTGGATCTATTCGCTTACATCGGCTAAGGCAAGACAATCTAATAAGATGTTCTGAGCTCCGCACCCCCATTCTTTCTCTTTGACAAAAAAGAGGAATTAAATAGCTGAATCGCCTTATCTTAAGAACTCTGGAGTTATATACTTTAAATGATAAGGAGAAAGCAAATCTTGCTTGATCTCCCGGGAAAGAAATTTTGTGGCGGGATATCTCCCAAATGAATACGCATTGCTCCATTTTGTGTAGTGAGAATTACGTATTCAGGATGTAAGCAGCAATGAAGGCTGCTTCATCTCCACATGGTAAGTAGGGCGATTTTTTTTTATATTTTTATACTTAGATGAAAAACTTTGTCTAGTTGACATCATACCATCTTTTATGTACACTAGTGAGCATACATCCAACAGGTGGGCATTGCACCAATAAGATTCTCCAAAAACTGTGATGTATATAAAACAAAATAAGTCGCAGGGGAGGGAAAACAAAAGAGAAAATATGTTAACAAGAATAACACTCGACAAGATGAACGAGAGGTATGCAGGGGTTTATTATTCGCCAAGACCATCTGAGCTTCCTGCTCCAGAAGTAGTTGGTATCATCCCGGTGGCGCACAAATTAAGCAAAGAAGATATTCATCGCATGTGCCATAATAATGGCAATAAATGACAGAGGAGGCCTTTAAAAGGAAGTAATTAACACCAACCATGACGTCTTGAAGGCCCCTCAACTATCCAGAGAAGTCTGGTCCTTGCAAGTTTAGTAAATCAAACCGCAAAATCCAATAAAGTTTAATCGCGTTTGAACTTCAATACCCTTACATCAGTAGGAGGCATGGCCGTCAAAACTTTTCTCTCTTCAGATATCTTTCTTTCTAGATCAGAAATTCTGCTTTCAAATTCCTTTCTCTTCTCAACCACCTGGCTTGCAAAGTCTTTCTTTTGAGACTTGAGGACCTCGATTGTTGGATTCATTTGACCGGGAGATGTTGGAATAGGGATCTTGTGCTGACTCAAGTAGAGAGCCAAGTCGACAGGAAGACTAACCTTTTCTCCAGATAGATCAAGAGACCCCATTCTAAATATGATAGAATCAAATTTTGAGGGATTAAGCTTTGATTCCTCTTTTGAAAGAGCATTTTTTTGTTCCTCAAGAGCACTTATTCTCTGCTTTATCTCTTCTTTTTGCTTCTCAAGTGCTTGTGCAATAGCCATCTCTTCCAAAAACTTGTCATATTCAATTTCTTTTTCCCTAATTTTCTCCTGTTGCGCCTTTATTTTCTCAGAAAGTTCACCTCTCTTACTCTTGAGTGCCTGAATATTCTTCTCATATCCCTCGATCGTGGGATTCTTAGGCTTTTCTTGGTCGTTGATCTCCTTCAGTTCAGCCTTGATTCCATCTACAATAGACTGCTTTTCAGCTATCCTTTGGCTCAAATCTTTAATTTCACTATTCAACACATCAAGCTTGGCTTTCATATCTAAAGCGAGTTTACTCTTTTGTTCTAGCACCCCAATGTTCTTCTTCTGTTTTCTAAGATTCTCAATCTCCGACTCAAACATCTTTTCCATTTTGGAATCACACTTGGTGGAAATCAATTTAAGGTTTATCTCTCTCATACGATTGTCAATCTCCTGTGCACTCATCATCTTCTTTCCCTTTTCCGGCTGGACCTCTCCCTTGATGGTCTCATATGCTCCCAATGCCTCGCTCTTGGAATTAAATGCCTTAGACCTATCTTCCTTCAATGACTTTATCTCACTACCTAGTTCATCCAGTTTCTTATAAAGGTCGTTCTTTGGCGAATTCTCTCTTTCTTGCTTATAAATAGATGATATCTTATCACGAAGGTCGTTTATCGATGCAGTCACCTTCCCTAACTCCTGCCTCAGCTCTCCTATAACCGCTAGGTATGAATGGATACCTGGAATCCGCTTCCTTCTATTCTCTTGCTGCATTGTAAGGGGGAAAAATTTTAAACTATAAGTTCTTGCCTAGGTATCACCTAGACTCTCCACTATCAGAGCATACCTTGATTTGTGACTGCAAAAAACCACGTTCAAATGAGAGTTAACCACCTATTTTTTATTTGGAATCCAGAATATCACTTTCTAAGTCTTAGCATGCTTAATATTCCAATCCCAACAGATTCAAAAAAGAATAGAAACATTAATATCCTCTGCATAAGTACCGACACATTTCTAGAGAGCTTATAGACAACATCCGCACAACCTTTTCCTCCTCCACAGTTAGGCCCGCTTCTATCCGTTGGATTGGAAAACCCGCAGCACTTGAACTTTGTTTGAACAAAGCTTCTTTGATTTTCTGTCAATGAGCTCCATCTCCAATCACCCCATGCACGTGACCTTTCATAAATAGTCCAACCCTTGACTGCCATCATGGCCTGCGTGTTCATGAGAATGAGTGTGATTAAGACATAGACAAGCATCCGAAGCTTCCTTCTTGATACCAGTGCCGTGTATCCAAGTATGGCTGATAAGACTTCTAATATGCTTAGCAAATACGAAATAACAAGGACCTTTTCAGGTATCTGAAGTAACTCGTGAGCTGTTAGATAAACAGTTGTTCCGACTATCGATCCTCCAACCCCAGAAATAAACACTAGTGCTTGAATAAAGAAGAACACGACTTTGAATGTCTTTTTGACCGTACTCTTATGATGCATTTATTCCCCAAGAGAGTCTTAATTTACAGTAGATCTCTTGCATTGTTTCAGGCTAAATATCTAGACAAATATGGTTTCTTCAGGAATGTACATGTAATTGAAGTCTAACATAGAACTTCCAAGAAAATGCGGTGACTTCTTGAGGTATCCATCGGCATTTCTCTAGTGTTTCAGATCCTCTATTTATAAAAATACAGCCCGAAAACAACATGAAGAACGAAAGATGCATAAGAGAGCTTTATAACACCAGCGGGATGTCTGAGGAGGTCTTTTGTACAAACGAATATGGATTTGTTGTTGATGCTTTCAACTCTCAGCCAAAAGACAGCCATATCTCCATCAAAAACGAATGGTATGACCTTATAGCAAGATGCAGGAATAACGGAGAAAAGCTGCGGAAGAGTGAAGGTGCAAGAAAGCTGATATATCAAGGCATACCCCTCTCCTTGAAGTACAGACTGTGGGGGCTATTCACACAAAAAGCTTCTGGCTTCAACTATTCAAACTTAATATCTAAAAAAAGTGGGTACGAGCATCAGATCCATGTGGATGTCCAAAGGACTTTCAGAAGGCATTTTCTCTTTAATAAAGAGTATGGTAGAGGCCAATGCGAACTATTCAACATCCTCACGGCATATTCAAACTACAACCCTGAGGTTGGGTATTGCCAAGGGATGTCCAGTGTCGCAGCATTACTTCTTATGTATTTTCCTGAGGAGGAGGCCTTTGAGATGCTTGTAAGCATCATCAAAAACAACAATCTAGAGGCCCTATTTGATAAGAAGCTGAGTAAGGTTCCTCGTGTGCAAAGAATTCAAGACGAGGTTTTCAAGGCTTTGATACCCGAGGTGTATGGCCACCTTCTACACCAAAACATAGATATTGGAGTTTATGCTGTTGGGTGGTATCTGACCCTATTTACAAGATTTGACATCAAGCTAGTCTTGAGGATGTGGGACTTCTTCTTGTTTTTCGACTTCTCTGCCTTCATATTCTTTGCTGCTGGGATTCTTAAGTTTTTTGCTCGAAAGATATTGGAGCTTCAAGGCGAACAACTCATTGAATTTATAGGAACGCTGGATTCTAAAGAGGTAGATGTTGAAAAGGTTGTTTCATATGTGGTAGAGTCTTTTAGAAATGGAGAGTATGAGTATTATAGAGATAGAGTTTGATACTCGGAAAATGTATTGTTTATTTGCAGTGGATGTGCAGTTCGAAAATCCAATAGGCTTTAGACTGGCTGAATTAATTGCCCTTCAGTGCTTCCAATTACCAGTGCACATTGTGGTGAAGGCCCATAAAGGTTTTCCCGCAATAATTAAAGCCTACTGGTTTAGGAAAGTGAGGGGGAGCCGGGTGCCCACACATCCTGAAATAGGTAGTTTTCATAGAGAACTTAATGGATATTATGTAATCCATATGATCATCTTTCAATCCTAGTAACGAAAAACTAGAGTATTGCCGTCAAGAGGCAGGCGTTTGCATTTATTTATGTGAAGCCCGGGAATTCGTATAAATTTATTAGTAGCAATTTGAGGCGTGATTAAATCTTAGAACTAAAATTATGTCAAATATATCATTGAATTTAATTTTTGTAAACAAAAGAATATAAACCCTGGGAGTATGCCGCTTTATGGCTTCGTTGGATCAGTTATCACAGAATCAAAAGGACACAGGCATTAAGCTTGTTAAGGGTCCATGGAGACATGAAGAGGATGAGAAGCTGTTAAAGCTAGTAAAAGAGTTTTCACCAAAAAATTGGTCTTTTATTGCAAAGAAGTTAGGAAGCAGAGTTGGTAAGCAATGCAGAGAAAGGTGGCATAATCATCTCAACCCACAGATCACCAAGAAGCCATTTACTATGGAAGAAGAGGCATTGATAATTGAACTTCATTCAAAGTTTGGAAACAGGTGGTCCGAGATAGCGAAGTACCTTCCCGGAAGGACGGATAATGCAATAAAGAACTACTGGAACTCATCGATACAAAGGAGGAGTGAAAAAGTAAGAAGGAGAAGTATGTTTTGTTCGATCGATGAGTTCCACAAGAACCAAGAAATAAGGTATGGGAAGGAGAGCAGTGTTTTGGGGATTTCTCTTCAGGCAAATATGAGTCAAAAGACAAAGAGAAGCAGTAGTGTTCAGGACATTTCCGAGCACGTTTCAAATGCAAGGTCATTTGACGAGGATGATTTCGACGAGATGGACGAGATTGCTAGCCAAGCTCTTCTGAGGATATGTATGTCATTTTAAATAAACTTGTATATATGACATGAGCTTTTGAGAGGTGTTTTTGAACCCCTAGGATGATGCTTTATAGGGTTATGGATCTTATAGTACGAGAGGACACATTTAAGTTGTTTACAAGTAGGACAGGGGCTGGGATATTCGAGAGACTTGAGGAGGCGCCTAGAATGGAGACAATGGAGGATCTGGAGGAGAGGATCAAGGGATACTTCAAGGAAGTTTTGAGGGTATCGCCAACAGATTCTCTTTATTTCAATGAAGGATTCCGGATGCTCAACTTTGTGGAGAAGATCTTTAAGGAGCTTAGGGAATTGAATGAATCTGCAATGGAACGAAGTATAAGGAGCCCCATGGATGACGTGATTCGGTTATATTCTGAATCCTTAAATAAGTTTGTTGAGGGCATGGACATCCCGGTGCTACAAGAGCATGTGAAGTTTATCATATCCTAGAGCTTAGAAACTCCAAATAAATGGGATGGCGTTTAATGTTTTTAAGACTTCAAGCCCCAGTTGAGATGGGTTCTCAGGCAAGATACAACATGTTTAAGATATTCAACCCTGAGGGCTGTGTGAAGCAGCTGGATTTCATTCAGCAAACTACAGAGCTTGGAAATACGGTTGTTGGGCTTAGAAACAAAAAGGTTGGTATCTTGATAGCTCATAATGAGAAGAGGTCAAGACTTGCCGATGCTCAAAAAAAAGTGTTTTCTATCGACAAGAGGTCTCTGTTTACGTTTTCCGGAATTACTAATGATGGGGAGCAGATTGTGGATTACTTGATCGATAAAAGCATCAGAGAGGAGATCATTAAGGGAAGACCAACACATTTTCTAGATGTGTTTGAGGATTTGTTAAGGGATACATTTGAAAGAACAATAGTTGATGGAAGAAGGCTCTATGGGGTTTCTGGACTTTATATGACAGAGTACGAAGGAATAAGGTTGGTTGAATTTAATCCAAAAGGGTATGCCCGGGAGGTTAATGGAATGAGCATAGGATGCAGGTCGCAATCGTCTAGGACTGTACTAGAAGCATACTGTGAGAAATATGAGAACATGAACACTGAGGAGCTTGTAAGAGTTGGGATTATGGCTTTAAAGAATGCTCACCCAGAAGACGATGCTTTGACCAGTGAAAACGTCGAGATATGGGTTCTTGAGGTTGGAAAGGCTGTACACAATATTGATGCTGGGGTGTTTTTGAATTAAAGCAATATGACAAGGGTATTTGTGTGTATTTCATCTGGTAAGGTTTTCTTTTTATTTACTTCTTATAGGCTACTCTATATCCAGGGATTAAACGATAGTGGTAGTTATTGGTGCCAAGATTTTTTTGTAATTACTAAAGTTGGATTAGAAGCCGGAATGGCAGAAGAACAAAGCCCGTCCTTCAAGGGCTGCTTGAACCTATTGGTATCCAAGAGTAAATATTAAATTTTGCAGGCAATCCCCAAGGATGCCTAAAGACCCAATGCTAATAGCTTCTATGCAGTCAGGAGGAAGCTTCTCCAACATAAGAGTGATACAGAAGAACCTCGTGTACATAATATGCATCCCACAGAAGTACGCCGATGAGGGTGTCTTGAGTAGACATGAGTTTTTTGGACAATTTGGAGCGATTAAGAAAATAGTAGTCAATAAGAGGACTTCATCACTCGAGTCCACAGCCAGTGCCTATATCACGTATAGTACAGACGAAGAAGCAAAAACTTGTATACAAGAGGTCGACGAAAGCCTTCTGGATGGAAAGGTTTTGAAGTGCACCTATGGAACAACAAAATATTGCACATTCTATCTGAGGAATGCAATATGCCAAAACAGCGATTGCATGTATCTACACGAGAATAGATCCCAGAAGGATATTCTAACAAAAGATGAGATGTGTAGTTCGAAACACAAGCTACACGAGTTTGAGATTAGAAACAAAAACAAGAAAAGAATAGGTAAAAGGTATGACTTTGATATTCTTAACGAGCTTTTCAAACACAAGACATCTAGAGTCTTCAAAGCCCCAGAAAGGATTCTCTTTGAGCCTTTAGACTTCACAAACTGACTCTATTGAAAGATTAATGAACTCGTTTTAATTCAAGAGCCACTTTTTATTACCTATGGAATATCATGTGCTCTCATCTGACTTTTCCATTCAACTCGACCCTGCAGTCCTTGATGTATCTCTTTAGGTAGCCGACAATCCCCATATTTGTCTTATCTCCTTGCAGCTGGATTGATGATTTATCATCAAGTAGTATTCCGCCACAACCCATTTCTTTTTTGAGAGAGGATAATAGGCTCTCTCTAAGCTCCCCTGGTATGTTTTCGATGATGGTTACCTTTTTTGTCCCCTTTTTCTGTTGAACCTTCACACGGATTATGTTCCTTTCTTCTTGGATAATGTCACTCTCGCCATATAGGCTTGTCTGTGTAGTTTCTGCTGTGCTTGCTTCTTCGCTCTTTTCCTGGGTTATCTCATCTCCCATATAGGGATTAAAACCAAGGCCAAACTTTTATTTTCTTCCAGGAAGGTGTGTAGGCAGAAATTCTTTGGAATAAGGGACAAATTATAGAGATGCAAGAAAACATTTATGGATTTTTTAATCAGTCTTCCTTGACTCTTTTCTTCTCAGATACCGCAGGTGCCTTCTGGAATAGCATATTTGCTTCAAACGGCCTTAGAACAGGCTTGTTCCAGACATATGCAGTATATAGAGGATTAAGAAGAAGGTTTCTTATTGGAACAAATGATTGAACAAACAATGGCTGAATGACTTTCCACTTCAAATGAAGCACAGTGATGATCAAAAACTGTATCACGGCTGTTCTGCTGACCTTGGTGAGTTCGGATTCGTCATAGCTGGCATAGGTCATTTCCTCCTCTTCCTCTTCGTTGTTATCCTTGAAGAGGGTTGCCTCCCTCTTTATCTTAACTTTACGGCTGTCATTTGTACTTTTGATCTTCTGCATTATGTAGAGTGAAAATACGAGTTGAATAAGATTGGAGCACAGATACGCCCCTCTCAGTATCCATATCGCTTTCGGTGTTTGGAACATCGGTTTCCCTGAAACCTTCATCGATACTATTGACAAAGCAAAGTTTACAAACTGATCCACCGAGACAACACTTAAACCCATTTGGGGTAAATATTTTACAATCTATTAAATTTTTGACTGTATCTGAAAGAATAAGACATATTATAATCGGGGATGTCTTGTGAAAATAGGTCCGATTCAGATCCTGTCCCCCATCTCTACTTCTCGGTAACTTATTTTGTTGGACCCTATAGCCTCAAATACTTCATCAAGGACATTATAGTTGTGTATTGCAAGATATGTAAGCGCATTCATCTCCTTGATGCTCCAAAGATACTTCAAATATCCTGCAGACAAGTCTCCACAGCATTTGCAATCGAATATTCCACAGACATCAAGTCTACATCCATCAAATTTCATCATCATCCCCTGATTGACAAGATTGTTGATGAACTCAGTCCCAAAAACCAAATGGCCCTTGTTCAACAATTCTATGAATTCTTCGACCTCCTTAGGTTCTATCAATTCATTCCCGTCTATAAAAATCTTTCCCGTGTCAAAGTCTGCATAGTAGTCTGGCTTCAGGACTTCAAGTATTTCTTCATACTTCTGCCTCTTGAGTTTGTAGTGCCCCCTCTTCGAAACTAAAGTGTTGGGCTTGTTCCTGAATCCTAGACATGTTTTTATGTTGGAAAGGGCACAGAATTCCTTTATCTCGAGGTCAAGTCCCCCCTCATAGGCGGAATCCTTATACAAGATATCGTCGATGTATATCTTCACATTCTTGTCTGTGGAAGGAACCGACTGGGCATCTATCACATGTGGAACAACACAGAATTTTGTCGATATGAAGTACAAAGGCTGCATTCGGGGCTTTATGGCAAACTCTAATTGCTCGTGAGGCATGCGATTTTGATGGTGGCAAAATTTTCACCCCAGATGATTGAAGAGATCTACGAGGTTAGGCCAGAGAAGTTTAATGACGCGCTCAAGTCTTATCTCAAGTCAACCAACAAGGTAGTCCCTCTTCAGGATTATGATATCATGAAAACTGGAGAAGGAAAGGAACAAGCACCTATTGAGGATGATTGGTACTTTACAAGAATGGCTTCAATTGTGAGGCAAATCTCAATCAAAGGAGCTGTCACACCTGAGTTTCTTGCAAAGAGATATGGGTCACGCAAGAACAGAGGATGCAGGCCTAGCAAGTATGTCAATGCTTATCCAGAGATAGGTGTTTCCGTACTCGAGAATCTGAAGAACATGGGATGGATAAATGAACATCCTAAGGATATGTTGACAGAAAAGGGAAGAACAGTTGTCAAGGAAATTATTGAAAAGGTTAGGGAATAAAGTTTTTATTTATCTATCACTTCTTACTTCCTTAGACAGCTCATTGGCAAGATGCTCCAGCCTGTCTCTTGATATCTTGTAGTTTATTTGGTCTCTTTCCATCCTGTAGCGGAGTTCTGAGCAGCAGCGAAGATTATTGATGAAAGAAAGTTCATAGGGGTATACAGCTCCACAAAAGACTAACGGATATGGCTCTGATGTTCCTATTCTTTGGATGTCATATTCTTCACCCTTTCCAGATTTCTGCACAGCCCAGACGATCTTTCGGACCATGTTATGTAAAAATGCTCTGGCCTTTATGTCAAGGTAATATATATCCCCATCGTCTATTATTCTGCATTCGTCTAATTTCCTCTCATACCGGGCATTTTTATCGGAGTGCTTGCTGAAGTAATAGAAATTGTTGATGTCTTTGATTCTAGATGCTGCTTGATTCATTTCATTAATATCAAGGCCTTCCTTATGGAAGTAATATCTGTACTGTCTTTGTATACATGTAAACCTTGCATTGAATGTGTCCGGTACAGGTGCCCATCCAATTACACGTATGTCTGATGGAAGATAATTGTTCAGCATTATATCATATTTATATTCCTTATGATCATCCTTCGTAATAACATAGCTTCTGTTGGGTTCCAAAACTCTTGATATAACAACACCAGATGCTACCATATTTATTGCACTCACTCCTGAATCTGTCCTTCCTGCATATACCAACTTTTCCCCCAACCCTGTGGCCTTCAAAGCATACTCAAGATTTCCACCAATAGTCTTTCTCCCATTTTGGGGGGAAACCCCGCTATATCCCTCCCCATTATAAGATATCTTCAATGCAACTGTCCTTTGAGAGAGGCATTTAAGTGCTTTCTTATGCTTTTCTTGATGCATTTTCTTTACGTTTCCTTCATTGCCTGGATTTTGAAGTCTCTCACAGATGTTGCTCTTCATTTCAGGACTATTTTTACTATTCTCATTATGGAAGGTGCGCTCAGAATTACTTGATCCTTCATAGGCTTATTATACACAAATAATCTTTTCTCAGCTAATACAAAAATTTTCATTAAGAATCTATTAGTGGACGGATCAGAAGCCCTCAAAGACAAATGTCATGGACGGTCAGGTTGTATCAATACTTTGGCTTGAAGTCCTTCACTCCATTCCTTTCATTCATGGTCCCTTACCTTGTTGAGCAGAAGGGATTTCGTAATGGAGAACTCCATAACAACTTCAGCCCGTTGTTTTTTACATCCTCCATTATCGTTTCTCTCACTTCGTTTCTCATAATCGAACTTTTGGGAAACAGAATGAGTCTTTTCGTTGACACATTCATTGAGGTAGTTGTATACCTGATATTCATGTTCATGCCATTCAGAAACAGCTTTCTGACAGCCACAGTATATGTACTCCATGGAGCAACGACATCCTTCGGAGTTGTGATGAAGTCGATTCTCAACTCTACTGCCGAAAGGAAGGAGGACAGGAAAGTGATTTTATCAACAGCAATCAACATCAAGACATCGGTAAGTGTTGTTTCATCATGGATTGGTCAGGACATCATAATGTGTGGAGGATGCCATAGAGTGAATATACTGATTTCTCTCCTTGGCCTATTCCTTGCACTTCTGACTACGTTTTTACTTCCTGCCACAGTTCCAAATAAGGAGGAGGAAAGGCTCATAGATTACATGTGGAACCTCTCTGAGGCTTGGAAAAAGATCAAGAGTACCTACAAGCCCAGTGTAGTTCTTGCATCCCTGCTTTCATCATCTGCAAGTATTCTTTATATATGCCTCTCATTCTACTCTGCAGGAATATTCCTTGAAAAAAAGAAGAACGGAATGGAGAGCAGCATTAAGATAAACAGAATGCTATTTCTCATAGCAAAGCCTGTGCGTTTTGTTTCCTATGCAGTGATCAAAATCTTTTCTAACTTCGACAGCTCGGTATCCTACCATTCAAATCCGAGCAAGCCTGTCATTATTCATGGATACATTGAGGGATGCTCAAAAATACTTTCTTCTTTTGCCGGCTTACAGATATCAAAGGTTTTGTCGGAAAGTAGATGCTTTCCTTTAGCATTTCTAACATCAATGGCGACAATGGCGTTTATATACTGCCTAGGGGCATCCAACTCCATGTCATACTCATATCTGTTCTACATCTTGGCTTCTTTGTCATCATCTTTGTGTAAAACCATATCAAACATAGGACTACAAAGTGTATGTGAAGAATCTGGATATAAATTTGTCCTCGGCTTCAATCTATTTGTATCATCCATTATACACATATCCATCACCCATTTTTCAAGAGCTTATAGTCTAAGTGTCAAATCAAAGTTGATGTTGTACTTCTACACCAACGCTTTCTTTATTATGGTTGCATTTGGCATATACGTTCTGGGACAGCAGACCTGATGACCATGCACGGCTGATGAAAATACATTAAAGACTTGGGATGCTCGAGGAGTTTTAAATTTTCGCTTTCATATGGGTACATGAATAGAAGAGATCGCCTCCAGGTGAAAAGAAGCCCTGACTCAACACTAAACTTTGGGATAGACGAAACAATTATGCTCCAAACGCCGACTCCAAAGATGAGGGCTACCAAGAGCGTAGAGCCAGTAGAGGCACACAAGTATGGTCAGGGAGGGAAGGGTGTAAAAGTCTATCCCGTCTACGTAGCAATTGGTATTCTATATGTTATACTTTTCTACATAGCTATCACGAGGCCAATGAACTCCATGATCATAATGAATCTGATGGAAGAGATAAGCATATTAAGGGAAGAAAACAGTCGAATGAGTAAGCAGATAGAGTCCATGGGATATACAAAAGAGGTAAATTATGCAAAGGTTGAAGAAGGAGCAAGAATAAGAATTGAGAATGTTTCACAGCTGTTTCCATACGGGCTTCTGGGGTTCAGGAAGTACAAAGATCCGGCCACGATATTTGACGAGAATGTTAGCGTTGGGGAATGTCTATCATTCAAAGGATGCAATTGTAAATTTTTCATTGATTTTGATAAAGAAATTACAATCGATAGAGTCGGGTTCTATCATCCCAGGACAAAGGATACAAGTAGTGCAATACACGAATTTGAGGTTTTTTGTTATGGCTCCAATGGGCGTCTATCTCTGGGGGAGTTCAAGTATGATGTAGATGCATGTGGATTCCAGACATTTGAGCTTGAGAAGGTGAAAACCAATTCAATAGAGTTTGCCATTAGGAGCAACGGAGGGAACAAAAAGTTTACATGTATCTACAAAGTCTATCTTTTTGGAAATAAATAGTATCTTGTTGCAAGCCTAAATACTTCTTTCAGGATTTGAGGACAAAATGGTTGAATCCCTTACGAGATGGGAAAAGGTGATGAGAAGACTAGTCTTACAAGACTGGCTATTGTTAACTTTGAGCTTTGTAAGCCATCCCAATGTGCATCTGAGTGTAGGAAAGCATGCCCTGTAAACAAGACAGGAAGGGAGTGCATAAGAATAGAGAAGAAGTCTGTGATATCGGAAGTTTTATGCATTGGATGCTCTGCATGCCAGAAGAAATGCCCTTTTAAAGCAATTTCTATAATCAACCTCCCGACAAACCTGACCAAGGAAATAACACATAGGTATGGCATGAATGGATTCAAGCTGCACAGGCTTCCGATTCCAAGGCCTGGAAAAGTGCTTGGATTGGTGGGCACAAACGGGATAGGAAAGAGCACGGCACTGAAGATTTTATCCGGAGAAATAAAGCCCAATCTTGGCAAGTATGACAACCCTCCTGGATGGGAGGCAATCTTAGGATACTTCAAGGGATCAGAGCTTCAAGGATACTTTACCAAGATTCTTGAAGGGCAGCTGAAGATAACGTCTAAAATCCAGTACATTGACAGGCTTCCAAAGATGTTGAAGAGAAGATTTAGTTCTGGAGTGAGGAATACACTTGAAAGTCTTTCATTAGACGATGATGGGACTGCACCAGATGACAAGCTACTTGTCAAAGATGTTCTTGAAAAGATGGATCAAAAGAAGAAGAAGAATTACTATATAGAGAAGATGTGTCTTAAAAACATACTTGATAGGGATATTGAGGAACTAAGCGGAGGAGAGCTCCAAAGGTTTTCTTTGGCATTAGCATGCATGCAGCAGAGCGATGTTTATATATTTGATGAACCTTCTAGCTATCTTGATGTCAAGCAGAGACTCTCGGCAGCAAAGGAGATTCGAGAGCTCTGCGAAGACAATAGTTATGTAATTGTTGTTGAACATGATCTTGCAATACTCGATTTAATGAGTGACTTTGGATGTGTGCTATATGGGCAGTCTGGGGCGTATGGAGTGATAACAGCCCCATATGCCATAAAGTCTGCAATCAACATTTTTCTTGATGGGTACATACCAACCGAGAACATGAGGTTCAGGCCTTCTGAGCTTAAGTTCGACATCTCTGAAAGACCCACCAAGGACATTGAGAAAAGGGCGGAGCATTGGTATGGAGCGATGACAAAGACGTATGAATCTTTCAGGCTCGAAGTGAAGGAGGGTACCTTCTGTGACTCTGAGATAATTGTATTTCTCGGGGAGAATGGAATGGGGAAGACCACACTTGTCGGGCTAGTCGCCGGGCTTATAAAACCTGATTTGGAGGAAGAGTTTACTATGCTTAGCTACAGTTTGAAGCCTCAAAAAATACTTCCCAAGTACAAAGGTACTGTTAGAGAGCTCTTTATGTCAAAGATCAGGTCCTCATTTATGAATCAATCGTTTGTAAACGATGTTATCAAGCCGCTCAACATTGAATATACTTATGATCAATTGGTTCAAAATTTGAGTGGAGGAGAGCTTCAAAGAATTGCAATAGCCATATGTCTTGGGAAGGATGCAAACATATATCTCATTGATGAACCATCAGCATTTCTTGACTCAGACCAAAGAATAGCGATATCCAAAGTTATAAAGAAGTTTATATACTCCAACAACAAGATAGCATTTGTTGTTGAACACGATCTTATAGTTGGAACGTATCTTGCAGATAAGGTGATTGTATTTGAAGGGGAGCCCGGTGTTTCAAGCGTAGCTTCCGCTCCGATGGATCTTTTGGAAGGCATGAACATATTTCTCAAGAACTTAGACGTGACCTTCCGAAGGGATTCAAGCAATCTAAGACCTAGAGTTAACAAGCCTGGATCTGCAAAGGATAGAATGCAAAAGGAAAACAATCAGTACTTCTTCACTTGAAGAGATAATGAATATCATCTTATTTTATTTGGTATACTTCTTTCTGTCCTTTCTGCTCATTGTTGCTTTATTTCTACTACCCTTTCCTCCCTCCCAAAACGAAGTGGATTTCTTCAGGTTCATACCGCAATCACATGCCTTGCTAACACCCTGTTCTTTTGAGCAAAGCCCGCAAACCATCTTATTAGCCATCTGATGTACATGCCCACTCTCCTCATCATGGCATATGTCACAAGGATAAAGGGAGTTGCAGCAAGGAAATCGAAACCATCTGTATGATTTCTTATAATGCCTACACACGCCCTTGTCTGGTAATGGCTGGCCTGGCTTTAGTGTTTCTTTCTTCTTCTGTATGAGCTTTATATTGGATATCTTCAGAGAAATATTCGACAAGCATTCGTAGCACTTTATACGAAAGGTATCACCTATGCCCAGCTCACTTGTTTCGTAGTTCATGTGGCAGCTATCACAGGAAAGCTGGTACCTAGAAGGATTGAAGCAAATCAACTTGCATCCATGGAGGCCTAGAAATCCCAGGAATTCGGAGTCAACAGAGGGAATGTAATTTATTTCCACTCTGCACTTGCATCCAGGGCATTCTGTTGGCCCAGGCATTTCCAAGATTCTTCCACATCTATTACATCCAGCCTGTAAATTAAGGCATTCGCAAGAGACTATGGAAGTATACCTCTTTTCCACTTCTACGGCCACATTCATCTGTACTCTTTTGTTAATGGGAAACTTGTAGTCACTCGGTAATTCGAAAGATCTTTTTGTTTGTTCTTTTCTTTCTGTCTCTGGAACCTCTCCCTTGAAGAATATCTCTAGATTTTCTTCCAAAAATCCTACATATTCCTTTAGATCCCCCCTAAAGAACCTCTTCATGTTGTCTTTAATGAACTTTGGTATCTGATCATTAACTACTTCTACACTTTTCCCAACCTCACTGTATTCAACAGCTATATTGTCTATATCATATATGAAATCTTTTGGCTGATTCAGATATACAAGTATATTGTCTCCTTTTCTTACGACCTTATTGGTGTTCAAGTCCACCATCAACAACCTTGGGAGGCAAAATGGAATAGTTTATTTAACATCTCTATTATTTTCTAGGGAATGAGAGGCATGCAGGGTGTCTTAGACTAATAGTACCGAATTCTATCAAAGGCTCCAAAGAAATTAGTCTTGAAGGTAAAGTATATTAGAAATATAAGTCCAATTATAAGAATCCCATATACAAATACCCTCTTGATCCTGGTTGCCCTTATTTGATATGCCAATGCAGATTCAAGATCGGCATTTGCTGCTGCAGTGTTTTCTTCTCCCGTGATAAGATCGTCGTTTATCGCCTCAACCACCTCTGTTCTCTTTGAAACCTCCTGGCTTATCAGGTTTAACAGGTCTACAATTTCCTGGACCATCTCTTCTATCTTCTTGATGTTTTTTTTTCTATTCTCTGCCTCTTCGAGAATCCCCTGTGCAGAATGAGCTCCCAATGCATATGCAGAAGCAACCTTTGTCCCATCGTCGTCTCCAATGAACTCTTCTATCTCTTTCTCTGTTGCATCAGGCTTTGCAATGATGTATTGAAGCCGGAATTTATCTACCTCATCCTCCCGATGCCTGATCTGGGACTCTCTGTATCTATTTATGGCCTCTGTAAGCTTCTTTGACTGAGCATGCAGATGGATCTTTCTTGTCTCATGATAGAATCTATCCTTCTTGCTATCCTTCTCAAGCTCTGTAGTTTCTGAGGAAAAGCTGTCTATTCTTTCCTTGATATTCCTTGAAAGTACCCGAAACCGTTCATTCAGCACATCTATCTGGTTATTGAGCCCCTTCTCCTCCTCTTTGCTGAGGACAGAGCTGTTTTTCTGGGAGCTTAGGTAATCTATACTGTTTGTATACGAGTTCAATGTCTCTATATCGTTAAGAATTCTTTTCGAGTCCTTTAGAAAGTCCTGCATTTGCAGTAAAGGCAATGATCGGATTTATTTTTAAACATTTTACTGGGGATAAAAGTCTTTGATAAAATGGCAAAGCTAATTGGTGCACATCTATCGATAAGCAAGGGGATTCATACAATTCAGGCACAAATGGAATCACTCGGATTAGACACATGTGCAATATTTCTAAAGAGCCAGAGGAGATACCTTGCTCCACCTATGAGGGAAGGTGTGGCGGAAATGTTTAAGGCGCGTGTTCTGCATCCAGAGATGATTGTTCCTCATGGATCCTATCTCATCAACTTTGGAAACCCTAGCTTAGTGGATAAGAGTATGGAATGTCTTGTCGATGACTTAGAGAGATGCCGATCTTTAGGGATCAAGATGTATAATATGCACCCAGGAAGCGATAAGACGAGAGACAAGACGGGGTGCTTAAGAAGTATTAGTCATAATATAAATAAGGCCTTGTCGAGGGTACAGGATATCACTATATTGATAGAGAACATGGCAGGTCAAGGGAATGTAGTTGGAAGCACTTTCGAAGAGCTAAGAGATATTATAGAAAAAGTTGAGGAGAGAGAAAGAATAGGCATATGTTTAGATACATGCCATTTATTTGGAGCAGGTTTTGATATCACAACGGAAGAAAGATTTGCAGAAGTCATGGAAAGGTTTGACAGAATAATTGGCCTAAAGTTTTTGAAAGCCATGCACATTAATGATAGTAAAGAAGCATTGGGGTCAAGGAAAGACAGACACGAGTCAATTGGAAAGGGGATGATTGGCGGTAAGGCTTTCAGATTCATCATGAATAGTGGGGTTTTTGACAATATCCCGTTGATTCTTGAGACCCCGGATCCAGGAAAATATAAAGAAGAAGCAGGCTTCTTAAGGAATCTGATCAATAAATGAAATGAAAAGCTTGTAATTTAATAACTTTCTCTAAACTACAGCTCGTTGGTATCATTTGAATACATGGAAGATACAAAAGCAGAGCCCTCCAGAGAGGCATTTCCAAAGAATACAAGATTAACATCAATATTTGGATGAGCATTTTTCATTTCAACTTCGAGAGCCTCTCTAAGCTTTCTGTTTGAAAAGGCCATTCCATTTAAAATCAAAGTGACCTCCTGCACGTCTTTCATACAGGAATCGATTATGGCACTTGAAAGGGCCCCTAGTATCTTTATTCCTCTGGTATTGAAGTGATTGATCATGGAAATCAATATCCTGTGAAGTTGGATGTCTTCTCCAAAGATGCTCTTACTTGGTTCAGTAATGGCAGAATGGATCATCGAACGTAAGACTTCTTCCTCCCCTGCATATTTCTCATACACTTCTGGGTGTAGATTCTTAAGTCTGTTGAAAATTATGTCATTAAGCTTGCAACCTCCTGCCAAGACATCAATTATGTTATAGGAAATATTTCTCGTTTCAAGGTCAGTGATGACGGCAAGGTCTGCTTCTGTTAGAATACTTCTTGGTACATTTGTGGATCCCCACTCAGAATTGTATAATACCATTTCTTCGCTCCCTTTCTTCTTCACACAGAAAGAAGAATTCGTTCCTGTTCCCAGGACAATTCCGATTATGTTATTATACCCTCGAAGCACTCCTGCCATATATGTTGCTGTGGAGTCGTTCACAACGCAATTAACATGTACATTGACATTTCTGTCTCTCAAGGAGGAATTGAGAGCTTCAACCACATTCACTCCGAACGTACTTTCATCTACTTTAAAGCAGAAATTCTTTGTTACTCTCTCTATTGTTGCATGGTTAATGGATGTCTGCAGAAGAGGATATGAGAGTGTCAGGCATCCATCAATACCGCTTTTGGGAGGTTCTTGACCATAGAATTCAGCAATCTTCTCGGCAACCCATTCATTCCAAGTTATTCTGTTTTCATTCGGAATCTTGGAGGTATCAGGATACTTGTAGAAAGATGGGCTACATTCTATAACACCGTCGAAACATAAGGGGTTTACTCCACACTTTCTAAAACTAAAATCAATTAGAATCTCACCTATCTTCAAATGTGTCCCCCCAACATCAATGACCAGAAACGAACTGCATCTCGGATGTTCTACTTCTGATTTAATCAGATCAATGTGAGATCTTAGGAAATCCCCATCGGAACTGGCTTCTTGAGCTTTCGCGATCCTTTCACTAAAAGCTTTTTTTATTTCCTGAATCTCAAAATCCTGAATAGGAAACGAGGTGACTTTATTGGTTGTTTGTTTTCCATCTACAGAGGACCACATGCCAAATATCCCAGCTATAAGAACTACAACTACTTCTACTCGCTTTAAGATACAAAACATATGTGGGTGATATTAGTATTCATTTATGTTTTTTATTCAGCTTTGAGACTTTAATTGATGGCCTTGATATAAAGATGTTCTATTAATTCAGGTAATCCTGATATATATTTATTTTAATAAAGCACTGCAGCAAATTAATTTCCTATTATTCAATTACAATTAAAAGAAAGAAGATTCATCAGGCTTGATAGGATCTATTATCACCTTTTCCAAGACACACATTCCCTCTTTTCTTTCTTCATCACTTACCAATTCACATAACTTTCCATAATCATCCCTCCTCAAAGCACTCTTTATCTGTATATCTTTTGAAGAGGGAAAGAGCTTCACAGTCCCTTTTGCGAGAGTGTTCCCAGTCATCTTCTTTCCAAATTCTCGCCTGTCATTTCGAGGATCACAAAAGAAAAGTATATTGGATTCTATTTTAAAAGCAATCAGAAGTCTATTCAGCCCATTCTCCTTTTCATCTTTCCGAGAAGAGGTCTCTTTAAGCATCATCCCGAACAAGTGTTCTAGATCCATATTGAAGAGGATCATTTGCTTCTTTTCGTTGATAATAACAAGGATGTTTTCATAGAGAATAAACAGCTTGTTTTCTAGCCTTCCCTTCAGCCCTAGATATACTAAAGTTTGTATTAATTTCTGATCCATAGGTCCATCAGGAAGATAGAGGCTGTCCAATCTTTTGATTATTTCAATGGATGGCTGGTTCATACTCGGTACTTCTTTTATCTTAAAGATGTATCTAGGAATCACGCACTGTGAATATATGTGTATGATTTCCATCCTTGGATTAATATATATAGTGAATTTCTTCTTACTCTTGTAAAGGTCGTGTATGGCTCTAGTGATTGGAGATCCATTTGGAATATCCTTGGTATCGATGTTGCCAATACTTCCAGACATGGCGTAAAATTCAATACTGTTATCCTTTGGTACCCCTAAAACATTAAAACACCTTGAGGCTCTGTTTCCTTTGAAATACTCTACCTCCTCTACAGAATCCTTTATCAGCCCTGGAAAAAATGTCAATGAAAGGCTAAAAAGAGATAGGATAAAGAGTAGCTCCACTACTGTCTTATCATTTTCCATTAGGGTTACTGTTTCAAAAAGTATTTCAAAAGGAGTCTCCTTATTCAGCAGTCTTCTAGGATGGAAAATAAAAGGAGTAACACTAATCTTTCTTTATTTCAAAAACTTTCGAAAACACCTTTCCTGTTTTGACTCCGGCTCTTAGAGCCTCGTCTGTATCTTTGGATATCATGTAGAACAGTGGATCCTTGTTCATCTCTTCCTCAGACAGTGGCTCGAATCCTTTATGTGCTAGAATAACATCCACCATATAATCAAACAAGTCTTCCACATCAGTAGATATATATAATCTTCCTTCATTCCTCAGTAGATACTCATACACCTCCATCATCTGCTGGCACACGATACGCCCCTTTTGCTTTCTTTTTTTGAAATGAGGATCAGGAAACAAGATAAAGATCTTGGACAGCTGGCCTCCACTGAATATATTGGGTAGGAAGATCAATGCATTTGTCCTCATGACTCCGGCATTTGGAATCCTTAAGTTTTCTATATTTGCCCTAACATATGCACACACCTTATCTCTAATCTCCAACCCTAATACATTCCGTCCTGGGTTTTTCTCAGCAACCTTCATGAGAAACTTTCCATATCCGCATCCTATGTCGACAAAATCCGGCCTTCTATTTATCTCGAAGTAGGAAGCCCAGTCCACCGATTGAGGATTTGGAGGAATAACGATGTTGCTGTCCTTGAACGGATTTGCATGAGCTCTTTGTCTGTAAAGGCCTTTCTTGATATTTTTTAACTGCATTCTGGGGTAGGGGCATTTTCCCAGGTCTGCTTTGATAAGCTCCCTGAAGAACACTCTTGCCTCTCCTCTGAGGCCAAGGCAGCACTAGGCCTCTGGGATCATCATTCCTGGTGTTTCGAGAGCTTTCAAATCAATAACCACACCATCAACGACAAATCCCTTGTCCCCATAAAAGGTGTTGGGTGTATCTATCTGTATGATTACTATGTCCACAAGATACTTTGTCTTGATTATGTGGTTCACCTCTAACAAGATGTTTTCATAGTCACTGATTAGTAGATCATCGGCTAATATCTTAATGGATACAGCAGTTCTGTTCATCGATATCGACCATGCATACAAGTCGACGATTTTATAGACATTCTCCACCTCCAGCACATCTGCCCTCATTCCGTCAATGTCAAGGTCTCTGGGTGCACCCTCCGCAAGTATACGAACACCGTCCTTGAGTACAAACCCTGTGGATACTAGGACAAGCACAGAAAAGAACATGGTACAGATCACATCAACTATTGCTTTAGATGGATAAAAGTACGTCACCATCCCTGCAATTATCACCCCCACCGATTGAATAAGATCTCCAACAACATGGACATAAGTAGCTCGTATGTTCAGGTTTTTGTGTTTGAGCTTATGCTGATACTCATCATAATGAAGAACATAGACACAGACACAGTTCACAAAGAATCCAACCACAGCTATGCTAAAGAACATTCCTCCATCTATTTCGCTAGGATGAAGGTATTTGTGAAATGATTCTACTGCAAGATATCCTACAGCTGCCCAGATAAGCCCAATGGAAACCAAGGACCCAATAATCTCTATCCTATGGTATCCAAACGTCATTCTTTTACTGGAAGGTTTTTTTGCCCAGCTCAGCGAAAGAAGGCTGACTATGAACCCAAGTATATCTACAAGTAGATGAAGCGAGTCTGCCAAGAGGGACAAGCTATTTGTTTTCCAATGCCCCCACAACTCTAAAAACATGAACATTAGGATGATGAACAGCACTTTTGATATTTTCTTTATGTCTGCATCATTTGAGCATGTTACATGCGAGCACTGTGTTGAATTCTTCCTGCTATGCATTTCCGAGATGTTACACTCCTTTTTTATTTTCGATCTGAAACCAGCATGATGTTTCTTATCGGATTATTTGTTCCACAAAAATGACACCTTTCTCCATAAACGTATGGCCTGGTGTGGCTCTGTCCTATTTATCGATATTCCTACGATCTTTCATTTTTAAGAATCTTCTAACGCCTCCTAGTTCAGCTTCTGAAACTTCGAGATGAGCCTTGGCCTTCTTGTCGTTGAAGATTGCTCCAGAGGATATTCTATCGTTTTTAGACAGACATCTCCTGATTAATCTTTCCAACTCAATGTCTGGAGATATCACCTGTGGAAGCCTTGCTTGTTTAATCATTCCAAAGAGCTCATCTCTGCTTCTCCCCTCGAAAGGCTTTTTCAAGGTCAATAGTTCATATACGGAAACACCTAGGCTCCATATATCTATTGAAATATTGTAATACTCTCGAGACACAACCTCGGGTGCCATATATGAAGGTGTCCCGGCAATCTCGCATGTTCTGTTTCCTTCATAAAGCTCCTTCGCCATGGCAAAGTCGCAAAGCTTAAATTCAATTAATGCTCCACTCTGTACAAAAACTCGTTCAATAAGGATGTTTGATGGTTTTATGTCCCTGTGGGCAATATGCTTGTTATGCAAATATCTCAAGCCATCTGCAATCTGTACTAGCACAGACCATACCAAACAGTTTGGGGCCCTGTAGTTGTTTTCCACAAGATGGCTTATCATTTCATGCAGGCTTCCACAATTCACATATTCAAGGATGATGAATATTCCAGAATCTCTTGGGAAAAAGTCCAGAAGCTTTACTATTCTTTTATGTGATATTAAAGATAATATCTTGACTTCTCTCTCTGCATACTTCTTATACTTCCAAAGGATAGACTTGCAGGCCATCTTTTCCTTTCCCGAATCTATTGTCTCAAGAAGATACACTGTCCCATGCACACCTCTGCTAAGCTTTCTTATGAATCTGAATCTTTCCATGCATGAATGGCCTAGATGAAATCAAGAGCCCATATGAAGATAGGGATTGATGATGAATATGGATTCATTCACAGGATAAGGCCTTCCAGAAGTTCTTCAAACAAGAGGCAAAGAAAGAGAGAGGCTTTGCAGAATAGATATGAAGATCTCAAGCTTATTGTTCCACATCCAGAACTCCTTGAGATTGAGGATTCAACATGCCCTGACCCAATATTCCACAATGAGATGAAGGGGCGTGGGGGAGTTCCTGTCCCCAAACACTGGAAGTCAAGTTCTGGAAGGATGTTTCCCCGCTCGTACTATAAACCCAGCTACAGAATCCCGAGAAATGTGATGAAGACAGGGATTCCGGAGCTGAGAAAAATGATGAAAGAGAGAGAGGCCGGAATGAGCCTTAGAGAAAGGATAAGGGAAAAGCTATATCCAAAGCTTGGGAGGTCTTTGGTAGATCAGCAGGTGTTGTACGAGGCCTTTTTCCTGGAGAAGGGAAAGCCATATCTTAGCAACTATGGGGAATTCTTTGAACCAGGGACAGATAGCTTTGTAAAGAGATGTTCACCGGGAGTAATAAGTAATGAGCTTATGGAAGCTTTGGGAATTGATGATGGTGCACCACCCCCATGGCTCTTCAATATGCAGAAGCATGGAATGCCTCCATCCTATCCCGATGCAAAGATTCCTGGGTTGAATGTGCCTATACCTGAGGGATGCTCCTATGGATATCAACCCCTAGGCTGGGGAGAACCTTTATTTGAAGTTAGTAATGGAACAACTGAAAAGGATACTTTACAGAAGGATATTGGGGCCATCTACAATAGCGAGAATCAATATACTAGGCCTGTATACATTGAGGACTTTGAAGAAAGGGTTGTAATAAACAATAACGAGACCACCCAGGATGAATCACCTAGGGCCGAGGTAGCTACCAAGGAAGATACAGAAGGAAAAAGAAAAGGGAGAGATAGGAAGGAAAAACTTTATAAGAGCATTAAATTCTGAGTTTGATGCCATCATTCCTCGGAATCAGAGAGTGGAGATACCTGACTAGACTTTTCTTGAATCTTTGAAAAGAACTTCGATTTATTCTCGAGAAACTCTTCATATACAAATAGAACTGCAAGTGCTACACCATCTGCACCATCATCCACATCTATTCCAGAATTCTCAAGCTCCTCCTCTAAGTAATTTGAAATGTGGTCAAGAGCCTTTTCCTTGTTGTATTTGTTGTTCAATAAATATTCTGTGATACTGCTTGCCATGGTAGGTATCTTTCCTTCCTCCAAAACATTTTCGATAAATCTGAAAAGTGATGATTTGCCAATGGTTACTAATACCCTGTGTCTTAAGACCTCCCTATCCATTATGGGATTTGAAATCCTAGGAATACTTATAGATAGAGAAGGGTGGAATACGGCTCCGTTCTTCCCTGTTTGATCTTTGTTAAAGCCCCAAGGGTGGAAGGGGTAAACAATGCCTAGACAAGAATCTCAAAAGAAGAAGCTGACAAGATTCCCTATATCAAGGCTAAAAAGAATAATGCAGCTGAATGAAGACATAGGGAAGATAGGTGCTTCTGTGCCTGTTGTTGCAAGCAAAGCCATCGAGATGTTTCTCACAGAGATAGTAGAGCTTACACTCAAAGAAGCTAGAAAGAAGAGCTCTTCAAGGATGTCACCCGAGTTTATCACTAGGGCCATAGAATCCAGTCCGAAATTCGAGTTTCTCAAGAATATGGAGCAGTTTAAGAGTAAGGAATAAAGATACTCGAAACAGGCATCATAAGTTAGTTTTTCTCATCTGGATGACCAGCACAAATAAAGAAGATGGGGACTTTCCAAGTAATTCAATAACTTTTTATTAAAGCTTATCGAAGAAGGCATCTGCCGTTGGAGGTGCAGGATTCATCTTCTTGAGTTTCCTAACTGTTTCAACTGTTTTGAACATCAAAGAGTTTGGATCTGACAAACTTCCGGGGAGAGTGCTGTAATGGGAGAATCTCATGGATGCCCCGGCCTTTCCTCTTGATCCTGACTTCAGGTCTTCATTAAATGTAAAGGATTCCTTTACTGGAAGTGTCCCTGTAATCATTGTTGTATCGTTTCCAGGAAGTGTCTTGAAGTCCTCTGCAGTCCCTCTTTTAGAAAGAAGGATTGTAGTGATTGCTCCAGAATAGTCGTTAGGAGTGGTTATCTCAACTTCGTATATGGGCTCATAAAGAATAGGATCTGCAGCAAGAAGAAGCCCTTTGCAAAGGTTCTTGACAGGTTGGAGCAATTGGTTGATACCTCTGTGAATAGCATCGGCATGCAGAACAGCATCTCTGAGCTCAAACTTAAGCCCACGCATTACCTCTCCAATCAAGGGCCCATCGTTGACTGCTGCCCTGAACCCTGTGTTGACATGTTCCTTGATTTCATTGATAATGGAGATTCCCTTAGTTGCATCCACAAGAAGATTCAGCGGATTGATCTCAGGTGCATAACACCATATCTTCTTGACCCAGTCGTCTCTTATCTCCAGCTTTTCTCGGAAGTTAGTTATCATTGTTTTTATCTGGTCGGACTTGACATCCTTTAGATTATCGACTACATTTTGATCGAGAGGCTCAACGGTCATGTAGATCCTATTATGTTTGTTTGCCGACTTCGTCATCTTAGGCTCGGTGACAGCGGAGGTTATTCCTTCAAAGTATGTCACCAAGGGATCGTCTGCAATGATCGGTATTTTAGCGTACTGGTCTTGCAGATCCTTAAGGCAGATCTCAAGATGCAGAGACCCTGCACATGCTATGGTGCTCTGGCCCTTGTCATTCCTTTCGACGAGACAAAGAGGGTCTGATTGTGCAAGTTTGTTAAGGCCTTCTTGCAGTTTTCCAAGATCCTCAGGCCTCTTTGCAGAGACAGCCACCTTAACAACAGGTGAAACAGAAAACTTCATTGACCTGATGTTGTATGCTTCTTCTTTGTTGGTTATTGTGCCTGTCTTCTTCAAGCAGTCATCAATCCCAACAATCCCTATGATGTTTCCTGCAGGGCAGTTAGGCACATCCTTATACCCCCTCCCCATCATCACAACAGTTCTTAGAACAGACTTGTTATGAACCAATGAGGTATTAGACAGCTCTTCTGACGTTGGAGAATATCCTGGTTCTTGGACTCTGATCTTCATCCCGGGATATATTTTCCCAGAAAAGACCCTTCCAAATGCTATGAACCGGTTATCATTCGAAGGAATCATCTTCGAGACATACATCGAAACTGGTGCATCGTCACTAGCATCACATTTCTTGATTGCATTTGCAATATCGTCATCGGAGGGACCTTCATAGAGATAGTCGTATCGAAGCTTCTGGCTCTGTAATGGGGATGGGAGCTTTAATGCTATTTGTTCTAGAATGCAATCTGCTGCAGGAAGCCATGCCTTCATGACTTCCTTGAAGAGTGACTTTCCACTTCCACTAAGAGCAACCCCCTTGAAGTCTACCTTATAGAACTTTAGATACTCTTTGATCTCCTCAATTTGTCCGTTGTTACATAACTCTTTGACCTTGTAAATAGGATTCAATACGTAGACAACAAATGGAGACCTTGCAGGATTTGACTTGGCTATGTGCTTGATGCTTGGATCAAATGGATCATCAGATGTACAAGACACCTTGTGAGACCATAGGAAGTTTGTAAGTTTCCTTTCTCCCTCAAACCCGCTCATATTAAACTTCTCGAGATAGAACCTTGCAAATAGCCTTAGGGTAAACCCCCATCCTTGTAATCCAGAACAGAATGAGATTTCATTCTTCTCAGGCATTAGTGACTCCACTTTGAAGTTATACCCTAAGGTACTCAGCTTCGCATTGAACCCCTCCACCCTTCTTCGGAGGACTTCTCCAAGCTTCTCAGGAGGATACTCCAATTCTAGAATCGCTCTATCAAGCTTATTAAGGACTAGGGTTGGGATTATTCTCTCATTCATTGCTTGTCCAAGTACAGTCTCCGTTTGTACACAGATTCCATCCACACAGTCCACAACAACAAGAGCCCCATCAGTCACACGAAGAGCGGCAGTGACTTCACTACTGAAGTCCACATGTCCAGGGCTGTCAATTAGATTGATAAGAAACTCAGTTCCATTAGTATCTCCTTCCTTCGTGTATGCCTCCAGAACCTCCTTTTCAACCTGGAAATGAAGAGATATCGCAGAACTTTTGATGGTTATTCCTCTCTGCTGCTCGTCCTCACGTGAGTCCATGTACCTTCCTCCACCTGAGTCCTTGGATACTATCTTAGCTTTGATCACAAGGCAATCCGTCAGCGTACTCTTTCCATGGTCAACATGTGCTATCACAGAAATGTTCCTGATGTTCTTTTGGTTTGTCATGAGATCATGAACTTTGCTGATATGAAAATCTACCATTAGTAGGGTAAAAAATTTTCTACTCTTTTAAAATCCCCAGGTTCACTTCCATACCATACATCATTACATCCAGACCCGAAGCCCGTCCTTGGATATACTTATACCTGTTCTTGTGCTTGGTTGACCTTATCTGATTTGTGTTTCATGTTACCAAAATATCTTCTATTTGTTTTCAGAAATATGGAAGCCCCAATGGACATCCACAAAGACGCTATCCATAGCATCGAAACAGACTTTAGCCAAAAAAGGATACTCACATCCTGCTCCGATGGAATGGTTCGTATATTTTCCAAGGGTACGGCAGAATCACCCCATGACCTGGCTTTAGAATTGGAATTGAATGGAAACTCTGGGCCAGCGACAAAGGCCATTTTTCTCAACCAGGGCGAGTTCATTGCATCATCATATTTCAATGGTAAGGTCATTATTTGGAAATACGAGGGTGGAAGATTCAATAAGAAATATGAGAAGCAACTCCTCAATGGATCTGTAAACGACATCGCTGGGAGATGGGATGGGGACTCATTTACTTTATTCTGTGGGTGTTCCGATGGAAATGTTAGGATCCTAACTGTAGACTCTTCTTTTTCTGCGACGGAATCGGAGGTTTTCTGCCATCGGTTTGGAGTTTCGTCTGTCAGTGCCATGGAAAATGGATTTGTAAGTGGAGGAATGGACTACTCTGTTGCTGTATGGGAAGGGAATGAAGAGGTCGCAAGGTTTAGAGACCATAAGGGATTTGTGAGGAATGTTGCAGTTTGTCCAACAAACTCTTTCAAGCTGCTTTGCATAGCTACCTGTTCTGAGGATGGAAGTGTGATCATCTACACTAGAAAAGGATCGGAGTACAAGTCGCAGAAAATTATTCTAGAGGAGCCATGCTATAGCCTTTCCTGGAGTTTTTCAGGATTCAGCCTTAGTGTTGGATACGGGAGTTCCAAGTTCAAGTGCTTTGTTCCTGACAGTAATGGGGAATTCAAAGAAGTGAAACTTAAGAAGGTTGAGAGCTGAATAAATTTAATTTGTTTGTCAGGATGTTTACACTTGATGCAACTTTCTCCTTAGATAAGAAGCTAACCTGGCCAAAGTTTCATTCATATCCAATAAGGAGAAGCCTCCGGGAATGAATGTAGTTATTTCTTAGGCGATTGGATATAACCTCTACTTTTCGAAACATTGTAGGGAAAGCGTTTTAGGAAAAATATTTAAATGCTTAGTGAGAAGATGATACAAACATATGCTATTGTTGTTTCTACTTTGTCTCTACAACGTGATGGTACGAGGTGAAGTGAGGTCAAGTTCTCACGGCCATCACAGTAAGGAGGGAAGCACAGGAAAAGGGATGGACTATGGAAATAGATCTACTCGGAATGCCCGTGTTAAGGTGAAGGTTCATAACCGCCATGATGATAGTCATAATCATAGCCACCATGTGCATCGAAAAGCTCATAAAGGATATGGAGGAAGCATAAAGCCTCATAATGAAAACCATGCAAGGATACTTCGGAACATGGTTGGGACCCATGGGAACAGTCTGGAAAACCTGACACATGAGGAAAAGGATTTAGCAAATATGGCAGCACATGGAAATCTGGATGCTCTTGATATGCTTTATAATGATGGTGCAATAACCCCGGATGTTGCAGAGGATGTAGGAGGGTCCATGCTAGGAAGCCCTATTGCAGAGCCTGTCAATCAGGTTGATCCTGTACCGTCACCCTTAGGGCTCACCCCCGAGATTCCTCAGAATGTAGCAGAGCCACCAGATTACTCAAGCCCAGAGGAGGCATATGTTTCTGGGGGAGTAGCCACTGGAAGGACTAATAAGGAGCAAGCAGAGATCGATGCCTTGGCTCAGAATGAAAGCCCTATAGATGACAAAATTCCGGTAGATGCATATTCTTCTCTGGTTTCGATGGGGCACTCTGCGCCTGTAGCCAAAGGAGTTGCAGATGAGGTTAGAGACGCTAATGCTGAGAAAGCACTAAGGGTGAAGAGAGCTTACGATATATCTCAACCACCTCTGAATCCTGGATATATTCCTCAAGTCAATCTAGCAAAGGCAACAAATGCCAAAGATGTGGTTTCCGACGCTGACAAAGCCATGCTTCAGAGAAAGGTATATGAAGAATATACTGAAAAGGGCTCTCCTACGGAAAGGGCGGAGTTTGAGGCACACCAGGCAGGATTCATGATTGATAAGTATAATGAGGGTTTATCCAAAGGATTGTCCCCTGAGGTTGCATATGGAAGGGCGGTGAGCTTGACTGACCTCAACTATCAGCACGCAGTCAGATCTGCAGCAATTGCTGGAGGAGGGCATGTGGCAGCACAAAGCGCAGCAGATAGGTCTATGATTGAGGAAATGAATGCAAGGGAAATGGCTCAAACACCTTCTGGACTTAGGCCTAAGGTTTTGGAGAAGAAGCAAGAGGAGATCAATGAAAAGAGACTTAATAGAGCCCAGGACCTGAGCAGCTATCTTACCAAAAAACATATAACCGAGCCCATAAGACGAGCACTACAGAAGCTTAACCAGGCAGAAACATTGAAAGATTTGGCAAGTATGGAAGGGTTGGGTAATCCTGTTGTCCAAGAAAGGATTCTAACGGATGTGGCAACCTCTAGTGCAGAAGATCTTGCAAAGGCTCAGCAAAACCTGGAGAATTCAAGAGCACAGCTTAAGCCCAACGGGCGTAAGACAAATGCTCTTAATTTCCTTTCGAAGGTTTCTACAGAAAGGGCCATTCAGAATATGAATCGTAAAAACGAGGAGATGCAGAATAAGGCTATACAAATCCAGAAAGAAGCCAACGAGAACAATGCGGTAAAGACGGCTGAAGAGCATCTTGCAAAAGCTGCAGAGCAACAGATCATTAAGAACGAAGGGAAGAGTGCATTTGCAAAGGTACTTGAGAATACTGGGGATGTATTGCAGGCTGGGAAGGCACGTGAGGAAGCAGAAAGTGCAGCGGCAGAAGCTTTGAATCAACAGAGAGAGGCCAGGAAGGCTGAAGTGATGAAGATGCTAGGGCCGATGGGGATGAATGACTCCGTTAAGGAGGCTGTCGATCATATGGCAACTGCACATGCGGGGCTTAATGTTGTGGGATCTGACCTTGAAGAACTAAGCAAAAAGTATGAAGAGGAGATGGCACATCAATCGAACATTGAAGCATTACTGAAAGAGACTGCCACATCGAATCTTGATGTTAAGGAGATTATTCCGCCCACTACCAGTAGAGTTGGGATCACTGAAGGAAAGATGAAGCTCCCCTTGAAGGGTTTCAGTAATGAAGAGCCGAAGACCGAAGAGGAAATCATTGTTCAGAGTAGACAAAAGAACAGAAGGAATCAAGTAAGAAACAAGGTCATTGGGACACCAGTCGAAAGTGGGTTGAACGTCATCGACATGGAGAATGGATTTATGCACATCTCCGAAGCGGCAAAGGCATTGAAGATCAATAAAGGAAAGATTTTCTATCCTGAAAGTGCAAAGGGACTGATGGACAAGCAGAAGCTCAACACGTCATTGCTTGAGCATAAGTACAATACTGGAGAGAGACCTAATCTTGACAAGGGTGTTGGATATTATGAGGCAGATGCTAGTGGATTTACTCTACCTCTCCCTTCGCCTCTGGATCCTGTTCCTACATCTACGATGACTAACGGTGAAAAGAGTTTGAACATTGGGCAAGCGTCTGAGCTGGATATCGAGGACGGAGAGCTCTTGCAAACACCGTGGAATGAGTTTGTGAAGAGCATGAGGCCATCAATAAATGGAAGACTAGCTCATGAGAGCGAGGTGGCTGCGGCTTCCGAGATGAAGTCCAGAGTTGATGATGAGAAGAAGGCAAAGAATTTAGAGGGGATTTCCACGGAGATTTATACGAATCCTGATGGGAGCAAGTTTGTTGAGGTTTCTTCACCGTATGGGGTTCCTGAGATCATGACAATGGACCAAGCAGTTGAAAGCCTTAATAATGTTGGGCCATCGAGTGTTGGAGCTGTTAGCGAGGAGATCAAAAAGAAAACACCTGACGTTCCACTGGACATGGCTGTAACAGACTCTGTGAAGGGTTCTGAGGAGAGTTTCATAAGTGAGATTCTCTCAAAGATCCGAAAGACAGGAAATGGAAAAGCATTGGCTAAGAAGAATGCGTTCAATGGAAAGGTTGATGGAGAAAAGGCGGGGATAGTTGATGAATACAACAAAGAGCTGATCAATGATTATATGTCATCTTCTAGCACTGTTGAATCCCAGATCAGAAATAATATTATAAGAAAGGCTGAGAGTTATGCTAAGGGTATGAACATTTCTACAGAGACATTCCTCAACATGATTTCACAGCTTCCAGAATCGGCGATCAAAGAGATGGTAAGTTATAATCAAACGCCACCTAATGCCCGTAAGGACATTACTGAGACACAGTTCTATAGCCAGATAGCGGGGATTTTACCTGATGGCAACACTAGCATTGGGTCCATTACGGAGATGATATTCAACAATATATCGACGGTGACTCACCAGCCAAACACGGTTGGTGGGGAGATACTAGAACAGATGACGGTTCCCAACCTAAAGGCTATTGAGCAGATTGAGACCAAGAAGACGCCTACGGGAACAACACAAGTCTCTGTATCAGTACCAAACGACCCTAGGAAGGTACAGGTCCTTGGAGAGGTGAAGTTCAAAGGAAATCCAACCCAAACGGCCGCCAATGGAAGGCCAATCTCAGGGAGTACAGGGACATCTGGACAGGCAAGGGCACCGGCTAATGTGGTTCCGGGGCCTAGAGTTCCAAGCAGTCAACAGAATCCATTGAAACCTGGAGTTAGGGTATCACAACCTGCCAATAATGCACCAGTGAGACTTCCGCCTGGACAGTCAGACCATACAATAAGGGGGTTCTCCCATTCGTTCCCAGGTAGTAAAAATGCACCAGGAATGGTCCCCGCTCAGCCTCCAGCAGCAGGGTTCACAGGAAGAGTGGCTCGTTAAGACAGAGTAATAATAATGATTTTTCTAATAAATCGTTGTACCTTTTGTTTTATCCATAGTGGTTTATTTAAGTAAGGAATCGACGAGTTCTTCCTCAACCCTATCTAACTTTGCCGGCATTATTAAAGAGTGAAGAGGATCCCCAAACGACCTTGTCCTTAGGTCTCCGATCCTCCCGTATACCATTTCCTCTGTAGGCGATCCAAACCTACAGATTGCAAAGATTCTTGTGTTTTCATTGACAAGGTCAGAATTGAGGATCTTGCCAGCTTCAAGAATCTGGTCGATAGCCTCGTTGACACTCATAAACCTATTTTCATCGGCCTTTATATCAAGGAGACATAAGGTATGAAGGTTATTCTGATAGTTCCTTACTATGTTATCATAGAAGCTTGTTGGCTTCCATCTGCCTGCAAAATATGGAATGGAAACCACTCTTCCAAAGGAATACGAGTAAAGGCCGCAGCATCCTAGAACATTTATGATCGAAGCATTATGGATCACCTCAACCTTCACTCCTTTCTCCTTTGCCCTTATCATTATGTCTGAATGGGTTGTTGCAAATAGCGGTGTTCCAACAACAAGCAAGGAGACGTTTTCCTCAGATGATTCATCAACTATTCTATCTGTCTGCTCCATCATCTCTCTGTCTGCAGGATATACCTTCCTTCCTATAAGCTCCTCAAACGCATCCAAGGGCTCTCCATGGATAGATGTATAGCTCTCGAGATACACCTTGGTACTGTTTTTGACAGCCTCCAGTCCCCTGAGAGTTATGTCCTTATATGAATGCAGTCCAAATCCAACCAGGTAAAGCATGCGAGATTTCAGGGTCAGAGTTTTATCACCCATAGAATGCCCTGCTATAAGATTCGAAGAGGTGACTATGAGAGGTATGTGGACGAAACACCGTTCTTAATCTACACATCTCTGACGCTTGTTATGACCATGATTTCTGTCTTTTCGATGCCATCATTGCTCATATACAGTTTTATCCCAATGTTCATGGCCATGCTTGTTAGATCCCCCAGTCAAAACCGTGTCCTGCTACCGGTCGTAGGGTGCATGGTAGGCCTCATGCTGCCTGCCTATTTGAAAAGATGATCTTCAAGAATAAAATCCAATGGCTGTAAGTGTTCTGTTTGTTTCTATTTCTAGGAGATTGAAATGTATTGGCCTCCAGGTTTTTTCTAGAAAAGTGAGTGAAAAACCTCAAAACTCCCGACGTGTAAAAGTATTTAAAGATCGTTAAGTCTGTAATCATCATGACTACAAAGAAATACACAGAGAGAGCTCAGAATGCTTTGAAGGCATGCTTGGATGAAGCCATTGCAAACAGTAATAATGTTGTTGAGCCAGAACATCTCCTGAAGGTCATATTGAATGACCAGACATCGATACTGTGTTCTGTGCTAAGCATTGATGAGAAGGAGGACATCAAGAACAAGCTTATAAGGAGGATAGGAGGGTTTGCAAAGCAGTACAACTGCACGGAGCCACGTATCGGGGAATCACTTGCAAGAGTTCTGATGGCTGCAGAGAATGGAGGGGACAGTTATGTTTCTGTGAATGCGTTGGTGTTGCAGCTTCTTACCGTAAAGAGTATTAAAGAATTGATAAGCAATTCCGAGGATATAAGGAAAAGGGTTGAGGAGCAGTCGAAGAACAAGAAGTTTGATTCTCGAAACTCCGACGATGCAACAGATGTGATGTCAAGGTTTGCTGTTAATATGGTCGAGCAGGCAAGGCAGAATGTCTTTGACCCTGTTATTGGAAGGGATGAGGAGATACGCCAGGTGATTGAGATACTGTCTAAGAAGACAAAGAGCAATGCAATATTGGTAGGGATGCCAGGGGTTGGAAAGACAGCAATAGTGAACGGAATTGCACAGCTAATAGCAAATGGAGAGATTCCCACACTCAAGGATGCAAAGATCTATAATGTGGATGTTGGGTCGATGGTTGCAGGGACATCACATAGAGGGGACTTTGAGGAAAGGCTGAAGAGCCTAGTTAAAGAAGCCGAGACGACGCCCGGAGTCATCCTGTTTATTGACGAGATTCATATTGTGCTGGGAGCTGGGAAGACTGATGGAGCAATGGATGCAGCAAATATGTTGAAACCCGGGTTGGCGGCTGGGACCATCAAATGCATTGGAGCAACAACGCATGATGAATATAGAAAATATGTTGAGAAGGATCCAGCGTTTGAAAGAAGATTTGTTCAGGTTGTTGTGAGCGAGCCGTCGATTGAAGACTCCATCACGATGCTTAGAGGGCTTAAGGAAAGGTTGGAGGCATATCACGGAGTCAAGATAGCTGATAGTGCTCTTGTATATGCTGCGAATTCGTCGAAGAAGTACATTTCTAACAGAAGGCTTCCTGATGTGGCAATTGATTTAGTGGATACAGCTTGTGCCAGTGCGGTGATAGCACTCGAGAGTGAGCCCCAGAAGATCTTGAATGCAAAGTCAAAGGTATGGAAACTGGAACTTGAGAAGGCAAGCTTGGAGATTGATCTTGCCCGGGAGAAGGATGAACAAACAATGAAAAGGCTTGAGAGTGTGTGCGAAAAGATAGAAGAGTTGAAGAAAAGTATAGAACCGATGGAGGAAGCATATCTGAAAGAGAAGAGACATATAATTGAATCAAAAAAGCTAAAGAAGAGGCTTGAGGACACGAAGCTGAGACTTGCACAAGCTGAGAGGGAGAGAGACACATATGTTGCATATGATCTCAAGACCAATGTGATTCCTGTGATAGAGAGCGAACTCAAGAGGCTTGAGAGTGTTGAAGTGATCCTTCCTGTCAAAATTGCAGAGATCATAAGTAGATGGACAGGGATTCCGGTGACAAGACTCACTATCGAGGAAAACGAAAGGCTGATGGAGATGTCTTCGAGGATAAAGAATCGCATATTTGGGCAATCCCATGCTGTGGATGCGGTTGTAGACTCTATTCTGCAGTCTAGGGTTGGCCTGAGTAGAGAGGATAAGCCGATTGGGGCTTTTCTCCTTCTTGGGCCCACAGGGGTTGGAAAGACCGAGCTTGCCAAGGCTGTTGCAATGGAGTTATTTGATGATGAGAAGAATATGCTTGTGCTTGATATGAGTGATTATGGGAATGAGATGAGCATAACGAAGCTGATTGGGGCGTCTGCAGGATATGTAGGATATAACGAAGGTGGCGCACTTACGGAACCCATCAAGAACAGACCCTACAACGTGATTCTATTAGATGAAGTGGACCTGGCACACCAAACTGTCTTGAATGTGCTATACCAGCTCCTGGATGAAGGGCGGGTCACCGATGGAAAAGGAACTGTTGTGGATTTCAGGAACTGTGTGCTGATTATGACATCGAATCTTGGGCAGGAAATAATGATGAGATCTCCTGAGCTTGATGAGAATGACAAGAAAGAGATTGAAAGGTTGGTGCTAAACAAGTTTGGCCCCCCTCTTGTTAATCGTATTGACAATGTGATATACTTCAATAACCTTGATAGAGAAAGCATGTACAAGATTCTTGAATACCAGATGGCAGAGTTGAAGAAGAGGCTCAATGGTAAGAACATATCGTTTGAGATTTCCAGCGGTGTAAGGGATGATGTGATTGAGAAGGTGCACTCCTCGACTTATGGAGCCCGTCTACTGAAGCGGTTCATCCAATCGAACTTTGTCCATGCATTGACAAAAATTCTTTTGATGAAGACAAACGAAGATCCTATCAAAGTTGTGTGCACCCATCCTTCTGAGGAGGTTGAGGGGATTCGCATCTCTGACTATATATACTCTGTGAGTCCGCAATCATTTTTTGAATAAATTGTTTTATGAAAATGTCTTTTTTATTATGCTCTGCGGGCAATTTGAGATAATTGGGAAGTATTCTGGGGATGTATGCTTTTGTTCCTCAGGGATTTCTGGATTGAGAAAACCATTTATGAGCAGATGTACGATGGCCATTGGAGAAGAAGGCAGCAAGCATCGTTTAATGCACAGGTGATAGATATTGGAAAGAAGGTGAAGGATGGGGGGTTTGAAGTATGTGTGTCTGACTCTAGACATTTTATTGATAGCATCCTAACAAAAGAATCTATTGAGGCATTTGGGAAGGAGATAGCCTGTGGGATCGAGGATATAAGAGGATGCTATATTACTGTTGACAAGTTCCATTATGTGTATCATTTTGAAAGTAAGAGGTTTTTGATGTGTATAGAAAGGTTTACATACTGTGGAGGGGAGTGTGATACATATGGGGAGCCGTCTGACATCAATGAAATGTGTTTTCTAAAATCCCTGATTGATTCTCCATTGTACATGAGGTTTAAACCAGAGGAGTTGGTGATGCATAGATCTGCCATTGAAGGGATGAATGATGGTGAAAGGTCGTATCTAATGACGATATTAGAGCAGAACAATGATCTCTGTGGAAATGAATGCCGTCTGTGCAAAGGCTACAAAGGGGATGGAGAGAAGCCTGGTGATCTCGGGCCTCGAGAAGGCAAGATTAAAAGATACAATCCGTTTAGTGATAGGCCTTTGGATGGTAATGATACAAAAGCAGATGGTGAGAAGATTTACATATTTGATGGCATATACATTGAGAAAGAAGGTCAAGGAGAATTGAGAAGCAAATGGCTAGATTTATGTTCCGACAGCTCAGAAGATGAACATAACAATTTATTGTGATTGGATTATTTTGGCAGAAATGGATCATGTCCATAGATGATGGCATCTGCAACATAAATAGTAAATATTCAATGCAACGTCGTCTTCTCCACCTCTCGACTGGAAGTACAATCCTTTATTGAATCCACAGTTCTTACAATCGATCTTTATTGAAGGGAGGGTAGGGTCCTGTGCAAGATCCTTGGCATACAGTTCTATCGATGTATGTTTTGGCCTGAAGTTTTTCGCATAGAGACGGTGTGATTTTGCTTCCTGGATGTGCTCGCAGCTCTTACATGCAAGGAAGAGGGTGCTGTCATCCTCTTTTGGATAAAGGAGATTACTACATTCTTTACAGAAGCGGTCGCCCATTGGGGCTGTGCAGAAGATATGGATAAAGAGTTTAATTGGAAGTTGAATATGGGCTAGGCCGGTGGCACAAATGAATGTTTTCGAAGCCCTTTAGATGCAGAATGATGAAGAGTTCTTTATTGGGGATCGGGACGATGAAAGCACATCTTCTGATTTGGAGTTGATTGTGGATAAAATTCCTGGGAAGGAGGAACAGAAGGAGGAGGCCGAGGGGCAGAACATTTTGGACTACGACATAGAAAGCTTTACAGACAAGCCGTGGAACAAGCCTGGGGCTGATATTACTGACTATTTCAATTACGGATTCAACGAAACAACCTGGAGAGAATACTGCAACATGCAGAGAAGGAAAAGCGAGTTTGCACGTGGAGGGGCTGAGTGGACTGATGAGAAGTATGGGGGAGTAAGAAGAGGGTTCAACGAGATCAAGAGGGAAGGAGAGGGGGATGGAAGTAGGAGTAGGAGAGGGAACAGGGCAGAAAGAGAAGGAGGAAGAAGAGGCTCAGCAGAAGGGCAGAGATGGGAAGGATGGAATGGAAGAAAAGATGGAGGAAGACGACGTGGAGACAGAGAAGAAAGAGGACAAGGAAGATATGAGGAGCGGGGGGAGGGGCGAAGGTATGGATATAGAGATGGCAGTAAAAGACAGTGATGAGTTTCTGAAGATGGTGCACCACATTTATTAAGGGTCTTTTAAAGCCGGACGATGTGAGCAAGAAAAGTATTATGTAAATGGAAATAATGAAAATTTTGCAACCCCAGGATGGGAGCTATTAACTATCTTAGGGAGATTCATAGGCGCAAGCAGTCTGACGTGATGAGATATCTGCTGAGGATTCGGGTGTGTGAATACAGGCAGAGAGGAGAATGTTTCCGTGTTGAGAAGCCAACATTCCTTGAAAGAGCACGAACTCTTGGATATAGGGCGAAGCAAGGATATGTGCTATATATTGCACGAGTGAAGAAGGGAAATATGAAGAGGAACTACCACAATGGGAACACGCGAGGAAAGTGTGTGAATGCAGGGATTAATCAAATCAAGCCATCTCTTAGGAAGCAAGCCAGCGCCGAGATGGTAGCAGGTAAGAAATGCCCTAATCTTGGGGTGTTAAACTCCTATTGGGTTGGGCAAGATGCAGCCTACAAGTACTATGAAGTGATAATGGTTGACAGACACCATCCAGCCATAAGAAATGACAGCAAGATCAATTGGATATGCAAGAACACAATGAAGCATAGGGAGTGCAGAGGTCTCACGTCTGCATCTAGGAAAAGTAGAGGGCTTGGAAAGGGAGTCAGGTTCAATAAGTCGAAGGGAGGGTCCCGACGATCATGCTGGAGAAGAAGAAACACTTTGGTTCTCCAGAAGTACCGTTGAGATTAAAACGTGACTATTTCAAAAGTTTTATGTCTTGTTTGTGCCTAGGCTTGAATGAGTCACTTTAATTTTGAATGTTTTTGCAAAGGAGGGATAAACAATCTTCCTCCTGCAGGAAATGTTATTTGGTGTGAGACGAATAAAAAGACAAATTTTACACCTTGAAAATAAAGGGATTACTTTGTGGATGGAGGAGAAAGTATACGATCATGAGATAAAGGACGTACTCGAGAAGAGTGATCCGAAAGAAGTAGACCGAAGCTTCATGGATGATGTACTACAGAAGATAAGAAAGAAGAGAGAGCTGACCCCACAAGAGGTAGCAAGAGCTATTTTATTTATGGCTGACTTTCCGGACAGGGAGTGGAACCTCTCTGCAATAGTTGGGTCTATGAAGAGTAATCTTGAAGAGATCAACTGGAGAGATGTTTACTCGTGTTTTCTTGATGTGAACTTCAGCATTTGGACTCTGGAGTCTTTGTATGTTATCATTGACTGCTGGGTTCATATTAGCGGGATCATTACTGTTCCATATGAGATATTTTTCAAGAGATGGAAGAATGAAAGGGCACAAATATATTTTTTGAGGCTGATTATAGAGAGTGATGAGAAGAGGACGCAGCTGTATTCGAATGTGTTCTTCAACAGGATTGTCAGTATTGAAGACTCAAGAAGCTATCGTTTCAAGAATGTGATGGGGTATGAGAGTAACTTCAATTGTGTGGAGCTTTTCCAATGTATTGGGATGCTTGGATCGATTCCATTGGTTGAGTTAATTGCTAAGAAATCACCTGAATGGTGTGCAGCAGGGCTTGGGTTTATTCAGCCGAAGTTTTCGAGGGTTTTTGAGGATCTTTTGACGGGCTTTGCAAGAGGGGCACCCAATAGCTTTATTTTGCATGTACTGTTTAAGAACCACTCAGAGATGATGCTCCAGAAAGCCTTAATTCTGGTTAGGGAGGGGATACCAGTATCTCGGGTTCTCGACATGTTTCTGGAGCACAAGATGCTTCCTCTTGTTTCTGAGCTGTTAGATCCACCTGAGCTTTGCTTTGATATCATTGTGTTGAGCTCTATCCGAGATCATCTGAATCTTGGGATCTGGCTATCAAATAACTTGACGACCAGAAAGGACGAGTTTGTTAGGTTGCTTGTGTTATACTTAGATTCAAAGATTTCGAAATGTAAGGAGCCAGAAAAGATGTTTCCACTGAATGTTGAGATTATGGGGACTTTCACAAAGGCTGTGGAGCAATATGTCAGAATACTAAAGCCGGAGACTGTTGGAATGTACAACGAGTTTAAGTCTAGGATTCCCCACGTACTTCGAGCCCCGAGAAGCAAAGACATAAGGATTGAAGAGGAAGCAAGTAATTTCATTTCACAGATCATCAACTCACAAAGAGGGATAGAAAGTAGTATCAATCAGATCAAAGAATTTCTAAGGGGAAATTCACTAAGCAAAGAACTAGCATCTCGAATATTTTCTGCACTACTTGAGAACTATGGGTCGTTGTATAAGCTTCCGAATTCTGACCTTATTGCATTGCTATATGGAGGTTTGATAAAAGAAAAGGTGTTCCCAAAGCCTTACCGAAGGATGGCTATTGAATATATAAAAGGATCTCTGAAATATCCTGAGAATGATAGAGAATATTCATTTGGGTTTCGATGCCTGGAAGTATTCTTGCCATCATACCCATCGATTCTGCCTGAGATTGAGGAAATAGAAAGTGTCAATAATGTTCTTGTCAAAAAGGAATTGATCCTGGTGGATTCCACTACTCATCCTATGCTGGAGCTAGAAGACATAGTAAAGCTGGTATTTAAGTATGATGGCAAGAGTGAAAATATTGGAGAGATGATTGAGTCCTTGGATTTAGAGGCCGAGGATAATGGGCATGAGCTTTCTGAGGCGATATCGAAGAACCTTGTAGAAAAGGAAGAAGTAATATTGCACATCATTCGGAATATTTTACTGGAAGATTGTAGAAGATTTGTGATGGTTGTGGAAAGCTTAGGAAAAGACTTCTACTTACAGTTTGTTCGAAAGTCTCTTGAATTTCTTAAGATATTTCTAGATTACAGAAATAGGAATGAGGAGCAGATTGCCAAGAACTTGGGGCTCATACTTGGAGGAGTTATGCTTGCCAAAAATAGAATTGTGACATCCGAGCAATTTGATTTCAAGAAGTTTGTTGTGAAGTCTGTTGAGTGCAGAAGAATCTTGTTTGGAGTGAAATTCATATCGAGCTTTTTGAGACAAGGAAAGTACGGGATTGTATTTGTTCCAAATAATCCATGGATGATGAGTATTTTGGGGTTGTTGTCTGAGATTTACAGCTGTACTCCAAAGGCTATAAGGGATGAGATTCAAGGGCTGTTCGATCATTTTTCTGTTGAGCTTATTCCCAGGCAATTCAAAAGCCTTGGGCTGAAATCTAAGAAATACTTGGCAGAATATACAATTGAAGATGGGGATCTTGTGGTCAGACATGTGATATCACTTGCATTAGACTTAAGTGTAAGGGAGATATGTGGAGCTATTGTAGAAAAGGCTTGCTCTGTTGCAATACAGACAGGAATGGTGCTTTTCAGAACGATGCCTGTCGAAAAGGGGATGGAATATGTTCTTTTCAGGAACATGGTGGTGAATCTCACGAAGTTTCTGTGTCTGGTGTCTGCGCAAGAGCCCATCAAGGCATGTATTTCTGGGAATGTGTCATACTTTATGAAGCTTTGCTCACTAGACCTTTCAACTGAAAGAGTGTTCAAGGTGGCTCTAGAAAATCAAACTGTGTGCTGTGAGCTTATCCAGAGGGCTGGGGCCTCGAAGGTCAGTGAATCTATCAGCAGATGTTACAACAATTTAGAATACCGGAATGGGGAATCAAGCGGTATAAAGCTTTCTCTTCTTGAAGACCCGGGGCACATTGAAAAGATAGTAATTAAGCCTGTCGATAGTGGAGAGTACCAAGAGATAAAGGCACACCTTGGGCAGTTAAGTAAGAAGATTCCATACTCGAAAAAGAACATTGTAGCCGACGAGTGGCGTGGACTGCTAAGTGAAGGAAAAGAGCAGGTATTCAGAAGAATACTGGAGAGTGTGGAAAACAATGAGGACAAGGATGAGGAATGCATCCGACTTTGCAGATACATCACTGGGCATCTTATCAAGAGTGGAAGTAAGGAGGACTTCTTATTTGAATGCATGGAAAAGATATTTAAGATATCATTTAAGACACAGAAGGAGGTTCTAGGATGGCTTATTTATTCGAATGATCCACGAAAGTTTAGCGTCAGTCTTGTTAGTAAGTTTATAGAGCACAATCTTATCAATGTTGTAGAATACGACCAAGCTCTTTCGAAAGTTCCACTTGGAGATGGAAATCTTGATTTTGTAATATCACTTCTGACGTCATTGATAACAACGGAGGTCCAGATATGCACTGTGTATGACTTTATATGCACCCTTGAGATGCTTGCAGGGCATAGCGACAATCCCAAGGTCTTTGACTTTTTCCAAAAAATCAGTAACTTGATGATGCATATAGAAGCAAAGGGGGTATCTGAGTATGATGAGTATGTCCGGAACTGCAGGTTCACAACAGTCCCTGAGATGTTCCTTCCGGAGTTTATGGAAAGGACAAACTATCCTGAATCACTGGACATCCGGTCGGCTTTCAAGGTATCTTGGGATCACTTTATAAGATACCATAGGATTCCTACTGCATACTGCTACTTGAAGATAGATCCTCTCCCAAATCTCATCAAAGACAGGCTCTACGAGTCTATTAAGGACAGTCTTTTTGTGTTTCTGGAAGCATATAGAAAGAGAAACTATCTCTTCTTCAAACTCTATGCAAGGTTCATTATGAAGATATTGGACGTGATTGAAGATACGCCTACCAACAGGTCCCTGGTCTATTCTGTATTAGAGGTTCTATCGCCATCACGGGTTCCTGGATTCACATCCTGCTTCTTAGAGATCTTAGGACACAAGTTTGTTTCAAAATACTTTGATTCTGAGGAAGGTATTGTTCTTGCAACAGAGACTTTGAGGTGTGGATTCTACAACCCAAAGTTCATGTATCCCATCACACAAGTTATGCAGGCTCTCAAGAGAAGTCCTGCATATGTCAGGATGTACTCTTCGTATCTGGCCTATTGCTGCCCTCAGGAATATCCTCACATAAAGAACTTCATTAACCAGTCCAGGGACCGAATTGTACCTGTAGAAGGTCAGAATTCATTTTTCAGACTTCGGACAGCTCTCCAGAACAGGACGTCTGTGAAGGTAACTGATCTTGGAATAGGAAAGAATCTCTGGGTGTATCTAATAGATAACCTCAATGAGGCAGATTCCATTTCATCTACAGTGATCGAGAGCATTAAGTTCATGATAGAAAGGAAGATGCATCTCGAGGAGATCTTGACAATGCTCTGGATTAGAATGAAAGCAGGTGGTGCACCTAAAGCACTTGCAGCTTGTTATGATGAGATTTCCTCTTTTGATTTTTGCCGTGTATTTCTGAAGTCTCTTGAGAATCATAGTTATAATAAACTGTAGATCTAGACATAGTGTCAGTCTTAATAAGGTCCTCCCTAGGACCCATGGATCAGTCCGACGAGCTCATACGTAAGATATTGGACGAAAAATCATTAGAAGCACTCGGGACTCTGAAGCACATAAATAAAGAGAAGGGAGAAGCATTGCAGAATGCACTCGTGCAGCATTTCTATGTCACAAGAAAACTTATATCCTACAACGAGTACATTGAAATTGCAAGGAAGACTGAGGAGAAAAACTCGAAGCCTTGTGTTAACTTTAAGAGAAGAGGAAACTTTTTCGAGCTGGACGATATATAACAATAAATAATATCCTTCGTGAGGCATATCTTATCTTCTAGAAAGAGCCAATCCAACAGATGCTTGGAAGATATTCTTTATTTGTACTAATGGAAACATATCTTCAATCCTCTAAGGAATGTATTCTCCCTACACCTCAAGGGATTTGTGGTATGCCAGTATCTTCGAATGGTTCTTATAGTGAAATGTGATAACAAAGTCTATCTGCAATGCAGCCTTCAGCTCGCTGATTATTTCTCCACAATCTGTTGTTGGCGGAAGCCCCCTTGACCATATGCTAAGCTTGAATCTGTTGTCCTTGTGTATTCCCACTATCCCCGTGGGCTCAAAAGTCTTGAAGTATCCAGAGCATAAGCTTATGAGAAGCCTTTCAAAGTATCTCTGGCACACTTCTTTTTTAAGCATAAGGCTCCAATCACATCCATTCATGTTATTCTTGTCTTCCCACACAGGGCTGATGCCCTCCTTAAATACATTTATGTAAAATTGCTTGTCTATCTTATCAAACTCCTTCAAATGATGCAGGAGATAGGCCAAATGCTCCTGGGACTCCAGAGTACATATACTTTTCAAGTCCTTCTCATAAGTATCTTTGGAGACTCCATTCTCAGAGCCCTCAAGAACCTTTAGGGTAACATGGAACCTCGAAGGGAGCTTATTCATGGGGTCTCTGCACCATGAAATTTTAATCTATGGAAATATGTAATGCTTATGCAAAAGTTTCGTTGAAGGATAGAGTTAAGTTAGAACGACAGAAATAATCTGGTTTTAATCTCCCGTATAAGGAATATTTTTTGGAAAAGCTTATATCTTACTTTCGGCATCCCCTCAGTAATGCCTGAGCACAATCTTGATCTCAAGCGAGTTGTACTTGAAGTTCCTAACCAGAACTTATCATCTAGTGAAAAGTATGCCAGTCTTATTAAGGACTTAGATGCCAACTTTGAATCTGGAAAGCTATATGCATTCATGGGGACAAGTGGAAGTAGTAAAACAACAACGATGGAAGCCATTGCAGGAGTGATTCCATTTGGATCTCTAACTAGTGGAGAAATACTAATGGATAACAACGAAAGAAGTGATGATACGTGGGAAAAGATGTCCACATATGAAAGACAGAAAGGATACACCATTGACGAGCTGACTGTTGATGAGTTTGTTTACTACTCTACCGTCTTCTCTTTACCCAACGAAAGTAAGAAAAATATCGAGGAAGCCATGGATGAAGTATTGGGTAACCTTCTCGGATTAGGGCATGTCCGAAGTAACCGAATGGAGAAGCTTTCTGGAGGAGAAAGAAAGAGGGTGGGAATTGCAATTTCTTTTATGAAGATGCTTTTACTTGAAGGAAAGCTGAAGGTTGTACTTCTTGATGAGCCAACTAGTGAGCTTGACTCTGGACTGGCAGTAAAGGTGGTAAGGTTCGCCAGGGACTATGCTAGAAGAAATGGCAGTATAGTGATTTTAACCGTCCATCAGCCAGGGCCTGAGCTTTATAGTACCTTTGATGATCTGCTGTTCATGCACAAGGGGTTGAGGATATATGCAGGCCCTTCTAATGACTTCATGAAGTACTTGAACTCCAAAGGGATCTACAATACAGGTGGTCCAGGCACAGACACGGAATTTATATTTAGCTTATTTACAAGTGGGACTAAAGAAGCAGAGCAATACAAAGACCAAATCAAGCAAATTGAGATGGAAGCAAAAAACAAAAAAGAGGTAAAAGGGGAAGTTTAAGGATTCTGATGACACGGGCCTAGACTTTGTTCCCAACTTCTCAGTGGCATTTTCCTTGTTTAAAAGACAGCTTATTATAGACTGCTTTAGGTCATGGAATTTCTTGCAGGCCATAGCAACCTGTCTAGGTTTTCTGGCAGTTTTATTATTGTATAATAGCTTGCTTAATAATAATGATTTTAGGGTCGGACTTCTATGTGCATTTCCTATCATTCCGTTACTTTCCATTGAAAATGGAATATTGGATATGGGACGTAAATATACTAAAGAGGAGGTTGACAGAGGATTATACAATACTGCAACACTATGGCTTTCTTCACTTATGGTAGAAATATTTTTGTCTATTATTAGGGTGATAATCTTATTTGGGGGATTTTATATCCTTAAACATTTCTTAGGAGAAAGGGAATCACCTCTACTTTCTCTACTTCCAGACGAATTAGCCAATAGTGTTAAAGAAATGCGGGGGTTTTTTTCCTTATATTTATTTATCTGTGGAGTGTTGTTGTCTATTTCAGGTGGTATCATTAGTGGAATATCCAAATTCATCGTTGATCCCCATACCACTCTAGGTAAGATAGTAGTATTTGTTTTTGGACTTTTTAAAGTAATGATGGTTATTTTCAGTTACTTTCCTCCTCAAGTTTTTACCAAAAACCCTTCTAATTTTTTTAATTGGTTGGGGTCTTCTACTTTTTCACATCCTTCATTCTTCGTTAAGATGCTTTCCCCAGGATGCATTATAACCCCAACCGTCTTAAAATACCTAAATGGCAAACATTCCAAAGTTGATTGTTTCCTGACTATTGGGATAGTTATAATCTCATATATTTTGCTCAGTTTTATAGCTATCATCTTAATCGATAGAACCTTTGCCCCTCCAAGGCGTTTAGAGCTGTCTGAAAGCAAGGATGCATCGTTGAAGAAGTCACTTACTCGAGGTCCCTGGATCAAACGTTTCCTAATAACTTTGGTAATAACCTTGGCTGCAATTCTAATTATCTCATTACTGGCTTTTATCCTTTATAAGTTCACTAATCCCACTAGTAGTGTAGAAAACCATAGTTCATAATTAGGGAAAAAACTGATGTCTTATGGAGTTTATGACTTCACTTCCATATTTAACATGGAAAGGGTAACTCGCGAAGTTACTGATTAAATTTGGATTTAATTAAACAATTGTTCTCAGCTTAATCAACTCGATTGATATTAATGAATACCTTGAAAATTTATCAAAATAGATAGATGGTGTTCCAAATATGGAGTATTGCATGCCAATTTTAATAAGTACAAAATAGCTTATATATTTACTAGATTGATCCTAATCTATGAGTTGCAACATGACTTCTGTGGAGCTTTTTGACATTGAACCTTCCGAAGAGAGCATAGATCAGGACATGAGAGGCTTATATAAGTCGATAGAAGAAGATCCGATGGCATCAGATGTTTTATGTGAGTTCTCTGGGGTTGGATTTGATGGGGATGGAGCGATTCACAGGTTCTATACAAAATGGATCTCAAGTGGTATGAGGCCTACAAGTCCGGACACATGTATTGATCCCCGACGTCTTTACGATAATTGTTTTGAGATGAAAGAAAAGAATGGGAAAATGAGGATTTATGAAGAGAAAGAATATGCATGCCGTGATACTTCAAAATCAAAGCCTTCTCTTTCGTATGCTCAAATAATAACAAGAGCCATAAGGACGAGCAAGGTGGGGAAGCTTACTCTTAGCGAGATATATAAGTGGATTGAAGATTCGTTTGAGTACTACAGATATGCAAACCCCGTCTGGAAGAACTCTATAAGACACAACTTGTCTCTGAACAAATGCTTTAAGAAGGTTCCTCGGGATCCCGGGACACGAGGAAAGGGAGGAAGATGGATGCTTGACTATGATTTCTTGTCAAAAGAAGACTTCAAGAGACGAAGGGGAGCCAAGCATTATGATTCTGGTGTGATGGAAAGATCTGAGTCTTCTGGTGATTGCTCACACGATGAAAGGGAGGATGGATTTCGTGATGTCGAGATGTCTTCGAAGGGCCTGATCGGTCAGATGAAGAAGTTTATGGCTTCTGAGATCAATCCAAGTAAGAATGTAAATAAAATATAAAGCATGTTTAGATTTATTCTAGAGTATGATGCTAAAGATTGCTTAAAGTTGTGGATCCAATATTTTTATCTGGAAAATGATTCTATTTGGAAAACTCTCCGAAGGCTTTGGATATGCTACAACTTCAGAGTTGTATCCAGAAGCCATCAGGGCTGCTTGTATCATTCCGCATACAATCGAGTCTGCAGAAAAACCATCCCATTCATTTGGAACAGACATGAACTTCGAGAAGATTCCATCGGTGTCTGTAAGGAGGTAAGTCTTATCAATATCCTTGGCTTTTTCAATCCTCTTGTCACTGTCACTGGCCAAGGAAAGAAAATCAAAGGTGATTCTGTAAAGGAGTGTTGGTATGTGGACTTCTCTCTCAAAGTTGCATATTTCAAGGAGCTTTACTCCAACCTCGTAGCCTATTGCCTTGAGGTCTGCTTCCACTTCTTTCCTCTGTTCCATAAGATATTCAACCATTCCGCAGACTAGATAAGACATGATCGAGACAGGAACTTCTCTTTTCATGGTAGTTTTTCAAGGTATCTATATTTTCTTCATTTCAATTATTTTGTTTACTGCATCTTGAGCATCTTCCTTGACCCTTTCAACGTTGCCTCTTGGGTGCTTGGCCCACCCAACATAATATACAGGCTTTGTGAGACCTATGTCTTTTACCTTCATCTCATTGAATCCTACACTGGATATAACACTATCGAAGTATTCTTCTATAGGAATTCCGTTCTGCTCCATTTTCACTTTATACTGGGTCCCAAGCCTTTCTTATGGATTTAACATCAGTAATTGAACATTAGCCTAAGCTTCCTAACACCTTCTTTGATACCTCCAAGCAACCCTAGTCTTCTACTCCACCATCCCTTGTGTTTATCCTTTGTTTCATCTTCTCCCCCTTGGTTGTATACTTTCTTGAGATTCTCTGATCGGGATCTCTCCTCTTGAGACATATCTTTTCCCTCAGACCACCAAAACCCAAGTCCTGGGATTTCAAGTACTTTTCTAAGCCCGGTGTTTGTGAATGCACTACTGTAGGCATCTCTTCTGGATGTAATGGTTACGTCTTCTACCTTCTTTACTCTTTCTAAAGTATTCTTTGGAAACTTGAATTGGGCCCCACTCCACCCAAAAAGAAACCTTACGATATCCATGGACACATCTCCCATACCAATGATCAGAACCTTATTTCCTATACTATATCCCGGTTGTTCTCCACCCCATGATCTTGCTATATCAAGACCGTTGATACAATACTCTCTCCCAGGGATGCTTAGTCTTCTTGACCCAGGTGACCCAGTAGCAATAACAAAGGCATCGAACTCCTTCTCCATTCCCCTTAGTCTCTCAATATCGACCTCAGAATTCAGCTTCAAAGAAAAGTTCTTGCATTTAAATAGCTTGGAAAATGGTGACATCCTTGATGGAGGAAGTAATGAATATCTGTACAATCCTCCTACCTCGGGCTCCTTCTCATGCAGAGTGACATCGATGTTTCTTGGCACCAAAGAAGCGGCTGTGTACAATCCTGCAGGTCCTCCTCCAATTATACATACCTTCATGGGGAGAACTTGTTTCTGCCCTTTCGGCAATCCTGAAACAAATCCTAGGCTTGTTCACAGAAGGACGGAGATGTGAAACAACGTCTCAGAGTCAGATATAAAGCAAGCTGTATTATTTATGTTATCTTATGAAGAATCAAAGAACAGTTTTTGTGCTTGGGTGCATCACTACCGGGATAGTCATGGTTCTATTCGGAATAGACTTCATGATGCCAAAGAGAAGCTCGGTTAGGTCTGTAAGCCTTGTCGAAAGAGGAAGGATGTCTCTATTTGGGAAAAAGACCTCCACACTGGGGAAGTTTGCCGAAAGGAAAGACAATGATAGGATTGACGTCTTAAGAGAGAAGATAGATCTAATCAACAAGAAGCTGGACAGAGTGATTAAGATTGTTGAGGAGCTTAAGTCCTCGAACAAACCCAGTTCTGCAACAATAGGCAAGGAAGCAAATGGAAGTACATATCGTGAATCCAGGTATTCGAATCTTCATCCTGAGAGATCTTCACTAAGCTCCATGTCTTTGATTAATCAGCCCTATTATCTAGGGGAGAGGGGTCAAAGCATGAATATTGACACTGCGGAGTCGTCTAGAAAAACCCGCCCATTCGGTATAGGCTTGGATGCCTTCCATCCTAAATATTCTGATAGCTTTGCTTTACATGTATCCAGTAGTGGGAGCCACAGTATTCCTACCATCGATAAGACCGGTGCATCCAAAGAAACTGAAAGGAAGTTAGAGCCTGAGGCTACTCTTTCCAAGAGTGGAGAGGTGGTATCTTCCGGGCTTCCAGAAGGTATCGCCATTGGAGGCACCATATCAGGAGGAGAGCGTATTGAAAAGCTGATTGGAGAATTCCTTAGTGAGGGGTTTGCCAATGCTATCAAGCCATCCCCTGTGAAGCCAGAAGAGGATATCAAAGAATCACAAGATAAATCCCGGATCTCAAAAGAAAGCAAAAGACCAAAGAACGATAGCAATGGACAAGTTGGCCTTGGAGGTAGCGGAAGACCTGTATCCCAGAAGCCTCTACTCACTAATGAAAAAGGAAGTGCATACACCAAGAAGAATACACAGGAGAACAAAGAGGTCCCAACCTCTTCCCTTGACAAAAAGGATGGAGAGGTTATAACCAAGGAGACCACATCAGTGCCAGTAGGCAGTGGACTTCAAAAGCCATCTGGTTTGGAAACAAAGCCTCTTCCAAGCAGTGGGACTAAAGGTATGAGTGAAATTGGAAGGTCTACTAGCCACAGTAACATTCGTTACGCAGATGGAAGCAGAAGTTCTGTTCTATATCAGCCGGAGAATGAGATAAGCTACGAAGATGCCTCGAGTAGTGGAACAGAGGAAGAAGGTATTATGCCAGGTCTGAGAAGCGGGATCCCGACACCTAGAATTTCGGTGATAAAGCTGTGAGGACGGCCAAAGAAGAATAACATTAAATTACTTGGTCGTTTTTGTTCTACTAAAATGATGGGAAGGAGATAGAGCCCAAGAAATGCTACTCAGAGGAGGACATAAATGCAGTAACATAGAAGGCTATGAGAAGCTCTGTAGGATATCCTCTGGGAGTTTTGGCAATGTATACAAAGTTAGACGTACTGCAGACAGCAAGGTGTTTGCTCTTAAGAGGATGAACCCGTCGATGTGCTATGACACCAATGGATTTTCGATTCTGTACATAAGAGAAGTGATGATTTTGAAGCACGCAAGAAACAAAAATGTGATGAAGATTGAGGAAGTGGTGGAAGGAAACGAGATCAATGATTTCTTCATTGTGATGGAATGCTGTGACATAGACTTAAAGTCTGTCATCCATAGAGTAAGGGAAATGGATGTGAGGCTGATTAGGTTCTTTAGGTGGCAGATTCTTCAGGGACTTAAATTTCTACATGGAATTGGGGTGATACATAGAGATCTGAAGCCATCAAACATCCTCCTTATGAGAAATGGAGATGTAAAAATAGCAGACTTTGGGTTGGCCAGGGTTATGGAAAGCACGATGACTAATCTTGTTGTTACCTTATGGTATAGGGCCATTGAGGTATTACTTGGGTCGGAGAGCTATAATGAGTCGATTGACATGTGGTCTGTTGGATGCATTGTTGGGGAGATGCTGAAAGGAGAACCGATTCTGCCTGGAGAGGGGGAGATAGATCAGCTAGGCAGGATATTCAAGCTCTTGGGATATCCTGAAGATTCCGACTTTGACGGATTTGACCTTCCCCACTTCAAGAATATTAAGAAACCTAAAAGCTTTTCGACAAGCTTTGAGAAAGAGTTTGGAAGTTATGACTCTGAAGTTGTCGCCTTTACAAGGAACCTGCTGTCCTTTGATCCCCGAAGGAGATACTCAGCATCTCAGGCACTTTCTAGTAGATTTATGACTGATGGGCAAGAATGCCCGAGAGAGCTTATTGAAGAGGTGATGGGGATGTGCATTGAAAGGTTTAGTGTGTGAGTGGCCTCAGTGTTGTATGGCAGAGTGAGGAAATCGAAACAATTATGGAAATAAAAAGTTAAGGTAGATGAGGGTGATTATGAATGTTGTGCAGCAAACATTTGCAAAATTGAGTATAGAAGAGCCCAGGAAAGGAGTAGAAGGAAAGGTTTACTCTGTCAGTGGGCCTGTGGTTGTTGGATGTGATATGATTGGATGTGCAATGTATGAGCTTGTGAAGGTTGGAAGCGAAGGATTGGCAGGAGAAATCATCAAGATTGATAAGGACCGAGCCACGATCCAGGTATATGAAGACACTAACGGGTTGTGTGTCGGAGATGTGATAGTGAGGACAGGAAGGCCATTGTGTGCAGAGCTTGGGCCTGGGCTTTTTGAAAGTATCTATGATGGAATCCAAAGACCTCTGAAAGAGATCCGGGAAGGCACTGGAGGGATTTTCATTCCAAAAGGGGTGAACATTCCTGCATTGAATAGAGAAAGGGAATATGAGTTTGTACCTAAAGTCAGGATTGGGGATTATGTTGTCGGAGGAGATATCTTTGGAAGTGTTTATGAAAATAGTCTTATTGAAACAAAGATCCTTGTTCCTCCAAAGGAAAGTGGAAAGGTTGTTTTCATAGCACGTCAGGGAAACTATACTCTCAAGGATGTTGTGATGGAGCTTGAGACTAGCAAGGGAAAGATGGAGATGTTTATGTACCACACATGGCCTGTGAGGGTTCCTCGGCCTATTGAAGAGAAGAAGAATGCTACCCATCCGTTGTTTACTGGGCAAAGGATTCTTGACTCTCTATTTCCCTGTGTGCAGGGGGGAACCACTGCCATTCCAGGGGCATTTGGATGTGGGAAGACGGTTATTTCTCAATCATTATCGAAGTATTCAAACTCTGATGCAATTGTGTATGTTGGGTGTGGAGAGCGAGGAAATGAAATGAGTGAAGTTCTGATGGAGTTTCCAAAGCTGACTGTTGGAGGAAAGGATGATAGCATCATGAAGAGGACTGTATTGGTTGCAAACACATCCAACATGCCTGTTGCAGCAAGGGAAGCATCTATATACACGGGGATAACGATTTCTGAATATCTTCGAGATCAAGGGATGAATGTCTCGATGATGGCAGACTCGACATCCAGATGGGCTGAAGCGTTGAGGGAGATAAGTGGAAGGCTTGCAGAGATGCCTGCAGACAGCGGATACCCTGCATACCTTGGGGCAAAGCTTGCATTTTTCTATGAAAGGGCAGGGTCTGTTGTATGTCTAGGATCTCCAAAGAGAACAGGGTCTGTAACTATAGTTGGAGCAGTCTCTCCCCCAGGTGGAGACTTTTCTGACCCTGTGACATCATCTACGCTTGGGATTGTACAAGTGTTCTGGGGACTTGACAAGAAGCTTGCCCAAAGAAAACATTTCCCATCTATAAACTGGAACCTAAGTTACTCAAAGTACTTCACAAATCTGGAACCGTACTATGAAGGAGAGGATCCAGACTTTACTGTGAACAGAACAAAATGCAGGGAGATTCTCCAGTTGGATGATGATCTTTCGGAGATTGTCCAGCTAGTAGGAAAGAATGCACTTTCTGAAACTGAGAAGCTTATTCTAGATATATCCAAGCTTATCAAAGAGGATTTTTTGCAACAGAATGGATATTCGAAGTATGACAACTACTGTCCGTTTACAAAGACCAGGATGATGCTTCGGAACATCATTCTGTACTTTGATAACTGCAAGAATGCCATAACGAACTACAAGCTTAGCTGGTCTACTGTCAGGAAGGAGACTGAGGATGTGTTCTATGGCCTGATGAAGATGAAGTTTGTGATGTCTAACGGGGAGATGGAATCCAAGCTGAACAGACTGAAGAAGGAGATAGACGAGGTGTTTTTGAAGTTACTGGGATGAAATAAATTACTTCGTGGTAAGGTTGTAGTTGAAAAGAAATTTTTGTTTGAGATGTTGCCCTGATGGAGGTCCGAGATGTTGAGACTGTGAGTAGAATCAGCTTTCACTCTCATGTTTGTGGCCTTGGATACAATGGAGAGGAGGTTGAATACAATAAAGACGGGCTTGTTGGGCAGATGAAGGCTAGAAAGGCAATGATGCTGATAAAGAAGATGGTGGAAAGCAACAAAGGAGGAAAGATTGTTCTCATCAAAGGAGAGCGTGGAAGTGGAAAGACTGCATTAGCAATAGGACTATCTAAAAGCCTTGGAGGGGCACCTTTCAACTCCATCAGCGGAACCGAGATTTACAGCCTTGAAATGAGTAAGTCTGAGGCAATTACCCAGGCTCTTCGGAAGTCTGTTGGATTGAGAATCAAAGAGTCTGTGAAAGTGATTGAGGGAGAGGTTGTGAGTTTGAGCGGAAGAAGGATTGTTCTCAAGACTGTTGACATGGAGTCCTCGTTTGACATAGGGGAGAAAATGAGGAACGAGTTGGATAAGGAGAAGGTGAGCACTGGAGATATTGTAAGAATAGTCAGGGAAAGAGGTAAAGTTTACAAGATCGGTACAAGTGTCGTGAAAAAGACCGAGGTTGTGGGGACCGATACACGATTTATCCCCTGCCCTGAAGGAGAGCTGATAAGGATTAGGGAAGAGGTTCAGGAGATATCTCTCCATGACATCGACGTTGTTAACAATAAAGCCGAAGGTTATCTTGCACTTTTTAGTGGAGAGACGGGGGAAATTAGAGCAGAGATAAGAGATGAAGTGAACAAGAAGGTATGGAACTGGATCAACGAGGGGAAGGCCGAAGTGGTTCGGGGTGTTTTATTTATCGATGAGGTTCACATGCTAGACATCGAAAGCTTTGCGTTCCTGAACAAGGCAATTGAAGAAGACTTTTGCCCGGTGATCCTTATTTCAACCAACAAAAAAGAATGTATCATAAGGGGAACGGATGAAATAAGCCCTTATGGGTTGCCAAGAGACTTTATTGATCGTGCTCTCATAATCTCTATGGAGAAGTATTGTAAAAGAGATCTTGAGGGTATAATCAGCCATAGAATACTTGAAGAGGACATTCACATTGACAGTAAGGCTATGGATAAGCTTGTGTCGATCTCTGAGGTATCTGGACTGAGGTATTCTATGAATTTGCTGACGATATCTGGCCTAAGGGCAAGTAAGAGAGGCGGAAAGGTGACTCTCGAGGATATTGAGAGAACTTTTGAGTTGTTTCTTGATGAAGCTCGTGGGGTTGAAAACCTTACGGCCAAATAAATCCTAAATTAATATTCTGAGTATCACATCTCTGCTTCGTTTAATATCATGAATGTAGGCCTTCCATGGGGGCACTTCCAAGGTCTATCCAAGAAGGACAAGCTTTTTACTATTTTCTTCATATCTGCCATAGAAAGTGCGTCGCCTATCATCACACTTGTTCTACATGCCTTGGATGCAATTATGTTTCGGATCCTTTTGAACTCATACTCATCATTCTTCATATCCTCAAGGAGCTCTTGGAATTCTTTGACTCCAAACACTTGATTCTTATACACGGGAATGGTCTCAAGCATCCCATTCTTGATGACAAATCCATTTCTTTCAAATAGCTCTAGGTTATCATTGACAATCACTTCTTCAATTGGAGTAAGGTCCAACTTCACAGGTACTATCACACTCTGCTTTTTCAGACGGAACGTTTTCTTGATGCTTTCAAAATTTCTGATTTCATCTGCAGCATGCTGATCTACAGCCACAAGATATATCTTATCGTTTTTCTTTAACTTTGAAATGATGAATCCATTGTTAAATTGCCCTATGACCTCCATCCTGGTGAAGTCCTCCTTTGAGAATGAAACCTTTGGCTGGACAAGGTCATCATGTTTGAAGAATGAATATGCACCTGTTGCGAAGCTACCTCCGTCTTCGTGGCCTTCTTCTATTTGATCCATCTTGGGAAAGGGCTCTGACCCTTCTAAGGGGCTAGAAGAAGCATCCTCTTCTTTGTCATTCTCTTTCTCCACAAATAACTCGGGTTCCGATGGTATTGGTTCCTTACTACTCTCCACACTTTCTTGCGGAGGGATGTTCCGCTTCCGTGGGCCTACTTCAAAGGAAGTGGCCACCCTAGCAGGTCTTATAACAGGAAGACTCTCATTCATCCTAGAAAGGGTTCTACCCATCAACTCTTCCCCATCATTCTCCTCGGGATCACACCTTCTTGATATACGGCCTCTATTAGTTTCTCCGATATTCCCAACATGCAAATATGCTTCTGAAGAAAAGAATCTCCCTATCTCGGACCTGAGAAGATTTAGAATCCCTGTTTCGTCTCCAAATATCACCTCACTTTTGTCTGTAGATACATTTACATCTCCATATCCTTTTATCACAAGAACAAATGTCGGGCTTCCTTCAGCATACAGGTTGAATTCATTCTTTATTCCATTCAATATCCTTTTGTTCGAAATTGGCCTCTTTTCCGAAAACATCAGCTGCTTTGGATCCCTGACAGACACCGGAAGCATGAAGATCTCCAATTGCCCATTACTCACCTCCATGTATTTCCCAGAAAAAGAAGGATAATTGGACTCAAAGTACTCCTTTGGTGTTTCATATCCTCCGCAACTCAGAAGAACTTTTCTCCTGTGAAACAAAGTGAAGTTTATCTTATTAACACAACGATATGATTCAATCAAACTACAGATCTTCGCCAAGTTTTTCTTCAGACTTCGTTCATTTGCACATCTTCTTAAAGGGCAGTTCTTGAATAGGTTTCTTACATGAACAGTTGTGCCTCTTTCCCTGGCACACTTAGAAATGGTGTTTGCTGAAAAGTCCCTCCTAAATGCAAACGGATGCTCAGACCTCGAAATGATTTCTAAGTCACAAACTTCGGCAAGAGAACTAAGAGCCTGACCTCTGAACCCATAAGAAAACCTTTCCACTCTATCAACACACCCCAAAACATAATATGCCATCGATTCCTTGGAAGTGCTCCCTTCAATCCCAACTTCATTTAAATCGCTAATTCCACATCCATTGTCTTCAACAGTTACAGAATCATCTATTCGTACTCTTATCCATGTACATCCTGAATCAATGGAGTTTTCGATCAACTCCTTCACAACAATATATGTACTTTGAACAGACCTCTGGGCCTTAATTCTTTTTCCAAGATCCTCAGGTAATTTTCTTATCATCGAGTTTACCCATCCACTTACTCCATATATCCAAAACATGATGGAGGGAAAACTCCCCTCCAATCACTCGGACCAAAATGCATTGACCGGGAATCGAACCCGGGCCACGAGCTTGGGAAGCTCACATAATAACCACTATACTATCAATGCTTGAATGTCCATACCATTCCCCTCTCGATGATCTTCTGGAAATAACTTAACAGGAAGGGGCTCCTCAGAAACATAGACTTTAAGATATAATGAAAACAATATTTAATCTACTAGAGTCACTCATTCTTATACAGGAAGTTAACAAACGGTGGAAGGGATCCAGATGCCTTGATCAGCCTCAGCAGATTTCCTTCAGTTCTTAGGCTCTGCTCCAGCCTGTTCTTCACATTCATGGATTTACTACTTCTGCTCCCTCCTTTGACAATCGTTTGTCTGAACGCATGTGTCGGCGGAAAGCTTGGCATGAAGTCATATATATGGATGTACTTCTCGATGCCTGATGACAAAGGACTGACAAACTTTTCTTCTTTCTCAACCTCCTCTTTCTCATATGTGACCCTTTCAAAAGGAGGAAGTTCAAACTTCTTTCCCTCTACAAAACACAGGATGTCCAGCAAGGTCGAATGAGACTTTAGTCCGTGTCTAGAGACAGACGCAACACTCTTCAAGTACTCAAGCATATAAACCTCCAGAGAGGCCATAAAAACTTCCAATGCCTTTCTCTCAACAGCCTCATACCCTATTTCTTTTAAATACCTCATAAGCCTGTCCTCCAGTATCCGCCTCATCAGGGCTTTATACAAAATTCATAAATCACTAGAGCCATCCAGTCGTTCTATTTTTTCAGAACAAGATACTTTTCTTTATTTCTCTCGTCGGTGTCGAACGTGCAGTTTTCTCCAATAAACTCCTTTACAAGCTCTTTCTCCTCGTCATTAAGCCCAAATCGTGTCTTCACCCCTCGAAGAAGATCCCTTAAGGCGATCCTCCCTCCTCTAAACATCCCTCTGAGTACATCCTTTGTAAGAACCTTCTCCACCTTTCCAACATCTTTCATATCCTTCTCTTCCATTTCTTCAGAAATATCGCTCTCTTCCTTCTCTTCATAGTTCTCCATGATGTTTCTCATTCGTCTTCCTGCACTGTTAAGCCTCTTCTCACGAACAACAAACACATTTGTCTCCTCTCCATCATCATCATCAAAGTCATCATCAAAGTCAATCTCTTCTCTTTCCTCGGATGATGTCTTATCTCCTTCTCCTCCACCATTCTCTTCTCCAACACCCTCCATATTATATTCTTGGATAATGTCTAGCTGAGATTTCTGGCTAAAGCGGTACCACTTCCGGATAGGTACAACTTTCAAATAGGTCCCAGTATTGATAAATACAAAGTAACATGAGCTACTTGCACCCAAGTCCTGCATCTTCCCAGAATAGACTCTGTTTTCTGCATCCTCAAGAATTAGTAAGCACCCTTCCTTCTCCTTGAGCTTCCTGTATTCTTCATCCTCATACTCAACCTGCTCACTCTTCTTCTTTGTGTTGAACACAACCTCTTCTCTCAAAGGCCTTTCCCTGGAAATCGTCACAGGCTCAGAAAGCTCCTTCACATCCACATTTGTAAACAGAAACCTTTTCTCCCCATGCTCAGGTTCGTACACAAGCTTATAGCTTTTCATTGGGGCTTGTCCCTGCCACATCTTCAACAAACAATCAGAATATCATAAAGCAAAGGACATTTAATCAACAGAGGGATAGGTCATATCCCAGAATACTCCCTTCTAAACTCCTTTCTTATCACTGCTAGAAAGTCATGGAAGCTTCTGCACTCCCTAAACACTCCATTGGCCTTCTCAAGATCATACATTCTTGGAAACAGGTCAATAACAGCATCTTCCATCGATAGATCCAGAGTCACAAAACACTCCACACTATCCTCAGGACATATCCTACTGAAAACAATCTTGATCACATTCTCTCTCACCGGAATAATGTCCATTCCAAGGTATCTCTTGAACCACTCTGCTTTTGCCTCCATCAGTGCTTCTCTTTGCTTGTTTCTCTCGAAAATAAGCTCCATCTTCTTCACAAAGGCATTTTCAATCCCTTTCTTCTCCTGGAAAACCTCTTTCAGATCGAGATTGTTCATTTCAAGCTCCCTGATCTGGTTCATAAGCTCATGCTTCTCATCCTCCGAGGCCTTCAGATCCTTTGTGTCTTGCTCAATCCTGGATTTAAGTGCATTTCTCTCGTCAACTAACCTCTCATTCCTCTCCCTCATCTCGTTAAGAGTGGACGTCACTGTTTGTAGAAGAACCTCTCCCTCTTGCTTATCTCTGCTGATCCTGCCTCTAAGAAACCGTGCATGGTTCCTAAACATCTCGAGATACCCTTCCAGATCATTTATTATCCCGTCCATCACGCCTCTTATCTTCTCGGCATTTGCTGCTGTATGCTCCATCCCCATTAAATGCTGATCTCCAATTGAAAAATTTATCCATGGAACATAGATGTGTAATCTGCACTTATACTCCAAACATCAGAATAAATAACCTAGATTACTGCAACACATGTTTTGAAAGGCAGCTTCTCCACAAAGTCTTCAAACACTTCAAGAAGCTTCCGTTTGGAAGCAGGATATTGCTCTATTTTGATGGAACATTTTCGTCCTTGGCGATGGCACATGCTATTAGCAGACTAAAGAACAGAAATATACACAAGTTCGTCGTAGCCTCTAGATCCTGGCCTGAACATAGGGATTTCCTCAAAGACATTGGGTTTTCCTGCCATGTAGACCTTCAGCCTGAATCTGATGTTTCCAATGCCGGCCTTTGCCGCAGCAAGATAGATCCGATTCCTAAGGAGGTCATTGAAGTAGGCCGATCTTTGGGATTTGATACTGTTGTGTTCCAGGCGGATGCAGAGATGGAATCTGTGATAGCTCTCAGATCGGTTTGTGATGGATGTGGAGTACTGGAGACAATCGAGTCGTACGTCTCTGGTATCAGTGGGGTCAGAGTTGAGAATGCATTCGGCAGAATCAAGCCAAAGGAAGTAAGATATTATTGCTATCTTAATAAGATAGCTGGAAGCTTTACAAAGCTTGGAATGTCTAGCAAAGAGTTAGTTCTTTCAAGGTTTATCAGCAAAATGGAGAGCAAGAATAGCCTTGTGGTGTTCAATATTCTGAACACCGTTAAGAAGATTGTGGCAGGCAAAGATGGGATTGATACTTCTGACTGAAGAAGTGAATCAGGTGTGTGAGAGATGGCAAAACAAAGTTGTTGGAACCAAAACATCTGTTTCAAGCAAAATATTTATATATTCCCTAAGGAAGAAGTATCAAAACTATGTTTCTCATGACACCATCTCCTCTTTTGCTCCTCATTGGGCTTGTTCGAGAAGGCCTTGCATTGGCATCCGAGTATAACTTCGGAGGCTTTGAGTCTGATCCAGCATGCACAAAGGACGATAAGATCTACCTGGTTAGTCTGTATGCACACTTTGACAGAGGAACAATAGATGCGATCTTCTCTGCATTTTCTGACTGCAAGGATGAGAGAGAAGCCGTGGAACACTACCTGAAAACCAGGGTGATAGGGCCTTACAACGACTACCTATCTAAGTTCAAGGTGAAGATAGGGTTCGATGCAAAGGATTACGATGTCAACGAGCTTGTACCCGAAAAGAGGTTTGACAGCTCCTGTGAGCTTGTGGAGCCTGTAAGCTCAAGGACAAACACTGTACACGAGCGCCTTCTCAACACATACAAAGACAGGAAGATAGGAATCCATTTGTTCCTGTGGAGCTGCCCATCCCACAATGAAAATATAATGCCTAAGATAGTGATTGGAGAACCTAAGGAATGTGCAAGGTCGATAGGTGTGTTATGGAGAGGCACAGAAGACACGATAGACTTCATCAAATCTGGAATATCCGAGGCCATCTCTGGGGCAAAAGATCTGTTTCTCAACCAGGAGTTTCCAAACTCCAAGGACGAAGAAAAGCTTTCCTATGTCTGCCAGCATGTGGATACATGCATAGCTTCCAAGCCCAGTGTCAATGGAGCAATAATCTTTGGGATTGACGAAACAAGCGATGAGGCTCCTTCCACACATATTGATGTAGATAGCCACCCAAGCGAGGTGTACATCCCGCCTGAGAAAGGGTTCAGGGGGCAAAGAGTGATATACGTCAATGAGCCTTCTGACTCTGCTGACGATGACTGCAAGTACTAATACATATAAATAAGGTCATTGTGAAGTTTGAAATTAAACCAATCTTTTGAGGAAGCTTTTTACCTGTTAGGGATCTACCTTACCCAAGCATGTCTTTAAGACCAAAAGGAGGATACATTACATGCTTGATACTACCCTGTAGAATACCCCTGGATGGTTCTGGAAGAAAAAATCAAGCTTCTTCGGAACAGTATTGTGGAGTGTGACCAGGCTCTAAGGAAACTAGAGCAAAGATCAAAGATGCTTACTCAGCATGTCGAGACGTCCATCCTTATGGCAAGATCTGAAGAAAGCAAGGAGGCATGATTCCTTTGGAGTAGAATCCTGATTTTGTTTTAGATCAGCTTTTCAAACAAAGATAATAAATATTTTCGAAAAATATCTCATAAATGGGTGGGAAGAAGAAGACGAGTGAACTCCAAACTTTGAGCATCATTGTTAGAAAGTACATTCTCGGGATTCCACAGATTCGAGTTGTTGTATTCCCTGTTCTCTTGAGTATCTTTGCAGGAAAGTATTTTGAAGTCAAAGTGGCAAGCTGCATAAGCCACATTTCTGATGGGCTGGGCTCGGCAGAGGTTCCTCGAGGCAGGATTGCCATGTTTCTGGCGACATCTTTGATGGGGATAATGTTCACAGAGCTCCAGGGATATGTATTTGTCGGTGCAATTCAATACGTTTATAGATACACGCTGAGAACCACATTTGAATACTTTATTCAGATGGATACAGAACCATTTGAGTCCTATGGCTTGGGGACTATCCAGAGTATTATAACTAGGAAGAGCAAGGCCATCAGCGACTTTGTAGAGGTTTCTGTCCAGAATCTATTTCCTGTGGTAGCATCTCTTGGATTTGTCGGGCTTGAGGTGTATCTAAAGCTCGGAGCCCTAGCTTCAGTCATTATTGTCTTTGCAGTGAGTGTTTATGGATTCATAACGATATCAATAGCTCTTAGAAGGAACAGGATTAGAGCAGCACTAAACAATGCGGAGAATACTGCATCAAACATTGTGTATGACACTCTGAGCAATCATGAGTCTGTTGTATCCTTCAACAACTATGATATTGAAGTGAGGAGATATGATGGGAAGCTAGTGGAGATTGAAAGGTTTGGAACAAGCCTGTTCAGAGGTCTATACATTTTGAATATGGTCCAGAAGCTCATCTTTGCATTTCTGAACTCATTGATGATTGCGCTTGGGGTTTACGGGATGCTTTCTAGTAGGATGGATGGAAAGACACTGATCTTCTATGCAACAACAAGCAGAATTCTTCTTATGAATCTGAACAACCTTGGATACACGTACTGTAGGTTTACAGAGGCTATGCTGAATGCCAGGGAAGTTCTGTCTGAAGACTACGATGTAAAGACAAGTGAAAGCCAATCCATAGTGAAGTTTGGAAAAAATATTACGTTTAGCAATGTCCACTTATATTATGGAGACAAAAAGATACTTAACGGAGTGAATCTTAAGGTTGAGAAAGGAGATAAGATGGCGATTGTAGGATCGAACGGATCTGGAAAGTCGACTATTCTGAAGACCCTCTTGAAGTTCTGTAGTTACCAGGGCACAATATGCATTGATGGGATGAACATCAAGACAATAGGAAATGGATCGTTCAGGAAGATCATAGGATATGTGCCCCAGAACTCCTCTCTGTTCAATGAGACCGTAATGTACAACATCAAGTACGGGAATCCCGGTGTGTCAGACTACGGTGTTGTTGAGCTTGCAAAAAGATTCAACATTCATGACAGCATCATGAGGCTTGAAAGAGGATACTTTACCAATGTTGGGGAGTCTGGAAGGCATATCAGTGGGGGAGAGAGGCAGAAGATTATTATATTGAGAGCCTTGTTGAGGAGGCCTGAGATTCTCATAATGGATGAGCCAACATCTAACCTTGATAAAGAAGCAGAAATAGACATTATAAAGAATATCATAGACTTCGAAGGGTCTCTGACCGTTATAGCAATTGTTCATAACCTTGACCTTCTTCCGTTGTTTGATAAGGTCTGCTTTGTTGATAAAGGTGTAATCAGAATGATAAGCCGGATAACCGGGGGTGCCGAATCCATAGTAGAGGGATTGAGAAACCATGGGGCGCTAGGAAATAAATAAATATCTTTAACACATTGTTGGATGAGGTTTACTTTCACTGGCGGAAGGAATCTGTGGTTTTTACTTCCGAAGTTTCACGTAACGAAATGATGAGATCACATATTCTATTGAAAGCATCGTCTCGAACAGCATTTCCCATGTCAGATGTTTTGGCTATATCCTGCCGTAGATTGATTGAACCTAGATATGGGACACCATTGGATTTGCAATATGACTCAACTCCGGTACTCCTGAACACACTTTTTGGGTGGTTGCAGCTTGGACAGATGAATTTCTTCATGTTCTCTACAATCCCAAGGACATCTATCTTTGCCTTCCTACAAAAATCAATCTGCCTTATTACGTCCTGCATAGCAAACTTCTGGGGTGTTGTGACAATGATCCCAAGTCTTGGTTTTATGAAGTTCACCATTCCAAGATGTTCATCAGTCACATTTGGAGGAGTATCCAGGAGAAGTGTATCCACTCCTTTATAATTACAATGTCCCAGTAGTTTCTTCAAAGCATTTGTCTTGAGCCTAGAGCTGAACATCCTTCCTTCTCCATACGAATTCTGGACATACCCAGCGGAAACGACCTTCAGAAACCTATTCACCTCTACTGGCTGCATCATGCCATTTGTTTCACACATAGACATCCCATCTGTCGCCGTAAGTCTTGGAATGCTTGGCCCAGATAGATCTAGATCTAAAATGCATGTCGAGACTCCTCTAGCAGAAATGCATTCTGCTATATTCCTAGTAATTGTACTTTTGCCAACACCTCCCTTCCCACTCATAATAGCAACTATGATCCTTATGCCTCCGAGATTCTCTTGAATGGCTTTGATATCTGGATCTTGTTGCATAGGTTGTGAGCAATATGACACATTGGGACACCCTTTGCATTCTTCAGCTTTCCCGGCATCCTTACTCGACACCCCTGGACAATTCTCTCCCATCTTCCAGGCCTAAACTATATTTCATTTTGAAGAGATCCTGTGATTATGGAGGCCACAGATAAAACCTTAACGGATGGAATGCCTCAAAATTCAACTAACAGCGACTGTGCAGATGTTCCTCTAATATCGAAAAGCAGCCATGTATACATGAGATTAATTGAATCTGCATTCATGGTCCCCTTTAGGAAGCTCGGGTTCCTCTCACGGGAGTCTGTGTTTCCCATTCTATTGGACCATGTGAAGGTGAATGTGGATGCAGGATCTTCATCTCCTACTAGATATGCAGTGGATCTGAGCTATGGAAGACAGAGATGGAGGATAAACGTAGGGATAGTACAGATGTTTTCCCTGAATGCCTATCTTCATTATAGAGAAGTCATGGATTCAAGAAGAGATAAGCCTAGAATATGTACGGAAGGGCAGTACAGTGGTGTTGAAGAGTTTCTTAGGGCTGTTCTCTACAGGTCTCGGCTACTTGATATTGGAAAGGTTTATGATTTCTTCAGAATATCCAAGCATTCGTTCAATGGGACGAAGATGTTTGAGGATAAGTTCCATGTAAGCATAATAGATCTGGAGAAGAGTAAGTGTAGAAACACCTGCTGTAGGACGTTTGGGATTTCTGGAAAGATGTACATTGTCTGCAAAAAGTCGCATCTGGTACTTGTTGATTACAGAAATGGCCATGAGGACATAGATGTTCTGTTTTACAGGAAAAGCTTGAATGTAAGATACAAGTCCGAGATATTTTGTAGTAAGGTGACTGTGGATAAGAATGAGAGAAGATATGTAATCAAATCTTTTAGACATGATGCAGTGAGGCGATTGTTTGGGGAGATTCTAGGAGGGCTAGAGAAGAGAGGCTTGGAGAGGTTTCTATCTTTTAGCCCCATAAGGAGAAGAGGAGTGGTAAACTTCTATGTTGATGGAAAGAACTATTTCTACAATCTCTATGAAACATTATGCTTGGCAAGAAGAGAGGTTTTTATTGCCGGATGGTGGATCTATCCAACATTGTATCTTAGAAAGGAATCGGCGGGGGAGAGGGGACTCAACGAGATGTACAGGTTTGACAATGTTTTGAAGAGATTAGCAGAGGAGGGAATAAGAATAAGGATACTTGTGTACAAGGAGATTCTGGGAGCCCTGAACATAGATTCAAATCGTACCTGTGAGTTTCTATCCAATCTACACAGGAGGATTGAGGTTCTTATGCATCCAAATGGCATAGGACGTGCCCCGATCTATTGGACCCATCACGAGAAAATAGTTGCCATAGACCAAAGGATAGCATATGTTGGAGGAATAGACCTGGCACCAGGAAGATACGACACACAGGATCATACCCTGTTCAGTACAGAATGGTGGCCCGAGGGATTAGGGAGATGTGGAGAAGAAAAAGCTATGGCTGATGTGGATCCGCCCAGAATTTTCAGGATGCCATGGCATGATGTCCAATGCAAGGTTGTTGGAGACTCTGCATTTGATATATCCCAGCACTTTATCGAAAGATGGAACTTTATTGTTTCAAAGGATGGAGAGACCGAGAAGACAAAACTATTGGTTCCAAATGAAGAGATGCTGGAGGAACATGTTCCTGTGGACGGATCTGAGGGCAGAGCATCTACCAAGACGCAAGTGCTGAGATCTGTTGGGAGATGGTCTATCGGGTATGACGAGGCCTCTATATCAAGAGGATACTCTGAGATGATTCAGAACTCCAAGAGATTCATATATATAGAGAATCAATTTTTCATTACAAAGTGTAGCTCTGCTCCTGGATTCCCCGAAAATGCAGTTGGAAAGGCTCTTGTGGAGAGGATAATCAAGGCTGACAGAAATGGAGAGGAGTTCAAGGTGTACATTCTTCTCCCCCTCTTCCCTATACTTGATACCGGGATCTCTGTGGGACCAACGCCAGCCATGGAAATCATAAGAATCCAGGAGCAATCAATATCGAGAGGAGAGGGGTCTTTGTATCAAGTGCTAAAAGAGAACGGTGTCGATCCAAGCAAGTATATTGTACTCATGTCTTTGAAGAAGGCCTGCTTTGATGGTCTGAAGGTTGTCCATCAGCAGATCTATGTCCATTCTAAGATAATTATTGTGGACGGAACATCTGCTATAGTAGGAAGTGCAAATCTTAATGACAGGAGTATGTTAGGAACGAGGGATACCGAAATAGCATTACTGGTGGAAGAGGAAGGGGGATCAATCCATAAGCTGCTTAGAAAATTACTAGAGGAGCACCTTGGAATTGGAGGAAAAGGAGAGAATAGATATGGGCCCCAGGATCTCCTAGAACATTGCTTGCTCAATGGAGAGATTGATCTTGGAAGCAATGATGTCTTTAGCAAGATTATCACCAGAGCAAGAAATAATACAGAAACATTCAGAAGGCTCTTCGAAAGTGGTGGGAGGCATTTGGGCATTTGTTCAATGGATGATGATTTCATTTGTGATGCACTAAGTGGAATACAAGGCCATCTAGTTCTGTTTACAGATGACTTTTTAGTCGAAAAACAGTTTGAGAGAAGTATCTTTAGCATTCAAGGATTTATTCCGTCGATAGTTTATTATTAGTCTCGGAGAATGGGGAACCTCTCCAACTCATCTGCATATGCATGCCTTGGGAATTCTTCTACTTCGATTAAAGACTTGTTCATATCCACGCCTTTGCTCCTAGCAAATTGAAAGACCTTCTTCTTTGACGAAAGAATAGGATTGGAGGCTTTTCTGTTGCTGAAGAAGTTTTCTACCTTCCTGGCCAAATCCTCTGTATCCATGGTGAATGGACAGGCCTGACAGTTATTTTTGTTCTTACTAGGACCCATATGGTATATTTCAGAAGCAAGAATTTTGGAATAGCCGACTCCTCGAGGGAGAGTTTCGATACGGTCTATGAGCAGGAGGGGCCTATCACTAGCCTATGCTGCTGCAAGGACGGGATTGTTGTAGGATGTAAGAATCGCGCAGTAGTCATCAAGAAAGGTGAAAACAAAAAAAAAAAGATAGTGAAGTTTGACAGAGATATAAGTGCTATAGATGCATGGGAAGACTTGACGGCATATGGAGATGAAGGCGGAGAGATCAAGGTGGTTGGAAGGATGAGAACCATTGTCAGACACTATCAAGAGCATGAGGCCAGAGTTAATGAAATAAAAATCAACGAAGATATGCTCATAAGTTGCAGTGATGACATGAAGATAAAGATATTTGAATTGTCCAGGGCAGAGTCTGTTGCCACCATAGCTGAGAATACAGATTACGTCAAAAGCATTGATGTTGGAGACGGAATGATATTTTCTGGGTCATATGATGGATTTATCAACGGATACAGCCTCTCGACCTTTAAGAGGGTATTTGAACACAACACCAAGCGTCGTGTATCGAAAGTCCGTATCTTGGGAGGAGGGCGTGTGGCCTTTGCATCTGGAAATGAGGTGTGTGTGATTGATGTTGAGAATGGAGGCAAGGAAATAGGAAAGGCCTTCCACATAAAGGAAGTGACGTCGATGGTGTTTTATGCAGGAAGGCTTTATACGGTGTCACTGGATGCAAATGTAAGGGTATTTACAACAGACCTTAGGATGATATCAAAGATTGGGGTTCAAGGAGGGATTCTAAGTATTAGTATTTTTGACGATGTACTGTGCCTTGGATTAGAAGATAGAGAAGTATTGGAATTGGCCAAGGAACAAGAGAAGAAGGATGTCATGGAGCTTAGATATAGAGGAAACGAGCTAGAAGATGAGGCGAAGATTGATGTTGTTCCAAATCCGCTGGTGAAATTCAGTTTTCTAGAGAGGAGGTTGAACGCCTTTGAATATAAGAAATCTATGATCCATGCAATGGAAAAGAGGGATATCCAAAAGGTGTTTGCGGTGATGAATTATATCCATGAAAAGCAGAAGTTTGAACATGCGCTCCAGGATTTGAACAGAAGAGAAGTGGAGAGGATCCTTGATGTGATAATTGAGTTTTTTACGGTGAGGGAGCTTGTGCCTGTTTTTTCCGAGTGTATTGAGACGATCCTTTCTCTGTATGAAAGGGACATAAGGGATGATAGTATGCTGAGTAGAAAAATAGAAGTGCTTGGAGCAGCCATTGACGATGAGTTGTACTTTCAAGAAGAAAACCTCCGCTCGATTGCGTTTCTTGAGTGTTTCCGAGGCTAGTTAGAGAGAAGAATAAACATTTTTAGGTGTGGTTATCAATGATCTTCAAACAACAAGAACTTGCCCTCAAATGGATACAAAGCTAATTGGGAGGATATGCAAATCGATAAGATACAGGGACTATGAAACTGCAATTTTTCTAACGGCATGCCTGACCCAGCAGAAGTCTGAATACAAGACACTTATGTCTATAATACTCTATCTGAATGGTGAGTACAGTCGTGCTCTTTTCCATCTCCACAAGCTCAACACATGGACATCGAAATACTACGAGTCTCTTTGCTACAAGAAGAAAAAAGACTATAAGAAGGCCATAAAAAGCCTAGAGCTAATCCTCGATGGAAAGGTGGAAAGAGACCCTGAGGTGGATGCAAGGATACAAGAGATGTTTATTGATCCCGAGGATGATGAGTTTTTTGAATCTCTTCTTGGAGATTTGTACACCTTGTCAGGATATAGGGAAGAGGGGATTGAGCACTATATAAAGTCCCTTGCAAAGAGCTTTTTACTTCCAGCTGTAGAAAACCTCCTACTTGAGAACAAGATTCCCGTAAAGAGAGATAAGGAGAATGTCCGGCAGATGGGCAAGAGGGGGATTGAGGAGGAATATGTGACAGACATTATTGAATTCCACGAGAGCCTTGGACAGTCTCTGATAAAGAAATATTTGGAGTATATTCCTGGTGTTGGATCATACTTCATCTCAAATGCAGCAAGGAGATATTTCAATCTTGGAATGAATGATAAGAGCAAATCATGTTTTGAGCTTGTAAGGAGAAAGGATCCTATGTTCCTGCACAATGTGGATTACTACTCAACTATCCTTTGGCATTGTAAGGATGTCTATGAGCTTGGGATGCTGTGTAAGAACTTGATCAAGCATGCACCGGATTCTCCAAACACATGGAAGGCGCTGGGAAATTTCTATAGCCATCAAGGGGACTATCAAAGAAGTGTCCTGTGCTTCAAAAGAAGTCTGTGCATAGAAGAAGACTCATACACCTACACACTTCTAGGATATGAATCGATTCAGAGGAACGAGTATGATGTAGCAATGAAGTACTTTAATCTATCATTGAAGATGCTTGGGGATAACTACAGAGCAATGTTTGGATGCGGATTAGTGTATACCAAGACGGAAAGACTAGACAATGCTGAGTTTTTTCTGAAAAAAGCCATAGAAACAAATCCAGGGAATCTTCAAATCAAGGTTCATGCAATGAAGTTCTACACTCGGAAGGGGCTTACAGATCAATCTATAAGGCTCTTTAAGGAGGCGTTTTGCATGAAGTATACAGACATCCATAAGATTGTTGAGTGCATTCTATCCAGAAAGGGAAGCTTCACCAATGTCGAAGAATTCTTGGTTCTCGAATTTGTAGAGATTCTCGTTCTTCAGAACCTGTCTAAGCTTGCAGCGGATGTTTTGAGCTGTGTAGAGTATAGGGGGGAGTCCTATAGTAAGAAAAAAGAGCTTCTTCAGGATAGGGTGGAATAGCACAAGATTTACTGGTAGGGCAACACATCGAGTCTACTCCTTGAATATCAGGATTCTTCTAAGATGCATGAAACCGAACTTCGGGATAGTCACGATGAATAGGCTTGCAATGCACAGCCAAAACAGGAAGGTATTCCACTTCACAATGAAATTTATGATCGTGAATGCTATTAACGGGAATAGTGCTATGAAAATGAGGTCCGGAGTGCCTTCCAGCTGCTCTGAAAGCTGTTCCCAGAACGTATAAAGGCTGTACCTGTCGTTGAAAGGATCTCCAGGGATCATATGGAAGAAAATAAAGGTAGAGATGTTGTAGATGATTAGTGAGAGCTGCCATCCTATACTGTCACTGAATACTACCGAGAGTGTCATCTTGAGAAGGAATATAACTAAAACATGAATTATCCAGCTTCCCCGTTGCAATGTCCATGCCACATTCTGAGAGACATCAACTTTCCTCTCTCTATCAATCCCCATCCACCTCAGGCTGTTATTGCCTGAAATAGATTATTTGATTGTTTCAGATTCGAGGGGACACATGTCATGATTAGCCTGTCATTCTTGATTTGGCTCCATGAGATCTTTTAATAGAAAGCTTTTCTTACTGCCGCTGAATAGGAGTATGAAGTCCATTATATGCTGCCTTGCCAGAGGAGAAAGCCTTTTCAGCACCTCAACCATCTTTTCCTGTGTGGTTGGCTTGGCCTTCAACAGCCTTACAACCTGATCGTCAGTCATGACATAGTGGACAGATTCGTCGTTACTTCTTGCAAGAAACCTTCTTAGCTTCAAAAGATTCTCAAGAATCTCTTCATCTTCAGAGATACCATATCTTGAAGCCATGTCCTTTGTCTCATCGATCTCTTTGCTGCAGTAGACCTTCATTTCAACACCACTGGCAGCCATTTCTCTTATTTCATGGACGCCTTTGAATAAAACCTCAAGAAGAAACCCTGGAACAGGACGTATTCTCCAATCGATAAAAACCATTTTCGGAGAGATTTCATAACTTCTAAAGCACCCGACCTGCCTAAAGTCTCTGAGAAGCCTCTCGACACAAGCCCTGCAGTGTATTATCTTTGGGACGTGACATTTGAGCAATTCAAGCCTGGAAATGGCTGCTCTGAACTTTATTGCATCTATTATGTAGACGTTGCCCTTTGCATCGCCAACAGAGATAAAGCATGTAAACCCTTCGTACGACCTATATGAATGGTCAAACATCTCTATTGCAGCCTGCGTAATAGTTTTGTCCATATCCAATAACTGATCGAGTGTCTTTACATACACAGTACTTGAAAATGCCTTGAATTCTCCGAATGACGGTGTGTGGCAGCAGTCGATGTTTTCTGCATCAATACTTTCTATTCTTGGCTTGACTATCTCTTTTCCTAAAATACAAAGTGGCTTCTTGTTTTTTGTTATGGCCACAATGGTGTCTGGCCTAATGCTCTCCTCCACTTCAATACTCTCAAGAATCCGTTTGAACCTATCTTCCGAGTCCTTTACGAGTAGCTGGATCTCTTCAATCCTTTGGACCAGCCTTTCTATTTCCAGGCCATTCAGGTCATGGCTCTCCTGGCGTAGAAATAAATTGATTCCCTCCACAAACTTGATACTCATATCCAACAGATTCATGAGTAAGGGGAACAGATATCCCATGAAAACTAAAAAGGAAACAGTAGAACCTGATGGATGGGGCAAGGAGGCCACAAAGACCAGTACATGCATAGAAAACGCCAATGAGAAGAAAAGCAGCCACCAAAGCAGAGAGTACACATGCAATATATGTTACTCGCAACCAGAAGGCCCTGTACTGACACCGTGTGGACATCTATTCTGCTGGGGATGCTTGTATGTATGGTCTCAGTCAACAGGAGGATGTAAATTCTGCCCTACATGTAGGAGTAGAATGGAGATTGAGGAGGTTATATCTGTGCTGGCTGTAGACTCAAAGAAAGAAAGCAGAGGGCTCCCGCCAAGGCCTATGAACAATAGAAAGCTTGTGAGAGTGATAACTCCGGGAATAAAAGTTAACGGTACAAGATTTGGAAGCTGCCTCTTACAAGAAGAAGAAGCAAACATATTTTCATACAGAACAACAATAGGCCTATTAACTCTCATGTGTTTACTTATTTCCATAACTTTGAAGTCATATAGCTTTGAAGGTTGATTAGCAAAGGACCTTTATTAATTAAAGTGTGGTTCTACTTTTTATATGTCCTCTGCTTTGATGGGCTTTCGACTATCTTTTCTTCAATAAACAACCCTTTCTTCTTCCTTATTCCCTCTATGTACCTGTTGAAGTCTAATACAAACCTGTATCCTACATCCTTCACCAGAAGATATGCTGTTCCTTTTGTCCTTACTCTTATCTCCTCAAGAAAGTTTGAGTACAAAAACTGGGGGATTAGTACTGTAAGGACATAGAACCCTGTCTTCTCCTCATAGCTTTCTTGGACTACTGCATAGCTGTGCTTTGAAAGGCTTTTGTACGCCTCTCCTATAAACATCTCTTGTATGGAGATACTGCACTCGTAAAATATCGGTGCAATGGACGGGTTGGAGGAAAGATATACAGAAGCAAGCGAGTTCTTTAGAAAAGAGTATAAAGTGTCTGGCTCTATTGCGCTGGCATCCCCTTTCAAATCCAGAATAAACCTCGTTTCACATATCTTCTCCCTTATCAACGGCCCACCGGAGACAAACATCCCTAGAACATTGGCAACCGTCTCAAAACACAAGTCAGATACAAGAACAAATTGGTTTCTGTCCTTATCCTCCCACTTTCTGAAACAAGTGTTAGTATTTTCTTCACCCTCATATGCTCTACAGATCAAAACATTCAAGCTGAGGCTTTCCAAAGCAAAGGTCTGGCTTGCAGGCTTCATAGCATATTCACAGAACTTTTCTTCAAGGTCTGAAACAGTAAACTCAAAGCCAGAATCTATAAGATCTGTGATTATCTTTTCTGACTGGACCCTTCCTGTACACGAAACCTCCATTTCTTTGTACTTGTTGAGCCTTACTTTTAGAAATTGCTCTGTGCACGACATCACCCTAAATACCTCCTTCAATTCATCAAGCCTCCCAATGTCATCTAGAGCAAGTTTAAACTTATAGAAAGGTGTTATTTTGCTCTGAATATTCATCTTGTACACGGGAACATCGGTTATCAACGAGTTCTTCAGGAAATTCCCTCCCATGCAAACAAGGTTCGATCCAGACACCTCGTTCTTCTCAATTAGTTCATTTATTCCAAACAGATATAGGCTCTCCACAATGCATTCAGAGACATTCATTCCATCTGCAGAATATACAGTGTCTCCCACTCTCACAGTCCCACAGAACAATCTTGTAACAAAAAGCACAGAGGCCCGAGTATATACCCGAGGTGTCTTGAGAATACCATAGACGGTAACACCTACCAGGGAAGGCGCTCTGGCCGATGGTATTGGATTCAGGTTTATTAAATCGGATTCAAGAAACATCTTTAAATGATCTTTAGTATCCCAGGATATGGAATCAAACACACAATCAGAAAGGGAAAACATTGCCGAAAGAATGTTCTTCCTGCTTCTGATTGCCACCCTAAACCTTTCACATATCTTGTCGACATCTTTCTCTTCTATTTTCTTGTATATATGAAATAAGAGGTCTATTGCATTTTTCAAGGTTCCGTCCTTCCCAATAATCCTCTGGAACACCCTTCTGTTGATTCCGTAGCAGAGTGTTGCACAGCATAATATAACGTTGTTGGCCTCCCACTCAAAAAGATCTTCCTCGGCAAGCCCGTTTATTGACGATACCACCAAAAGTATCTTCTGCAGAAGCTCCTGGGGAGAGGATATCTTGTCTATCTTATTTAAGGCAAGGACACACCTCTTCCCCTTTGTGTACTTCACAAGTGAGTAAGTCCTCGGAGTTATTCCCTCGTTGACATCCACAAGAATAAGGAAGTTATCTGAAAATATGGAGCTTGACTGGATCAGAGATTCAAAGTCAACATGGCCTGGTGTGTCGATGAACACATAACCATACCCGTTGTGCTCCAGGGAGATTGCACTCAGCTTGAGTGTTATTCCTCTGGTTTGCTCATCTTCTCTTGTATCAAGGAACCTAACCGACCCTGCAAGTGTCCTTGATATTCTCCCTTGTGATGCAACAAGACTATCTATTAGGGATGTCTTGCCGTGGTCTATATGTGCCACCACACTTGCTATTATTGTCCCTTTGTCTTCCATCCTGGGGGTCTGCCTTGTCTCAATACATCTTCTGATGGCTTGAATTTTTGCTTGGATCCCTAGGCTATGGGGCTCTTTACAGACGAGAATGAGAAGAAGCCTTTGCCAGCTTCTGAAAACTTTCAAGACAACACCTTGAGATCTCCAAACACATCTCAGCAATTGGGAAAATACATTGTGAATGGGCTGGAGATGCTTTCTTTGTCGGACATTAAGGTTGAAGTGGACAGAAAGAATGAAGCCTTCGATGATGGCATCTCTGATGACCACTCTGAGGGATTATCTATGTTTGGCACCATATCAGCAGAAAGTAACGGAAATGAGGATTGTGTGTATCTATCAAGCATATACAAGACTTACATGAAGGTCAATGAGAAGATTGATAAGCTAATCCGAAGGGAGTACTTCGACAGGACGTTTGTGAAGTGTGTTCTTGAGGAGATATGCAGGGGGGATCTGGAAAAAGCCAGGGGAACCATATGCAAGGAGCTTAAGGACAGAGATCCTCATTTTTCTGTAGAGACATACTGCTCTGAGCAAAGGATATGCTCTGGAGGGAATGTGTCACAGAGTATAAATGGGTTGCTAGGAGACTTAAGGGACATTGAGGAGATAAGTCATAAGCTTCGCCGGATGTTTTTTGACATGAGAAGCAAAAGCTTTGAGGCCGAGTTAGGGTATGCTAGATCTAGTAGTGAGGTTGTGAAACAACTGGATAAGTGTTCAAGAGAGCTAGAAGACTTGAAAAGGATAAACGGGATGATTGCTAAGGATGTTGTTGGAGCTATTAAGGACTTTGGAATTGATACGAGTGTCAAGGAGAACGACTTTTATGATGTTTCAAAAGCTTTAAAGGATGTGCTTAAGGGTATTAGGAAGAGAGTCAAGACTATGGAGTCAATGAGCCAAGAAGTCGAGATGAAGGAAAAGGAATATGAAAATGTTTTGAAAGACTACACCGAGCTCAAAGGCAAGATGGACAGAATTATAAACGAGAATGCTAGCTTTTCAGAGGCAGTGGCAAGGCTCAGTACCAAAAACGCAAAGATAAGGAAGGATTATGACACTCTAAAAGAGGCACTAAAGAAGACGGTCGAGTCCAATAAGAAGAAGAGCATCACAATAGATAGGCAGAAGAAGATCATTGATGTTCTTCAGAGTAGAATTGGAGATGAGTGCATACTTCCTGTGAACGAGTTGCAATCAAAGATTGATGAGATAAGAAGAAGGGCTGATTCTGAGCTTGACCTGAGCATAAAGAGTAAACTGGAGGAAGAGATAGCAGATTATGAAAGGAGAATGTCTGATTTCCTGTCTCTTTTGAATAAGACAGGCTAAATAAACAGGATCAAGTAAATGAGAGTATTTAATGGAACCCGGAGGTGTTAAGCCTTCTTGTAGAGAGAAATGGAGTACGAGACTCCATTAAACTCATATGAATCCCTTCCACATAGAATTCCCAAGTTCCCGAAGGGAATATCGAAATACTTACTCACAATGTTCTTCAAGTCAGAACATTCGATGTCTACCACCACATCATCATTAATATTTAGACCTATGCTTTTCCTTAGCTTCTGGATGTAGCTATGGAACTCTCTTGCAGCTTTCATTTCAACAATGTTTTCGTCCAAGGTATTATCAATGATTATACTGAAGTCCCCAAACTCTTGGCTGATTCCCTCAACACACTTTATCTTCTTTACAATCAGTACGTCTTCCTGAAGAATCTCAAGACCTCCTATATTCAACGAGGAACTTAGAAGTGAATACATTTGGTCATTGGAAAGATTCTTGATTAGTTCCATTTTTCTTTTCATAGTGGCTTTATCTTTTTTCAAATTCAAGAAGTTTGGCTTCACTGTAACATCGAACATAGATTTCTCTTCCTCTCTATGGAGGAGCTCTAGGACATTACATTCTGCCTTGATTGCATCTATGTAGTCCTTAACTCCCTCATACAGGCTATTGCTACTTATCAGTGTGGTACTCTTCAGCGGTGTCTTCAAAGATATGGAATTCATTTCTCTGAGGCGTCTTACTGCTGTTATAATGCTCTTGGCCATCTCAAACGGGTGCGTTCCACTGTTGCATGTCGGATATTCCTGGAAATGAACACTCTCTCCGGGATTAAGCGATTGGTAAGAATATTCACTGAAGAAAGGAGTGAATGGCGCCATTACAATAGAAAACCTCAGAAGAACCTCACCAAGAACGGTGTGATGTCCAGATCTTATCTCCTTTCTGTATATCCTGATATACCAGTTTGACAAGTCATCAATAAACCTTAGTGCTAGAGTCAATATGGAAGAAAGTTCATATCCTTTCATCTTTTCAGTCAATGACACTGTAAAATTATTGAGAGACGTCTTTATCCAGTCATCCATAGGCAAGCATACATTATCAGGCTCCACGTCTCTGTTCTCTAGATAAAATCCTAAGGAATTGTACCATGGAATTATCAACGTCTTCAGAACCTCTTTGACCCCGTTCTCATTAAACCTTAGGTTCTCTGCTTCGACAACAGGACTTGATAACAAGTACATTCTTAGAGAGTCTGCACCATAGGTATTGAGTATAAGAGATGGGTCTGGGTAGTTCTTCAGCCTTTTACTCATCTTTCGTCCATCTTCTGCAAGCACTATCCCATTAACAATCACATTGAGGAATGCAGGTTGATCAAACAGAAGTGAGGATATCACATGAAGGGTATAGAACCATCCTCTTGTCTGATCAAGTCCCTCTCCTATAAAGTTGGCTGGGAAGTTTTCTTTCACAAGCTTTTTCCACTTTCCATCTTCATCAGTTACAGAAAGGTCCTCCAGGCCTGCACCAACTTCCTTACAAAATGGCCAATGATCTTGTGCATATGGCATACTCCCGCTTTCAAACCAACAGTCAAGAACCTCCTCAACTCTTCTGTATTCCTTTCCATTCTTGTGTATGACAATGTCGTCAATAAATTCCCTGTGAATGTCAACGATTTTCCTTCCACTTAGCCTTTCAAGCTCTTCTACAGATCCTATACATATCATGTCACTATAGTCCTCCGTGGTCCACAGGGGAATGGGTGTTCCCCAGAACCTGTTTCTTGATATAGACCAGTCCCTTGCATTTTCCAGCCAGTTGTGGAATCTTTTGTACTTTATGTCCTTGGGGATCCAGTTTATCTTCTCGTTATTTCTTAAAAGAGAGCACACATGGTCCTTGACCTTGACGAACCAGTTTGGAACAAGCTTGTACAGTAGGGGCGTGTCGGATCTCCAGCAGAATGGATACTTGTGCACTATCCTTTGGTTCATAAGGACCTTATCCTTAATGTCAGAAAGAATGGACTTATCGCAATCCTTTACATATCTTCCAGCATAGTCCTTCACCTCATCGGTGTATCTCCCATTCTCATCGACAGGGCAAGGAACAAGGTCATTCTCACGTATCAGCCCTTTCTCAACAAACACATTATAGTCGCATTCTCCAAACCCAGGGGCACAATGGACTACACCTGTACCGTCTGTATCCGTGACAAATCCAGAGGTATAAACTCTGAAGAACCCTTTCTTCCTGTATTCTTCGAAGTAGGAAAACGGCTGTTCATATTCAAGTCCTTCAAGCTCCTTCCCAGAAATCTTCTTCAAGATCTTGGTGTCCTTGAAATACTCCTCAATCCTGTCCACATGCATTAAGTAAAACCTCTGCTTATGCTCAAAAACTCCATACAGAAACCCGGAATTCACCACAAGTGCACAGTTAGATGGTAAAGTCCAGGGTGTGGTAGTCCACGCGACCAATGACAACTTGTATCCCCCAAGACCTTCAAGAAGAGGGAAGGCAATAAGGACAGATGGATCGCTAACATCTTTGTAATTCTGATTCGATTCAAAGTTGCTCAGAGGAGTTGAACACGCTGTGGAAAATGGCATCACTCGAAATCCTCTGTATATCAGATTTCGGTTGAAGAGCTCCTTAAAAATATTCCATACACTTTCCATAAACTCTCTGTCCATAGTTCTATACCCATTCCTAAAGCTTATCCATCGCCCGAGCCTTTCCACAATCTTCTCCCACTCACTGCTGTACTTCATGACAATCTTCCTGCATTCCTCGTTGTATTTGTCAATCCCCATCTTTAGAACCTCGTCTCTACTGCTTATCCCTAGCTTCTTGTCAATCTCATATTCAACAGGAAGCCCATGGCAATCCCATCCAAACCTTCTGTCAACATCATATCCCTGCTGATAGAAAAATCTGGTAACAGTGTCTTTGATCGTACCGCTGAGAATGTGGCCATAATGCGGCAGCCCTGTTGCAAACGGAGGGCCATCATAGAAAGTAAACTTCTCCCGGCCTTTGCTCATCTCACAAGCCTTCTCAAAGCATTTGCCATTTCTCCAGTATTCTAGCACCTTCTCCTCACATTCAACGAAGTTGGCATTCTTCTTATACATTCTTGAGGATCAGAAAAAATTGCAATTTAGGCCTCGCCACATTGATGGCAAGCAGCTTACGGTCTGGAACAATCCATGCTACCCGGATTGGCATATTTCAACTTCAAGCTCGACATATTGGTGATGCCCTGGATGAATTATCCGGATTCCATATCTTTCCAAAAGCTTGTTTGCTTCGGACAGGTATTCCTCAACCCTTACATAAGCATTTTGAGGAGTGCTTACCAGAAATGGAATGATAGATACAGTCTTAATGAAAGACACTAGGGATGGAGACTCAAGCCCATAAAGTACATCGTTTAGCCCAGATATTATTTCCTTCCATTTTTGCCTTTCTATTTTCTCTGCCATTATCTCGGGCATAGATGTTATAAATGAAATTCCATCTGTTCTTGGGTCCCTAGGTATCTGTATGCACACGGTCTTTCTTGTCATAATTCCTTTGTGTACAAGGCCTTGGACATAGAATGTTTAGTAAGGAAAGAGTTTAAACTACCTGAAATATGGTACCCATGAATTTCGCTCTACCAAACCTTGACTACCCTTATGATGCACTTGAGCCTTTTGTCGATGAGGAGACAATGAGGACTCATCATACCAAGCACCACCAGGGATATATCAACAGCCTTGAAAGAACAATTCGCAATAATGGTCTTGAAGACCAAGACCTTAACTTCTATGTGACAAAGAGCCGAAGAATTAGAGGACTCAAGGATAATGTGAGGAGAGACTTAATCAACTTCTCTGGAGGGCACTACAACCATAGTCTGTTTTGGAAAATGATGTGCCCTCCAGGAACTAGCGAGCCCATCAGTCCAAAACTATTGGAATGCATTGATAAGTCCTTTGGGTCTCAAGAGAAGATGGTTGAAAAGTTCAATGGCATAGCGGCATCTCTGTTTGGATCTGGATGGGTATGGCTGTGTTACAGGCGGAACGAAGGAGTCCTTGTAATAAGAAAGACCTACAACCAGGATTCCATATGCATGAAGACCTCAAGCACAATCCCAATTCTTGGGTTGGATGTATGGGAGCATGCATACTACCTGAAGTATAAGAATGCAAGAGCTGAATATGTAGCAAATTGGTGGAAGGTTGTCAACTGGGGAATGGTCAACAAGATATTTGAGGAAATAGCTCTTGCGAACAAGAAGCTACATGTTGTGTCTGATGGATCCATTAAATTTGATTAAGACCGATTATTTATGTTTGATGTAAACATCTTCTTTACCGCGCATCTTCTTTTCAGCTTTGAACCTCCATCTCACATAGATCCGCGACATAAATACAGCAACAACGGCCACAGGAAAAAGGAGGTAGTCAATGAGACATTCACATTCAAATCTTATCTGGCATAAATATGTGAAGGCGTCAGATGCCACTACGCTTCTTCTCTTCATTCCACTGAGAAATGAAAAAGCTCTCTCCCGGGCAGAGGATGGAGATATCATTCCCTCTATGGCCTTTGTGTATGCAGGCTTTGTCTTGTTCTCCATTTCAAACCCAGGTGTCTGAATAGAGGCTGTATTATAGAAATAAAGCTCTACACCAAGTTCCTTCATCTCATCACGAAGTGTATAGAACAATGAGAGAAGAGCTGCCTTTGATGGGGAGTATGAGGAGAATCCGGGAAATGTAAGGAGTGAAAGGGTAGATCCTATCATGATAAACCTCATAGGCTTTTTGTTAATTGCTGTATAATGTTTTAACACGGCAACAGTCCCGAGGTAATTTGTGTTCATTGTCTCCTTAAATAGTTCAAATGACTGGTCGGCAAAATATGAAGGATGTGAAATGCCCGCACAGCAGAATATGTAATCAAAGTCTGCAGACTTCTGGGAATCCATTGTGTTTACATCTAACACCTTGGTTTCAAACCCCCATTTACTTCTCAGCAACTCTAGGCTTTGCACGGATCTTGATGTTATTGTGACATTGTTCCCTGCCTCCTTCAGTATCTGAGCAAACGCAAGGCCTAGTCCGCTACTTCCTCCAACCACTAGAATCTTCTTATTGCTTATTTCATGTCTTTGATGTCTTGCGCGGTGCCTCAGAAAGAAGTATATAACAATAAGAGCGCCGAAGAGTAATAGAACAGCGGTCATCTTTTGTTTTTATGGAGACCATCATATTTGTCTTTGAAACATAAAGAATGCTTCTAATAACAGCTATTGGGGATAAATAAAAGACATGGCCGTTTAATTAAGGGGCCTGCATGGTATGGCGGGAGATTGGAGATCTAATTTTGAAATACTTTAGTGCTGAAAAACAATACTTAATTTAGTTTGAAATAAACTCTGCTTCATTTGTTGAAAACGGCCTTAATCTGAGACACAAAATATAAATAAAAAGTTTTATTTGCAGATTAATCTGATGAGCTACAACTTCACAGCATTGGATGCCCATATGGCCTTGATGAGCACTCGTGCAGAGGACTTCGGCATAAGGGAGGAGAAGTACAGGATGAACATAGGGAAGAAGATACGTGCCATAGTGAGAGAGATGAACAATAACTCTTCGAAGTGGCCTGTATGTGACCAGGTGAAATGCCGCAACTTCTTATCAAGAATAAGGAGGAAAATAGACGAGAGGCACAGTGCCTAGGGATATCTTTACCTAATAAAGTCTCTGGATCCTCTCATTTCGGATGTTCTTGTAAGCTATAAATAAAATGGAGTTTATTCTTAAGAGGTGCCGTTTTTCGATGTATCCATCATATCTCGCTTTGTTCATGATGTTCTGCTTCAAGCCTCTCGATGTAGCTCCGGACCTCCCGGTTGTACTTGGTTCCAAACAAGTCCGGATGCATTGAGTATATGATAAAAAGCATGATTATCTAAAATTAGTTTTTCCACTTACCTGTAAGGTGAATATCACAACAGTAATTAAAGCCATCATGTCCATTTTGAAAAGCTTGTCCATGTTTGATGTAATTAGTGGCAAATGGAAGATCCCGTAGAAGAACGTTACTATCGAGAAGATTATCCATTGAATCTTCATCTTCATCTCGACTCCTCTTGGCGACCGGGCCCTGTGAAGGAACACATCGTTAAGATTCTGGACTATCACAAGAGTGAAGATGGCAAGGCCTGCATTTCCAAGAAGCAGCATATAGGTTATCTGTTTGTTTACATTCTTGTATATACTTTTGGAGTCTGGGACAGAGGATATCAATGCTCCAAGAATGCAGCTGGCCAGTAGTAGCAGTATGTTATTAAGAAGAAGACACAGCGTCTTGAACGTTGTTCTTATCATTCTATGGGGAATAATTTCCAAGTCCTCTTAGAAATCCTTTGGTTCATGACCCAATTGCCTTTGCCAGACGGCAATAATACCTACCTATCTCCTGTTCTTTTAGACTCGGTCTAAGACTATTTCGTGTTTTTCTGGATGGGTCTTGAAGCCTGGAACATGTATTTGGATGCTACAAGCCCGACAATCCCGTACGTCACAAAGCTCCACATATCATGACTAAATGAAGGAAGGAAGGCCAGTGGATCCAAGAATGCAATCCCCATGACCAGAAGGTTTCCTGCGGTTACGGTCAATAGCCACATTGACAGAGCCACCGACTTCATGGTTTCCGGTGCTTCGGCATACATATACTCCATCCCAGTCACATTCAACATTATCTCCCCTGCTGTTAGTATAATGTATTGAGGTATTTGCCATAGTATTGATAGCTTCTGCCCTGTGAATTCCGCCACACCTATCCTGTGCTCAAGGTATCCCGAGCAGAAGAAGCTGAGAGATGCAAGAGCGATTCCGACCCCCATCTTTTCCTCTGGAGAAGAAAAAACCCTAATCCATCCTAATAACGGGTAGATCAGGTTTGAAAACACTGGAATGAGTAGGAGAATGAATGCAGAGTTGAATGCTTGCATCTGTGATGGCAAGACATCGACTTTGTATCCAAATATACTTTGATGTGCATTCATTTTCGATCCTTGTACTACCCACGAAGACGATTGTTGATCATAAAGAGCCCAGAAGAATACCGCAGGCCCCAGAATCCTGAGTATTCTCAAGGTTCTTTTCTTGTCGTCTTCCTCGTAGACCTCACAAGCAGTCTCCGATGGCGTTCGTAAAGTGTCTGGTTCCTCATCACTTCCAGGCATACTCCAGAGCAGCTTTTTCATGTTTTGGACTAAAGAACGAAATGACCTTGAGAATTGCCTTTTTCTTGCCGGCTTGATCACATAAAGGTTTGTTCCAGTGGCGAATAGAAGAATAGAGGTACCCAGTAATGTACTCGATGCCCCAAATGCTAATGGATAGCAAGACTGCTTTCCAAAGCAGGTGGCACTGGACATGACAGGAGTCACCACCATGGAGACCATACTTCCAATGTTTATGGTGAAGTAGAAGAAATCAAAGAACTTCCTTAGATTCTGTGCTTCGTCTGGGCCAAACTGATCTCCTCCAAATGCAGCAACACAAGGCTTGATTCCCCCTGTTCCAACGGCTATCATGAGTAAGCTTGTCACTAGAAGCTCTGGAGAGCCAGACACAACAGAGCAATAAGTGAGAAGGGAGGTTCCTGTGAGGTATAAGGAGCTCAACACCACAATGGTATTATATCTTCCAAGGAACATATCTGATAGAAACCCTCCAAGAAGAGTAAATAGGTAGCTCATCGAGATGAAGAAGTGGAGGATTATGGTAGACTCCTTTACAGTAAACTTGTACTCCTCCTTGGCAAAAGAAAACAGAAGTGACCTCAATCCATAGTAGCAGAACCTCTCACAGAATTCGTTGCATATTATGAGAAAAAAAGTTGTTCTATTCATTGTTTTTGTGTTTCCAGCACGGTTTATCCTTTTTCTGAAACCGGTTTTGGATTTCTGCAATATCTTGAGTGGAAAGCCCTAACCTTGTAGACAGGTTGAATGAAGGATCTTCTGCAACGGTTCTCGTATGAGTATGTGAGGTTCCAATACACCCCTTGCCAAGATAGTGTCTCCAAGATATATACACTTCTCCAATACGCTCCAGATTCATTGGTTGTGCATAGGGAGCTTGAAATCATTCCCTCATTTGAGCTTCTAAGAAAATGTAGAGATAGGGTAAAGGTTGTGGTAGGAGAAGATCCATTCCAGATGGTTCTTAGGCACTTGGACGGCTTTAATACATTTATATTTCTAGAATACGAATTTAATAGTTTTGAGCATGAGTTTCTAAGGCAGGCTTCTATAGTAAACAAAAAATCTATCTTTTTGTTCTCGGAAGTACAAAAGGATTGTATGTCAGGAAAGGAGAGCTATCGTTTAGTAAAACTTGACCTTTGCCTCCCTTGGTTCGCATATAAGCCTCTATGAGACAGATCCAAACTTGGTGTTCCAATCGGAATAGATCTCGAGATCCCTTTCGGAAACGCTCTTTTTTATCTGCCTTGTAGCCTTCCTGAAATCTTCAAGAGAGATTGGCCTTGTATCTTCACTTTTGAAGTCCTCGATGTCATCAATTTCTCTTAATGGCTCCAATGAAGCCTCCCTGCATAAATTAAAGATATCTGATCCGGAGTATCCTTCAGTCATCTTGGCCACCTCATTCAGGTCTGCATGTTCAAGGGTATTTCTATACTCCTTTATCAAGTGCTCTACCATTTGCCTTCTGCCTAGATTCTCGGGCAAAGGAACATAAATCCTCTTTACCAGCCTGCGTCTTGCAGCCTCATCGATCTCATGGGGTCTGTTTGTTGCGCCAATTACCAGTATTCTGTCCCCATCAGATGTCCCTGCTCCGTCAAATTGAACCAGGAACTCTGTCTTGATCCTTCTGCTTCCCTCATTCTCATTGTCGCTTCTCTGAGAAAGAAGTGAGTCAATTTCATCAATAAACACAACCGATGGCTGCATCGATCTTGCCAAGTAAAACAACGCTCTAACCATCTTCTCCCCCTCTCCAACCCATTTTGATGTTAGTGACGATGCACTTATAGAGAAAAAAGTTGCCTTGCATTGACTTGCAATACATTTGCCTATCATGGTCTTCCCTGTTCCAGGAGGCCCAAACAGAAGGAGTCCTTTTGGAGGCCCCCGAAGTCCTGTGAACAGGTCTGGTCTCAGCATAGGCCAAAGAACAATCTCGTTAATGGCTTTCTTGACATCCTTCAGCCCAATTATGTCATCCCACTTGACATCCACGGTCTTTTCTAGAATTTCATTTCTGATTCTATCCACTATATAGCTCTCTACGTTACATTCCCCATCTACCTCATTCTTGTCTTTTTGATCTTTCTTAATAATCTTGTTCCCACCTCCAGTTACAAACCCCGGGTATTCATCCTTTTCCAAAGGCAAGGAGCGCGGGCAATGGCCAATCTTGAAGAAATCGCCTTTTACCGGTTTCTTCCCAGCCAGAAGCCGCTCAATCTCTTCTATGTCGACCTCAACAGGAAGCCCAGTTATAAACGAAAGAATGGGCATCAGATTGTTGTTTCTGGAAACCTCGCAAAGCATCTCTTCACATAGCTTCTCTAGGCAGTGGGCTGTTTCCAAATCTCTAAGTTCGTGCGGCAAAAGAGATGGAAACCCTGGGACTCCCCTTTTCTCAAGAATCTTCTGCAGCTCATAAAGGCTGTTTTCCATGAGGCATGGGCGGGGAAGGTATGTTTATTCGGAGTGGTTGGGCGTAAAATAAACCTTAGTAGAGGAGCCCTTAGGGGCAGATGGATAATTACGTGATTTCTATATGCTTCAAGAATAACCCAAGTAAGATGATAGGGACTTTTCTTTCCAATGAAGATGGAATGGTAAAGCTAGAAGATGCATTTTTTGAAAACAATCCTGGGATTGTATTTCCCACAATCTCTATTTCTGAAAGTGATATAATCACAGTAAAAAAGGCGGATGCGAGGCCGGAGGAGGAGAAGGAAAGGATACCTTTGGAGGCGTCTGAAAAGACTGAGAGTGGGATGAAGGATTCCGAACAGGGCTTGTTTAAGACAGATTCGGAGATTTCTGAAGTGCCGGAGGAAATGAGAACAAAAACAGTCCTGGTTGAAACCAAAGACATTACAATTCTTCCAGAAGAAGAAAGCAAGGACTGGAACCAATTTGAGGCAAACTCAAAGCTCTTCAACATAGACAACAAGTTTGATGAAGAAGAATACATGGATGTCCTTGACAAGAGCTCCAACTGGTACAAGAGCAAGCTTTTGATGGCGAGAAGGATTGAGAAGGAAATAATGTCATCTACAACAACGGATCCTCACAGACTCGAGGAACGAGGACTTGGAAGGACCCCAGAGAATGAGGACATGTATTCAACTGTTATTGGAAAAGACCACATTAGTGTTGCAAACAAGACACCATCCTCAGTGGAAAAACAAAGTAAAGATGCTTCTGGCATCATTGAAGCTAAGAGAGGCGGAGATGATGGTGAGAAAAGGAAGATGATAATAGAGATCGAAGGCTTGTCTCTGTCAGAAACCAAGGATGGAGGATCTTTGGCCAATACCGAGAGTAGTAAGAATGAAGAATCATCAAACACCCAAGAGGAAAGAAAGAATACGAGACCCAAGAAAAGCGTAAGGTATGGATGGATGCATACGAAGTTTGACTCCTCGAAAAACCTTCTTGGAATGATAAAATCAAGGTTTAAAGGTGCGTTTGACATAAGCGGAAGTGACCTGAAGTGGGGAGGAGGGCTCACCTGGGAAATAGCTGCAAAGAATATAATTAAGAAGGCAAAGGGAGGAAAGGCCTCATCCATAAGAAGAGTACCCAAGAAAAGCCCTGGTTCTAAATAACCGTTCTCGGATATATTTATTTAAGAAGTAAATTAAATGATTTAGAATATTTCGTAGCATAGCCTCCTATAACATATTTCCCTGATACTTGCACAGTAAAGCACCCTGGGACTTCTATGTTCAAGTTTTCCATAAATCTCATATCTCTTCCCTACATCCAGTCTGTCTGGAGAGACTATCGTACAGCTTTCCGATGAATCGAATCCATAGTATTCAGAGTTTGATTTGGAATGGGTTATTGTGACGAAAAAGAGCTTAATAACACCAGACTCCGCTGTAGATATGAAACTAAAGGAAATTCTTGTTCTGGGCTCTGGATATTTTGTCCCAGAAAGAATCAGAGAGGACTCAAGTGTCAGACTTAAGTCCGGATGTTTTGCTGGAGAATCTTTTGCATCAGAGCATCCTTCAGCTAGGATATTATACCTCCTCCTTGCCATTCAAGGGTCTCTTCTACTGAATAAAGGGCTTCACTTTACTGCCTTTCTGCAGCTTGGGCACGTCCTTTTCATGTTAAACCACAGGTAAATACAGTTCAGATGGAAGGAATGGTTACACCCAAGTAGGGCTTTCGATTCCTTAATATATTCAAGACATATACAGCATTTTTCCTTTTCCACTTCATCGGCTTCTGCCATTTCGTCTAGGACTACAGACAGAAACTCTGCATCTCTGTATTCTCCAATATTCAGGAGCTTTTTAGCAATAACCTCAGCCTCCTCCCCGGAATCACAGTCAAGCATCGCAACAGCATAAACACTTGAACACAATATAAAGTAACCAAAGCATTCTCGTTCTACAGTTTATTTGCCGTCCTTGTCTATTTTGTGATACCTAGAATGAAGCATTAACTTACGTCTCTCATCAAATGTCTTCTTACAGACAGGACAAAAAAGGGGATTGGCCTCTCCAGAGGTGTCCTTATGGAGAGCCCTGTGAATTTGGAGCTTCTTGAAGGTATCAAACACCTCTTCGCAGGACTCACATCCAAAAGTATCTCTGGATGCTTCTGTAGAGTGCTTTTTTTTGTGGATGGCCTTCTCCTCAGATGCCCACATCATAAACATCAAAGGCCTTCCTCCAGAAGTATCCACTTCCACGGGAACTTTGGAAAACCTTCTTATCTCGTCTTTTGCACACTCTCTGGCAGCACATGACTGAGACACCAGCACTTGAGAAACATCCATGCTCCTAACCTTTCTTATACACAAATCATCTTTTTCTCTTGCATTGGACTCCATATTCGAATTCTCTATGGATATCGATTCTTCTCCCGCCCTTGTACTCTCAGCCTCCATTGTTCAGGGGAAAGACCAAAGAGAATTCTCATTCGACACCAGAACAGATAAGCTTCAAAAAGACTAATTTAATGGGTTATATAGTACAGGAAAAGGACAATCAAAACAGCAAACACTACATAAATCCAGTAATCATTCAGCATGCTCTTCAGGTGCATCCTCTGTATGTTCTTCTGCATCATCTGTGCCTCAGTAGTCATCCTGCTGGCAAGGCCCTTCAGGTTGTTTATGTTCTCATCCCTCTTTATTATCATATTGAGAGACTCGGCAAGCAGCCCCTTTGTTTCCTCAACAACAGCCATCCCCTGTGCATAATTCGAATCCCTGTTGAACTTATCGGAAATGGTCTTAATCGTGGGGTCAAAGGTATAGTATGTTGCCTTTGGGTTATCCACGTATATCTTACCAAAGGCCTCTGCAACCTGGTCAATATATCCCGAGGCCAACTTCGATGAGGTGTACCTGTCACTTATCACAGCGAACACAATTCCAGAGCTTATTTTGAAATAGAAAACAAATCTTGTATCAGAGGAGTTGAATGTATAATATGACATTGCCTCACTACTTGGAACCGACTTAATGGTATCCCTTAGTTCCTTGACTACCTCATTTCCAGGCCTAAGGGAGTTGCTTTGTGGTGAGTACTCTCCAGACAATATTCTATAATCAGGAAATTTTATTATCTGTGTGTAAAGAATCGCCATCGGGGGCTATAGCTTTCCATTTTAATTATTTAGCAAGTGTGTCCAGATAAGGAAGATCCCAGATGGTCACAGAAACTCTTCTAAACGCTTCAAAACCTCCTGAGGATGGGAGTCATTATGAAACCAGAGTCCATGAGTCCCATCCATCCCTCCTTTATTTATGGTCATAAAGTTCTTTTTCACTCCAAAGGAAGTCTCTTTTGTCAAATGGAGGCAAAAGTCCTTGAGGCTCTTTCTGTTGAATACATAGATCCCAACAAAAGGATGGCATGCCCTACTGTACATCACAAACGTTCCTTCAATGTTCAGCTTATCCCATTCTCCACTGTAATGGTATACAGAGGCAAAATTGGATACAAAAAGAAGGTCCTTGAATAATCGGTCCTCTTTCCTGATCTCCCTCGCTAGGATTTGGACCTCTCTTTCCCCCAGCATTTGGGGCGCTCCTAACAATAAAACTTATTCGATCTCCACCCAAACGATGGGGCTTTCTGAGGAAGGGGAGATTTTCGAGTATCGGCGCTTCACTATAACAAAAATGGAATACAAAAAGATAAGGACTATAGGAGAAGGCACCTTTGGCCAGGTCATTCTTGCAGGAAAGGGGAGGGCTAGATATGCATTAAAGAAAGTGAACAAGGAAAAGGAAGGATTATCTGTAACAACAATCAGAGAGATTCAGGCCCTACGAGAAATGAACCATCCAAGCATAATAAAATTGATAGAGATGGTAGTAGAGCCAAATGGTGATGTTTACATGGTGTTTCCATACTTCCCATACGATCTAAACAGATTTATAAGAAGTAATAGACCAACATCTGATGAGATCAAGCATATATTTTATCAAATTGTTAAAGGTGTGCATTATATCCACAGCAAAGGAGTCATGCACAGGGATCTCAAGAGTGCAAACATTCTTTTGGATCACAGGCTGAATGCTAGTATTGCAGATTTTGGAATGGCAAGACATGTAACAAAGTCAGGCATGTATACTCCGGGAATGGTCACCCTATGGTACAGGCCCCCTGAAATACTACTAGGATCCTCAAGCTATACATATTCCGTGGATGTTTGGTCACTGGGATGCATATTGACAGAGATGTATCTGGGACACATGATATTCCAAGGAAGTACAGAGATCTTACAACTGGAGATGATCATCCATGCTTGTGGATCCATCAATGAAAGTACTTATCCGGGAGTTCAGAACCTTCCTGGATTCCGCAACTTCAGGCTTCCCCAATCTCCTCGAAGAATAGAAGCAATCATTGCAAAGCATGATGAGTCTGCTGTTGGGTTGGTCAGTAGAATGCTTTGTCTTGATCCCTCAAAAAGAATAACCATGGACCAGATTATAGAGAACAAGTACTTTGACAATGAAGTTTTCAAAGACTCTTCTGGGACAGAGTTTCAAGATGGCTGCCATAGAAGAGGTAAGCCCAGCCCTTGTAAAAGGAAAAATGTCGATTGAATAAACCACTGTAAGAATCTATCTCCAAAAGATACCCAAATCTGCATCACTATTCGCTCCAACATCTGAACTCGTCTACTTCAACACCTATTGTCTCCAAAAACAATATGGCACCATCCATCTCGTCATTATTAGGTCCTTTGACAATCTCCAGCAGATAAGACCTTGCTTTCTTCACAATGGATCTCTGCTTTTCTTCACTCACCATAGAAATCATGACAGAAAGAAACTGCCACCCATGTTTATTCTTTGTGAAGGGCCAGGAAGGCTCATTAATGATAGCCTCGTAGAATACATCACACAAGGCCTCATTCCGTATAAGTAATGAAGTTGCTAGGATTAGTCCACTAGGGAAGAAGAGAAATGTAGACACAAACCCGTCTTCCAGATCAGACTCAGAAACTAAGGGAATCGAGTTCAACAGGAGTCCCATCGAATTATAAAACTCAGGCACATCCTTGACTAGGTGGAATGTTTTCTGAAGTAAGTAGATGATCTCTTTCCTTTCATCCTCTTCTATGTAAGAAAAATACTCTCCCAGGAACCTAAGGAATTTTGTGATGGAAATAAATATATCGAATTTGGAAAGAAGGCTTGATCTAAGTATCCTGATGTTCTCCTTCAAATCATCTTCGGAAAGTTTACAATATCTTCTGACTGTATACAGATCAATAAGTTCTTCCAGGAGAAGCATGCTCCTGACCTGTGCCATAGTGCTCTGCGCATCCATCCCGCAGTACGGCCTTGGCCTTCTTGAAGACTTTTTGTTTTCCTTTCCAAAGACCAGGTTAATGCTTCTCTTTGGCTCTTCGTCATCATACTTCACCTCGATCTTCTCTTGTCCCTGTCTGAAAAGACCTGCATAGTCAATGTCCGATCGGAAGTACCTCATGTTTCTTCTGAGACTCTCGGCAACATAGTCTTTCTCCTTGGTGGTCATGAAGTTCTTCACCACCATTAAGGGCTTTAGGCCATAGTATATATCACTTCTGCCTTCATATTTTGTAACAAATTTTTGCCCAGCATGATTCCAATAGCAAGCCCACTAGCTTCCGATTCCGTTGAGGAGATGATAGCTAGACTAGTAACTGAGCAGGCAGAAAGAGGCACCCTATCCTCAGGAATTAAGAAATGCCAGAAGTGCGTTCTAGAAGGATCAAAAGGCTTATTGGTCTTGACAGCAGATACAACACCCATGGATTTAATCACACATCTACCTGCACTCTGTGAAGACAGAGGCATCAAGTACATTTTTGTCAGAAAGAAGTCTTCCATTCCAAACAGGTTCACTTGTGTTTTTCTTGAAATGGATGGAAGCGACACATTGAACAGAATCCTGGAAACGCTTGTGTGACCCAACCACAGATGTTATATCTAGTAAACTAAATCCCTTCACCAATCCATCAGATTATTTCGTGAATAATTTCCTTTTCCAGCTTTGTTAAGGACATTACAAATCTCTGCCTCGTTTGCAATCAATGCTTCATCGAATGTTAGCTCCCCCTTTCCTATGAGGCTTCCGTATCTGAACAAAAACCTTCCTTGCTCACGTACCTCATCCAGGAATTCAAACACTCCACTTGTCATGAACTTCCTGTCCATAGAGGGGCGACCGATAGATCTTTTATGTAACACTCATAAGGATAAGACTTTATTCAGAAGAAGACACCTCGTTCTCTTCAAAGTTCAGCAGGTTGTATCTTGATTTCTCTCCATATAGCTTGGGCTGGCTTATCACAGTGGCAGTTCCCCCCTCCTTCTGAATATTCGAGATCAGGACATTACATGCCTCCCGTACCACCTCATAGGCCTTATCCTTGTTGCTGGATACACGTGTCACAGAATATGTGGGCGTTTTGATCAGGTAGAACTCGAGCCTTGGATCAAGCCCCAAGGCTTCAGCAAAAACCTTCTTTATGGAGTTTATTCCCCCTTTTGACGAGCATATGACATCGATATCTGCACGGACTTTATATGTGGATGCCTGGAATTGCTCTTTTATAAGGTTCTTAATAGTTAGTCCAATATCATCATCATCCATGATGTCTCCGTTGTCCTTGACCCTTGCAAAAAAGTAGTACAAGGATCCAAACTCCTCTTCTTTATCGTACCCCATCTTTTTATAGAGATCAGACACCTCCATCTTCAGCCTTTTTGCAGCCTTGAACATAATGTGGTATGCAAGCTTGTTCTTTGCACTGGTCTCCTTGCATTCAACCTTCTCATTCTCAGTAACCTTGGACATACTCAAATCTATGTACCCTTTTTCTTCATCAACCTTCAGAACATTACATATTTCGATGTTCCCAACCTTTGTCACTTGCTGTATGTTCTTCACCCTCCTTTTTGACAGCTCCCCGAGGAGCACAAGCCCTTCTAGATCCCCGTACTCTAGAAGATTCAAGGTTAGCCCGTCTCCTCCTATAGATACAACCCTTCCCATAACTATTTCTCCCTCTTTAGGATACTTTCTGAAGTGGAGCCTGCATTCGTATTTCATCATGGCCAAATATTTTCAAAATATTTTATCATGAAGGCAGTAAGCCACGATCTCACCTGGTTGCCTTGCTATGGCCAACAACAAGGAAGGAGTAGAATCTCTGGAATACCCTTCTACTATGCACAACAAGGTTTCTTTCTGTCATGTCCAACCTCCATATATCGTCCTCAGAAAATGCCTTCTTGAGAACCAACGGAGAATAATCTCTTATTCTTTCATAGAAGAACTCGGACAAGGAAACCTCTTCTCGGAGCAGAGTGGAATACAAGTAGAAGAAGTAAGGGCACACAGACCTCAGGTCAACTGCAGAAGGCTTTGCCTTGATATCAGACAGCAGAGACTCGGGCAAAACCCCCATGTCTAGCTCACAATGGCCATTTCTCAGGAGAAAGTCAACCAGGAAATACGGAACATCCACCTTCCTGTTCTCTGGAAGGATCTTCGATCTGACCCCAAGAAACCCAAAGTTCTGTATTTTGTGCTTGAATGTGACTGGTATTTTTGATTCGTTGAGTAAGATGTCTTCTGCGTTGTAGTACTCCATTAGGCTGGGATCTGATTCTTAAGAAAAATTGATCTGGACCTTGATTTGAAAGCCCATGCCAGTAAACAAGATTTCTGTTGCAGATCTTGTCAAGTTTGAGGACGGAGATAAGATGGATCTTGCAGAACTTGAGGAGAACAAGGATTCTGTGTATTTAGCCATAAGGGAGGAAGTATTCAATGCAGCTGAGCAGAGGAAGAAGAAAAACAAAAGGACAAGAGAGAACTTTTATGAAATTGTTCCATCGACGAGCTTAGAGAAGATGATGGACAAGATTCTTCATGGGGAAAAGACAAAGGAATCTGGAGCCATGGTTTTTGAAAGAAACTTCAAGTACGAGTTTGACAAGAAGATGAGAAGAATAAAGAGGATAAAGAGTAAAGCGTACAGGAGGATAAGAAGGCAGAGCAGACTCAAAAGCAAAGAGGCCATGGAGGAGAATACACAAGAAAAGCAAGGAGCAGAGCAGGACGAGGTACGGTCACGTATCCCAGATGTGCTTCTGAAGGAAGTGGAAGAAGTGGAGGAGGTGAAAGAAAACTTGCCTATACTTAGCTTTGGAGGAGATGAAAGTAGAGAAGAAAATGAACAGGAGAAACTGGTTAGACTTGCATTCAAAGATGATATGGAGGAGCAAGAAAAAGTTTTTGCAAAAGAGAAGGAAGAGATTATGAATGAAGAAGCCCCTCGAGTGGAGGAGGTTGTTCTTCCTGGATGGGGAGAGTGGGCAGGCCCTGGGCTTGAAGTGATCAAAACAAAGAATAACACCATAAGAAACATTGTGGAGGGAATAAAATACTCCAACAGAAAGGACTTCAATAGATCACATATCATAATCAATGAAAAAGCACCAGAAGTAGACAAGAGGTTCCTAGCAGAACTACCTTTTGGATACACCGAGAGCGAGTACAATGAGAAGATTAATGCTTCCGTGTCAAGAGAAAGAAACACGCTTCGAATATTTAAGAGGCTTGTCCGGGCAAAGACCTGTCACACAAATGGAAAGATAATTGAACCATTCCATTATAATCCTGAGTAAGGGTAATAAAGCCATTCGTTAAAATGTTTATTTTGTAATATTAAGGAATTCTTCTTCTACAAGAAAACATTGTGAAAGGGTGGTACTATCGAAATGCTCCATTGTCTCCAAGACATTATGGTATCTTTTCCTGACTCTACCCGATGGATGGAAGAGTCCTTGCTGCACGTATCCATACATAGCCTGCGATGATAGTATGGTGGCAAATGATTCCATGCATTCGTCAAAGGATTGCTGTATCGTCGGGACAGGATCAAGGATATTTGCCCAGATCAAATTGAGCAAATGTATAACTAGCTCCATGTCCATGGTTGATGGGGGATGGTTTAGAACCACGTGTCTGATAAGATTTATGCCAAGACTTCGATATACTGGATCCTCATCCATCATTGCATCCTCGATCATGGGGAGCATGGAGTGCACATATGCTGAAGGCACTTGATATGTTCTTTGGAAAAAATAGCACATGGCCTTAAGTATTCCTTGCTGCACAAAAGGACTAGGAATCTTGTAATCAGTCAGGAGGGCTGGAAGAATAGAGAATAGACCGTTGTATTCTCCTAATACAGAAATCCCGAGTGAAGATCCTGTTCTTTGGTTCTTATCTTCAGATTCGAGATTGTCTATCAAAATGTCTAATATTTCCTGGGGGCCAACTATCCTAGAGATGCACCCTAGAGACTCTGTAGCATTCTTTCTGGCCTCTCTATTCCAGGAGGTTAAAGAATCGACTAATTCATAGGATATCCTTATCCATTCCTTCATGCCAATCTTCTCACACTCTTCAGGAGAATTTACACATATGGTATGAAGAAGCATTACTCCAGATGCAACAGCCTTCTGCTCTTTAGACTTCAGGATTGGAAGGATGTTTGGAACAATCTCACATGCTGGCCTAAACTGATGGCTGTTGTACACACCACACACCGCCTTAAGAACAAAGGGCAATGTCTCCTGATCACTTCCTGTTATATTCTCTAGCAGAAGATTGCCATAGTATGTTAGTTCTTTCGTGCTCAGGATCTTCGCAAGACCTCCTATTGCTTTGAGTCCCCTAATCCGGATTTCCGATGAAGAATCTCTTAGAAGCCTGAATGATTCTGACGCAACCATCGATATGTGTCTCTGTTGTAGAAACGTCTTGGAAACAAGTGGGAGTATGAGATGAACTGTGGTTCCATCATGAGTAATGGCATTGCATATGCTTCTATAGTATAAATCCGCCTCTTCTCTTCCGAAATCCATCTTTGGAATCCTACTAAATATTCTTGAAAGGAGCCCTGCATTCAGAGGATCGGGATAGTATTCCAGGATCCTTCTGGTTACTCTGGAATCGCCGCTCATCTTTGTGCAAATACTAACGACCAGATTTGCATTCTCTCTCCCTTTTGAAGAAAAAAGGATGCTGGAGATTTGGTCGAAGTATTCCCAGGCATCTTCACTGCTAATCCTGTCACAAATTCTTTCAAAGACTTTGAGTAATGACACGCCTCTTTCCTTCGATCCTCTTAGCAGATTGAAAACCACTTCTGAATACTCTTTTCTGCCATGACACAGGTGCGACATTGCTTTAAGTAAGGAATTGAACTCGATACTTCCAGACCTTGATATTTCCTTCTTGAGGAGATCAAAAATCCCTTCCATTTGTGGAGTCTTCTGTGGACCAATAAGTTTAAATGCATAAGACATCGCATTGGCTGCATCCACCCTTATAAATCTATTTCTGTCTACAACAAATCCACCGAGTATATCCAATACAGGACCTGAATAAGATACAATGTCTCTGCCTACAAATTCACAAATCCCTGTAATACATCTTATGCAAGTCTTTCTGGCCTCATCGTTCCTACTCCCAGCCAACGATAGTAGAAGATCATGAACCTTTTCCATTCCAAAATGATATATAAAAGTTCCTACCACATTTCCAACCACTTCTCTTATATGAGGCTCTTTGCTTGTAAAACATTCTTCGATGGCCTGAACGGAATAACCAAATCCACATTTGTATATTAGAGTAAGAACAGGCATGCACATCCTTCTAAGAGAAGGGAAGTAGGAATATGATCCCACCACAAACAACACCTCTCTCGTATACTTCACTTTGCTCATATCCACATCATTCAAAAGAAATTGAAATAACCCAACAACCTTCTCTTTGTCTTTGTCGTCAAGCTCTAAACTCATTGCCATAAGAAGCACCTTTTCTAGTACGGTGTTCACCTCCTTTCTTTTAAGCATCTTGAATCCGTGAATGCTCATTTTCTTGCTCCCATTCTTTATCAACAATATACCTTTGTACACATCGGCTTCATTTCCATCTTTGGCTTCAATCAAGGGCATAAAGAAGTCTTTCTCCTCAGCAGAGATATCAGGCAAGTCCTTGATGTCCATCCCCTCACTTCCAGAAATGCAATGAAGATCGTATCTCTTGTATCCTTTTGATGGTAGGCACATGTTTATCTCCCTCAACGTCATCTCGGAATATTCACCGCTTCCCGTCCCATTCAGGCCTTCCCTGTCCCAGACTGCTCCAGAGCTCACCCGTGTTCCGCTACATAGATCATCTTCCACCTTGATGTATCCAAGAGGCGTCTGATCCCATTTCAACCTCTTTGACTGGGTGGCAGTTCGTGGTGTTACTTCCCATTTGCTCACTTTTTCTCTATCCACATTTTTGTCCTCATCCCATATGGAAGTCTTCCTTGTTGACTTCTTCAAGATTTCCTTGCCTTCCATCGCAAGGATACAAAGACTTAGTGACAAATACTGTCAAATATTTATTTATAACCTGGTTATACACTAGAGGCTTCATATTTCCTCATCTCCTCGAGCTGTTCATCCGTGAAGTTCTTGAACACAGGATAAATATTATTTCCTATGGTGTGTCCATCAATTATATTCATCTGGTCTGGAAGCCTTGTCTCTTCGAGATTACACATTTTTAGTATTTCAGATGAAGTAAGAGGCATGAAAGGATGCAAGAGGGTACCTAAAAGTCCAATAATGCTGAATCCAAGGCAGAAGAAATGACTTTTCCTATCCTCATTCCGAATACCTTCCTGGATATACTCGTTTCCACGTCTGGAAATATCCATTACTACTTGGAGCCCCTCCCTAAGCTTTATCTCTTCCATCTTCCTTAAGTATTTGCGATATAGCTCATTTACCTCCTCAATGCACTTCTTATCATTATCATTAAGCTCGAGCAATGATACTTTTGAATTGCATTTGGACCCTATGTATTTCAGCACTCGGTTTACAAGGTTTCCAAGGTTATTAATCAAATCCGCTGTGACAGATTGTTGAAAGTCATGGAAAGTGAAGTTCGAATCTTTGGTTGATTCAGGACGTATCTTCAGCAGATAGTACCTCCACACACATGACTTCCCAAGATTCCCGTTAACAAGGTCCAGCCCAAATATCCCATGCTTCCTACTTTTCGAGAACTTCTGGTTCTCAAACATGAGGTACTCAGTTGCAGATAGCCTTTTGATCATTGGGTATTCCTCTCCAGTTGCATAGAGCATTGCTGGGAATATTATTGTGTGGAATGACACATTATCCTTCCCCATAAATTGTACAAGCTCAGATTCCTTACGCCATTCCTCAAAGTCTTTGCCGACAAGATCTTTCAAAAACGTCAGATATCCTATCGGAGCATCAAACCAGACATAGAAGACCTTCCCTTCGAACTTCTTCAAAGGAACAGGAACCCCCCAGTTGAACTTTAAGTCTCTTGTCATACACCTTGGAAAGAACTCCATTGAAATCCACTGGTTGAATATGTTTTGAGCATTCTGACTCCACAGGTGTCCATTCGTCTTATATAATTTCTCAAGTCGTGGCTTGAATGCCTCCAAGTCAAAGAACAAATGTGTAGTTGACTTCACAATGGGCGTGGTGCCGCATATGGAGCATTCAGGCGACACAAGCTCAAGAGAGTTGTAGGTGTGTCCACAGGCATCGCATTGATCACCTCTTGCTCTTAGGTCCCCACAAAACTTGCACTTTCCAACAACATATCTGTCTGCAAGAAATATCACACAGGTGTTACAGTAGAGCTGCTCAACCTCTTGCTCACTGAAATACCCATTGTTATACATCTTCATAAAAAGATCTTGTACCACTTCGGTATGAGCGGGCAGGGATGTAAATCCAAAGTAGTCAAACTCAATGTTGAACCAGTCATAAACCTGCTTGTGAAGCTTCCTATTCTCTTCGCAAACATCTTGAGGTGTCTTTCCTCGTGAAATAGCCTCCATCTCAATGGCCGTCCCATACTCATCTGTTCCACATATATACACAACCGTTTCTCCTTTCTTCTTGCAATACCTGCTGTACACATCACCACTGAGAACACTTCCTATAACATTTCCAAGGTGTGGCTGATTGTTTACATAAGGTAAGGCACTTGTTATGAATTTCTTTGTCATGTAAGGGATCCCCTAAATTCAACATATAATATTTGAATCCTAAACAGGAAGTATTTGTTTTAGAATGATAGAAACAATAACCAAAGCCGTTAAATTATTTATCTTCGACATATATTTAATATGACGGTGTGCGAAAGAAAGATATTTAAAGAACTAAAAATAATCCCCCAAAATGAAATATATTTTTGTTTCTGGAGGTGTTATTTCTGGTGCTGGAAAGGGTGTGGTCAGCAGCAGCATTGGAGCACTTCTTAAATCAAGAGGACACATCGTGACTCATATAAAGATAGATCCCTACTTAAACTACAATGCAAGGATGCTTGCACCTTGCGAGCATGGAGAAGTATATGTCCTTGACGACGGGTCTGAGTGTGACCTTGACCTTGGGAACTACGAGAGGTTTGTTGGGATAAATCTTGAAGGAGCAAATGCAATAACATCTGGAAAGGTATTTTTCGATGTGATCAAACGGGAACAGGAAGGGCATCTTCTTGGTAAGACTCTGCAAGTCAACCCCCATGTGATAGATGACGTCATTAGGAGAATAAAGGTTGTTGGCGAAACCCCTGTAGAGTCCTTTGAGGACGGCCACACGTCAATCCCAGACGTCGTGGTCATCGAGCTTGGAGGGACGGTGGGGGAGTACGAGTCTTCAATATACACAGATGCACTCGCAAAGTTACAGCATGATGTTGGAAAAAACAACTGTGCATTTGTATCTGTGGACTACCTCACAGAACTGGAGAGTGGAGAGCAGAAAACAAAGAGCATTCAGATGGGGTGCAGAAACTTCAGGGCATTTGGACTTACTCATGACATCATTATATGCAGGGGAACCAGAGCGCCGACTGAGGACACACGAAGGAAGATATCGAAGAACTGCTGGGTGCCCCTTCCAAATGTGATAGGGCTCCCCAACCTTGAGTCTGTGTACTCTGTGCCAAGGTTTCTTGAGGAGCAGGGGCTTGTAGACTCATTGTATAAGACTCTTGGGCTGTGTGATAGGAAGCTAGACCGGAGAATGCTGGAGACTTTTGAGCGACTTACTGTTCGACACAAGGACAGTGTGAGGATTGGGATAGTGGGGAAGTATGGGCCAGAGTTTGACAGCTACACGTCCCTTGTGCACGGGCTGAAGTTCTCTGGAGCATCTATCGGGGTGAATGTGGAGATAGAGTGGGTGAATGCGGAGGAGTACTGTGAATCTGATCTGTCGAAGTGTGATGGGATCATCATACCGGGCGGGTTTGGAGCACGGGGGGTTTCTGGGAAGATTGAAGCGATCCGATATGCAAGAGAGAATGGGATTCCTCTTCTTGGGATCTGCCTTGGGTACCAGCTGTGTGTGATTGAGATGTGCAGGAATGTTCTTGGGATGAAGGATGCATTTTCTGAGGAATTCCAGCCGGATGGAAAGGATCTTGTTGTCAGGTTTATTAGCGACGAGAACGGGGTAGTTGATAAGAGGCTCCGTGTTGGGGGAAGCCAAGTTAAGCTTATGGATGGATTGGTGAAGAGGTTGTATGGGGGCAAGGAGACCATCCGGGAAAGGCATAGGCACAGGTTTGAAGTAGTATGGGAGAAAGTGCAGGATCTAAGGGCTCATGGACTGAAGTTTGTCGGGTTTAGCAACGACGGGAAGGCCACGAAGATCTTTGAGCTTTCGACACACAGGTACTTTGTTGGGGTGCAGTTCCACCCCGAGTTTATTGCAAGGCCCAATCAACCTCACCCATTGATAACAGGTTTGATATCTGCATCTTGCCAAGGATCGAAATAAAATAACTTTTCAAGCTATGTCTTTAACATTATTTCCCAAATGGAACGAAAACTTTGTATTTTTAAGAGGATGTTGGAATACCCATAGGTGTCCGAAGAACAGCGTTGGAGTGCCTTGTGAACTCTATGGAAAGTCCTCGGACAATGCCGAAAGGGCAATCTTAAGCGATTACTTTCATCATCGAGATAGAATAATGCTGTTAGGTATGGTTCTACCCAACTGAATGAGGCTTACTCTCGGGCACCTATCCTGTTTTTTATCTAAAACATTTTAATTTTCTTTTATAATTAAGTAGGACCTCTCCCAAACAAATGGCATCCTATGAAATCCGAAAGGTTTGGGCAGATGGGTGCTTTGACATGTTTCATTATGGGCATGCAAACGCTTTAAGACAATCCAAAGGATTAGGAGATTATCTGATAGCAGGAGTCCATTCATCGCTTAGCATAAACCAAGAAAAGGGATTGCCTGTGATGGAGGACGACGAGAGATATGAAGTTGTTCAAGGGTGTAGGTATGTAGATGAGATTGTGAGGGATGCACCGTTTGTCACACAGATGGACATGATTAGGGAATATGGGGTGAGTGTAGTAGCTCATGGAAACGACATTATACTTGATTCAAATGGGCAGGACTCGTATTTCCAAGTTAGAAAGACAGGGATGTTTAAAGAGGTTGAAAGGACCATTGGGATTTCAACAACAGAAACGGTTGGAAGAATGATGCTAAAAAACAGAGGTTCGTGTCCAGATGGAGAGCATGGAGAGTACAACAAGAACTCACGCTACCATGATGAGTTGTTTGACCTATTTAAGAGTTCAATGAAGAGAGAGAAGAAAGGAAAGGTTGCGTTTGTGGATGGAAACTTTGATTTGTTCCATGCAGGACATGTTGTGTCCTTAAGGATAGCAAGAGAAATGGGAGATTACCTAATTGTAGGGATACATGATGATGAAACTACAAAGGAATATACTAGAAATTATCCTGTGCTGAGCACTAAGGAAAGAATACTTACACTGATGTCATGTAGGTATGTTGATGAAGTTGTAGTTTCACCCTATCTAATTGGAAATGAATTCATTGAGAAGCATGGAATTAGTATTGTAGGGCCTTCCTTTGATACAAAGGATTTATCAAGATATGATAAGATCAAAGAGATGGTGAAGCATAGTTATGCTGAAAACAAGTTCAACTATCTTTCTGCGGAGCACATAGTCAATAGAATAATATCAAACTATCAGGACTATGCAAATAGGCAGAAGAAGAGGAATTAAAGGATATTCTTTTTGAATGGCATGTTTAAGAGGATTGGATGTAAATCTTATGTAATAGGCTGAATTGATCAGCATCCCAAAAATTGGTGTGGCCAGGGTGCCTAGTCATGGGAATCTTCAGTAAAAGGCAAAAGACTCGTACTTATCGACTAGGCTGGCAAGGGGTGTTTTTAGAAAAATTATGTGCTTCACAATAGAAGAATCATAAACCCCTTTTATATGAAGAGAAAAACGGAGTCTAAAAGTACAGAAACAGAGATATTCATAAATCGAAGTATTCCTTCTGAGCTGTTTGGTAATACCAGAGAGGAGGCTGAGTTTATAGCAAAGGAGGAGATAATGGGATTGCTAGGAGACATTCAGGAGGAGAAACCTTTTTCGAGTGGAGAAACAGTTGAAGACAAAATGGATGAGATCTTCGATAAGCTTGAAAAAAGTCAGGTTCTGCTGATTGAAGGAAACACTGGGTGTGGGAAGACAACAAAGATTCCAAAGTATCTACTCAAGAAGTATGAGAGAATAGTCTGTACACAACCCAGGAGGATAGCAGCTATAAGTATTGCAAAGAAAGTTGCTCGAGATATGAACGTGAAGCTAGGGGAGGAGGTCGGATATTCTATAAGATTTGATGATAGGTCGAGTAGTAAGACTAGACTAAAGTATGCCACTGATGGTATTTTGATAAGAGAGATAAACGGCGACAAGTATCTCAAGAAGTATGACGTTGTAATTGTTGATGAAGCACACGAAAGAAGCATCAACATAGACATTCTTCTTGGGTATCTGAAGTTGATTCTAGCGAAGAGAAGTGACATCCGAGTGATTATAATGAGCGCAACATTGAATTCTGAGAAGTTTGTTTCCTTCTTTAAGTGCCAGACGGTTGGGATTAAGCATAAGATGTTTCCACTAGAGATATTTTTCTTGAAGAGGTCGGAGGTTATGGATTATTTGAGTGAGGTAGTGAAGACTGTTGTTCAGATACATAGAACGGAGGAGAGTGGAGACATATTGGTGTTTCTAACAGGAAAGGAAGAAATAAATGGAGGAAGAGCCCTTCTTATGGAAGCACTGGGGGACGATGTTGAAGTATGCTGTTTATACAGCACCCTTTCTCCTGAGGAACAAGAGATTGCCTTCAAGAAGGTAAAGAAGAGGAAGGTTGTTCTTGCAACGAACATTGCAGAGACATCGATAACGATTGAGGGGATAAAGTATGTAGTGGACTGTGGAAGGTCCAAACAGATGAGGTACTCAGCATCTTTTGGAATGGATATATTAGAGATTGGGTGGATATCAAAATCACAAGCGAAACAAAGAGCTGGAAGGGCAGGAAGGACTCAGAAGGGAAAGGTGTTCCGAATATATTCGAAAGAGGAGTATCAAAGGATGAACGATAATGCCTTACCCGAGATATTTTGTTGTAACCTTGCAAAGGCTGTGCTAGAACTAAAATCCATTGGGTTGGATGACATTGTGAACTTTGATCTTATAGATAAGCCTTCATTCTCGAACTTGAAGAAGGCGTTGGAATTGCTATACTATCTTCGAGCCATAGAAGGGAATGGAAAGATAACACCGATTGGGGTCCAGGCATCCAAAATTCCTCTAGAGCCCGAGATGGCGGTTTCATTAATTGTGTCTGCCAAACTTGGATGCCTCGATGATGTCTCGATCATAGCAGCAATGCTGAGTGTGGGAAATGTATGGCAAGGGATTTCTCGGCATAGCCAGTTGTACAAGGCATTCCTTCATGCGAAGGCTGCGCATTTCGATAAGAGGGGAGACCATTTTTCACTTCTTGGAATATACAGAAAATGGGAGAAGACAGGATTTAAGATATGGTATCTAAAGAAATGGTTTTTGAACATCAGAGTTATGCTTCAGGTTGTGAAGATCAAGAAGCAATTGTGCTCGATGTTCGAGGGGCCGCCCAAGTCTGATGAGAACAAGGTTGTTTTGTCATTCTGTGCAGGATATTTTATGAATGTTGCCAAGCTTTCCGAAGGATCATACACTTCGATATTCAATGATACTCAATGCTTTATACACAGCTCTAGCTGTATGTCGAAGCAGCACCCGAAATACATTCTTTACCATAGCCTATGTAGGACTGAGAAGGAGTATGCAAGGTATTGTATGGAGGTAACACAAGAGGATCTACTCAAAGGGGCAAACCATATGTTTAATAAGCTTCAGGAATCTTAAAAGTAGATTTTGATTTATTAGATATTTCTATCTGATACTCAAAAAAACCTATTGAATATCAGGAAAAGTATAATTACAATCAGTCTGTATGTCCTTTTTCTGAGTTGCTTCAAGGATCTCGGGTTTGAGTTGGCCCTGAGATATTCTACCTCTTCTCTTAGCTTCTGAATGTGCCCTGGATCAGATGTGACTATCAAATAGTTTGTTTCATCATCTCTTTCGGTGCTTCTTCTGTTGAAGTTGGATGAGCCTATTATTGTTGCGGCAGTTTTGTCCTTAAATCCCCAGAATCCTAAAAATTAGTATCTCCACTTACCTTTCAAATGGAACGAGTATCCCTTCTTGTTCAGTTCATAAATGGAAAGGGTTGGGATACATTCAAGGGTTCTATGGAAGCTATATGAATAAATCGGCCCTACGAATCTGTCCATAATCCCAAACGAGTTGAAACGGTTCCTATCTGGGCATGATGCATACAGGGATATTCTTCTGCCCTTAAACATCTTCAAATAGTTATCTGGAAAGTTCAAGTACCCTGTAGAAATGTGTATCTCGCCAAAGCTTCTTAGAAACGACCGAACTATGGATTGTTCTTCTTGTTGCTTAAACATTCTTACGTATATGGGGAGGTTTTGAATTGGAGTACTCTCAACATCTGGAGAGAGCTCAACACCAAAAACCTTTGTTTTAATCATGTCTGTTAATTCTTTACTCTGAATCTCGAGATATCTTAAAATTAAAACACTTCACTTACCTATCTATTCTATTTACCATGTATGATGCATCCATGTTTGCCCCAGACAGTATAGTTATGTCATCGAAAACCAATGCCTTTGTATGAAAGACCCTGAATAACTCGTTCAGTTTGGCAGGAAACAAACAAGATGTAGAAAGGTCAATGAGATGGAAGGTCGATTCAAGCCCTCTCTCCTGTATGAATTCCAATCTCCTTCCGGCTGCTCCTCTGTTCTTGTCGATGAATATAACCGTTATAAGTCCCCTTCTTTTTTTTTCTTCAAGGATATCAAGAATGTCCTCCATTTCGCCGTCTTGGCCAAAGAATAATGATGCCATGTATACTGACTCTGAGGTTTGCAGAAGAAATTTGATTCTTTGATAAAATTCAGTGCAGTCCCCCAGGAGTCTGAAGTCAGACACGTGTACAGAATCCAATTTTTTGGACTTCCCATTAAGATGATTCATATCCAGCTCTTCGGCTTACTATTAAAAGACCTAAAGGAGGTGGAAAGGAGCAAAGCCATCATTCTGTGGCTTATCTGAAGACTTTATAACCCGAGTGGAGCGACCTATTAGAGGTTGAGAAAAATAATGTTCACATCCGATCCTCTAAACACGGATTCTTGAAATCTTTTTGGAATACCCATAGAATTAAAGGCACATGAGGGATATAGAAGTATCTAAGAGCTATAGGGTGGAAAAAAAGACTAAAAGAGATGAAGAAGAGTATGAAGAAGCTCAAGAAAGAACAAAGGGAAACATGCCCGAAGAAAAGGGAACAGATGTCAACAACGATATTCTTGTTGCATTGATATACAGGAAGATTTTGAAATATTATGGAATAAAGCAGAAAAAGACCAAGACACCCAAGACAGCCAATCCGGTAAGGATAAAGGATGTTTTTTATCTTGCAATAGTTATACTTATATTTGGATATGTAATATACAAAGTATTCATCCCGAATGGTGGATACGAGCAGCCCTCGAAGGAGACGAAGTCGGAGGATAGAGACAAGCCATCTTTCAGAGATGGATCGTCGTTTGAGAATGTTTCCTATTTTGGAAAGGAGGATCTGATGATACAGGTCATCTCTCAAGTGACCAAGATAGTCAATCTTCTGAGAACTGTACCGGAAAAAGACCTTCACAAAAGCATAGAAACAACTCAGAGAAATTTTTTATTCCATGGACCTCCTGGGACGGGTAAAACACTTTTTATGAAGAAGTTAATATATCTTGTTGATTTGAACATCAAGTTCTTAAAGATGAGGAATGAGATGGGGGAAAAGGAGTTTGAAAGCATGGATCATAATGAAAAGCTTATCAGGGCAAAGCAAATGGAATCGCTTACCAGAATAACCTTTGTAACGCCATCCTCGTTGAACAACAAGTACGTTGGAGAGACCGAGAAGAATATCCGTGGACTGTTTCAAAGTGCAAATGACGGGAAGTATTGGGCCACATTTGTGTTCATTGATGAGGTAGATGTATTTTTTTCCAAAAGGTCTGACCGGTCCCAAGACTACACACTAAAGGCTCAAACAGAGTTTCTTAATACCATTGGTGGAGCATGCGACAGGGTGAACAGCACTGTGTTTCTCTTTGGTGCTACTAACTTATATGATGTCCTCGATGATGCTTTTAAACGTAGGTTCTCTGGGGTTTATGAGTTTTCGTTGCCAAATGAGGAGGAGAGGTTGGAGATTCTGGAAGAATATCTTGGAGATTGTAATAGGGAAGTAACAAACAGGCTCAATGACTTGGTTAGGATGACCAATGGAATGGCCCAATCTAGAATTGTGGACATTCTGAAAAAAATGTCATTTACAAATGATGGAAGCATGGATAAAATCAGGTGGAAGGACTTAAGAAAGGCTTTTGAGGATGCAGATCCTAAGAAGAAAGGAACAGATGGAAGCAGTGTCGAGGTAGTAAAGTCTCTGAAGAAATTCTATTTCTTAGAACCAAGGCTCAAAGATAAAAGTGTTGAAAATACTATAGGTGAATAATAAAAAGACTAACTTTCAAGATGTTTATGTTTCTGTGATTGCCCTACATGTAGTAGTGAGGCCTTGATATGCTTACTCCTACTTCCTCAAGTGCTTTTTCAAGATCTATGAGCTGAAAGGTAGGTTTCTTCTCCTTTGCAAATCTCTTGTCTTTCTGTGCAGCCTTCTGGTTTATTCTGTGGTATTGAAAAGAAGACACCGCAATGTCTGTCACAAACTTATGGGCCAGCAAAGAAACAAGTTTCTTGACACTCTGATCAGAAGTGGCGACGCCTGCCTTCTCCATGAAGTAATCTGTTACCGACTCCGGCAGGAGCGGGGTGTAGTTGTCTAGGTTCTGCTTGAGCTCGTTGAACTCTTCTTCCTTCATGGGGCTGAGGAGGCGGGTGTTTTTACATTACCTTCTACAGGTGAAGAGGGAAGAATGCAAAGAAAATGAAAGCTGGAGGCATAAAGCAAAGAGAAAAAATTTGCCCATGAGCGAGGAATATCAGTATCAGGACACAGAATACCATTCCGAGAGTATATCCATATCTGAATTGAAGAATGGAGGAATACTGGCTGTGGATATAGCAAAGCTGATAGAAGCTGGATTCACGACAGTTGAGTCATTGGCATTCGCTCCAAAGAGGCAGCTTCTTTCTATAAAAGGATTTTCTGACATCAAGGTGGACAAGCTTATCAAAGAGGCAGCTAAGTTGGTTCCGATGGGATTTACAACGGCATCTGCATATCACCAGAGAAGATCAGAGCTTGTTTATTTAACCACTGGATCTTCTGAGGTGGATAAACTACTGAACGGCGGGTTTGAATCAGGGAGCATAACAGAGATATTTGGTGAGTTCCGAACAGGAAAGACACAGCTGTGCCATACAGTTGCAGTGACATGCCAGCTCCCTCCTGAGCAAGGGGGAGGGGGAGGAAAGGCCATGTACATAGATACCGAGGGGACTTTCCGGTCAGAAAGATTGGTCCCAATAGCAGAGAGGTTTGGGCTAGATCCAAATGAGGTTATGGACAACATATCATATGCCCGTGCATATAATTCGGATCACCAATCTCAACTTCTAATCAAAGCATCTGCAATGATGTCCGAGTCAAAGTATTCGGTTCTTATAATTGATTCTGCAACTGCCTTATACAGAACGGATTTCAGCGGAAGAGGAGAGCTTGGGGCCAGGCAACTACATCTGGCAAAATATCTCCGTAGCCTGGTCAACCTTGCAGAAACATTCCGTGTTGCCGTCATCATAACCAATCAAGTGGTTTCCAATGTGGATGGAGCCGTCGGGATGTTTGCTGGAGATATCAAGAAGCCAATAGGAGGAAACATCATGGCACATGCAAGTACAACAAGACTTTACCTGCGAAAAGGAAGAGGGGAGACGAGGATATGCAAAATATATGACTCTCCTTGTCTTCCTGAATCAGAAGCTGTCTTTGCAATCACTGAGCAGGGTATCAACGATCCCGACGAATGAAAAAGGAATCCTGCCTGGGACAATAAAAAGTTAAATCAGTTTAGTAAAGCCAATGTCTTCGAATATCCTTCATCTCCCTAAATATGAAAGCAGACTTTCAAAACATAATCTATTTAGGTAACCCATCTCTACTATACCAGAAGAACAGCATTCACACACCCATCGTTTTCTGGGTTGTTTGTTATTTGAGCATACTTCCCCCATATGATTTTCCCCGATCCATTAACAAGCCCAAGGGGGCTGACGTCCACTTCTATAATGGTTCCTTTACTTAGTATTCCAAGGCCAGTATAGACATCAGAATGAGGATTCTTTTTCAATCCTATTATCTTGAGATTGAATGTAGAGTTTAGCTCTGGGTGACTTACATGTGCAGTTTTGAACCTCATTGCCATGGGCCTTATGAACCTCTCATACTTCGGGGGCTTCCTAGTGAAATCACTTCCAACAAAGCAAGGTTTGGTAACCATCCTCTTCCAATGCTTAGATTTGCGTTTCCCACTTACAACAACCCCAAATACCTCTTTCTCCGGAAGAGGGTGGATCTTTGGTAAGGGAACAGAATACTTCGATCCTTTTTCTTGCCTTTGCTGCTTGATCTTGTCATTAATGTCTTTAGCTTTTTCTTGTAACTCTCTGTCAAGTAAGAAGTGTGGAAGTGGATTGCTCTCAGCACTAATCTCTATGTTCCTCTTCTTTGACTCCCTCATCTTCATATCCTTTTTCAGTTGGATCTTTGCTGCACGTTGCTTCTTGGCAAACAGCTTTGCCTTTATTCCGAAGAGCTTGTTTGCCTTCTTGGCCACTACCTTCTCCTCCCTTCTCTCCTTCTTATACTTCCTTATCTCATAGTCCAAACGTCTCCCATACTTCTTTATATGCCTTTCCACAAAGTCGTTTTGAGGCATTTTAGAGGGGAAAAAAAATTGATGATTTTGTTCTCCACATGGAGACTTTTGTCGTTCTTCATTCCTAGAGTATCCTGGGCCACAAAAGAATTGTCCATACTTCCTTGCATTCCTTTCATCCAAGATATTTAAATAGAAGCCCAGGTCTGGGGATGCATATCGAAACATGGAACATGTACTTTCCAGAGGAAGAGTTCACTGCATTCAACGAGCTTGTACAGGTAATACTTGAGATAAAAAAACGGCTAACATCCATTTTGGCGGAGACCGGGTTAGACGATATTCTGGAAACCAGAACCTATCATATATCCAAGCAACGCCTTGAAAATCTTGTTGAAAAAAGATTCCTAGATACAAATGCTGGGAACCTACTCTTGTGTGTATCATGTGCTATTTCCGAACATCTGTATGATAATGGACATCTATCAGTGAAGATAAGCACTAGAGTTGAGACATTGCACAGTGAAGGAAACTTTGGAGATATTGATAGAGTTAATCTAGGGAAGCTTGTTTTCATGACAGGCGCTGTCTGCAGAGTAGGGTTCAAAAGGGTAGTCAGTACAAAAATGTTCTTTGAATGTTCAAAGTGTGGGGATGTGGTGTGTGTGGATGTTAAGAACAATATATACAGGGTGCCTGGGGCATGTAAAGGCTCCTGCAACTCAAGAAGCTTTGTCCTTATGCGGAACCATCCAGAGATGGAGTGTAAGGACATCCAAGAAATAAAGATACAGGAAATTTATGGTGGATCGGGAGAAGATGGAAACAGGATTCCAAGGACCGTGGATTGCATTCTTTACGACGAGTTTGTAGGAACTTTGGCACCAGGTGACATTGTGCAGATCACTGGGGTACTTGGAGTCGAGTTTGAGAACGACAATCTCTACAAGCTAACGGTCCATACAAATAACATGGAGATAATCAAAAACAAGAACTTCTTTGTAGAGAATATTGAGTATCAAAGCAAGGACTTTGATGAATTTAAGAAGATGGCTAAAGCAGAAAACATTTTGGCCTCTCTTGTTCACTCACTTTATTCTTCAATATATGGAAATGAGTTGATAAAGATAGGGCTGGTACTTTCCTTGTTTGGAGGAACCAGGAAAAGTGCAGGGCAGCATGGAATTAGATCCGAAACGCATGTCCTCATAGTCGGAGATCCAGGGCTTGGGAAGAGTAAGCTTCTACTGAGCACATGTGGGATTCTTCCGAAGAGTAGTTATGTAAGTGGAAACTTCACTACCACAGCAGGACTGACGGTCTCTCTAACACACGACCCTATTTCTGGGGAGTATATGGCCGATGCCGGAGCACTTGTGGTGGCAGACAACGGAGTATGCTGCTTGGATGAGTTTGATAAGATAGATGATCATGCAGCCTTGTTTGAAGCCATGGAAGACCAAAGGGTAAGCATAGCCAAGGGAGGGGTTATCTGCAGTGTCCCAACAAGGTCTACTGTGATAGCGGCAACCAATCCAAGGAACGGACATTTTGATAGGAGCAAGTCAATGGAAGAGAACATAAGGTTTGATCCTGGACTTCTATCAAGATTTGACCTTGTCTTTCTTCTTTTAGATGACTTGTCTGAGAAAGAATGTTATATGATATCTGGGCAAGTTCTAAAGAAAAGGCAAGCATTGTCTCCAGGGAGGGGAAATGGATTTGATAGTGTTGTAGAAACCATTAGAAGAGATGATTTTATTGAAAAGATCAGAAATGGAGGATGTATGTATTCCATGGAGATAATAAGGAAATACATTTCATATGCCCGTGCAAATGTGTTTCCTGTCTTGAATAGATCGGCCAAGGAAGCCATCAAGGAATGGTATGCTGATATGAGAAAGAAAGGTGGTGTTTCTACAAGAGACCTGGAATCACTTATCCGACTAACTGAGGCAAAGGCAAAGATTGAGCTTCGAAGCATAGCAACAAAGGCAGATGCAGAGTTCTGTATTGAGTTGTACAAGAGAACATTCATTTCCAAAGAAAATATGCCCAGAAACAAGAGGAGTAAGGACTTTTCTCAGGTGCTTAGGGAATATGTCAAGAGAAAGGGAGGATGCTTGATTAGTAGTGAGGAACTATATAGCTTAGTGTCGTCTTTTGGTTCCAGCAAGCCTGTCAATGAATTTGTAGATGCACTTAATCACAATGGACTGATTATTAAGAAGGGAGCAAGTGTGTATAAGATAATTGGATGAGGTATTCAACTGATGAATAAGGTTTATTTTTCAAGGCCTACTATTTACTTTGGGATTTCAAAGTTATGATATAAATATACCTGAAGACCTTGAGTTTGGGTTGTTTACAGAAATTTTTGTTAGCCCTTCATGGAGGAAGAGATTAGAAACATAGAGGAGAGCGATGGGATTCGGCTCACCTGGAATGTATGGCCTTCCAAAGGAGATGCTACTTCAAAGGTCCCCTTGGCATGTTTATACAACATTCATCAAGAAACAAACATTCTTGAATGCGAGCCCATATATTGTATGAGCTGTAATGGTGTCCTAAATCCTCACTGTAATGTCGATTTTGGTAGGCAAACCTGGAATTGTGTGATATGTAACAATAACACGGCACTACCAAGCCATGCACGGGGGATAACGCCAGATAATCTTTTACCAGAACTACTACCCCAGAGCTCTACAGTTGAGTATGTTTTGAGTAGAGAGTGTATCTTTCCTGTTGTGTTTTTCTTTATTGTTGATATATGTACGTTTGATGATCAGAGACACATTCTTCTGAAGGATGCACTTAAAGCGGCATTAGAGGGCATTCCGGATGATGCATTGGTTGGATTTATTAAGTACGGGACAAATATCGAGCTGCTGGAGCTTAGTGGAGCATCGCCAAGAAAGACACACCTGTTTTCTGGGAAGAAGGAGTATAATGCCGAAGTTCTCAAATCTCTGAACACAACCCCAAAGTTCGAATCGCAGGTAGTGGGAAAATTTTTAAAAAGAAAGAGTGAATGTTATGATTTTCTATACGATGTGATTGAAAATCTTGAGAAAGACCCTTTCCCCGTCCTCACTGCATATAAACCTGTAAGGTGCACAGGCTCTGCAGTATCGCTGGCGTTTTCCTTGCTAGAGACAAACTTCCCGGACACTGCTGTGAAATACCTTTTATTTACTCAGGGACCTTGTACATTTGGGCCTGGAACAACAACTCCAATAAAGTTTAAGGAGAAGGGGAGGAACGAGCATCTTGAAGAGAATGATCCGATGTATGCAGGACCGGCAAGGAAGTTCTACACAAGCCTAGGAGAAAGGATGAATAGTGTGGGGCACAGTCTTGACATCCTTGCAGCCACAATAGTTGATGTTGGAATATGCCACATGGAAAGACTGACTTCAATGACTGGAGGGATGCTTATAATGGCGCAAGACTTTGATAGAGAGATTTACATTTCATCTTGCAATAAAATACTTAATAGAAGCAAGGAGGGACATCTAGTACAAGGATTCAATGCAAAGATACAAGTTAAAACAAGTAAGAACCTCGAGTACAAAGGGATCATTGGACAAGGAAGATCCTCTAGTGGATGTTGGAGAATAGGATCTATATTTCCATCCACTAACATTTCAATTCTTTTTGATAAGAAGCCTGAAGCAAAGCATGGAGAGTTTGGATATGTCCAGTTGATTACACAATATCAAAGAAGCGATAAGAAACTTCTGGTGAGGGTTACGACCTTTGCCAGGATGTTTACAGACTCAAGGGAAGATGTGATTTGCGGGTTTGATCAAGAGACTGTTGCAGTCTTTCAGGCAAGGTTCCTCCTTCTAAAGAAATATGAAGAGATAAAAGATTGCGAAAGGATGATTGACAAGAATCTTATAAGATTCACCAAGGCATTTGCTAGATATGATAGGGGAGTGCCATCCTCATTGGTTCTTCCTGATTCTATGGCGTATTATCCAAACTATATGTTCTTCTTCCGAAGGAGCCTTTTGGTCCAGACAGGGAATAATTCACCTGATGAGACTGCATATTACCTAACACTTCTGTATAATCAGAAAGTGTCGGACTCGCTGAAGCTCATTAAGCCCATCCTCATTTCATATCACTACCAAGGAGGAGTTAATGCAGTTGAAGTGGATAGCAAGTCTTTGGAGCCTGATGTAATTCTTGTACTGGATACGTTCCACAATGTCGTAGTGTGGAAAGGGGAATATTTTGCACAGTGGGTTAGAGAAGGGTATCATGAACAACCTGAATATGAGTTCCTTAAAAGCATACTAAAGAATAGTGAGGAAATGGCCATCTCCCTATGTGCCGAAAGACTTCCAACGCCTCAATTCTGTATCACAGAGCAGAACAAGTCACAGCAAAGGATCCTCCATCACTATGTCAACCCCAGCGGAGGAGGATCCATAATCACGGAGAACATCAACTATGAGAAGTTTGAGGAGGCACTGCGCAGAGTTGTTGTTTTCAACAATGAATAAAAGAGATTGTTTTGTTTATGAGTTTTCATTGATATCTTTCAAGAACGGCCGTTGGACTTCCTCAAAAAAGCAAAAAAATTTGACCCTTTGTCTATGAGCACGCAAACTGAGGCTGAGGTGAATATTTCTGAGATAATCAGGAAGCATGTAAAGGATATCTCTGTTCCATCTGAGATGTTCAGCAAGATAGCCATTCAGATAGTAATATGTGACAATGGAGAAAAGGTTATGGCTGTTAAGGTCCCGAGGAGCATTTTGCCTGGGGTGCAGATGAATTATAGCAATATTATCAAGGCAGCCAAGCAACAATTCCATGACTATTATATAATTTTCATTAGAAACTTTGAGATTGAAGCTCGGGAAGATGGAAATGCTGTAACCAAATCGATGGTTGAAAAGACATGGCTGGCAAATGCCTGCTTTCCGTTCCTGCTTACCGGGATAAGAACAGATGTGCGAGGGATTAACGATGTAGTTATCAATGTTCTTCTTGAAAGAAGGACATCATTTAGTAGGACCGAGATGGATGTGATAGGAGCTGGGCTTAATGGGCTACTCGGGAAGAATTACGTTGTTGATGTCAATCATCATACCAAGAATTAAAAAGACGCTTAGGAATCTTAAACTTATTGGATGATTTTTTGAGGCCTGCCCGAAGCCTATAAATTTTTATGCTAGTTGTGAAAGACTTTCTAGAGAAAAGCCCTTGGGCATGGGTGAAGAGTGTTTGGCACAAAGAAGAAAGTGTTTTGGGAAAACGTCTGAGACCCACGAGGAACCATGGACTGGGCTAGACCTTTGTTCCCAAGGAATAAGGAATATCTCCAAGTCTCTGTTTGATATGAGATTCATTAGAGTCTTGAACCTTTCAAATAATGAGATAGAGACCATTCCGAAGGAAATATGCAACTTGAGATGCCTTGAGGTGCTTAATCTCAGCAAAAATAAGATCAGAAGCATTCCTCCAGAAATTGGGAAGGTTGTTAGTCTGAAGGAGTTGAACTTGAGTGACAATCTGATTTCAAACATTCCTATGGAGATAGGAACGCTCTACAACCTTGAGAGTCTTGAGATAGCCAACAATCCATTAATAGTGCCATTCAACACGCTTATAAGGGATAAGAAGCTTCTCCAATTCTGTAGGGAACATAACACAGGGTATCCTCCTCCAAACGATAGGTCATGGATAGAAAGATTGAATAAGAATGCTTTCCACAATGATGTAATAAGTGTCGGAACATTCAACATCTTATCAAATCTTTGGGCAGCAAAGCTAACCTATGCACCATCGTGGGTTATCAATCCAGAGTTTCGAAGAGAAGGAATTCTACAGGAAATAGTTCTGTACAATGTAGACATACTATGTCTCCAGGAAATTGAGCTTTATAGCTTTTTCGATTTCTATAAAGAGCAACTGGAGATGAGGTGTAGCTATGACTCAATAATCTATCCTCGAGGAAAGGTCAGAAGTGTTCCGGACAAGAAGGCAGTTGATGGATGTGCTATATTTTGGAGAAGAAACAAATTTAGATTGATTGCTCAGTTTCCTATTGACTTCTACCAGAAAGTATCCCAAGACACAAGATTCAATACTAACCAAGAGCTGCTTGACAGATATGGAAAAAAGGATAACGTAGCAATTGGGGCTCTTCTGGAGAGGCCTAATGGTCAGCAGATATTAGTGGTGAATACTCACATATTTTGGGATCCTGATTATCCAGATATCAAACTACTTCAAACAGTCTTACTTATTGAAGAGATCAGAAAGATCATTTCGAGGCATCCAAACGCATATCTGTTTTTGCAAGGAGACTTCAACTCCCTCAGATCTTCGTCAGTCTACAAGTCAATAACAACCCAGACAATAGATTTAACAGACTTTGGGAATATTGCACATCATCTTTCCATCCAAGAGCTTGGTGATGGCTTAAAGCTCAATGATTCTTACCTAAACCAAGACCTTGGGTTCACTAACTTCACTCCCGTATTCAAGGATGTCATTGACTACATATTCTATGATAGCAGGATGGTATTGGCATCGGTACTGTCTCCAGTAGAAGATGAGTACACAGAGAACGTTGCAGGCCTTCCAAACATGCACTTTCCTTCAGATCACATTTTCTTAGGTGCAAAATTTACCTTTCCCAATAGGAACACTACTCAGAACGTGTTTGGAAGGAATCTTCGGCAATAAAAGATCTTTGTATTTATGAATAATGTAGAGGCCATTGGCGAGAATATTACCTTATTTTGAAATAACCAATAAAAAACAAAAAACGAGCAGCCCTAAGAAAATGATGATGGCAAAGTTATCCCTGGCTGAATGCTGATGAAGACTTTCTTCTGATTCTTCAATTTTATTATTTAAAGTATGGGGAGTGTATATGGATATCCATTTTCGAGCTGCACCCTTCTCTTTTACTTTTCTTGATCTCGGACGCCTCTGATCTTCTTTTCCTTGCTACTGGAATGAAGTGCCTTTTGATTGCCCTTGTTCTCCTTGAGGACTTGAAGAACAACTCCAAAGGGCCATCTTCAATTCTGTACTCTTCCTCCTTCAATGTGCCCAGAAAATCTAGCTTCTCCTTTACATCCCGAAGATATCTTCTCTTCTGCTGTATGGGATCATATACAATCTGATGTAGAAATGTCTTTTTTGCTTTGAAAAAGTCGTCTAAGTAGTTATCTGGAATAGCCTTTCTGTGTTGTAAATACTCAACTACCTTTTCAACAGTCTTTTCTTTAGAGAGAAGTTTGTGAGCAGTCACAACTCCGACTCCTTGTATGGAAGCCAAATAGTCACATCCACTCAGTATGGAGATGTCAAGGATATTTTCCTCAAAGTCCCTGCCTCTTGCTTCTGAAAGACAGCCTCTGGTAAACTCCTGTACAAAGGTGTTGTCAAACTTGTAAAGTATTCTATTGGATCCATAAGGAATAAGATCACTATCTTCTGTAAGAATACAGTCTATGTAACCTATTCTCTCCAGGTAGCAAAGCTGAGCATCAGATTCATAAGGTGAAATAATGTACTCAACATTTATTCTTTCCAACATCCTTGCAATATCAGACACAATCTCCTTTGTAACGGCAATACATTGCCGCATGAATCCTTTGGCCTTTTCCGGATCGTTTTTTACCAACCAGTGCTCAGCCTCTTTTCTATTCTTGTCTTTCTTAATATACCTTTTTCTATTTGTCTCCTCTTTGCTGGACAGTGTATCTCCATCCAAAACAATGATAGGTGTAATCCCATAGCTCTCTAATACCTTTACTTTCTCTTCGAACATGGTTATATGCTTCCTTGTGGGAACCTTGAAAAACATCTCCTCAGCTACAAAAGAGAGGATTTGGTATAGCCATGCATGCCCATCAATCCCTATTCTCTGATGCCTGTAGCTTGATATATGCCTTTTCACTAGTTTAGTAGCCACAATGGGCAGGAGCCCAGAAATCCCCATCTAGGGTTTGCCTTTTCTTCGAAAAATAGATCATCCAAAACGTTTATTGTCGACCCATCCTTATCTCTTCTCAAATTCGTTATATATTGTCTGAATCCCCCCATACTTCTCCTTGAGCCTCGAGTTGATAATCCGTAGCCTATTGAAGATACTTCCTGGCTGTGATCCCATTATGAGTCTACATACTGCATCCCTTGCTATTCTTGTGTTTTCAATTGTCCCAAGGAGATGTATCATTTGATCCTGGACAATAATCTTTGATCTGCTAAACTCCTCTATGGCATTCTTTGTCTTTCCTTCCCTGCCTATGATTCTTCCAATGGCCCTCTCAATGTGCAGCCCTCTTAGTGTCTTGACCTCAGATATCTCAAAACGATCCAAGAACACATCACTAAACTTAAGTATTGCAATTGCATCCTCAATGGGAAATCCAATGTGCACAGCTTCAATGTACTGTGCAGACCTCTCCAAGTAGGATGGGTCCTCTGTATGTTCGCATGTCCTCATTTCCACACACCTTCCCTTAATGTTCATACGTATTTGGATCTTACATATCTCAACTATTGGAGTATAGATTCTCATCCATTCTTCCTTCATCCCTCTCATCTTCCTAGGATGGATAGGAATCGACCTGGTCTGGATCTCGGTCATGGGGCAAGATAATCCTGGGAATTTACACCACCATAGCTTATGCATATATCAAGCCGTTACTTCAATAAGATAAATCATCCTCCAGTTGTGCATAATACACTTCCCTCCCAATCTCCTCGAAGAAGCTTGGATGAGAATCACAAGCTTTCAACGAGCTCCTCTTGGCCCTGCCTTTGCAAGATATTGGAATTCTGTACCTATTCTCCTTCCTCCCTACCAATGCCACACAGTTCTCCAAAGCCTCTTTGGGAAGCATCAGAGCTGTCTTCTTATCCAGACAAGGCTTCTGAATGTTACTTAAACATTCACTCTTAGATGTGCTTGAAGAAGGCAGGCTTGGATTGCAAGTTGTATTTATGTGCGATAGAACGTCGCGCACAGTCTTTAAAACTTCTTTGATCTCTTTCCTCATTCCACTCATTTCTTTAAGAAGCTTGGAATACGAAACAACAACACCACTTATGAACTCAGCATCCATATGAAGCATAAAGATGCAAGAAGTATTAAGATGCTATTCTCTTTGCATAATCACATTTATTTTCTACAAAAACAAACTTATTCTAAAACCATAAACATCCTAGTAAGAATCGAACGTAAATATGGAAAAATGTGATGACGAAAACACGTTACCAAAGGCCACTGTCGACAAGATGGTATCGTCTATGCTTCCAAAGAATTCCGTTGTTCCAAAGGAATCCAAAGAAATTTTTCAAAGTGCATGTGTCTATTTCCTGAATATGCTAACACTGGAAGCAAACAAGGCTTGTGAGGAAGAAAAGAAGAAGACGATAAGCTATGAACATGTCTACAAGGCGTTGAAGAACCTTGGGTTTGAGAATTATATTGATGATTGCACGAAAGAGCATGGAAATTATGAGAATTACATCAAGCAGAAGCCATCCAAAATTGACAAGTTCAAGGACTCCGGGTTATCTATGGAAGAGCTCCATAACCAGCAAATCAAACTTTTTCAAAATGCAAAGCTTCAATTCGAAAGGTCCTTCGAAGACGACCATTGCGGTGATAATGAAGGATAAAGATGCTGTAAAATTGGAGGTCCTTGGTACAATTCTACAGCCAATAAAACCTTAAGAATATAACTCAACGAACTTTAATTCTGAATGCTTAGGTTAATTTCAACATGGGGGAAGTTCTTGAGGAATTGGACAACCTTTTCCAACTGTTGATGTGTGGCTTCAAGGTAAAAGTTCCTGAGATGGATAATCATCTTATACCTGCTCCACTTCTTTGTACCTTGGCCAGATGGATTTCTTAGAGTTGTTATGCTCTCAATCTTTTTAGGTAAGACCACTTCTCGTTGCAAATTATCGATGAAGGTCTTTCCATATTCATAGAACTCTCTGCACACCTTGTTGATCCTCTTTTCTTCAAGGCTTGCCATATCTATGCAGACCTTCATAGTCTCCATAGCACTTCCCACGTCTATGTCTTGTTTTTTCATTTCGGTGTCCATTTCGAAGGGACCCCTCCTAGCAAATTTTTTCAGTAGATCCTCCGTAGTACCCAATCTTAACAAAATGAAAATCGGATTTGCAATGGCATCTTGCAGATTTTGGGCCTTTTCACCCCTCGATAAACACACCCATGGACCTTTGGGTAAGAAACTTTCTTAAAATCAAACAAGATCATACAGATCCGTCTGATTACGAAAAGTTCTTCACTTGCTTTATAGACTATCTAGCAAGATGTCCTTCCTCCCATTGTGAGGTGTCGAAAATACTCGTGAAGGCGCTGGATACATTCAAGAACGTACACCTGATTTCCATAGCGTATCGTCTTCTTTATTGTGTTGACGTAGAGCTTCAAATACCCGAATCTACTTTGAAAAAACACTTTAGAAGCCCATACTTAAGGGAATACATGTTCCCATTACTGCCTAGGATATCTCCAGGCTTATTTGATTCTACTTTGTTGAAACTACTGCGCAATCCTCATTACGAATGCAAAAACTTCTTTAATCTGATGAAGTCCAAGAGGGACTGGGTGGTAGAGTTTCTAGGATTGAAGAGGGGGCACCTTGCTAGAAAGCAAATGATGCTTATGGTTCATACGTCAATATTCCATAACATGGGTTACTTCATAACCTTCTTCGGGCACAGAGATAGAAGCTTGTCATTTCTAGCATTTGAAGCATTTAAGCTTTTTGTAGAAGGACTCGTAAGGGAAAGAAGAGGCAATGGCTCGGAAGGAGAAGCAGTCCCAATTCTCTTGCACAAGGAAGCCACATTCAGCATATGGTGGAACTATGAGAATGCTTGGATTTCTCCGGAGGCACGTATTCGGGTTGAAAGCCCTACTAATTTCCTTATTCATTTCATGGATTTCATATCTGAAAAGGAGAAGCTTCAGAGACACATTTCTACCAACGATAAGAATGGGGTAGAAGCCATACTTAAGAAATATATAGATTTGGGAATACCGTTAAGCATTCCCGATTCTAGATGGACCTCTGAAGCATCTCGGTGCCCTGAGACTCCCAAAAGAGAATGTGTGGAAGATATATGCTTTGAATACCTTTTTAATGGAAAAACATATAAGGAAATAATGGACTGCATTGAAATATAAGAAAGGACAGAGAATTAGGCCCTTATGGGAGCTGGAAGGGCTCTAATGGTGCTTTTCAATGAGGGGGGTAAGGTGCTCTACAAGGCAGTGGCAAAGACTATTTCTGACATTATGGTCGGAGACAGAATGTCAAAGATGGAGGCTGAGATGATTCTAGATATATCACCAAGTACAAGCGAGGACAAGGTGAGAGAATCGTTTCTTCGAATGTACTATGCCAATGCTAAGGAGAATGGAGGATCTCCGTATATACAATCGAAAATCCTTGGAGCATACACTGTTCTATCCGGTACCAGTCCGAGGCTTTTAAATCTCTTTGAGGTTGATAGAAGAGCCCGTCAAGAAGATGAGAGGAAAGCCCCTTGTGCAAATAATAAAAGGTTTCAGCTTTGATTTTATTCGGAGCCCAGGTCAGAGGATGTTCTAAATATCTTCGAGTAGCTTAAATGAAGACTTATTTGGCAGCGTTTTGACCGAGCTTAAAATAGAGAACCTTTCGACCGTTGTGGCATATCCCAGGACACAACAGGAATTTATGGTTGCATTGTCTTCGATCCTTGTGTTCCAGCCAACTATACTGTCTTTTATTATCACATTGTCTCCTATCTCCACATTGTCGAAGATAGTACTATTTGTGATTGTGACGTTCTTTCCTATCTTTACATTCTTTCCTATGACAACATTGCTCTCGATCGAAAACATTTTTTTATCTGACAGGTAATCACACATAGCCGCCTCCTGATAGTACTTCAAATACATTCCTTGGCCTTTTATGTAATCTGCAGGCTGGCCTATGTCCATCCAAAAACCTTCGAGATCAAAGACTTGAAGCTGGCGTTCCTCTGCCATTTTTGGAAAGATCTCCCTTTCAATAGAGCACTCTCTCAGCTCCACCCTGTCCAGTACAGAGGGATTAAGTATGTATATCCCTGCATTTATCCTGTTTGATGTTGCGTTTTTGGGCTTCTCAAGAAAGGTTTGAACAAGGCTTGTGTTTTCCTCGGTGATAATAAGCCCATACCTGCTTGGGTCTTCTACACCGGTGGACAAAATAGTTCCTTCCTTACCGTGTGAGAGGTGGAAGGAAAGCATTTCTCTTAGGGGAAACCTGCACGTTATATCTGAGTTGAGTACAAAGAAGGTGTGACCTTCGAGATACTTTCTAGCAAGTGCTAGTGGGCCTGCTGTTCCAAGAGGCTCTTGCTCCTTGGAGTAGATGACGTTGATACCAAACTCGTTTGAATAGTCTCGAACCTCTCTTATTATAAGCTCTGAGTAGTAGTTGAGTGCCAAGATGATCTCCTTGATACCGGCTCCAACCAAAGCCTCTATTTGATGTCTTAGAATAGGCTTGTTGGCAAAGGGTACAAGAGGCTTTGGAACAGTATACGTTAGCGGCCTTAGCCTGGTTCCATATCCTCCTACAAGGATGACTGCCTTAACTTGCTCCTTAACATGGACCATTTCCCTTGTTTTGTAAACAATCGATAAAGAAGATTAAATAAATTAGACATACACCATAAGATTATGAAACACTTTTCTGAATGCATAAAGAGTGGCCTATTGTTTACCCTATAAAGGCCTTGCGAAATATCTTGTAAGTAAAATTCATAAGGACCCCATGAATCTGTATGACCTGGTTAAAAACGATTGCCATGAAGAGATATCTCGTTTAGAACATCCTGAGTTCAGCCGGTTCCGGGCAGTTGCATTCATCAGCATGGGAAAGTTTAAAGAGGCTTTAAAATACACAGAGGAGGGCTCCTTTGAGAGGGCCTATGTGTTTTACAAGCTAAAAAAGTATAAGAAGGCGCTTAGAATTTTAAGGCACATCGACACTGAAGGGAGTAAAGTCCTTACTTCCCAGTGCCTGTATTACTTAGGATACTATAACACAGCCTACCAAATACTTGCAGAGGTTAAGAGGGACGATGATATAGTAGTAAATCTACAGGCCATGAAGGGGCTGGCAACACTCGCAGATAGCAACCAGTATGTATTTGGAAATAAGTTCCAACTGAGAAAAAGAGATGAGCTCGCAGAGTTTGAAGACTTATCAAAACATAATTTCAAGCACATCGAGGGATATGTGGACTTCATATTCAACTTGGCATTTGAAAGTCTTTCTAGCGAGGAAGATTTTGTAGACTTCCTTTCTCATCAACTAGAAAAACAAGAAATGAAAGGGACAATTGTAGAAGAACAGCTAAAGAACATTAAGGGAGAAGAGGTTAACATCAATATCCTTTTGAAGAATCAGAAAGAAACTGTTGAATTCAACAGTGGTGCTATAGATAGGTTTTCAAATCCGTTGCATTTCCAACAGAACTTCCCGGGGATAGATACAACAGGGAGTACCTCCAAAGGGAATGTATCTTTGTGGATTGAGAAGGTATACAATAGCAACTTCAATATTAAGGCTGAAAAAATTCCTCTCCTCTCTCCTAAGATGGTACTTCTCCGGATCCTTACCCTATGCAAAAATGGGTGCCTTCCCTCCCAAAAATTGCTGGAGAAGACTAAAAAGTGGCCTGAATCATCTATCAAGAACTGTCTAAGCGTCTTTGATTCTAAAGCCAATCTCTCTAAGGAGTTATATATTAGGATGTCAAAAGATATAATGGATTAAAGTAGCTCGTTTGCCATTCTACGCATGGTGTTTCTCTAGTGTAATGCCGAAGTATTAAGATTACCTGCAGATTGGAATGATCAGTCTTCTGGTTTTAAACCCCTAATGCCTGTTGTAGCTCACGCCGAAAAAGGACTAACATTCAATGTGTTTGCTGGGAATACATCCTGGGTTGAATGTGATTACTACGCCTTGAGGTCTGGTAGAGTAGCATGGATCAAAGGCAATCTAGTAAGATACTATGATCTTGTGGATAAAAAAATGATTCTGGAAATAGAAATGGAGAAACCTAGAGAGATTGAGATGTCCGAAGACGGCAGGAGTGTGGGGATACTTAGTGGAAAAGGAGAGATGGTTGTACTCGGGGAAGATGGAATTAAACTAAAGGCAGAGAATGTGTCTAGGTTTAGAATCTCCAACTCTTTGATTGGATATGTTTCAAGTTCGTCATTTTACATTCATCAGATTGAGGAAGACAAGATAGAAAAAAGTCCATTCCACGCTTCTAAGGTTTCTGTATTAGAATTCTTTATCTCTGGAGAATTTGTTTTTCTTGCAACAAGAAAGTTTGAAAAGGATGGAATGCACAAGCTCCTTCGGATAGGTAGAAGCTCGGTAGACGTCCTTCATAGCCTAAAAGAGCTGCAAGGCTTTTCTTTGAAGACACATAAATCTGGAAGATATGCATTGCTTCTTTTGATGACATCTTATGTGAACAATAGCTACTTCCCAGAGTCTGATGTGTATTTCCATGACATTAATAGGCGGTCCTTCAAAAGCCTTGGGTACTCACCTGTTCATTCATACGCCTTTCTCTCTAGCGGATTTGCAATATGCCATGGGTCACAGCCCAGCAGTGTTTCGGTCCACGGACTGGACGGTAAGCTTGAATACAATTTTCCAAAAGGCATTAGAAATAGGATATTCTTCAACCAGCACGAGAACATTGCAGTGTTTGCAGGGTTTGATAATCTCTCCGGAGACATAGAGGTGTTTCATGTTCCTTCAAGAAAACTTACGGCAAAATTGAATGTACTTGGGGCATCTCTAGTTGATTGGAAAGAGAACGGATCGTATTTCTATGTCTCAACAACAAGCTACTTCCAAGAAGATAATAAAATAACACTCTATGATTACTATGGAAGAAAGATAGCTGAGAGAAAGTTTGAGTCTTTGTTTTCTGCCAGTGTTTATGGGAAAACAGAAGAGTTCATTGAGCTAGAGAGGCCCGAGAGGTTGAACATAGAGACTCAAAAAAAGTACGTCCCCCCTTCAATCCATAGCTTTATACCGAAAACAACATTTAAGAGCAGCACGCCTAAGAAGAAGGGGCTGGCAGGACAAAAGCCAAACGAAAGAACTAAAGACGAACTTTTGAATGATCTCAAAGAGATTGAAAGCCTGAAGAATAGGATGAAAAGTGGGGAAGAGTTATCTGTAAAAGAGCTGAACTTGATTTTGAAGGAATCGAAGCTAAAAAGTGAACTTAAGAGTTTTGGAGAGTAGTCCTCAGCCCTAAATAAACTTTATAATCCTATAATCTTTGTCCCTCAAGAAAGGTTCTATATTGAAAGAGTTTCATAGAGGCCATTGATTTTTTTAAATTTTTGGTAGGGGTTACGGGGATGAGTAACGAAAAGGTTGATTTGGATAGAATCATAGAGAAACTTCTTTCTGTTCGAAACAGTAAGCTGGGGAGGTTGGTCCACCTTGCAGAGGCAGAGATAAGATACTTGTGTGAGAAGTCAACAGAGGTGTTCAAACAGCAGCCTACCCTAGTCGAGGTGAAGGCCCCGGTTAAGATCTGTGGAGATGTGCATGGGCAATACTATGATCTCCTGAAGCTATTTGAGCATGGAGGATTTCCTCCTTCCAGCAACTATCTGTTTCTTGGGGACTATGTAGATAGAGGAAAGCAGTCTTTGGAAACAATCTGCTTGCTACTAGCCTATAAGATAAAGTTTCCAAACAACTTTTTTCTTCTAAGAGGGAACCATGAGTGTGCCAGCATCAATAGGATATATGGGTTTTATGATGAATGCAAGAGAAGATATGATACAACTATATGGAAGCTGTTCACTGAGTGTTTCAATTGGATTCCCATTGCTGCTCTTGTTGATGGCAGAATTCTCTGTATGCATGGAGGGATTTCGCCCGACCTGAAGAGCATGGATCAGATAAAAGCAATTGCGAGGCCAACAGATGTCCCTGATGAGGGCCTTCTTTGTGATCTTCTATGGAGTGATCCCGACCCTAGCGTAAGAGGGTGGGGAGAGAATGATAGAGGTGTTTCTGTGACTTTTGGGCCAGACACTGTGGAGAGGTTTCTTGAGACACATAACTTGGACCTGATATGCAGAGCACATCAAGTGGTAGAGGATGGATATGAGTTCTTTGCTAACCGATCCCTGGTCACGGTGTTTTCTGCACCAAACTATTGTGGAGAGTTTGAAAATTCTGGTGCAATTATGGATGTAGATAAGGATCTTGTGTGCTCATTTCAGGTTCTCAAGCCTACGGATTTCATTAACCATACAGAATCCAGGAAGAAGCAGATGGGGATGCCTCGCAAAAAGTAAAGAGATTCATAACATTTCAATAAATTTTCCTTTCTCGAGATTTTGAGTTATAATAAATGTTCGCCATGGTAGGATGGTGATGAAAAAGCCCCTCACCTTGTTGGATTATGCCAAGGATGTTAAGGGAATCAAAACTGTTGAGTTAGAGGACTTGGATATTTGTTTGCTCGATCCACATATTTCTTTGGAGAAGATCGACACAAATACCTTATACAACATATTGGGACTAGTTTACCATTTTGAAGATGTCAAGACCGAGAATAAAACTCGCGCTTCAACCAAGTCAACTAATAGCAAGCCGAGATACTTTTGTGACACAACAACATGCTTTCGCTGTGGAGAGATGAGCCATGAATTCAGGGAATGCACCAAAACATTTAAAAAAGACATATGTGTCTTGTGTAGCCGGAATGGGCATGTGAGGGAACAATGTCCATGTAGATACTGCACGAGATGCAGAGGATTTGGGCATTCCTTGGATGTATGTCCTAGTCCCAGAGACCTTGATATGCAGGAAATGTGCAAGGCTTGCCCCGCAGGCAAACACAGCATAGAGGATTGCCCCAGGGTATGGAAAAGATACAAACTCAACGGCAATACATCGAGATACACTATATACAAGGCATGCCCGAAGTGCTTTTCTAGAAATCATTTCATTGATGACTGTTCCTCTTCCGATAGGGCACAATCTTCTATATTCAACTCCTCGTACTTTGAGCTCGCTAATTTTTACAATAAACAATGACAGAAGGTATAGTAAAGGGAAATAGAGTCTCCCCTTGAAATGCTAGATATCAAAGTCATGCCACAAACAACAATCAGAGTTAAAAGAAATAAAAGATCTTCAACTTTTGTTGTACAGAACAACTCTATGGAGAGTGTGGGGTACAAGATTAAGACAACCAAGCCTCGGGACTACATAGTAAGGCCGAACATGGGGCTGATAGTACCCATGCAGCAAGCAGAAGTTGAGGTTACTCTCTCTGAAAGCACTGTTCCTGACAGCAGTCATAAGTTTCTTATAGAAATATACAGGTTTGATTGGAGAAGATCTCTAAATGATTTCAAGCAGTATCTCAGGTCCTCTTTGCCTAAACCATGCTGGACATCCAGAATAGGAATATTGTATGAAGAAGAAGAAGAGAGGATTAACAAGGAAACTGTCGAATGTTCTGAGGATAGGGGTGTCATTACATTTTTTGTCCATTTGTATATCCTCTTCAACGTTTTCTATCTGTTCTATAGATTCTTTGAATGATGGTTTAGAGGAAAGAAAGCAATCGCGAAGAAAATAAACATGCAAAATATGCTTTATTTGATAAGTCAAGCTTTGCAGGATAGGGATTACCATAGGCTTCAATTCATCATAAAATATACGGAGTATTCAAACAAATAAGAACTATGCTCCTTCCCAAGCATACTACAGTATTACCATAGTCCCACTCTCCGCACTTCTTTAATACGCAATTACCAACATCATCAAATGATGTAAGCTTTCCTGTCACAGACTTTCCATCGATAAAAGTTATTGTTATTTTTTTTCCTTTGAATCTACCTAAGTCACTGAGCAGCTGAGTTTTCTTAATTTTGTCCTTGTTCATCAGGGCCTGGGATGAGATATTAACTTCAATAAATATCTCCATGCAGCATTAATGGAAGGAACAAGCAGCATCAAAATCTCTTTCCGACTCTCAAAAGCAATTATAGTAAAGGCTGTTCTCTTGGTCAAACCCTCTTTTGTTGTCTACCCCGCTACCATCCTTGGACTTATCCTTCAGAACCAGAGCCCTTATTCTGATGTTTATATTTCTGAGATGCCCAAGTAGTGCTGCAGAAAAGTCAGTAGACATTTTATCTATAATAATCTCCTGCTCCTCAAACAATTTTCTAAGCTCAACCTTGACAAGGTTATCTATGACGTTGTAGAATTTCTTGATCCCAGGATCCTCTAGTACAAGCTCAGATGATTTCACTAGCTCGTTGGCAGACTCTGGATCCTCAAAAACAACGAGGTATTTCTCAGGGTTAAGTCTCTTGAAGTTAGTAATCCTCCCAAATCTTGCTGCATAGGTCTTAAGATCTTCTGGATTATGCCTTGATTCATTTACCTTATTGAATACTACCTCATTGTTTTCATTGGACTCTGTTATCTTCCTTCTCTTTGGGGCAGTCTCAACAATGTCCACACCCTCTTCCTTTCCTTTCAGTCCTGAATTCCCAGATGCACCTTCCCCGCCTCTTCTGTCCCATCCATGCAGAAAAATGCAGTTCTTCGTCCTACATTCATCTCCATCCCTGCAGGTCTTTCTCTTGTATGCCATGACCTTTCCTACCAATCCCTTGGCTCTCTGGTCTATCACTGGAATCAATGCCTCTACTAGTTCGCTGTACATGCTCTCAGGGGATACAGTGGGCACAATGCCTTCAATAACATCGATGACAGTTGAAGCCTTATCCCCAACCTCCCTAACTATCATGTCTCTAAGAGGGCTCATCAACGGAATCTTTATCGGGCATAACTGTCTGCACTGGCTTTTCTTTTCGCTATCGGTGTCCGCCATAACTTTAAGGGGTTTCACATTCCCTCAAATAGCCTTGTAAATCACCCAATCCTTCCATCACCTCTCTATTCCGCGTTTGGAATTACGTGGTAATTTATCAGAGAGAATTAAGTAGCTGTTCTCAATATATATTCTGCATCCTCCTCCCCTTGATGCAGGGAGGAAAATTCTTCAGAATGGAACTAGGCCCAAATGAGATATCGAGTCTAAGAAAGCACAAATTTATTGGAACTGACAATTCCATCCTTTCAAAATACGTAATCCATCACTATGTAAAATGGATGCTAGAAAAAGTGCCAGAAACAATAGCACCAAACGCATTAACGCTCTGTGGATTTGCTGCAATGGGAATAAGTTTGTGCCTGACTTTGTTGTTTGATCCCTATCTGTGTAATCCTCCGCGCCTTCTTTCTCTGGCAAACTTCCTTCTGATGTTTGTGTACTTTACATGCGATAACCTGGATGGAGCCCAAGCCAGAAGGACAGGCACAGGATCACCACTGGGCCAGCTTTTTGATCATGGGGTGGATTCGTATTGTGCCTTGATCACAAGCATAACTCTCTCCTCCACCTTTGGGTTTGGATTATCACATAAATTCCTAATCTTTGCATTGGCCATCATGATCCAATTCTACCTTGCTGGTGTCGAAGAGAAATTCACCGGTCACTTTGTTCTGGGGAAGATCAGTGGAGCTTCAGAAGGTATAGCGTTTGCCTTGATATCGCATCTAATTACCTTTGCATGTGGAAAGGGGTTCTTTCAGCATATCTTTTCCGATGGGTTTCTTTGGCCCATCAAAAAGCTCTATTCTTCAATACTAGGAACAACCAACTTCAGTGCTATTTCAGTGGTCATTGCAACATCCTTGGTATTCAATACCACACTAACTCTAATATCAATAGAGTCCAGGACACATCCCTCTAGGAGATTTTTGCTATATTCGACATTCCTAAGAATCATATCCTTTACCACTTCATTCGTCATTCTGTATAATACTCTTGCCACAGAAGGGTTATGGACACGGTATCTAAACATTTTGATGTTCGGGCAGATATTCTCGATAAACTATGTGAACGAAGTATGCTCTTATATCATTAAGAAGGACCTATTCTTATTCACCCCGGTTTATTTGATGTACCTTGCAATCTCTGCTGCTTTACAGTTGCAACATCTTAAGGAATTTCAGAAGCCTCTTATAAGCGCCTCTTTTGTATTTTCTTCTGTATACTACATCCTAGTGGCCTCAAGGGTAATACTCACATTGAAAGAAGCCTTGGGTATTAGTTTTTTATCAATTGTAGAAGACACAAAGAAAAGTGATGAGCAGAGTTCCCATTAAATCTATGGTCCTTTCCTATCGATTTTGAGCACAAAATTTACTTCATCTCTCTAACTGAAAACATGAGTTTGGACCCAGGAAATTGTAACCCCAATGAACTACCTATATTCGCAAGAGAGTCCGTGGAATGGCGTTGAGGGATGTTCTGCAGGGTTCTTTGTGCCTGGAGAACCCTCGTTTCTAACATACAATGGAAACATTGTTAAACTCTGGAAGTACAATTCCGGCCTGGTTTTGGTGAAAGAATACATGTTACTTGAAAAGGTTTGCCAAGTAGAAAAATATAGAATATCCCCTAATGAAGATGGGCTAGTCTTTTTGTTCCACAAGGCCAAGGTTTCTCTTGCTAGATTTGATCCTCAGAAAAACGAGTTTAAAACAATATCTTTGAAGTTTTTTGAGAAAGATGAATTCGACATCAGGGATGAGGATATAAGAAGCATTAAGATAAATGGCGATCTAGGGATGTTTCAGATGAATAAGCGATACTTTAGTGTTTTTCCTCTGTTTCCTGGGATGTTCAATGCAAAGGTCTTCAAATTTGCAGATGTTGATGGAAAGATAAAGAATCCGATAGATTTTACTTTTCTTGAAAACTACTCCATTCCTACGGTGTGCCTAGTGTATAATTCACTGCCAAGGAGATATACGGTTGTAAAGAGTTATAATGCCATAGTGTTCTCTATTGATCTGAGTGCTGGAAAGTTTCATGTCATCGACGAGTTTTTTGTTCCTCCAAAAACCTTCAAGGTGGCCTGTGTGGGGCCAGTTTTGGTGTTTATGTCGCACAACTCTATATTGATAAGATCTACAAGCAGCTCATACTCGATTCCTCTGAATAGGATGTCTGAAGCATGTGAAGGGAGGAAGGTAGTTAATGATATAATTCTTTCTGATGTCCTTTTCTTTTCAAGGGGAAACACTTGTCTGATATTCAACGGGAATGGGGATAGATATAGGCTAGTGATATCGATGGACATAAAAAGAATAATAGGGGCATTCATAGAATTTGAGGGAAGAGATTCTGTGACCAGTTGTATAGGATATGTGAACGATCTTCTGTTTGTTGGCTCTGTGGGAGACAAGACAAAGGTATTTGAGATAAAAAGACTCCAGGTCAAGCCCGGGGTAGACGCTGGTTCTGAGAAAGTAGATGCACTTAAAGAATACTTAGAGTCGTCTGAGAATAAGGATCAAGATGTCCAAAAGCAGGATGAAGAATATGCCAAGCTCTTTAATGAAGGATCTGAGTCAAGGGCCGAGGAAAGCTTTGTTCTTCACCAAGTTGACGAGATTGCAAACATCGGATTTTTGAATGGGGCAGCAATGAAGAATGAAAATGAAGCCGCATTTGGTGTTGAAGGATTAGAGCCATGCATATGTGTTGTGAGCAATACTATGCCACTTGAGATAGTGAAGTCTCAAAAAACGAAAAGATATCTACATTGCTGGAAGGCTTTAGATTTCTACATTCTAGGAAGAGCATCTGAGACAAGAGTCTTTGGTTGGCCTAAAGAAGGGTTTTTGGAAGTGGATGGAGAGTATAGTAAAGATGTGGACACACTATTATTTGCAGAGCTTGGAAATGGAATAATCCAAGTCACTCCCACTTACTGTTTACTAATGGGACAAGATCTTAGAATTCTCAACAAAGTGGATTTTCCAAGTAGAGCACTTGAGGGCCGGGTGGTTTGTGATGGAATGTTCCTTGCCATAAAGGATATGGAGAAGAGGCTTAGTTTCTATGATAAAGAAATGAACCGAATTATTAGTATATCCGATGTTACATGCTTTGGGGACGTAAGGAACAAGATTTTTATTCTTTCGGAACATATTTTGAGTGTCTTTGACATACATAGCAGGATGAGTCAGTTTTCTCCTTGCTCCATTGAAGACCTCCCGGACTCCATCAAACTTTCACCAGATACTTCTGTGGCCATGGACTTGAATGAGAAGAAAGAAGAAGATGGTATTATAGAAATGAGCATGTCTCTAACAGGCAATAAGATTCTTATGCTACTTAGGTTGAAAGGAGGATATATGGTTGCTTACGAATCTCTGGACTTATCGGGGTTGTTTGATGAATCATTCCACCAGACGATTACATTTTTCAAGATTCGCCTTCCAAGACATGTTGCTTTCAATCTCACAGCGGAAGCCAAAGCATTTTATAATCTAGGAAGCATGGTATTCATAAGGGCAGCATCCAGCATGTTTATGGTTCCGGATGACAAGGGGCATTTTCTATATAAAAGCAGATACACTCTGAACTCGGCGACTGTGAATAAAAATCAGCTGATACAACTCTCTAGAGGGCATTTAATGGTTTGTAAGGTTCCTAGTGTTAGAGACGAGCAATATGTATTTGGAGATGGGCTTGTTGGTAGAAAAATCCCTATTCTGCGCATTCCAAAGCATATTGAGTATGCAGATAGATATATGGTGGTAGCATCATGCAAAGATGTTGAATTCTCTTCAAAGGATGAAAAAGATTGTGGAATCCCTGTGAACACTTATCGATTCTATGTGGATCTATATTCGGAAAGATATGAGCATATAAGCACGTATGAGCTAGACGAAAATGAATATATTTTCGACGTAAAGTACCTTGTTTTAGATGATATGCAAGGAAATTATGGAAAGTCTCCCTTCCTACTCGTTTGTACAACATTTATTGAGGGGGAAGATAGGCCTGCAAGAGGCCGGCTCCATGTGTTGGAAATAATCTCTGTTGTTCCTTCACTGGAAAGCCCGTTCAGAGATTGTAAGCTCAAAGTTTTAGGAATTGAGAAGACCAAGGGGTCGATTGTTCAATGTTCGGAAGTTCGAGGTAAGATTGCATTGTGCTTGGGAACAAAGATAATGATATACAAAATCGATAGGAGCACCGGAATAATACCAATAGGCTTCTATGATCTGCATATTTTCACATCGTCCATATCTGTGATGAAGAACTACATTCTTGCATCTGATATTTATAGAGGTCTATCGTTCTTCTTTTTCCAATCCAAGCCCATAAGACTCCATCTGATAAGCTCCAGCGAGCCTCTCAAGAATGTAACGTCCACGGAGCTTCTCACTGCAGGAAACGAGCTCTCTATGGTGTGCTGTGATGCTAAGGGAACGATACATGCATACACATACTCTCCAAACAATATCATAAGTATGGATGGAGCAAAGCTTGTCAAAAGATCAGAAATGAAGACCAACCTAGGAAGATTGTCTTCTTCCGGGATAGGGTTTAGAAAGAATAGCATTATGTTCTATTCAAAGACTAACTTATTGATCTATTTAGTTGGAATGGATGATTCGTACTACCTCAAACTTCTAAAGATACAGACATCAATCATGGTACATCTCAAAAGCGTGCTTGGACTGAATCAAAGAGACTATTTGAACTCCGACATCCACCTGCACAGCTTGTCATTGAAAAGCCCTATAATCATGCATATTCTGAACTTGTTTAGTTATTTCGACCTGAACACTCAGAAACTGATCTCTACCTCTGTTAAAATGAGCAGGAGAGAAATATTAGATGTGTTGGCCTCTTTGAATATATTCTGATTCCAATTAAAACTCCTTTGGTTGTTTGAGGAGAAGTCTTACTCGAATGTCTTAAATTTCCACAACTTTTTTAAATGAGCATAAAAATTTGTATCCTGAGAATCAGAGCAATGAAAGTGAAAGCAGAGTCCTGCGTCTTCTTTGTGAATGGAATGACAGCTGAAGAGGAATATAGGGTTGCCACCAAGCAGGCCCCTAAGCCTCGGAAAAGACCTGTAGGAAGGCTGAATGGAAGCAAAATCATGCTCTCAGGACAGAAGGCGTTTGTGAAAAGGCCTATGAGGGTGGTGGACCTTAAATATATAGAGTCTGACGAAAAGATGTTCAACTTGCTTGCATGCTTAATAAGACTTCCTCCTTTCTACAACTTCATTCTAAACTTTAGAGAAAGAAGCCAGGACATGGAAAAATTCTACATAATTAATAGGATTTCTAAACTCCTCAGCCTGGTGATGGAAGGCAAGGAAGATGATGTAAGTGATCTCTTGATGGAACCTGATTCGAAACTCTATGAAGATATATATTCAGAACTTCTTTGGTCCATCCATCAGGAGCTTTGCGAGTGGTATAACTTTGAGGAGGACACGTGGAGCACTATGGATAGAAGCCAAGGAGTTAAGCCAAAGCCGCTTTATAAAGACTACTCCCCAATTGTGGAAATATTTCAAGGGAAAGCCATCTCCAAGGACCTGCCACAAGAGGTCTCATTTGAAAAGAACAAGATATCTCTGAAAGGATTCTCTAGCATTCAAGAGGCCTTTAACTCTAGTCTGGAAGTTGAGAATAAGAAGATAACTAAGGAGCCTTTGATTATTGTGCTTGTTGTAAAAGAGCAAGGGAAAGTTGATCTATTCAATAATGAGAGTATAAGAATTGGGAGTTACATGTTTTATCTTTGTTCTTTTATCACTGAAGAAGGTCTCACGAGTTATTCCTATGCTAAGAATGGAGACAAGGATTGGTATGGATATGAAAGTAATGGAGTAAGAAATGTCTTGGGAATGAAAGACATTCGTGGATGTCCAGTAATGCTATTCTATACACGTATTAACTAATTCTTTCTACCAGCTTAGGCCTTGATGGTTGAAATAAATGATAGCAGTTTCTATTTATTAAATCAACTCTTGAACTTCTCTATCTCGCTTAACATCTTGTTCCCAATGGCCTCCATGCATTCCAAGCCTTCAATCATCTTTTTGAGGAGGTTCGGAGGTGTCTGCGAGGACTCTGAAGAAAACTGAATGGTTATATTAGAAACATCGTCGGAAGGATGTGGGATGGTATATCCCACAAGCTCCACCTTCTCTCCCACAAAGTTCTTGCTTATACACCATCTCAGTGGGTTCATAATTGTGTGATCTTCTTTGTTAACTTGTATGGTTTGATCATTCAAAATTTTTATACAATCTTCTTTATTCATATGGGAAGGGGACTTCATTTTTTTTTGCCCAGACACAAGTTTTGCAAAAATTGTATTCTCTGCTAATCATCAACCTTAGGAAAGTTTTTGTTAAAGATCCTCATCTTATCATCAACATGATGTTTTTTCTTATCCACCCTATTTGAGACATAATGCTCGACATTTCGAGTAAGAGGAGATCCTTGGGTGGTTTCCAAATACACTGTTTCGTACTTAAACATCTCCTTTTCAATCTTCTGAATCTCCTTTCTTAGCTTCTTTCTTTTTGAAAGAAGGGACTTGAACCTTTTCCTTACGTTTTGGGAAATATCCTCAGTACCCATGGGCCATGAATTTGATCTGCCATAAGAGGGGAAATGCACTTCATATCCTTCTCACTTTTACTTACACGATAAGTATATTTTTCAGTCAAGTTAGTCACCCCTTGCCCCATGCTTTTCTTCCTTCTGGCCTCTATAGTTGCAGATAATGTTGAAATATCAAGACGCTCATTCGATACGCTCAAGGTTGGAAATGCATACATATCTTCTTCCCCAGACAGTGCATCCACCGCCTGGAATTCGGTCAAAATCTCCTTTCCTGGATACCACAGGTACGATATTAGAGAAAATGAACCTCGGAAATTTGAGCTAATTGACCTCACTCAGTACTTCGGAGAAAAAGAGGAGATGCAGTTCCGAATAGACTTCGAAACAAAGTATTATGGGCTTATACCTGATGCGTGGGCCATGATTGCTGCACTGACCATCTCTTCTGTTGTAATGTTCATCATACCTCTAAAGAGTATATAATAAAGGGAAAATGTATAGACAATCTACTTCTTTCCTGTGCCATTAAGCCCTGTTATTTTTTTCCATTGTAAATGAAAGAGAAAATCGAAAGAGCTTATAATAGGCTCATAAGAAGCTTAGACAGTGGAGTAAGGACGGGGGGAGCATCTATATCTGAAAGTGTAGAAGAACTAGAAAGGATCCTCGAGGATATCATGATCCATCTGGAAGATGAGGACTTTAACATCTTCAAAACTCAGTAATTTTTAGATCGGGTTTTGAAAACTTAAAAGTAGGAAATCCTAAGCCCTGAATGTTCAGTGGGTTTGTTGGGGCCGGTGATGCGGAGCCGATGCCAGACACCTCCGAGACTGTACAGATATCTTCGCTTGCATTGTTAAAGATGCTCAAGCATGGGAGAGCGGGAATTCCTCTCGAGGTTATGGGACTGATGCTTGGAGAATTTGTTGACGAATACACAGTGAAAGTTGTTGATGTATTTGCCATGCCTCAGAGTGGTACAAATGTCACTGTGGAGTCTGTGGATCCTATCTTTCAAATGGAGATGATGAGCATATTGAAGGCAACCGGGAGGCATGAGACGGTGGTAGGGTGGTATCATAGCCATCCAGGGTTTGGGTGTTGGCTAAGTACAGTCGACATAAGTACCCAGCAGAGCTTTGAGAAACTATGCAAGAGAGCTGTCGCGGTTGTTGTCGATCCTATCCAAAGTGTTAAGGGAAAGGTTGTAATTGATGCCTTCAGGCTCATTGATAATCAGTTGGGCGTCCTTGGAGGAGAACCAAGGCAGGTGACCTCTAACATCGGGTATCTTAAGACGCCTACGCTTATATCCATAATCCATGGCCTTAACAAGCATTACTATTCCTTCAACATAACATGCAGGAAAAACGATCTTGAACAGAAGATGTTGCTGAATCTTCACAGAAAGACATGGGCAGACAACCTTAAGCTCAGAAATATCAAGAAAGAGAGAGAAAATGTATTGAAGCTTATTGAAAGTTATGGAAAAGCATGTAAAGAAGAAAGGAATCTAACAGGTAAGAACCTTGATATGGCTAAAATAGGTAAAGTGGACTACAGAAGACGGCTTCTTGAGAAGTGTGAAGAAAACATCATGGAAAACACCATCTACAACCTCCTGTACTCTATCCATAGGTATGTCTTCAACCAATCGGACCACAGTAGCTAGAGATAAATAAATAAACCATGTTTTCAAGGCTAAATGTATATGCCCTTATCATGAGGTTTATAGGAGTCCTTGCTTCTCTTTTACTAAGTACCATACTTTGTATTGTAGAGCTTTACAAGATTGAAGCGGTGGTGGATGTAGAGAGCAGAAGGGCATCATCTTACAATGCATGCGATAGAATACTTCGTCTTGCAGATGTAGAATTCAAGTTGCTTGTACTACTCATGGTGGCGCAAACCCTTTCTCTGAGCTACACGTCACTTCTTACCGTTCTAGTGTTTGTTTATGAACTACAAAAAAAAGGATCTGAGACTACAATCAGTGCTCTGAATTTTTTCAAGCAAAAGAGATGGATAAAGATCGAGATATTCTGCAAAACCTCTTTCTATGTCCTTCTTCTTTATAAGTATTTCTCTACACTTATTGTAAATAAAACATAGGGCTCTTTTGACTGTTGAGAAAAATCCAGATAGTCTTTGAAAGCTTTAATTAGTTGTCTAGTGTTCTAATCCCATTTGCCCGACTTTTCAGAGATTTCCTGCTTTTCTGGGACTTTTATATGGTCCTTCGGAGCCAACTCCTTCTTCTTGAAGATAGATGCCAACGAAGAGGAGTTGTCCTTGATTATGCTCTTTGTAGAACTGACAACAATACCTCCATACTCTACGGTCTTATCGGTGATAATCTTTGCACTCGAAAAAATCGCACTTCCAACAATGGATAAAGTGGATGCAATAGAGTTGTGCAATGATCCTGTACTCGTTGATTCAAGCCCTGTTGTACTGCATGGGCCCCTACTTCTATTTACACAATTCGTAGAGGATCTATTCATCCATCCTTCGGAGTCTTTAGATTCTTTAGGAATAGTGCTGATCTTTGCCTTGTTGAATGCCTCCTCGCCCATCTCTTTTACAACAAGACTCTTAACATTTGCAGCATATCTCTTGATGTGGTTGTTGTTATAAATCTCATTCATTTCACGCCCAACAAGCCCATATTGCTCCAAGAACTTTCTGAACTTCTCATTTGACCCATGCTTCATAAACAGGTACTCTTTCTCATCCCAAATGTCTAGATTCACGCTCTTTACAAAGCTAGTCTTGACTCCTAAAGATCTATGAACACTGGCGCAATCAAAGCATATGAATATTCCATAAGTCACAGATGCCCATGGTGGATTTGGTCCAGAACAGTCGGCACATCTTTTATTCTCCTCAATATCCCGAAGTATCTTGACTTCTTTGTTGAAATTCATTACCATGGGGATTTGTTTTCTGGGGCTCTTAGTTTATTATATGTTTCATTCCATTCAGCCCAATCTGTTTCAGATTCTATATCTTAACCAAAAAGTAATGATAGATGTTCCAGTAATACCATCAAATTATCATCTAGACACCGCTTTCTTTGCATTCAATAATGCTTGCTCCATTTCTTCTAAATCAAAATCTTCACCTTTTATCACTTTGTTGAGCTTGCTTAAATCATCCTTAGGAACTTTTCCCAAATCATCAGCTCCTTTTCCAAAAAGCTCTCCCGTAGAAACGACAACCTCAGCCTTTCTTCTTTTTATCTCGTCCAGATGTTTAAGCTCCTCTCCCTCTCTTACCATCCTGTCTATCTCCTTCTCCGTCAGGCCACTGGATGGTATTATTTCAAGAGACTGGGGCATCTTCGTGGCGCTGTCTTGTGCAGTCACCTTGTACATCCCATTGGCATCAGACTCAAATGTCACTTCAATCCTGGGTACCCCCCTGGGAAGAGGAGGAATGCTCTTAAGCTTTATCTGTCCGAGATACTTGTTGTCTGCAGCCATGGCCCTTTCTCCCTGATATACTTTGATATCCACCTCTGTCTGATTGTCCTCGGAGGTTGAAAATATCTGTGTCTCTTTGAATGGGATGGTTGTATTTCTTCTTATTATCTTGTTAAACACCCCTCCAAGAAGCTCAATTCCAAGACTCAAAGGAGCAACATCCAAGAGAAGTACATTATCAACTTCTCCTGCAAGAACTCCGCCTTGGATGGCTGCCCCCTTTGCAACGGCCTCGTCGGGGTTGATCTCAACAGAAGGCTCAATTCCAAAAATCTCCTTGACCACTCTTCGGACATAAGGCATTCTTGTCATCCCTCCCACTAATATCACATGCTTGATGTCAGTACAATCTAAACCTGCATCTGCAAGTGCTTTCTTACATGGCTCGATCGTTCGGTCCACAATCTTCTTAACAATCCCTTCAAACTCATTTCTGGTAATCTCTTTAGATAAATGCCTTGCCTCTCCCCTAACATTGCATATGTAAGGTATATCTATCCTTGAGACAAGAGATGAAGACAAGTCTTTCTTTATCTTCTCCGCACACTCCTTGATTCTTGCCAAGGCATTAGTATCATCACTCAAATCAACGCCTTCTTTTCCCTTGAAGTCCTCTACAATAAACTTCACAACTTCATTGTCAAAATCTTCTCCTCCAAGAAATGTATCTCCATTGGTGGCTTTCACATGGAATACTCCATCACTTAATTCGAGTATCGATATATCAAAAGTCCCTCCTCCAAGGTCATAGACAGCAATATTCCCTCTCGCAGCCTTATCCAGCCCGTATGCAAGTGCTGCAGCCGTCGGCTCATTAATGACCCTTACAACTTCCAGCCCTGCTATTCTTCCTGCATCCTTTGTTGCCTGACGCTGGCTGTCGTTAAAATAAGCGGGAACGGTTATGACAGACTTCACTACAGGATGATTCAAAAATGACTCTGCACTGCTCTTGAGCTTGGAAAGTATAAATGCTCCTATCTGTGCAGGCGAGTATTTCTTCCCATCAATCTTTATCCAAACATCTCCATTGCAATGAGATGTTGTATCAAATGGAAGTCCTTTTACATACTTCCTAACCTCCGGATCATCAAGCTTCCTTCCTATCAATCTCTTGGATGCAAATATTGTGTTCTTGGGGTGTGTTAGTATCTTGTTCTTCGATTGGCTTCCAACAAGAATTTCGTCTTTGAGTATAGACACTACCGAGGATGTTGTACGCTCGCCCTCCTGGTTTTCTATTATCACAGGCTCTCCATTCTTGACTACAGATACACAGGAATTTGTTGTTCCCAGGTCTATTCCGATTATGTTTGATGAAAGCTTTTTGCCTGGAGCATTTGCATTTGGCATTTTTAGAAGGAAGCCGTTTTTTTTTGCATATTTGGCCTCCCGGGATATTTAGACATGATAAGGTCATCCCTAAATGGCTGAGCAAAAGATTACTCCTTGGGAAGTGGAGGTAGTTTCTACAGATGAAACACCAGTAGCCATTGACTATGATAAAATAATTAATCAGTTCGGATGTGAGAAGTTTGACCAGGCATTGGTAGATCGTTTAGAAGGCCTGACAAATAGCTCACCACACTATTTCTTCAGAAGAGGTATAGTATTTGCACATAGAGATTTCAACCACCTTCTCAACGAAATGGCCAACAATAAATCATTCTATTTATACACCGGAAGAGGACCTAGTACGAAGGCCATGCATATTGGACATGTGGTTCCCTTTCTTCTGTGTAAGTATGTTCAGGACACCTTCCGAATACCTCTTGTAATCCAAATGACTGATGATGAAAAGTTCTTGTGGAAAAACATTAAGCTCGAGGATGCTATAAAGAATGGTAAAGAAAATGTCAAGGATATCGTGGCGCTAGGCTTTGATCCAAAGCTAACATACATATTCTCTAATGTCGAGTCCTCTCATCGTTTTGAGAAGAATGTTTTGAAGATATCGAAAACAATCAACCTCAACGAAGCATCAAAGGTCTTTGGATTCAATATGTCAAGCAATATAGGCCAGATAGCGTTCCCATCAAAGGAAATAGCACCCTGTTTCTCAAGCTCCTTCAAGTTTATTGAAAAGGAAGCCATATGTCTCGTTCCTGCTGCCGTTGATCAGGATCCATACTTTAGGCTAGCAAGAGATAAGGCAAAGATTCTTGGAGAGAAGAAGCCTGTATCTGTGTATGTATCACTTCTTCCAGACCTCAAGGGTGTGAATAGAAAAATGTCTGCTAGCGACCCAAACAGCTCTATATATCTAGACGATTCCCAAGAAACCATAAGAAGGAAGATCACTGTGCATGCTTATTCTGGAGGCAGAAAGACTCTAGAAGAGCACAGAGAAAAGGGGGGAAACATTGATGTAGACGTTCCATTTGAGTACTTGAGATATTTCCTAGATGATGATGAAGAGCTTGAAAAATATCGATCGGGATATACTAAAGGTGAGATTACCAGTAAAGAAATGAAGGAAAAGTGCATTGCTGTAATACAGGATTTTGTGTCAAAATATCAGGAGGCTAGGAAGAAGGTCACAGAAGAAGACGTAAAAGCATTTATGGATATCAATAAATTCTAGGACTTTCCAAGGCCTCTTATATTTCTAACTCTGGCTACCTCCTTTCTAACATCTCTTATCTTTCTTTTCAAATCACGTATCTTCCACTTGTAATACTCTTCTTCATAGTTGTCTTTATCGAGATTTGCAGGGGAAACTTCTGTCCTTCTGGCATTGATGAATGATTCTCTAATATTCATGGATTATCTTCCCTTCGGGACAGCGCCTAATGCAATCTATAAACATTTTTGAGGCCCTTGATGGAAGTCTCTAGAGGAAAGGATAGCACTAAGAACTCTTTAAATGGCACAAAGCCAGATATCAATGAAGAACATCTAAGGCCAAAGGAAACATGCTTTCTGGAGGGAAATAGACCACAGGTTTTGGAGGATACAGCTGGCACCGAAAGCACTAAAAAGGAAGAAGCTAGTTTTAGACATCCCGATTCCAAAAGAGGGTTATTTGAGGCTTCTGCAAGTAACCATGGGGTGAATAAAGAGGAGACATTAACAAGGGATTCTGACAGCAGCTTTGACAGTGATGATACGGACAGGTGTTCAGGACTCTTAAGCGTTTACTGGATCAAGGAGGCTGAAGGGCTGTACAAAAACCTTACAAGTCTGAGGATTTCGGACATGGCCCTTGAGAAGAATAGAAGAAACCATCCAAATCCAAACTTCCTATGTAATACCGAAGAGAGAAGCAATTATACAATGGTTTTAGAGGATATTTATTTCAAGCAAAAGACTAAGAACTTGAAGAAAGAAATCAAGTTGAAGTATCTTATTGAAGAGTTTTTCATGGCACTGGATAAATTTGTTCTTATTGCAAACTACTGTCTCAAAAGCACGGAGATAGAGGATGAAGACGAGGACTTCAATTTTGCTTTGGTGTGGGTAAGAGATGCATTCCATTGGCTAGGTATTGAGGGAGCTAAGTATTATGCTCGGAAGTCACCAGGCCCTTACAATGGATGGATCTCTGATGTAGAGTTTTTGATGAATAGATATTTCTTTAGCCCAGAGTTCAACCATGTAAATGGGTTTGGCATTGAACAGTCCATGCATGAAGGATACAGATTTGTAGAGAGCAGTGATGGGAAGTACTATCTTTCATACCAGCCATATCCCGGGTATTACGATGTAAGCGAAGAGAATAAGCGGTTTTGTACCGGTTGCAATCTCATACTTCCGAGAAGCTTGAGTCTACCCGATGATGAATATTTAAATGAAGAGGGTGTTTGACAAGGAAAGGATAAAGCGCTCTAGAATATAGATATAAAGCTATTTTTTCAAAACTAAATTACTTTATGTGTCTAAGTCTACAATCCTATGATATAAATCCATAAAACGCATATTCATATTAAGATGTATGTTTTATTTATACTTTAGAGAAGTCGAGCCAATAGCATGAAAAAAGGCAAAAATGTTGCAATGTTCTGAGCACTCTTTCCTCTCAAGGCAATTTCTGGTTCACCAGGTGCTCCCTTGTAGCCCTTAAGGCATTCATCCATGTTGACAAACCTATATCCCTTGTCCTCCCCTATTTTTACCATTCTTTCAAGGCGTGTGGTATCTCCCTCCTGTCCATCGTGCATCAAAATAATGAATGAGTGATGCTTTGGATCCGATCCTTCTATCATACACTCAAATTCTTCTATGGGACTATCATAATCATATGGACAGAAGGTGTATCCTAGAGGGAGAACACCTCTTTCAGTAAGGATGCTGTACATTTCAGAGTTTACTTCCCCATTGTTTATGGGTACGGATGCATATCTTACTTCTGTGCCACTGAGCCCATCTATTGTATCTATTTCCCTATCGACATTCTCCTCAAGGGCATCCCTAGAAAGGTTCTGGCACCCATCATCCATCCTTGGATCTATCCTCAACCCCACAGTATGACCCTCATTAACAGCCCTTCGGTATAATTGCCCTACATTCCCAACAGCCTTCTGGTTCACTGTGAACGAAAAGGTAGCTTTTACTCCAAGCTCATCTAAGGTATTGAGGACCCTGTCAGTTACACCTCTCACCGGGCCATCCACAAAGTTTATTGCTATCATTCCAGATGTTGTGCACACATCAGGGACATCTTCACACCAGCAAGATGCAAAGTATAGTATCCATAGCATGGATAGGCAATCCTATTCATTATTTAAGGAAAAATGTACCAAAGAATGTCATTCTTTTTGCCAAAAACGTATAAATTGCAATCTACAAAATTGTACTCACCTCTAAATTAATTTTTAAATTAAAGTTAAGTGTGTCTCGAAAATCATTCCTGGCTATCTGAATCACAGTCAATTTCAATAGCGTGGAGTCCCAAGCTAAAAGCAAACTCCAATGTCTTGTAAACAAGTCTGTGTCTATCTGTGAATTTCTTAAATTATATACTGCTTATAAACTTACCATTCCGTTGAACATGGCAGACCTTACTCTGACATGAAAATGCGTTTCCAAGCCCTCCTCTTGCTCTATTATTCTGTGTCCAGTATGATCGCAAGAGGTATTCTTAACCTCCAACCTTGTTGGACAGAATTCATTCTTCAAGGCATTGAACATTTTTGCTTCAAGACCACCCTTCATAATCAAAATTTTGTGACTAAATAAATGCCTGATCAGCAGTTGATGAGTCCTAAGTTTACTTATCACCATTTTTGTTTCTCTTGGATATCCAGGAAGCCCTATCAATATAAAATAAGTCATTCGACCTGTCATCATCATAAGTCGACAGATAATGATATTCTGCTTGCCTCTTCTTCTCTATATTCTCTTCAAAATCTTTCTCAATCCTTCGACATTTCTTACGTATTTCTGATTCCTCTTCAAGCCATTTTTTCATTGTATCGTAAAACATTTTGCTGTCATCCGCTTTACCATACAATAGATTGTAGCTAGAAACAAACCTGTCTAAGCGTTCCTCTTTCTCAAGCTCCTTTCTATGTCTCCTTTCTATGTCTTCAATTCTTTTGAGTGCATTCTTTCTGCCTTCCCATGGCTCAGACCTCTTTTTTGGAGGACAAATAGTTATTGTACCTTGCCCTAGGTCCCTATCGAAGAGAACATCGTAGAGGTATCCAACAGATGCTGGCTCGTGGTAGTTTACAATCACCCATTTTGAGCTAATACCTTCCAGGCACCTACCGCGCTTAAACTCTTTAATCTCCCCAAAAATGCTTAGCATTTCCATGAGCAGTTCGTTTCCAAAACTATCGGGAATGTTTCCAAGAAATAGTGTTTCTTCATCAAAATCCATTTCCTTTCTTCAAGGATACACAATAAATATCTTAACAGAGATTTTATCCCTCTGATGGAAGGAATAGATAATCTCTTCAACGAAATCAGAGATGCTGGCGAGTTTTATGCAAGGTACAAGTCCTTTCTCGACAAGAAGGCTGGACTAGAGAAGGAGTTGGATCGTATAGAAGAAGAGATAAAAAGGGTTGACTCTATGAGTCTAGAAAGAGAAATAAAAAAGACTACAAATGAATACCAAGGTGTCCTTGAGAATATCGAGAGGCTTTCTTTGAACTCTAAGGAATGTAAAACCATAGAGGACCTGGAGGTGGTTTTTTCTAAGGTCTCAGATACAGATGTGTTGATGAAGAAATCATTAGAGTTTCTCAAACACTCAGCCATTCTTAAGTGTATAGACCCGGCATGTGAAGAAGTGGCAAAGGAACAAGAAAGTGAGAATGGAGATGGATTGATAAGGTTTGAAATAAGTAAAGACATAGAGAATCTTTTTCAGCTTTCTGCAAAATATACCAAAATACAAGAAAGATGTTATCTTTCATTCAGGTTGATTATCTGCGAGAGTATTCAGGGAGCCATTCCTGCAGACATAAAGGTTTTTCAGGATGACCGATCATTATTTTTTGTGCACAAGGACAATGATGGGGAGCCCTCTTTTCATATGCTTGAGGAGAAGGTCGTGGTAGATCTAAAGGAAATTTCAAGATACAAGATGATGTCGCATGCAATATTTGGAGTCTTGAGAGACAATCTAAGAAAGAAGGTTGTGGAAAAAAACCTTACGGATGAAGAGGTCGAAAGAAATAACCTTTTTTTCAAGGACACGGAGTTTTATATTCATAATGTACCTGAATGGAAACTCGACATTGTTATGAAGGAGATAATTGAGGTGACAAAGGGTCCAAGAAGTATGGAAGCAGTCGAGACCTTCGAGACATCAGATAGAATGCCAAAGTCTGTTTCCGCTAGCTATAAAAGGTTTCAAGGATGCTTCGAGATGTTTAGGAGATTGAGGTCGAAAAGACATGAGAAAGGGGTAAAGGTCATCAACAGAGCTATAACAAAGTTATTTGACCCAAAGAGGCATGAGCCCTCTGTATATAGCTATTTCCTTGAGTTTGCTGATATAACACATTTTCTTCGAACTTATCCTGGACATCCTCTTACCGATGAATTGTCTAAAAGGAAGGAAGAACTGTTTTTTGATGTTGTTAAAGAGTCCTCTCGAGTCAATGTAGAACTGGTAGAGCCTTTGGTAACTCTTAAGCTGTATTTTAAAGAGAAGCATGTAGAGTTTTCTGAGAACATGAGGCTATTTGTGCCTGTGATTAATAGAAATTTATTTGAAATTCAATTTTTCGAAATGCTTGATGAAGGCTTGATGGAAAGAATTCGGGGACTAAAGATTGCAAAAAGAAGCACTGTCGAGAACATCATTTTGTTAATTGATTATATCTTTGATCTCTCGTTTCACCTCCCTACCGAGGCAATAGGAAACCAAGAAAAGCTTAGATCTTATAAACAGGTTCTATCCCTGGATAGGGAGAGATTAATCAAAGAATATAGAGATGGCAAGCTCTGTATTTCTGATGAGGAATTTGTCTCTCTTTGCTCATTAGCCTTTAGAGAGCCTGAGGATAAAATATTTCTGCTAAGCAAAATGTCAGATTAATTAATATATGTGTTTATAATAAAATTTTTAATTGTGAATATGCCTAGATGTGAAAAACAAATTAATTTTCGAGAAATCCCCAAAATGAAGTACGTTATTGTTTCTGGAGGTGTTATCTCTGGGGTTGGGAAAGGTATAGTGGGTAGTAGCATTGGAGCACTTCTTAAATCAAGAGGACATATCGTGACTCATATAAAGATAGATCCCTACTTAAACTACAATGCAAGGATGCTTGCACCTTGCGAGCATGGAGAAGTATATGTCCTCGAGGATGGACACGAATGTGATATGGATTTTGGAAACTATGAGAGATTCAACATGCTGAAGCTTTCGATTATTAACAGTATATCTGGAGGAAGGTTATTCCATGATATAATAAAGCGGGAACAAGAAGGGCATCTTCTTGGTAAGACTCTGCAAGTCAACCCCCATGTGATAGATGACGTCATTAGGAGAATAAAGGTTGTTGGCGAAACCCCTGTAGAGTCCTTTGAGGACGGCCACACGTCAATCCCAGACGTCGTGGTCATCGAGCTTGGAGGGACGGTGGGGGAGTACGAGTCTTCAATATACACAGATGCACTCGCAAAGTTACAGCATGATGTTGGAAAAAACAACTGTGCATTTGTATCTGTGGACTACCTCACAGAACTGGAGAGTGGAGAGCAGAAAACAAAGAGCATTCAGATGGGGTGCAGAAACTTCAGGGCATTTGGACTTACTCATGACATCATTATATGCAGGGGAACCAGAGCGCCGACTGAGGACACACGAAGGAAGATATCGAAGAACTGCTGGGTGCCCCTTCCAAATGTGATAGGGCTCCCCAACCTTGAGTCTGTGTACTCTGTGCCAAGGTTTCTTGAGGAGCAGGGGCTTGTAGACTCATTGTATAAGACTCTTGGGCTGTGTGATAGGAAGCTAGACCGGAGAATGCTGGAGACTTTTGAGCGACTTACTGTTCGACACAAGGACAGTGTGAGGATTGGGATAGTGGGGAAGTATGGGCCAGAGTTTGACAGCTACACGTCCCTTGTGCACGGGCTGAAGTTCTCTGGAGCATCTATCGGGGTGAATGTGGAGATAGAGTGGGTGAATGCGGAGGAGTACTGTGAATCTGATCTGTCGAAGTGTGATGGGATCATCATACCGGGCGGGTTTGGAGCACGGGGGGTTTCTGGGAAGATTGAAGCGATCCGATATGCAAGAGAGAATGGGATTCCTCTTCTTGGGATCTGCCTTGGGTACCAGCTGTGTGTGATTGAGATGTGCAGGAATGTTCTTGGGATGAAGGATGCATTTTCTGAGGAATTCCAGCCGGATGGAAAGGATCTTGTTGTCAGGTTTATTAGCGACGAGAACGGGGTAGTTGATAAGAGGCTCCGTGTTGGGGGAAGCCAAGTTAAGCTTATGGATGGATTGGTGAAGAGGTTGTATGGGGGCAAGGAGACCATCCGGGAAAGGCATAGGCACAGGTTTGAAGTAGTATGGGAGAAAGTGCAGGATCTAAGGGCTCATGGACTGAAGTTTGTCGGGTTTAGCAACGACGGGAAGGCCACGAAGATCTTTGAGCTTTCGACACACAGGTACTTTGTTGGGGTGCAGTTCCACCCCGAGTTTATTGCAAGGCCCAATCAACCTCACCCATTGATAACAGGTTTGATATCTGCATCTTGCCAAGGATCGAAATAAAATAAACTTTGGCAACAACACTCCAACGACAAATGTATTCTAAAATCTCTGGTAAAAATTTAATATCTAGTCCTCTCAGATACTAACTCTTTTTCCAATTCCTTACAGAAATTTAGTACTTTTTCTAATTCTTCAGAAGTCTTTAGTGATGGAATTCTAGATTCAATTTTTGACAATGTCCTTCTGATTTCATGCATAAGGGTGTCTCTGGTTTTAGATAGGTCTGACTTGGAAGATTCAATAAACACTTTCTCAAGTTCTTGTTTGGATGTCATTTCTGGCAACCTTCTCTGGCTTGTAAATCTATTAGCATTTGGTGATTCTTTACTTCTCTTTTCCTTAGGTACAACACTCTCTTTTATCCTTGAAGCATATCTCAATGTGTTCAAAGTGTGTTCAACATTCTCAGATGTAGGGGATACAGTAGCTATTAAACAGGTTCTAGATGTTCCAATAAAAGAGTTTTTGAGTATTTGCGTTAGCTTGCTTTGTCTGAATGGAAGATGCTTTTTATCCTTTTCCATTCCTCGAATACATTCCTTCAAAGCCAAAAGGCTCTTGTTGATCTCGGCACCCTCGTTTTTGACGTCAGACCTGGTCTCTCTTCTATCTGACCCCCGCTCACTTCCAGCAAGATCGACAAACACTATGGATCCAGAATGAACCTTTGGATCCCCCTTTTCTACTTTCTTGTCAGAGAAGTTCACTAATATCACTGCATGAGATCTAGACGATTTAGAATTGGCTCCAGTCATGCCAGTCTTTCTCAAAGACATTCCTCTATCGATGATGCTAAGCACTTGGGAATACCCCCTAAACACTTCTTCTCTTGAGTTTGAAAGATGCACCACTCCATTGACCTCGCGCAGCTGTATTCTTTTTCCGTTGTCCAATAAATCATAGACCTGGCCCATGTATATTTCACAAAACGTTACTGTTCCATGATCTTTGAAGACCATAAGATCCTTAATTGCTAGATACATCATCCCAATGTCCTTTTCTAGCATCGTATATGTTTTTCCGGTTCCAGTCTGGCCATATACTAAAACTGTCCCAAGCCCCCCAGAGACAACATGGTTCACAATATCTTTCACACATTCTCTATATACATCGATGTTTTTCTTGTCCCAATCAAACGAATAATCAAATCTAAATCTGTGATGCTCCACATATGGCCTTAGATCGACTCTGAGCCTTTCCTCATGAACAATAACATCCTTTCCTTCCACTCCAACTATGTCTAGATTTGGATCATTACAAGGCCTTTTTCTAACACAAACAATTATCCTTTCCTCCCTTGCCATAATCTCTCTAGCATCGGAGGAAACAGATAGATTTGGATCTGACGATTCCAGAGCTGTCTTGTTACCTCCCACATTAATGTCATCTAACCCGATCAAAGACCTCTCAAAGCTATTTCTCTTTGGCATCGGGCATGAAGACAATTTTTGACTTATGGTTTCTCCACTTCCAAACAAAAGACCATTTTTTTCTGCAAGGCTTCCAAGGAAAGATTGGCATTCAGATTTTTCAGTTCTCTTGAAACTAAATGGAGATGAGAGGTGGATATCCTTATGAGACTCGTTTTCATTCATCTCTATGTCTTCACTGTATATGTCCTGGTTTATCTCATTGATTATATCAAAAACCTTTCTTCTTTCTATTAGATTCTCGATTCCAATTTTTTCCAGATCAGAATATTTGAGTTTTGCCAATAATTGAGACTCGTCTATTCCTATTCTTTCAAATAACTGGTATAGATGCTCCACTTTACTTTCTGCTAGATATGTCCTCAGGTCCTTCATCGCCAGGGTTAAAGGTTGCCATTTTATAGCCAGATTGGTGCTTGTATCAAGGGTATTAGGAGAATGTTATCCACATGCACACCTCTAGATACCATTGAAAAACTCTCCCCCTCAATGGGAAGTAGTTACATAAAACCGCCGAAGAAATACATCTCAAAGGATTTGGTTATGAGGAATCTAGATCTCCAGGAAAAAGAGTTTGATAAGCTTGTTACACTATGCGGAGTACATCCTTACATCCCCAAGAACAACCGAAAAGTCGACCAAGGAGATGGATTTTACTATAGAATATCAGATGCCAACAAACTTCTTCATTCTGATGTCTACAGGAAATTGATCATAAATAGAGATCTTGAGAACAAAAAGAAGAGATATACTGGAACAGGGTTTGAATACAAAATTAAAAACATCCACTACAAAGAATATGGATATGTAGACCTAATCAAAAGCAGATGCAAAGGATTTGGTGAGGCTGTGGATGAATTGAATCATACTCTAAGCAATCTATACCTAGGGAGGATGCTCAATCTGAATGATGGAATATCAGAGGTCATCGAGATGTTTGAGAGGTTTGTTGCCAAAAAGTCCTTACTTGAGTATTCATATATGTCGAAGTCTGGAATTTATAACCAGATGACTTTAGGAAAGGTAAAGGTTGTTTGGTTCGTTCCGTACCCAGGAGCAGAGCTAAAGGATATAGTAGAAGAGAAGAAGGACATGCCGAAGAAATTTGAGTGGAGTGAGCCGAATTTTCTAGACTTTTTATCTTCTTCCGAAGAATCATCTTCTGAACTTGAAGAAAGGGAAGAGGCCTACAACGATCCTAGAAAGATTGATATCTCCCTTCTTTCACACTCGATTCCTCTTCTTATGACGCATTGCAAACTAGTTCTCCACAAGTTAGAAAAGGTTTATGAATCTCATGAGGGAGGACGAAAGATATTCTCAGATGTAAAGTTTTATATTGAAAGTAAAGCAGTCGAGGGTGCTCTAAGGCTCATTGTCCTGAGTTGTGGAGGAAGCATAGTAGAAAGCCCACATGAGGCAAATATCCATATATCTGAAAAGATTGATGAAATGGTGGAAAATGTAGCATACTTGCAGCCACAGTATTTATTTGATTGTTTGAATCAAGGAAAAAGACTTTACGCAGAATCTTATTCCGTGGGAAGAAAACTACCTAAGCATATTTCTCCTTTTGCTTCAGTAGACAGTATTATTTCAAAGGAAAGCCTTATGACGATGTCAAAGACTAGAAGACATAAAATAGAGGATTTAATTAATAGGTTTGAAGATGTTAAATATGATCACTAAGAATTTTGATAATACAAATAAGTGTTAGGTTTAGCCTGCTTTTAAAGGCAATAAATTATATGGTTCTTATTCCTGCTATCTCACAGGTTTTGGTCTTGTCGCAAACCTGTCCCAATTATGAGTAAAAGATTGTGGGAAACTGCGTCTGGAACGAATCATATACCATAAATACCTTGCACCCCAACAAACATTCCTAGCATGAAGATAGAGGTGATGATAAAAGGGAGTTCTGAGGATATATACATACCTCTTATCAAAGAGACAACTGTTGAGGACATTAAAGAATTATCTGAAATGGAAGCATATGATGAAGGGTTTGGTCTGAATGCATATGCTCTTCTAAAAAATTCAAGTATATGTTTGAAGTACAGTAATAAGCTCTATAAAATGTATATATCAATATTTCTGAAGATTCTGGACAGCACAACCATAAGTGAGGAGATTGTTCCTGATTTATGTGCCATAGAACCCTGTACCATTTCTGAAGCTGGGGTCATCAATGCATTCATTGAAGCCTTGATATGGAAGATTGAGAAAGGAGAATGTTTAAGTAAGTATGAGACATTTATAGAAAAGCTATGTGGGAAGATGACAAACAGCCTTCTCTGTGAGATTGGCTTCTGGAATCAAGAAGAGGACATAATGAACATAAAACTCGACTTCTTGCTCCTATCATTAAGACTTATCGTAATGATGGTGGAGGATAAGGCAGAAAAGAAAGGGGAGGTGGAGAAGAGAAGCATATTTGCATTTGCTAAGGAGTACTTTTATAAGTCATTCGCTTTTCTCGGAGAGATGAAAGATTTGGAGGATGACATGGCTTTTATATTCAAAGCAACTCTAGCCATCGATGCTCTAGTAACCAAGCAGGTAGTAAACAGAGTGAGTGAAGTGTTTCCAATAGTTGAAAATCTTCCTATTTCCAAGAGAAGCATGTTTGGGATATACATTCAAATAGCAAGGATATGCTTATATGAAGACGGCGCATTGTACGAATTGTTATACTCCGTGTTCACGACTAGTTGCCTTATTTCTCTAGGTGCAAAGTATAGAAGCGAATTTCTTGGAGTTCTAATAGAAATGGTCGAGCAGGATGCAAGAAGCGAAAAAGATAGGGTTGGGCACGTAATCGAGACATTCAGAAAGGTTTTCCACAGCCTTAGAGACACCGAGTCGGAAGACAGGGGCACATTGATATGGAACTTTCTGAGTTTTTTATCAAAGCTGAGGATAAGTAAAGATATGGGAGACATGAATAGCATTTTTTTGAAGTTTATTGTGGGATATCCGGAAACCATTGAGCTTTACTCAAACTTCATTCTCATCAATGGAATTGACTTTCCCCTTCACAGCCTTCATGAGATCTCTAGCTTTGGATTTGTCAAGAGATTTTATTCTGTTCTGTTCAATAAGGTTAGGCAAGGAAAGCATGACAGAGGTCATGTGGATAGACTTATTTCTGAGTTTCTCAAGTTCTTCTTAAGCACAAAGAACAAAGAACTCGTTGGAGTCCTCCCCCTTGTTCCGTATATTCCTGCAAGGCGAGAGGTCCTCTATGTTCTATATGGGATATATTCCTTTCTTTTTGAAAATGAAGTAATTGAGCATGTGGACTTGTTTCTTCTCAAGACACCTGCGCTGGTTGGGATATCATCGAGCATTTATTACAATGTCAGGCATTTACATCATTTAGCATCGGGATTGGGCCTTACAAATGTTGAGCCAAGAATGCTTGTGTTCCTCGGGATTGTGTATTATTGTGAATCCAGGAAGTTATACAACTTCAATTATACAGGAATATTGGAATACATACAGGACGAGGATGGGATAAGAATGTCAAGGGATGGGTTGATTACTGTAATCGAGCTCATTCATACCGGTTACATAAGTAGGTCACATGAATTTACACTTTCATATGTCAATGATCTCTTAACTATAGCGCTTGAACCAAAGACGATAGAGACAACGTTAGTGATGATTGAAATCATCCTAAGAAAGATTCTCGAGAAAGAAGAAAAGATAATATTTATGAAAGAAATTCATCAAAGATTTCAAAAGCTCTTTGCACTTCTTAGCACCAAAAGATTTCTGAGCGATAATGTCATCGACTCATATCAGGGACTGTATAAAAATATATTGGAAAAAATCAGATGTGCACCAAACTTCTACAACTACGTTGTGCTTTGCTTGGCAGACATCTCTTTTTTTGATGGGGAGTTTCCAAAAGGTCATTTCAAGTCATTCAATGACTTATACAACCAAACATTGTCAAGGATGGGCGTTGTAGAAGAGTTCCCAGATATATTCATGGTTGATCATGGATGGAATGCCCCTGAAAGCACAACCGAAGCAGCTTCAAGATCATCATCTCTGTATGGGATTCAATGCGGAATAAGTGTTACAAGCCATCACACCCTTAAAGGAAAAGAAGATATATCAAACCCTAAGGAGGCTAAGTCACATAACATGTACAGTATTATCCATACAGGTACCAACGATAGTATTGCAAGCTTGGAGAGTTCTACAGAAAATATTTCACTTCATAGCTCATCACCTATGCATTCAACATCCTGCAATGCACAGATGAAGATACTAGATGAGAATATCAGAAAGAGGGAGAAGTCTGTTTCATGGCTTATCGATGTGATATACACGAAAAGAAGTCAAAGTTCGACAATAAGGATAGTCTTAGACCTTCTGAAGCTAAGGCTCAGGAGCATGTTTGAATACGAGGACCTTTATATCCTCCTAAAAGCCTATAACATTCTATCAATAAGAGAAAATGACTCCGAGGAATTCCTGAAGCATGCACTCCACAGGGGGCTAGACTTCAAAACCGATCCTGCTATATGCTATAAACTATCGTTGGAGACAAATGGGTTTTACAGGTTTTTTTTCAGGGCACTTCATTTTGCAGTTTCCAATTTTTCCAGTAATGAAGACCTTTCGTTCCCGGAGCGAACTCAATTGATCTCCAGGTTTGATACAACTGATCTTATACACATACAGAATACATTTAAGCAGAAAATGGTCCAAAGGCTTTTAGAAAGATCTTCGATTCCATCTTATAGATCCTACTTCTTCAATATGGAATCCCTCGGAATTATTGACTGTCTCACAATAATTAGAAGAGTAGACGACCCATCTCTTGTATCCAGGGCCTTTGAACGGCTTAAGGACTTTAAGGATAGGATGCAATTCTATGTTCCCCAGCTTGTTCAAATGTTGAGACACAAAAAAGTGTTTGAAATGACGTTCTCTGCATTGAAGGATCTAGCAAAGGACGATGAATATGTTGCCCATCAGCTGATTTGGAATTTGAAGGCAAATTTATATACGGATGGGTGGGCAGATAAGGATGAATGCCGCAGCACATTCATACGATGTATAGAAGAGATTATGGGAGAAATGTCAGAAGAAAGTAGGCACATGTTTCTTATAGAGGAGGAGTTTGTCAACAGCCTTACTAGAATTTCTTCGGAGCTGATTCCATACCTCAGATCTTCAAAAGATGAGAAGAGAAGACGTATAAATGACCACCTCTCCCGGATCAAGCTCCACTCCGGTGTTTATGTTCCGTTCTACCCCGAGCTCAAAGTCGTCGAGATTATGACTGGATCTACAAGAGCTCTCCAGAGCCATGCTAAGGTGCCCTTTATGGCATCCTTTAGGGTTCAGGATCCAAATGGACAAATAAGTATCAAGCAGCTAATATTCAAATCTGGAGATGACTGTAGACAAGACATGCTGGCCCTGCAGATAATCTCGATGTTTGAGTCGATATTCAAGCAAGCAAATCTGGATATATTTTTATATCCGTACAGGGTCATGGCTACATCTTCAGGAACCGGAATTATAGAAGTGATCCCAAATTCAAAGTCAAGAGACCAGATAGGGAAAGAGAATATCAACAACTTATCTGAATATTTTGAATACAAGTTTGGATTCAAAGAAAGCGAGGGATATCTTACTGCGATCTGTAACTTTGCCTCTAGCCTGGCAGGATACTCATTGGTTGTCTATTTCCTTAACATTAAGGATAGGCACAATGGGAACATAATGATAGATGACCGAGGAAGAATGATACACATAGACTTTGGATATATGCTGGAGATGTCCCCAGGAAATCTTAACATAGAGGCGCCTTTGAAATTAACAAAGGAGATTGAAGAGCTCCTTGGAGGAATATCTGGAAAAGGATTTAAGATCTACCAGGAGTTGATGATCAAGGGATTTCTAGCTTTAAGAAGACGGAGTAAGGACCTTGTCATGATGATGGATTCTTTTGCAGATAGCAAGCTTCCTTGTTACAAGAAGAATGCAGTAGAAAATTTTATTTTAAGGTTCAGGCTAGAGCTATCTGACAAAAATGCAAGGAGGTTTGTATTGTCACTGATAGCTGAGTCATCACAGAAATTTAGAACTTGGATGTACGATCAATATCAGAAGATTACAAATAACATTGCTTTTTGAGATTTCTTAGGGTAATTTCGCCACATAAATAAAGCAAGTTTTTCTAAGCCTTTGCAAGGTGAAAGATCTGGTCATGCAAGCTCCATTTGATAAGCACATATCGCCTACAGTACCTTATGTCCTGCAGAGAGGAAGAAGGGCTTCTCCAAAGATAGAGGGTATATCCAAATACATAAGACACTTAAGGATTCCAGTTAGGAAGAACGAACTATTTGTGGCAGGGGGAACAACAAGACAGGCCTTAGAAGAAGCTTTTCACGAGGTGGATCTTATAGAAGATATAAGGGTATTCAAAAGATACGCCTTTCTGTCATTTAAGTCTAATGCAAACATAGACCATATACCCGGAAAATGCCACAATATAGGAGGGAAGCCTATGTATGTCGACTATGTAAGAAGGGACGATATCAAGTTTATACCCATCAGACTTAGAAACAGGGCTAGCTTATGGTACAACCACAAAAATAAATTCAAATAAATCTATGTGTTTAATCATGCACAAGGAGGAATTGTCATATGGTTTGGTTCAATTAAAGAAGACAGTATCTTCTTAAGCCTTTGCAAAGAGGCTTCTTCTCCCACTGAAGATGACTTATAAAAGTAATACAAGGCTTTGTCCAGATCAATCCCAGTTCCAATGCCATTTTCATAGCATCTCCCAAGATTATATCCTGCCTTTGAATATCCATTTATAAATGCTTGTGTGTAATGCTCAAAGGCAAGCTTTGGGTTCTTTTCAACCCCAATACCCTTCTCAAAGCAATATCCTAAAGTATTTGCAGCCCTGGGATTTCCTAAGTCTCTTGATCTAAATAGTAAGCTCACTCCTAATTTCTCATCCGGTGGAATGTGAACCCCATTAAAGTATAAACTGCTCAGATTGAACAATGCCCACGAATTGTCTTGCTTGGCACTCATTTCGTACCATCTTATCGCCTCTCTTATGTTTTTGAGTGTTCCATATCCTTCCTCATAATAATATCCTAAAGTATTTTGAGCAGAGGCGTTGTTCATTTCTGCTGCCCTTTTCATAAGCGAGAAGGATTTCTCTGGAGATATTCTGACGCCTGTCCCGGACCTGTAGCATAATGCAAGACTTATGATTGCTTCGTCAAACCCTGCCTTGGCACCCTCGTTGAAGTATCTTACAGCCAGTCTCTCATCCCTAGATACACCATATCCATGCTGATAACAAACACCTAACGCATGTATTGAGTGCTTGTTGCTTTCCGATGCAGACTCCTTATACCAGTAGATAGCTTTGGACATGCATTGAGGAGTTCCCAATCCATTTTGATAGCAATAGCCAATGTTATGCTTCGCTCTACTAAGTCCCTGAACTGCAGCCCTTTTATACCATTCGAAAGCTTTCTGTAAACATTTTTTGGTTCCAATTCCTTTCTGATAACAGAATGCTAGGTTGCATTGGCCAGATGGGTATCCTTGTAACGCACTCTTCTTATAAAATTCAAAGGCCTTTTGAAGATCTCTATTTACGCCCTTACCTTCTTCATAGCAGTTGCCTAGTGCATTTTGGGCATACGAGTTCTCCATCTTTGAAGACAGTTTATACATCTCAAAGGCCTTGAAGAAGTTTCTTTCCACTCCTCTTCCCTCTTCGTAGCAGAAGCCTATGTTATACAATGCTGTCGAATCTTTCTTTTCAGATGCATATTTGAACAGTTCAACGGCTATCTCTTCATTTTTTTCCACTCCAAACCCCTTCAAAAAGCAATATCCAAGTATTCCAATTGAGCAAATGTTTCCTTCGTAGGCACTCTCGCTATAGTACTTCACGGCTAGCAATGGATCTACAGGAACCCCATATCCTTCTTGATAGCACACCCCCAAGCAATACCTAGCGTAAAGATTTCCATGCTTGCTTGCATAAAACAGCCAGTCTGCACTTCTCCTGCCGAGGCGTTTTAACTTGTCAAGGTGTCTTTCAGCTTCCTGTCTATCTATTATTGCCGTAGGCCTTCCAAACCGCCTTATAAATGCTAGCCTGATTAGTGCAAGCCCATTGTCGCTCAATGCAGCCTTTGTGTACCCCATTTCAGCCTTCTTCATATCGACAGTTGTTCCAATCCCAAACTCATAGCAGAATGAGGAGACAGAAAGGGAATTTACATCTCTTGCAGAGTTTTCTATGTGCATTTTCAACCCAAGCTCTTCATCTTTTTCCCTTCCCACACCTAAAAGTACCTTGTCGGCTTCCTTAGACATTTTCCTGCCGAAGAACGAGTGAAGCTTGTTCATTCGTAGAGGTTATTTTTGGACGGATTTATGCACAAAATCAGGTGAGTTATGAAGCTTGTACCACTTATTCCCTATAGCCTGAAAGAACGATTGGAAAGTAACAAAACAGTTTGGAATTTAGGATCTATGAAAATATAGTTCTATTTGAAACATTGGATGTAATTTGTTAGGAGGATCCTTGATGCGGAAGATATTGATCGTGCCACATTTAGCACTAATTTCTTTTCCACTATCGCACCCTGATGATTGAAATCGAGGAGGAAATAATCCATACAATAGAAGAAATAGATACTACGTTTTCTTCTATTAACAGAACGTTGAAAAGCATCAGAGAATTCATTGAAAGAATAGGTAGGGATAGGCGTAAGATGGATAAGGATCTGGGTCCGTGGGTAAGGTTTTTCTCTGTAGAATCTGAAGATAGTATAGGAAATGAGGCGCCACGCTCTGGAACTGAGAAAAGGCTCGAAGAAGAACCAAGTTTTCAAGACATATGCGTGACAGAAGGAAGCCCAGAGTCAATGAAATTCTCATCCCCAAGAAATCCATTTGTTGATAGCACATCATCAGAAATGCTGAACAAGACGTTTCTGGGAGATCTCTCTGCAAGACTTCATAGCAGTAATGTTGAAAATGAATCTTCGAGCTTTGTTCGGGTATCGGAGGGAAAAGCTTTCAGATCTTATGAAGAGTCGGAATCATCTGAGGATATACTTCCATTCAATCCAAGCATGCTTCCCCCTCTGTTTAAAAATGAAAAAAGTCTGTTCCAGGTATATGAAGTTATTTCAAAGAGCTCCAGTATCACGATAGAAGAGATATACAGGGAAATTTCTGCTGTTCCGAAAGAAAAGATAAACATATTTGTAGATCTTTTACTAAGAAAAAGATTCATAGGTAAAGAAGGAGATAAATTTAGAACCGGATGAGGTTGATTCCATGTCTAATAAAAGGAAATATGTAATTTTGGTTGCTTGTGTGAGCAGAACAACAAAATGCGACATGCGAGACTCGAACTCGCAACCTCTGGATTATGAGACCAGCGCGCTACCTATTGCGCCAATGTCACTAGCATTTGGGAGAAGCCGTGGTTCTATTGTGCATCTTTAAACCTTCCAATGGGCTTCCCGAGGGAGGTTCTCAAAACCCCTCAGTCTTCCCGAAATTAAACCCCTATTTGTCTAAGCCTTGGGATGAACAAACAATTGTGTGAGGTAGAGTCTCTTTGCCTTGGTGAAATAAGGAAAGGAAATTCAGAAGTAGTGGAAATGTATTTTGGGCCTTATATCTCTTACAATCCATCTACAGAGAACAGCGCCTTTATAAAAGCATATATGCTTCTTTACCATCTGTCTACAGGGACAAAGAAGAGGTTTTACACCACCATTGAAACAGTGACGCCAACAGAGCTTGAGAATCCAAGCATCAAGCTTGTCATCGAAGTGGATATGTGTATGAACATCGGTGCTGTTGAGCGATTGAAGAATGCTGTTGAAAGAAATACCATAAAAGAGTTTGATCGGTTCTTGAGGGACATTCTTGAGAGCCAGATGAAGATAATGGAGTTTTCAGAGAGCTCCAATGAATCCAGCCTGGGGATTCAAAGCCAAGAAGACAAGAAAGCCATTGAAGATGCAATATTCATTGGAAGAAATTCATCTGCCAACTTTTAGTGATATATGATTAAACAAGTATTTGATCTTCTGCAAGGTTGTCCCTAAGGTTTCCAACAGAACTTAAAAACTGCTTGGCTGATTGTTTTGAAGCATGGATCATGTAATGTTTCAGATGGCTTCAATTTGTATCACATGAAAGGTTGTAATTCTTATATTCCCAGAAAAACATCCCCATCAAATGCTCTCGATCTTTCTGAAAAGTTTACTTTTGATTGTTGGGTCAATAGGAGGCCTTGTAGGGCTTGGGATAGGCATTGTGAAGGCCATAGATTACATTGAGGACAAAGCATATGCTGCAAAGAAGCATATAGAATCGATAATACAGATATCAGCAGGGCTTCATATCATTCTCCTACTAAGGGGTGTTTCCATATTTCAAATACTTTTCAGCCTGTCGGTACAATATGCATTTTATTGTCTCCTGGATATCTATCCTCTTGTAAAGATGGATAACCCATACTTCATATATGGGACGATTGCCTCGCTTCTCAATCATTTTCTTGTCATAAGGTTGTTGTTCTCTAAGCCTGGTATATATGGAGCAGAGATTGTGCTCTACTTTGCACTCGTATGGACCACCCCGTTTTGCTTTTTCTTAAGCCTAAGTGCAAACGATGAAGTCCTGTTTGTTAGGGGAAAAGCATCTCCAAACACAATGATCGGAAATTTTTTAAAGAAATATCTTTACAAAGAAAAGAAATAAAAGTACAGTTTACTTTAATTCGTTCTGCTTGCTTACAAGTTAAGCAGTCGAGAGAAGATTGTCTTTTCCTTACTGGCTTCATCGGCAAAGCATTCCTTAAGTCTATCTGTAAGAGCCTTCTTCTGGTCTTCAGTCAGGTCCTGCCTTTTCTTTATTATTGTCTTGATAAAACCCTTCTTAATATCAGGATATATAAGCTTCAAAGACTTCACCTCCACAATAAAGAGGTCGTCGTTTCTTGTTTCCATTAGGGGAATTATCTTAAGAATAGGAGAAAGGCAGGTCCCTACATCTTCTTTGTCTCCATAGTTGCTAAGTAACTCATAAAGCTTTGTATGGTCAGACTTCAGGACTTTACTGCATTCTGAAGCTATTATGGCCCGCTTTCTGCCCAATTGTTTCATATAGGCCAATACTATAGACGTTGAAAGTTCATGGATGAATGTGATGAATGAATATTCACTCATAGTGTTCTGGTAGTCAGAAAGAAAATCCTGTAAGGTCAAAAGCACAACCTTTGTAACATTTCCACTACACCACTCATCAGTGAATATTTTGTCGATTGCAGGCTGGCATGCATATATGATAAATTCAGACAAGAATGTGTTTGAGGCTTTCAAGATATCGATAAATATGTCCCCTAGCTCTTTAACCTCGTTATTGTGATATGACGGTAGAGATGTGATGTACTGGGTTATCTTGAGGCCACTGTTTCCAAACATAATACAGAAGTCTTCATACCCCGCCTTGCTGCTCATTTCACAGGACGGCTTGAAGTCCTTCTCCATGGCCTCAACAAGGTTCTCCCTAAACACCTCGCAGTACTTTGTGATCGTCCTTGTTATATGAGCAAAAATCCTCTTATTGAATGCAATGGGCTCTAATTGCATCCTGATTATTTGAAGAAGACTAACAAATCCAGGGCTTATAAGCTTATCTTCTTCATCTCTAGAAAGCTCCTCGTTTCTAGCATAGAACTTTTCAATTTCAATTCTATTTATGTTCATAATCCACTCCTTTAGTTTTTCTTGGGCTGTCCTGGTATACTTCTCCAAAAGTTCGGTCTCGTTGCTTAAGAGCCTCCTTCCCAGTGCATCGGCTATTTTATTGAACTTAGACTCAATGGTGTTGTAATAGTTACCGACATACTCGATGATGGCTAGTATTTCTCCAGCATCTAACCTTTCTGTATTCTCATCAAGGAAAAGCTTCAGATTGTTATGATATAAAATAAGAATATCATCGAACGGATAGAAGCTAAGCTTTATGTTCTCCTTTATGAAGGATAGGTCGTTCAATACAAAGTCCATCTTGTTCACAAATATTTCTTCATCCCTTAGCTTATCAAACTTGCTTTTGACAGACACCTCAATCGACTTAATCACCTTATCTTTTAGCATCTTCGGCTTCCTAGCAGTATACATTCTATACATCTTGTGAAGCTCTCTGAGCACGGGGTCTTCACTATTCTCTCCTTCTTGAACCTTTCTTGTTAGGTCATCCCGAGATTCCTCTTTTTCAACTATCTGGACTACTTTGCCCATGACTTCATGATTCTCAATAAATTCTTCACAGATCTCAAGAATCTTTGCAGTGAAGTCTAATGAGTTTTTCTCAATCGTGTTCAATGCCTTGCTAACCTCGATATAGTCATCATGGGATATGTCAGAATTATACATATCTAGTTGGCATCCAAAATCCTCTGCATCATATACCTTGGTGTGGTATGCAATAATATCCTCCGTCACCACAGGGTCTTCTATCCCTTTCAACCTATCTGAAAATTCAATCACTTTACATAGGTTAGAATGAGCTAAACATATCATCTTCACTGATCTATAATCTTTTACAAGGGAAAAAAAGTCCTTCAAAACCTGTACATTCTTGTTCTTGCTCCCCACAAAATCATTGAGATGCTCTTCTAATGCATATATCCTCCTTGATATATTTAATATACTTGAATAACACTTAGATATCATCTCCGTAAGGTTTTGGTCATGATGCTCATATGCTTCTTTTGTAGATCGTTCTACACTCTCCAGCTTTGTTTGCAGGTCGCTTGGATGTCGCAATGTCTCCGATAGCTGGGTCAATGCTTTGTCCATAATGGGTTACGTCCCATTGCTTTTTTGAGACATCAGAATAGTAATCTTCTTTGCCCGAGCTTCCGTATATCCATTTCCACCAAAGTTTTCTCTCTTCAGCCAATAGTGCATGAGGAAGTCTCCATATCTTGTTGACTACAGGTCTTATACGAAGAGCCTCTTTAAGATACTCATAGCTTTGTATGTCTCCAGAAAAATCCTTCAAGCGCCCTTCTGCAAAGGTAATAGGCTCTATCCTTTGATTGAGTTGCTTATCTATATCTTTCGAAAAGCATGGATGATCTTCATGCCACTTTGCATGAAAAATCTCAGAACACATCTTGCATCTCATAATGTCGAAAGAGAAACATGCCCTGCTTATAGATTCTTCCTCTAAATCTAATTTAGAAACCCACAAGGCTTCTTCTTCTGACACATACGTCATATTATAGGGCCATCGGACAAAATACGATGTCATATCTCGACGGAAGAAAGTGTGGTTTTCGCAAGTTGGAGATGATTTTGATGCCGATGAGGTGCAATGGCCGAGTGGTCTAAGGCGCTGGAATTAGGCTCCAGTCTCATTGAGGCGGGGGTTCAAATCCCTCTTGCACCAAGATTTTGCTAGTAGGCCTCTTGGTTTCTAAAGTCAATAGTATTATAAAGCATCGTATTGATCTCAACTTGAGGTTTATTTTGCGGTTTTGATTGGTACCATGGAAAAATCTATCCATATCTCTCCTATCCTCCTCTTAAGGCTAGTACCATATGAACAACATTTCCAGAGACTATATTTAGGCTGGCAAGCGTGTCTTTTTCTTTCATCAATATTCTCCCATTACTCACTAACCTTTGCTGTTCTGCTGGTATTAACTCAATACTTTCTATTTTCAGCTTCAAGTCTAAGACGGTCTCTTCAGGGTCGACATTAAGCTCTAAGTCTCTTCCAGCTATTGTCTTGACTTTTATTTGCATGTTCTGGGCTATGTTTACAAAACAAATATCCTGTGCCTATGCCAGACATCAAGTAATCATTGGATGCAAGCTACGTACTCATAGAATTTCTATATACAGTAAAATTTTTAGCGTTTATCCTAGATGAGGGAAGATCAGAGACTTGAGCTTATAAAACTTTTCTTCAAGGAAAAGGGACTAGTCAGACAGCACATAGAATCATATGACTACTTTGTGGACCATGAAATAAAGGCTCTCATGAGAGCAAACCAGATTGTGGACTCTGATATCGATCACACATTTTACCTCAAGTATCTGGATATTCGTGTTGGGATGCCGAGTATAGAGGAAAACATGGTTAACTACAACGTGTTTCCAATCGAATGCAGGCTGAGGGACGTGACATACTCTGCAAACATTTATGTTGATATAGAATACGTAAGAAACAGGCAGATAATTGTAAAGAGAGATGTTTGCATTGGGAAGATGCCTGTAATGCTAAGGAGCAGCAGATGTCATTTGAGAAAAGAAGCAAAAGGTTCAATAGAAGGAAGTAGAACAAGAGATAGGAAGATCAAGGAATCGCAGGAATGTCCTTTGGATGTAGGGGGATACTTTATCATTAGAGGAATTGAAAGAGTAATACTAATACAAGAGCAGCTTTCAAAGAATAGAATCATCATTGAGTCGGGACCAAAGGGATTGTTTGCTTCTGTTACATCTTCTACAGACGAGCATAAAAGCAAGACGTCGGTAACAATTAAGGATGATTGCTATTATTTAAAGAACTCGATGTTTAACGAAGAGATTCCAGTGGTGATAGTGATGAAGGCTTTGGGCTTAACACAAGATAAGGAGATAGCCGAGTGTGTCGGAAAAGAATATTTTGAGATTATAGTCCCCAGTTTTGGTGAATGCATATTAAAGGAAGTGTTCACAAAGGAACAGGCTCTTCTTTACATAAGCAACTATATAAGGCTGAGGCCTGAAGACAATAGAATAGAGGAAGTTCTCACTATATTATCTGAAAAAGTACTTCCAAATGTTCAGATAGAAGGATGTAACTTGAGGAAGAAAGGGATTTATATAGCACTAATGATTAGGAGGCTTACACAAACAAGGCTCAACATACTTAAGGAGGACGACAAAGACTTTGTTGGAAACAAAAGATTTGAGCTTGCAGGGCAGCTGCTATCGATTCTCTTTGAGGACACATTCAAGAGGTTCAACTTTGAGCTGAAGAAGTCTATAGATAAAATACTGAGTAAGAGGTCCAGAGCTCAAGAATTTGATGCATTGACATTCCTAAACTTACAAGCCAACATGATAACGTCTACCCTCTCAAGAGCGATTTCAACTGGAAATTGGAATCTAAAGAGGTTCAGAATGGAGAGAAGTGGAGTTACCCACGTTTTGTCGAGACACTCATATATATCTGCGGTGGGGATGATGACAAAGATCAACTCTCATTTTGAAAAGACAAGGAAAGTAAGCGGGCCTCGGTCACTCCACACGTCTTCTTGGGGTATGCTTTGTCCCGTCGACACACCTGAAGGGGAGTCCTGTGGTCTTGTGAAAAACCTTGCCTTACTGGCAGAAATAACAACCAATTCTGACACAAGGCCGGTTCTGGACCTGATATTCAAGCTTGGGGCCGTGGATATCAACTCTGTTTACACCAGGGAAATACATCAGGAAGGCATGTTTTCTGTATTTCTTAACGGAGATATCGTCGGAATAATCGATAATGTGGACTTCTTTGTTGAGCAGTTCAAGCTTCACAGGAGAAAAGGACTCGTCGGAAAGTTTGTATCTATTTACAAGGTTAGAACTGAAAGGGTTATTCATATAGCTTCTGATAATGGTAGAGTATGTCGTCCGTTGATTGTTATTGATAAGAAAAAGATAAATCAGATGATAGTATCAAACGAAGTTGATAAATGCTTTGAGGCTTTGAACATTCCGCAGAAGATAGAGATGGAGAAAGGAAAGTCCTTTCTTGATTGCTACCTTAAATACAGATCGTTTTCTGATCTCCTAGAAGAAGGTTTTATTGAGTATCTTGATGTTAATGAGGAAAACGATTGCCTTATTGCGCTTAGGCCTGAGGACATAGTGGAAGAAACAACACATCTAGAGATCTCTGAGTTTGCGATTCTAGGATATGTGGCAGGGCTGGTACCGTTCCCTCATCATAACCAAAGTCCTAGAAACACATATCAATGTGCAATGGGAAAGCAGGCTATCGGCCACATATCTCTAAACGTCAAGAAGAGATTTGACTCGGTTATTCTACAACTCACATACACACACCGGCCCATGGTATCTACAAAGATACTAGATCTCATCAACTACAATGAGATACCTGCAGGGCAGAACGCAATGGTTGCAGTCATGAGTTATTCTGGATATGACATAGAAGATGCTCTTGTCTTGAACAAAGCATCGATCGAAAGGGGGCTTTTTAGAGTAGAAGTATACAAAACAACTACGACCTTGCTGAAAAAGCACAGTAGTGGTATGTCGGATGTTCTCTGGCCTAATCCCAAAGAAAGTGTTTTAGATGACGATGGACTGGGAAAGCCTGGAAAGATGGTGAAGGATGGGACCATCTATGTAAATAAGATGTCACCTATAGATGGTGTGTACAAGTTTACAGGAAAAATCCATAGAGGAGATCCTGCATATATTGATAAGGTTCTTATTACAAGATCCCAGGACCAAGTACTCATAAAGACCATGCTGCGTCAGACAAGGCCTCCTGAGATAGGAGATAAGCTCAGCAGTAGACATGGGCAGAAGGGGGTTGTAGGACTAATTGTTAGACAGGAGGACATGCCATTCAACGACCAAGGTGTTGTTCCAGATATCATTATGAATCCTCACGGGTTCCCATCGAGAATGACCGTTGGGAAAATAATAGAGTTAATTTCTGGTAAAGCTGGCGTAGTAGAAGGAAAAATATTTGACAGCACTGCATTTAAGGAAAACTCTGTCGAGGAAACGTGTAATATCCTTGCCAGCCATGGATTTAGTTATTCCGGAAAAGACTGCTTTACAAGTGGAACGACAGGTGCCCCATTGACTGCATACATATTCTTTGGCCCAGTATTCTATCAAAGACTTAAACATATGGTGGCAGATAAAATCCATATGAGGGCCCGAGGGCCTAGAGCAATACTTACAAGACAGCCAACAGAGGGTAGAAGTAAGGATGGAGGTCTGAAGCTAGGAGAGATGGAACGGGATTGTTTGATAGGATATGGTGCGTCATCTTTGATTACAGAAAGACTGATGATATCCTCAGACGTGTTTGAAGCTTATGTATGTAAATCATGTGGGGTGTTGGCTTTCAAAGACTGCTGTGTCGTCTGTAAGGACACAAAGCCCTCAAAGATAAAGATGCCTTATGCATGCAAACTCTTGTTCCAAGAGCTTATGTCTATGAACATTCTTCCCAGGCTTCATATTGAATGATTGTTCTATCCCCATGAGCGGGTCAAGATTTGAAAGGGAATTAGAATTTGTGCAGCTTCTTTGCAATCCCGAATATCTTAGATGGTTAGCTCATGAAGGCTACTTTGAATCCGAGGAGTTTAGAAGCTATTTGAGATACTTGGAATATTGGAGGCGCCCAGAGTATTCAAGGTTTCTGTCTTATCCTCAATGCCTAGCAATTTTAGAGCGCCTAAACAATGGAAATGTTAATGATATAATGAATAACGAAAGCCTTTTTTCGGCCCTAGGCGAGCAGCAGTATTTTATATGGTTGAATAAGCATAGAGAAGATTGGAATAAACAGTAGATATATAATTCGAGCTTATTGGCTCAGTGAGGAGCTTTTCGAGTTTTTGTTACAGGAAGGTCATATCTCCAGGGAGTCAAACACAAATGAGAATTTTGTTTGGTAAGAGATATCCTCAACTATATCTTTTTCTTCTATACGAAGAAACTTCAGGTCCTCTTCCACAACAGGGCCATCTGACTTAATGATGTATATGAGATAGGTTCCTTCTGGACAGCATTCAGTGTCTGAATTTAGTCCAATTAACTTCATTATAGATTCCCTTTGTGCAAATGCAAAAAAAGTCTTACTAAGTATAGGTCTTCTAGTATTAACAACTCTTACATAACTCACTAATTCTTTATATTCAGTTCTTATAACCTTCTTTGTAAAAATTGTTCCGTAAGTAGTATCGATTCTATACATATATTCTGATGGAATTGGTTCTCCACCGTTTTGTTTTAGAGAAAATGCATCTGATGATTTCCCATCTCTGCAAGTAATTACAAGTGCACTGTCAAGAACATAGCCAGCCCCGCACATCGAATTGGATCTCGAAAACATTTCAGATATCTCCTTAAGACCATATTCCGGGTATAGAAAAGGAACATTTCCGAAGTTCCTTGCATATCTAAACATTCTTTCAGAATAGTCTTTGGCTTCACCAATGATTCCATTTGTCAAGATTTCTCTTGTCTTTTCAGATAACTTTTTATAGACATTCTCAAAGGTCAATCTACCTTTAAGTAAGCTTCCAACCAAATATTTTTCCCTAAGACTTAGAATATCAGAATCTGCAATCTCTGTCTTAGTATAGGGTATTTTGTATATCTTCCCAGATGAGTCGATATAAAAATGCTTCTGTATCTTTATGAGTCTAAGGAATCCCATCATACCTGCCCCCTCTAATTCTGCCATATGTCTATCTGTGGGACGAAACACTGCGGGAAATGCTTCAAGTAGGAGTTTTGATTCTCCGCTTCCCTTGTTGAGAGTGCAGTCCTTAACATATTTGCTATTCTTCAAACTAGAGTACCCGCAATATGTAGATCCATAAGTGCCGTTATCATCAAAGACAATTGCATTGCTGATCTTCTCTTTTCGAAATCGCAAGCAATCTCTGATTGTCGTTCCTTCGAATCCTAAATCAAACAACTCAAACTTCTCCATGTTAGGGCCAAGAAGTTGTTCATTTCTTACCTGAGTGAAAAGCATCGACAATGTCACCTAAAACATGTCTCATCATATAAATAAATCTTAAGATGTATACAGGATTTATTATGTCTTGTAACCATTATTCAAATAACTGTTTAGTTAGATTTGAATGCTGCTCGAAGCTGTACCCGTGTAGACTATGCCATGATAAGGTGGAGAGCCATAAAGCCAACAGATATGAAGTTAGTCAAATGGTATGCATAGGTTGTAATCTGTTGCAGCGGAAAGCACAGTCGTGTTCTCAATGCCTTAGGGCCGTGTCTAAATATTTCTGTTCTAAATGCAACCTATGGGACAGCTCTGATGGTCAGATATTCCATTGTAACAAATGCAATGTCTGCAGAAGAGGTGATCCCAAGATTGCTTTCCATTGTGATGCTTGCCAGACATGTCTTGTTGCTACAGGATCAAAGAATCATATCCATGTAGAGAACTCCACCTCTGGAAACTGTCCCATATGTGCAGAGGATATGCTTGGGAGTTTGGAAATTCTTGTTCTTCTTAGATGCGGGCATTCTCTACATGAAAGATGCTTCAATGAATTTATAAGAGAAACTTATACCTGCCCTATATGCTCTAAACCAATAGGAGATACATCCACCATTAATAAGAAGGTTGAGCATCTTCTTGAAATGGAGCCTTCTTACCCTGGACAAGAAGCTAAAAACATTGTCAAGTGCAACAATTGTAATAACTTATCAAAGTGTAAGTCCACATGGGACAAGTGTCCTTTTTGCGGCTTTCCATAGTATGATAGAAGCCACCGACCGAGAAAAAGCGTGCGAAGAATTGCAAACTAGTCTCAAAAGCTAATTTAAAAATGGTTGGAAAGCTCTTTGTTTTGTGTTTCGGTACCCTTTAATGCTGAGGATCTCAATCGTTCCGGACACAAATGTTTTTATATCGCATCTAGATATTGTCAAGAAACTCTACGAGGATGAGTTTCCCGTAGATGTTATCATGTCTATATCAAGAGTTGTTCTAAGGGAGTTGGATTATAATAAAGGAAAGATGATGGAAGCTAGAGAAGCCATAAGATTTCTTGAAAAAGTGTATAATGCTCCAATCACAGAGTTGGAGGGGAGACTGAAAGATAGTTCAATGGACGTTGTAGATTGTGCCAAGCTAATACCAAATATAAAGAACAACGACGACGAGATTCTTAATTTTGCATCCAAGCAAATCCATCCAGTGATATTGACTGGCGACAAAGCTTTTTATCTTAAGTCCAAGTGTTATAATGTCGAGTCTGTTCTTGTACACAACCTACCATACGAAGATCTTAAGCTTAAGATTCTGAAGATTTATACTGGAGTAGAGCCTATGGACATTGACGAAGACGGCAGTAAACCGGGGGAAGATGAGAGGATAAAAGAGCAAATTAGAGACAGGCTCTTTCCTGTAGTGCTAGCAATAATGGAAAGGGGTATAGGCAAGCCATATGTTCTTTTCTTCCCAAATGACCTAAAGATGATAACTCTTGACTTTTTACTGAATCTAATAATTAAGGAAAACTATTTGTTCCGTCCTTATCTCCCGAGAAGATCGAAAGAGATAGTTCAGAACTTGAAGGAAAAAATTAAGGATGCCCATGGAAAAGAACTCCATGCCTTGGGTTCAGAGCTTCTTATGTTATTTAGGGTTGTGTATTAGTCAACTGTTTTTCTTTAATAAAGCTTCTTATTTCTCTTTATTTGCTATAGAAGTTATTTATTTGAAGGTTTTACTTGTGGATCATGCCTGCACCTCTAAGTTTAGTGTATAAGTTTGATTGTCTACAGAGATATTTAGACTCAACTTAGAAGCATTTTCTATACGATAAGCAAGGGTCTTGATGCCATCAGAAACCCTTTCGTATGTCTTTTCCATGTCTAGTCCCTCCCCGATTAAGGACTCTATTTCCATGCTTGGCTCCATTCTGAGCTCTATACTGTGTATTCCAGGAAAAGTGAAGTAAATGAAATGTCCAGAGGCAACGTGGATTGTACGATCTTCAAGCCTGGCATTGAGCAGATATATTGTATTCAGTAGCATATCAAGTATATTTGATGAGCCTTCTTCTTTCAAAACCTCCTTGTATTTTGAAATTAGTATTTCTCGATTACGGGATAGTACTCCGTAATTCAGCATACAATCCAGAAGCTTCGTTAAATTGGAGACTTCCCATCCCTTGCTCTTTTTGATTGCTAGAATATTCAAATGCTTTTCAAATATGGCGGTATAAAGCTCCTCATTTCCCATTCCTGGCTGTAGCAGTTGATATATCAAAGGGAAATATCTACTGTTGACAGTCACACAGATCTTATTGAATAGCTTTAGTACATATCCTTTTGGAATATTCTTGTCAAAAGGTGCTTTCAAGCATATTTCAGGGACCTCTTGATACATCTTTATCAGAAGCTCATCTTTTACATACTGAATTAGCTTTGAGAACACTGTTGCCAATGCTGTATTTATCACTTGTTTACTAGCACATCCTTTTTCCATATAGAATATCATTTCCTCCTTCTTTCTATATATTGACTTGTGGTTGTTTCTTGTTATGAGTGAAACGAACGTGTTAAGACATTGGTTGTGATGGAGCCCGAGCTTTATACAGCAATCTATGGCTATATCCCTATGAACCTTATATTTCCTCACGATTTTAAACCCGAAGTACCTTGAATTAGGGTTCTGTGACTCAATAAGCCTGAGAATAAATGTTTCCACTCTTGGGGTGCTTTTTTCAACTTTCAATAGAAACTCAGCAGCCTCAATAGCCAATGCTATTTCTATCTGCGGGCGGGCTTTGTCTTTTGGAGGAATTATGGTTGCTTCAATCGAATCTAGAAGGGCTTTGTCCAGGACCAGTTGGGCTTTTGAGTGGAGTACTCCAAAAATCTGCAGAAGCTTTATCTTAAGGAAAGGATCACTACTTTTCATAAAAAGTGAAAGAAGGAATAGAACGTCGTTTTCTGTAAGATCAATTCTTTCTGTCTTCTTGAAGATATCCATTATGATCTGGGACTTGACATAGACCTCTGATGGGTCTTGGCCGACAACAGAAATCTTTGCATCAGGATTCAGTCTAAAGAACGCCACCAAGGCCTTCTTGTGAAATGGATCGCCCTTTCCATTTGGGCAAATATGCCCCATAAGATTAGAAAGAGCAGATCCATCGTTGCTGAGGTTACAGATCGAAGTCAGAGCATCATTTCTTGTTTCTCTCTTCTCCAAATCCTTCATGATCGTGTTTATTGCCATAATGACATACTCGTTGTTTTCCATAGTCATCAATCCAAGGTACCCAGCAGTCTTTATCCTTAGCACATCGGATTCACATGCATTTAAGAAGTCAATCTCATTGACCTTATAAGAAAGCATCTTCATGTATATAGACTTCAATATGTTGGAATGCCTTACATAAGGCTCAGTTTTGCTTGAAGAGATCATCCTGCGCTTCTCTTTTATTATCGCACTTTCCTTTTCACAATTTGGCACCTCGCGAAAAGAAGATATAAATGCAGCCAATAGTGGATCCACTCTTGTTGACATTTGTTGTTGAATGAATCCAAACATTTAGACCTATGGTTTCACAATTGTTTATGTTTACTTCCGTTTAGAGCTTGTATAGGTGACATTTTCCTAGGGCTGTGCTCCTGATCAGAAGACATTTCCAACAACAATTTATACAAAAGATTTTTTCTGAAGGGAAGAGAAGCCCTTATGGATAGGATGATTGAGGAAGTGGTAAGAAGGAAATCACGCACACCCAGTGAAGATCTGAAGGCGCTACTTAAACAGAAAACCTCCGATGGGCCGAGGCCTGGATCTGATATCGGCGTGGAATACGAGTTTGTGATCAAAGCTGATCCTTCAAAGTTTCTAGAATGCCCCATTATAGAGGTTGGGGATGGCCACTACTTCTGCACCTTTGATGGAAGAGATCTGATGTTTAATCCTGATCAAGTATCTCCATATATTTTTCTTCCATTTTCTTTGCGTAGAGCCATATTTCATAGAAGTGGAGATAAAATGTATTTCATAACTTTAGATACATCTAACAAACTTCAATATTCATTGCTTGTTAATGGGTATCCCTCTGAAGAACGGCATGTAATTTCAAGAAATGTGCAGCAAGTTACCAAACAATCAAACAAGATTTTCTATGTTTCTACTAAGAACGAGCTTTCATACATAAACATGGTTGTGGAGGATAATGGGGTTCTGAGGGGGCGAATGTGTATTTCTGGCATAAAGTCGAGGGCTGATATTAGCATGTTCTATGCCAATTCGGTTCTGTTTATAAATACTGAGCATGTGTTCCGTGGAGAGGATGGAAAGGAGTTACCTGTTCAAGGAGATATGATGTGTGAGATGGACGGGAAGATCCTTGTTTTAGATGGAAGAGAGGAAGAACTCTGCATCTTTCTATTAGATGAAAAGCATTGTGTAATTAGCCAGCTAAAGCTTCCAACAGTAGGACGTGTGACTAATTTGTTTCCATTAGGCAGCATTACTGGAATAGTTGCCGGAAGGGCTCTGTATTTGATTAGCGAGCGCAGTGGAGATCTATTTGTAACAAAAGAGGTTGATCTGGAGACACCTCCTCTGTCTATAAGTCTTTATTTGAAGGAAGATGTTATAAGAATATCGGAAATAATAGTAGATGAAGAGATCCTTTTAAAAGAGTTCGACTCTTCTACCTTAAAAGACAGTGTTGCTACATCGAATGACTCTATGGAAAGAAATGGAAACTTTATAGAAAGTACTTCACCTGACGTAGGTAATGTAAAAATAGAATCCAAGGATGAGTGCAGTATTAACTCTGATAAAAAGTTTCCTCTGATCGGCAGTTCTCTCTATACAGATTTGCTGTTAGGAGACCATGAGGGGAAAGAGGAATTTCACAGGACAACAGAAGAAAAAAATGATTTGCCTAAGGAAGATCTCTCCATGGATAGTTTTAGTCCTTACATACCGGACAAAAATGATTCTGGAGAAATAAGGCTACTAGATGAAAAGATAAATATGGTGTTAAAAACCCTGAGAGAGATTGGAGAGAGGGTGAACAAGATTGAGAAGGACAACAGTGAACGCTTCAGGAGATTAATAGAAATATTTTCCATGTATGATGAATCTAAGAAGGGCCTAGGGGCACATGGATTCCTAGGAGATGAATTACAGAGGATGATTGAGACCTTGGGTAATCTTGAAGCCCGGCTTAGAAGTGAAGCGTCTAACGAGTCTAAAATTTTGGACTGCGTTAAGAAAATCATTCTCGGGACACTAGTTCCTGCAGTTGAAGCAGCTATGGATGAGATCAGAATCCAGATGATAAACGAGATAAGGTTAATTCACAATGAAGATCATCTCAAGAATGTCAAAAGAGCTGTAGATGGACTTCATACTTCCTTCAACAAGCAAAACGAAATCAAAGGTCTTATTTCTGAAGGGTTGATTGAAGAGGCTGCCGAGATTGCCATCAAGGGATCTGAGTCTAATCTCGAAACATTTGTCTCAAATGTTGAGATATCCTGCCTAGAACATCTTTCATCTTCTATACTTGTTGCTCTTCTCGAAAGAGTTCTGGTGATAGCTAAGGATGATTTCAAGGCTATCTATCAAAACTTCACATACATGGTAATGATGTGCTTAGAGCCCAACGATTTGAACGATGAAGAAGTACAGATATTAGAGATTCTGATGGCATATATTAATAACATTGAGGGGCTTACTCTAAGCGATGTCAAGGGATTACCGGTTATTTTGGACTTTCAAAGACTTAAGTTGAATAAGATCAAGGATAAAAGAGGGATTAAGTAATTAATCAAAGCATACTAAATTTAACTTTAAATCGTTTTCTTAGATCTTCCAATCAGACATTCTTATTCTATTCACGCACTATCCCCGAGTATGAGAATCATTGCTATAACAGGAGGGATAGGAACAGGTAAAACAGCCTTATTAAACATCCTGAAGGCGAGAGGCCAGGCAACGATCAATGTTGATGGTTTGGTCCATGAAATACTAAACGGAGAGGACATAAAGAGCATACGACAAAGGTTTTTTACCGATCCTAAGTTCAGAAAAGCTCATGAGAAAAAAATAAGGCCGAAAATATATATAGAAACAGCTAAAAGGGTAATATATTTACTGTTAGCGGGATATTCTGTTGTATTTATCGAGATTCCATTGTTGTTCGAGCTAGACCTCCACCATTACTTCTATACAATAGTTGTTGCCTGTGACGAAAACCTTCAAATGATGAGGGGAAGGAAAATAAGTTACTTGAAGGAGAGATTATCCTTTCAAATTCCCATGGAAAAGAAAATCAAGCTTGCCCAAGAGGTTATATATAACAATGGAAACATTGATGATCTAATAGATAGTGCCAGCGATCTTAATTTTTCTGGATCCAGCATATATTGCTGCCTAACAATTATATTAACCATAATTCTTCTAGTGGTTTGTGAATAGATGCCTGAGCCTTTCAGATATAGCACATTAAAAACAATAGGCAATTTAATTCTTGCATCTTCTAATTCTTTCATTTTTAAGGTCAATCTCCTCTTGGAGATCTTCATCCGTGCCAAATTCATAAACCTTAACCCTGAAATCGTCCACATGTTCTTTAAAAACTTCATCATCTCCGCATAGTTCAAATAGCCCAATGGAGAATATCTTGACAGATTCCTGAGTTATGTTTGGAAATGATTTCATAAATAGCCCAACTATGTATTCCGAGAGAATATTGACGTTGGGATTTATACCATCGAGACTTGGAATGTCCTTACTTATACGAATCATAAATGCAAATAGAAGACACTGCTGATCAAAGTTATATCTCATGTCTCTATCAAATATTATCCCCAGAATATTTTCCAAGGTAGACATGTAGTTCTGGGCATAAAACTGGAAGATCTTCTGCTCGTAGCATTTCTTAAAGATGATGGTTAGACAGTTCAAAGACAAGTCTGAAACATCTCTTATGCAAATCAGGGAGTATAGAAGTGTGTTATATACTTGACGAAATGAAGGTTGGCTAAACAAGGATGAGAAGAATGAATTGAATGAAAACAAAAGCATACTCTCCATGAGAAGGAGGTAGTTTTTCGATATCTCTAGATTCTCATCAGCTTGCATTACAAAGGGAACAGAAGGTTCTATTAAAGCAGAAATCAAAAATGCTTCTCTTTGTAGATATATAACTGACCCGTCATTTTCTGCATTGCGTACTATACTTGACCCCAAAGCTAAAATTGCAGGCTCCTTATAAATCGAATTGTTCTTGTAGTCGAAAATGACCTTCTCACAGACCATATTTACAAAATCGCTCTGTACAAATTTTGAATCAATTACCGTAGTAAACAGCTCAATGATTTCTGCTTTTACAGCCTTAGCATTATTGAATGCTGTGCCTTCTTTGTTTTCAAATATTATGGAGTTGCAAATCTCAAAGATCCTGAAAAACTTTGGAAATATTTGAATGCAACTAGAGGAGCATGTTTCTGGAAGTAATCTGTAGGTCAGAGAATGGGACTTAAGAACATGTGAGATCATTTTTGCCTCCTCTACATTGGATATCATACTCGGAAGTCGATTTATGTGCTCGTCGGCTAGAATATTAAAGTTTAGCAGGGAAGATAAAAGAAGATCTGCATAGCCCAAGACTCTGGATTTGTAATCCCTTGTCTTAGGAACTTCCTTTATGACAATCAAGAGTGCCTCGTAAACAATTCTCTTCTGATAAAACTCTAAGGTTCCGGTGATTCCAGGCAAGTTCTTCAGTATATAAATAATAAAAATCTCGTCGTTTTCTCTTTGCGTTAGGAACTCCACAGGGCACTTCTCCACTATCTTGAAGAAGTTATCACATGCCATGTCCTTGATTCCTTCGTGATCCTCGTCCATAAATTCAAAGAGCTTCTTCACAACAGTCTTCAAAAAGCTCTTATTGTGAAGAAGGAACCGATGGTATTGTCCAATTATGAACATTATGTTCGAGGCTATAACTGCCTTGTCCGTCTTAAACGACTTCATCTCACACAATGCTAGCAAGTGCTTAAGAATGTTCACAAAAAACTCTCTTTCGTTTACTTCAGAAAATGCACCTGATATCGATCCAATGGCCCAGCATAGTCTGTTTAGATAGTTGCAGTCCCATTCTTTATCATCAAGCTGAAGTCCAACCTTACTTATAAAATACTTTTTCATATCCTCCTCGATAAGGAATGCTAAATGATACAAACACCCCCTCATCTTCCTATAGAACTCTATTTGATCTGTGTCAGTCATTTTTTTCCTTATTACTTCGTTATACTCATCAACCACAATAAATACTTCTTCGGGCCGGGGCATCTTGTCAACAAGGGTCCCCATCAATTGATTCAGAATACCTATATAATTCAATCTTCTCAGCCTTTTTGTGGAATCTTGATTAGTAAATGGGAATTCAGAGTACAGATCAAATACAAACTTATTCCATGTTTCAAATGCAACTGAAAAAATATTTGAATTGTTGATTTTAGATATTTGTATAAGATACCCCAGTCCTGCTTTTGTATTTGCAATGTCTCTTGCCTCAAGTAAGCTTATATAGACCTCATATAGAGAAGATAAAAGCTGTGCAAGTTTGAGGATAAAAATCTTTTCGGATTTATCCATGCCCCCATATACCTCATATACTCTTTCCTCTTGGAATTTGTTAAAGTACATCTTAAGAAATTCAATACACTGTCTATGGATAACAAGAATCTTTTCCTTCTCAGCATTTTCTATTTCATGGCTTCTGGCAAGGTTTTTATTCCTTCCTAGATCGACAATTTCAATCAGACAGCTGAGGCATGCAACACTATGCATAGAATTTAGGTGCTCCAAGACTAAGTCGATTATTTCGGTGAGAAAGATGAAATCAAGTGGCATCGACCCACAAAAGCATTGAAATGATTCTAATGTCGCTTCCAAAAGACCCTCATCCATCTCTGTGTTTCGAGAATACTCAAGAATTGTTTTTATGAAGCCAAATATCTGTGGAAATTCAATCTTCAGCTGATTTCTTAAGAGCCTCTTTCTGACAGTTGTGATGCTATCCTCAGAGAAAATAAAGACCTCTTCATTAAGTCTTTTAAGTATGTTAAGACTGTTTCTGCATACCTCCATGCTTATTCCCTGGGATACATTGATAAGATCTGTTATGAAGGTGGGCCATCGACGGGGCCAATCCTTCTTTGCGATCTCAATAAGAATAGTATTCAGTTCTTGAAGCACATAGTTCGCTTTATCTCGAACTTTGGATCTCTCAATAACAAGTTGGAATACATACATTCTGAGCCCTTGCTTCATTTCTTCATCAAACAGAGACCACTTCACCTTTATCATGCTTTCCAACAGCTGTAGTGCCACATAGTGGCTTTCTTGAAGCTTGCTATTGTTCAATATATAATCAACCTTCATCCATGAGTTTGGAAGTTCCTTAAACTTCAACAGAACCCTCTCGGCTTCCTCCTTTTTCCTATTATCTGGGCAGTTTGCGTTCATTACAACGTCGTCAAAGATATCAATGTTGAGATTCTTGTCTAACTCCAGAATCTGTTCCATTTTGGGACTAGGTTTTAAAAATTTTATATTCTATTCAAAGAGTTGAGGCATAGAAGGAAGAACCGTAGATATTCTAGTATACAGCATAAATACAAGAAGCTCTTTGATACACGTCTTGTTGACATGTGATTATAATTTGTTCGAATTTGTTTATCCAGTGAGGCCCAGAGATGAAGAAAAATAAACTCCTCGGCGGAAATTGGAAGATGAATTCATCGTTGCAAACCTTCGACTTGGTGAAAAACTTCAGGAAGAATTTCTTTGATGGAAATGATGCGTTCATCGCCGTTCCATTTCCTTATATCCATATTGCAAAGGAGATATTTCCGGAATACATCAAGGTTGGAGCACAAGACTGTAGCCAATTCATAAATGGACCATATACAGGTGAAGTTTCTGCTTCGATGATAAAAGAAATGGGTGCTGAGTATGTAATAGTGGGCCATTCTGAAAGACGCAAATGGTTTGGAGAAACGTCAACAGTCATATCAAAAAAGATAAGAAATGCCAGAAATCAAGGCCTGAATGTTATTTTGTGTATAGGAGAGGATGAGAAATGTAGGGAAGATGGAGGATATTTGGACGCGTTAAAAGACCAGTTACTATCATTAAAAGAAGACATTAGTGGAGAGGATATTGATGTTGCATATGAGCCTGTATGGGCAATAGGAACAGGAAAGGTCCCCACTAATCGGCAGATTAGTGAAGTGATTTCGAGTATTAAGAATTGGGGCAAGGATTTAGGATTTTACGGGCGTGTAATATATGGGGGATCTGTCTCAATACTGAACTGTCAGACGATTCTTGATGTAGAGGAAGTTGATGGATTCTTGATTGGTGGAACCTCACTAAAAATGGACTTTTGCATGATATCTAGTGAAATGGGCACAAAGCAATAGCAGTAATGATGTATTTTCAGCATATTTATAAAAGCATTGTTCTTATCCGAAATTGTCTAAAATATTGAAAATGATGGAACCCTAAAATGGCTTTTGAAAGAAGAATATGCTCGCTGGGAAAAATACCAATTCCATCCTGTGACAAGGGATCTGTCCAGATTGTATTGGCAGTGCTGGATCAGTATGGCCAAATTACCGGGGAGTCAACGATTTATGATATAAGCGGAAGTGTTAGAAAGTCTGGGGCAGGGGATAATCTTCTGCTTGAAAAGATAAGGTCAGAGGAGTATGGGGCTTGAATAAAATTTATGCTGCATTTATGAAGATATTTATGTTAAATAACATCTCTGTTTTCGCCCCACATGGAGGAGAGGCGGTGTCCAGTATGTAAAAGTGATATTTATTTGAATCCGGACATAGTTATATACATAAGTCCTTGCTTCCATAAGATGTGCGAGTCATGCATGCTTAGGATATTTAATAGAGGGCAGGCACCTTGTCCTGAATGCGGGACAATGCTAAGGAAGATAAACTACATTAAGCCAACCTTTGAAGATATAACAGTTGAAAAAGAATGTAAGGTACGAAAGGTTCTGATGAAGGTCTTCGGAAGGGAAGAAGAAGAATTTGCAGACGTTGCAAAATACAATGATTATCTTGAGAAATTCGAGGAGTTTGTTTTCGAAGTTCTAAACATAAAAGGTGAATCCCTCGTGAAGGAAAGAATAAAGGAGATCCAGGATATGGGAGAAGGCTCCATTCTTAACCCTATACCAAAAACTATTCCTGGAAAGAGCGTCCTTCAAACCAGAAAAAGGCAAAGCCACGATCTGAAGGAGGAAAGGAGCAAAATACAAAAGATAGCCATTACTACCGATTACTTTGACCCAGAAGAACTCCCAAGAATAATATCAAATCCTGCTAGAGAAATCTATCTACCAAAAGGCTTTCTTAACCCCAGCCTTCCCGGTGGGTTATCCTATGATATAATTATATCCTTTGCTATCTCATCGCTGTATAACCCTAGTATATAGCACTGAATTATAAAGACTCCCCAACTTGTGTTAAAATTAAATCAATGTACTCTCCAGGGTTTTCTATAACTGCAGCCTTTTCTTCTTCCTTAAGGCCTTCGGATATTTTGGAAATATCTTCATACCTGCCTTCAATAACCTTTTTTACAGCAGGTTTGACGCCAATAATTCTTGATAATGTCGGGCTCTTTTCTTTCGGATCTTCTTTATGAGGAAATACGTGGGCTCTGATCTTGTCAATGGACATTCCATTAGACTCCAAATAATTAAAGACAGCATCTGGGCATCCAAAGGGCCCAAGCGGATTTCCGTATGTGTCAGAAAAAGTCTCTAGTGGAGAATCAAATATGCCCAAAACATAGAACTTTCCATTAAACACTATGCACTGGGAATCAGTGGGAATGCCATACTTCAAAGCTATTTTTGTCTTTAGATCCCCTATGTCCTTAAAATCGCTGTCTATATAGAGATCTTCATAGTTTATAGCTCTTACGATCATTTCCTATAGAGCCCTATTCCATGGAGAAAAATTATATCGATAGAGTTCGAAGAGCTTTGGAAGTGTTTCCAGAAAGTAAAGATGAAGAGAGGAAAAGGAGGCGCTGTGGTAAGGCGCGTAGTTTGATTATAGCGGAAAGGACATATTCAATCAGCTGGGACCATACTTTTTCGACAAATTATAAAATATTGTATCCCAAAGAGTTTGTAAGAGAGATTGACAAGGAATCTATAATTAAGAGCAGTTCTGTAATTGGAGAATGCAATGGTACTCCCATTGAGACAGATGCTGCTAATAATGTTTACTATGAAGCAGAATGTCTTCTAAGAGGAGAGGTGGTGGCGAGGCTTACTATATCTGGTGATACCCATCTTTCTGATCTGGGGGGATTTCTGATTGGGAGTAATAGCGTATCAAGCAAGGTGTTCTTTGCGATAGAAAAAACGATTTATCTTCAGACCATTGACGATAACTCTATAAAATTTGCCACAATGGTATTTCAATTGAAGATATTTAATATTAAGAAATGGGATATTAGAATTGATAAATGCATAAAAGACATATCAAAGGAGATATATTTTCATGATGGAAGATTTTTAAAGTCGGTTCAAATCATGAAGGCGTTCTTTTCGTATAGAAAGATAAGCCCGTATGTATCTGTAAAGCATTTGTATGGAAGGGCTCAACTATGCAAGTGTTGTCTAAAGAACAACGCAGTGTTGAAAATAGCTAATGATCCTATTCTGCCCGAGAAGAAAAAGTTTATTTGCAAGAAATGCTTTGAGCTTCTGTTCTTAGATAAAGAGGGAGATAGCCGATATGATGGTATCGAGGTAGAATTTCTTCATTAATATAATTGAATATAAGTAAATGATATTCCTGAATTAGAACCTTACATAATATTAACCTTTTCAATGTAATTTATTCATTTAATTATGATGATAGCTTATTTTTGACATCTGCGAGAAATTGAAGATGTGAAGAGACGAAATACAAGGTGCTTTTGACGAGTAGATCTCTAGGAATATGTTTTTATGATCTAATTGGCTTAAGAATTGCTTGGATGGATCCAAGGATCCAGGTACAAGAAAGTTAAAACAAATTGGAGGAAAAAAGCACCCCTTCTATGCCAAAAGATTACGAGAAAGATATTGGCAATCAAGATAGTGAGCAGTGGCAGGATATTAGAAATGCAAGTAAAAAATACTACCCTGAGGTGAAAGGATATTCTCCCGAAGAAAATTCGGCAAGGTATAGGGCTCAGACTGACATGAGGAATGGAGCTAGAGGATATTATTCTGATATAAGTCATATGACTCCTAACATAATGGTGAAAAGTAGAGACTCAGGATTGGATCATGGATATCACTCTAGAGGAGTAGCAAGGTCTCCTCCTCCAAGAATCTCACACGAAGATGCAGATCTGAGCGATGCCATGATGTTTTTGAACAAAATCAAGGAAGAGTACATAAATGACATGGTAACCTATGATAACTTTTTGGAAACAATGAGAGATTTCAAGTTTGGAAAGATTGATGCTGAAGAGGTTTGTAGGGCTGTTAGGGTCCTATTTAGAGACAAGGCTCATCTTATAGAAACATTTAATGATTACTTGCCTGCCCATTTGAAGTTTTATGGGAATTCTTCTTCTGGAATTGATTCAGTGCCTCAATTACCTGGCAGACAAGCATCATCCATAGGGTCTCCTTCGCAATATAGGGGGAGCCCATATGAACCTGGTGGAAGAATGCCTAAACCTCAACTAGGGATGAATCCACTACCACATATAAATCCTCATTATGGGGTTCATCAAAGTTATGCAACCCAACCCCCTATTATGCATTCGTCTGTGAAGGTAACAAGTCAAGGCGGGAAGTATATGGCCTACGATCAGAAAAGAAGTGAGGATTTTGAAAGAATGAAGGCAAGACAGGCACAAGATTTTATTCAAAGGGTCAAAAAGCGATATTCACACAATCCTAGTGTTTATAGGTCTTTTGTAGAGATTCTTCAGTCACATCAAGTGAAAAATGGGTTGTTTGAGAAAATGAAGGCTGAGGTGAACAGTCTATTATGGGAAAGCCCTGATTTATGTGAGGATTTTGAAAGAAATTTTGTACCAGCAAGAAGGTACATGATACATGATGAAAAAAATATTCTTCAAAGGATCAAGGAACTTTTGAAAAGCAAGGATCTTCTTGATGACTTTCTAAAGTGTATCAACTACTTCAATCAAAAGTTCATTAATGAGAAGGATCTTCTGGATCTAATATCACCTCTTCTAAAGGATGAAGAGCTCATAAAAGGGCTCAAATCTTTTATCAATTACAAGGAGCCCTTGAGAGAGACACCAAGGAGTCTTGAAAAATATAGAAAGGAGGGGTCTTATAGAATTCTTCCCGAGGAGTTAAGAAGTGAAAGGCAAGACCCTATATCCAGAGAGGTACTGAATTTCACATGCATAGGATGTCCAACTTTCGAGTCCGAAGATTCAAATTACGTATTTCTGAAACGCAATGTACATGAGGAAGCACTATTTAGAATTGAGGACGAGAGGTCTGAGGCGGATTTGGCAATTGAAAGAATTCAATATTTCATAAACTCCTTAGAGCAAATAATCAGTCTCAACAAAGACTCTGAAATTAGCATGAGAGATATAAAGATGTCGTCGGGTATCATAAAGGAAATTTTAAAGAGCATTTACGATAAATCTGCACCAGAAATACTTGAAGGGATTCTGATGAAGCCTCACATAGCCATACCAATTGTAATTAAAAGACTTTATATGGTGAACAAGAAGCTTAGACTTTGCATGAGAGAAAAGAGAAAGATATGGAGAGAAGTCATGGAAAGAAATTATCACAAGGCACTGGATGTTGTAGGGCCATCCCATAAGTCTTCCGAAAAAACTATTTTCACTACAAAGAATATCGTGGAGACTGGGGAAAAAGGACTAAAAGCTTCAATAGATGACCGGGATGTTGTCACTGACGTTATGGATCTTTGCAAAGCATACATAAAAGCCAATCAGACAGATGGCAAGAAAGCGCTTGTGTCTAACATGAATTCAGTTTTGGAGTCCATCTTCAAGAAACTTGAGATGAATGAGTTTACCATTGTTTCGGATTTCCCTCTTCTCTGCATTTTTAGGTTTGTTATTATAGTGTACGAAAGGCTTTTAGAAATTAAGAAAATGGATCCAATCAATTCTAAGCTAGAACAGCCTAATACCTCCAAGTATCTTGAAGTGAAGAACTTATGTATCGAGTTCATGAAAAAGAATATTGATGGACATACTTTTGAGGATAAAATTAGAGAACTTACTGATTGTAAAGGATTTAAGCTTTACAACATAAAGAAAATGATTTCCAAAATAGAAAAGCAAATCATAATTCTGATTGAAAATAAGCAATCGTTTGACTCTCTTCATGGAACAAGTGAATTTGACTCTGGAGAGACACTTTATTACTTCAAAAAGATTAAGGATGATATTGAGATTGGGGTTATAGAGCCCGAAGAAGACGAAATGTGGGACGAATATATTGAAAAATTCGAAACACTGGCACCTTGCGAGGAAATACCAATCTCGAATGCTCCTTTCCTTCCAAGAACTTGTAAGAAGCCTCCAATAACAGGATATTTGAAACAAGATCTGAAAATACAATTGAATCCTATGACTTACAAAATTAAGTACATCACCGAGACAGAGTCTCTTTATATGAGTCCCAGGATTTCTCCAAAAAGAAAATAGATTCTGGAAAGAATCCCATTAAACTCCTTGTTTCGATAAATGTTGTTCCTAAGGAAATGTATAAACTGATAAAGAAAGTAAAAAACCTTATTGATAAGGGCCTTAAAAAGGCTTGCAACCAAAAAATAACATCCCTCATCAGATATGAAAGGGGGCTCATGCCACGAAAGACACAAGACTTAAAATTGCAATCGTTTGGGTTTCCAATCTAGCAATCTCTCTATCTCCGTATGAACGTCATTGATAGAGACCTCCTGCGTAAGGACGCATGGGGGTAATTTTTTTCTTTTAAGTCAAAAGTATTACAATTATTCCATCCCAAAATGTTTGAAAAGTTAGTTTTAGCTACAGAAAAAGCTAAAAACTCTAGAAAAGGAAATCTCAACACCACGTCGGAAGAGATTGAGAGTTTGGTATGTCCTATGAAGTTTAATTCAGATGAATGCATAGAGATTATGTGTAAAAATCCTAAGGTGTTAAATTATAAATAACTCTTCTTCTCTTTACGGTCACTATTTAATAAAACTGCCCTATAGCAAAATTGTTGATCTTTTCAAAAGATTACATCCACAGGCTGAAAGACATTTTAGAGATATAGATCAATATTTTCATAGTATTACCAAAATTAAAAATAATTAAGCATTTAAAATTTATTGAAATTATCCTTTTAGCTGGGAGAGATGAATAGAAAAGTTTTGACTTTTCCGTCCGAAAGGATAGGTTTATCGCCAGATAATGCAGAGTTTGATCTTGTAATGGCCAGAGGCGATTATCTTTCAAAGAATAAAAATCAAAAATACATGGTCATTGGAATGCTAGGAACGGGAACCTTCGGCCAGGTAGTCAGGTGCGTCGGACCTGATGGCGAAGAGGTTGCAATCAAGGTAGTAAAAAATCAGCCAAAATATTATAATTACGAAATGAACGAAGTTAGAATTCTTCACAAATTGCTTTATAACAATTTAAATGATAGATTTGTGGCCATTAAGGATGTATTTATGTATAAGCAGCATTTGTGCATTGTGGAGGAGTTGCTTGGAAGAAATCTTTACACATTCTTGAAAATGACAAGATTTAAAGGCTTAGACCATTCTACAGTCAGGACCATACTTAAACAGGTACTCGAAGGAATGATTCAGCTTTCGGTGTTAGGAATCATTCATTGTGATTTAAAACCAGAAAACATCCTCATAGCCGACTACGATACTTTCAAAGTAAAGATAATTGATTTTGGATCGGCAGTCACCTCTCCCCAAGTGTCTCACTTCTATGTTCAGTCAAGGTATTACCGTGCACCCGAGGTTATTCTCGGGATTCCATATGGATCAAGCTGTGACATATGGTCCCTTGGATGCATAGGATACGAGCTGTATGTCGGGAATCCACTGTTTCCGGGAAAAGATAACATGGACCAGATGGGAAGGATCTATGGACTGCTTGGATCGCTGCCCATGTTCATGATAGAGCATGGAAAGAACTCGAATGTTTTCTTTGAAAAGGAAAATGGGTATAGATTTGTAGGGCCTACCTCTGGGTTCACCCTGGAAGACATGAAGAAGGTGATAAGATCGAAGGGAGGTCTAGAAGGGGATGACGACATGTTCATAGAGTTTTTGCTGAAGACACTACAACCCAGCCATCTTATAAGGCCCGATGCTAGGTCGTTGTCTGGGCACTCCTACCTTAAGCTCAAGGACGAGGGCGGGGATCTCTGCAAGGCTCCGAGTGGCCGGAAAATGGTGCAGCAGAGTGTCCCACCTACAAGCAAAGGGATAAGGCATATGTCCACAACTGGAGTGATACTTCCGAGTAAGAAGCAGAAATCTGGAGACGAGAGGAGGAAGATATCAGTTTATGGAATTTCATATGAAAACAATATAAACAGAGATTCTGAATGAGTTGGAGGTGATTGGGGCAAGGACTTTAGTTGATACAAGGGATCTGTTTCCTGTGGTTGGACGATGATCCGCATGGAGTTATTGCAAGCCAGACATGGATGATACATGAGAGCAGACTAATTTCTAATATAAACGATCTTATTACTTCTCTACTTAATATTCCAATGGGCTTATAAACTGTCAAATAGATATTAAGGTATAGGTCCTTTTATTACAAGACATTAAATGATTTACTATGGCTGATAGATTACCAGAATTGTTTGCTTTATTAATTTACATTTGACGGTGTGTGGTGGGGGTTAACTGAGACTGGCAGGACACCCTGGATGATTATTACAAAGTTGATTATAGGGGGGTTTGTTAGGTGCTCTTTTGACTCGTCGTCTTCCACTTTAAATGATAGCAATTACTGGTCGAAAGAGGTGGATTACAGTAACCAGGGCCTTACCGAGTTCCCAGAAGAGATATTCGAGATATCATCAACCTCGTGTGTGGTGGAGGTCAATATTCAGAAAAACAAGATATGCTCGATACCTTCAAAAATAGAAAGCTTAAAGAAGCTGTTAAGGCTGTACATGAATGATAACCAGATCCAGTCTCTGCCTCCAGAAATCGGGAGTGTTGAAAGACTCCGGGAACTTGATGTGAGCAACAACAATATCAGCTGGCTACCTGTAGAGATCACACATTTGCAATGGCTCACCAAGCTCAATGTGAGCAACAACAGCCTTCGGAGACTGCCTGTTGAAATGAGAGTGCTTCCATTTCTTAAAGAGCTACGGGCAGACGGGAACAAGCTATGTGCCTTGCCAAGTACATTTGAAGAGTTCTATGTTCTTGAAAGGATCAGCCTGGGGAATAACCTGTTTGAAGAGATACCGGAGGTGATAGGGAAGATGGAGAATCTTAAGAAGATCGATTTCAGAAATAACAGGATACGGAGGGTAAACCGGAAGCTTGTAGACATCCTCTTTGATAACAGGAATCTGGAGTTGATTGACCTCCGTGGGAATGACTTGATGAGGGAGAGCGACTCTGAGTGGGTGGGATGGGAAGAGCTTGGAAGAATGTTCAGGAGTGATATACTCCTGTCACAGTTATCAAGACCCGGAATTGATGACGTGGAATGAGCCATGGTAGTGATGAGTAGTTTCAATAAGGATTTCCAATGAGTAGTTTCAATAAGGATTTCCATATGAGGAATAATTGAAAAGAAATGTATAAATACAGTTGAGAGCGGAAGATAATGCTTGCAATAAGTGTTATTGGAATCATTGGGCTTTTGGGAGGACTTAGGGGAGCGATTCCTCTTAAAGTCAGTAATGTATCAGGGAAAGTGTACAAGAACATCAGGGTTAATGCACAGAGGATCTGCCGTATTATGGAGTATGTGGAAAAGCCTGAAATAGCAGAGTTCATGAAGGAGTGTTTGGAGAAGCAGGTGAGTGAGAGGGCACAAGAGCTATGCAGGGAGTTAATTTTCGAGCATGAGTCGCTGAAGGAGAAGGTAGCAAGGCTTGGAGAGGCAGCTGGGAATAGTGAGAGTAGCTTTGAGGAATTGAAGAGTCTCATCATTGAAGTATTTGATGGATGTTTCAAGGTGGTTAGATCTGGAATGATTTTAGATATCGAGCTTGGATTCAACGAAGAGAATCTAGACGAGGTGGAAGAAGCCTGCAGCAAAGTTTATCGACGGCTTCTCAATGAGATTGCCCAGTGGCGCAATAGTAATGGGGCATTTAGGCTTGCAACCACCTATTATTAAAAAGTGTTCATCTATTTTTAGTCTATTCTCCCGAGGTTTGTGTATTTCTGTAGACGGTTAGGGTTATGTATGGGATATGTGGGGCTACGGAAGATGGAGATTCCATGTATAGAGCTTGCAAGAGAGCTTCTGGGGAAGATACTGTGCAGGAGAATGGAGGGGAAGACTATGAAAGGGATGATAGTTGAGACCGAGGCATATGTAGGGCGGGAGGACAAGGCATGCCATGGGTATGGAGGAAGAAGAACGGAACGGAACTCAGCAATGTACATGAGAGCAGGGACATGCTATGTATATAAGATATATGGAATGTATGAATGCTTCAACATCTCGTCTGTGGAGGATGGTGCTGGAGTGCTTATACGGGCAGTGGAACCTCTGTGTGGGATTTCCTTGATGAGGAGACATAGAGGAGGCAGGGTCAAGGACCGGGACATTGCAAATGGGCCATCGAAGCTGTGCATTGCAATGGGAATAACACGGAAGGAGATCGACAAGGAATGGATTATGTCCAGTTCTAAGATATGGATTGAGGAAGGAATGGAAGTTGCGGACACCTCTGTTATTGTGGGAAAAAGGATTGGGATAAGGAACTGTGGAGAGTGGGAAGAGAAGGAGCTTCGGTTCTACATAAAAGACAACGAGTTTGTTAGCTGTATTAGAAGGAAGCGAGGCAAGCAATAGTCTACTATCGGTAAGGAGCATCACACGACCTACTGCTTTCCAGTTGGATTTTGAGATCTGCCTATAGAACTGTTATAGTCTGTGGAAGGCTATCATGTGCTGTGTGTAGAAGAAGACAGCATATAGAGGACATGGAATGGAAGAGGATAGAGTATCTTTGAGTAGGTAGAATGAGGTGGAGAGAAATGGGAGTGATGATATCCAGGAATACAGCAAGGATGTTGTACCCTCTTATTGAATCGATGGGGTATGTATGTATGTGTGTGTTGTGTTGTGTGGGTAACCCTCTATTAAATGTAGCCTAATCTAGGATGGTTGAGTAGTATGAATAGTAACAAAAGT